TATGTAGAGATGGCAAAATCAGTCGAGACATTTAAAAAAAATAATTTTATTTTAATTTATGATGTCTGGGTTTTTCTAACCTAACTATGATTTCGATTAAAAGATCTAAACACTGATTCCAATGCTAAAGATAAATCAACTAAATTATATTTAGAAAATAAAATAAAGTAATTTAAAAGAGTAGAAGAATTTGTTGAGGAATCATGGATTAATTAATAAATATTATAAGTATTATATTAAATATTTTATCTAGCTACTTTTGTTATAACTCATTCTCTCTTTGGTCTACTTACAGGACTATTTGATCTTTATTTTACATTTTGATTCTAAGTTACTGCTGTCTATTTTGAATGTTTTCTCTTTGCACTTAACATTTAACCATACATAAAGAATCCTCCCACTAAATTTATATTGTATTTTTACATATCAAAATCAATTGTAATCCTCTAACTTACATTTCCCCATAAACAGCCAAAGATTAATTAACTGTTCTTATTTCTCCTAATATTCCTATAGGATAGAGGATCATAAATGCACTATATCTAAGACTCTTGCATATAGAATTATTCTTAAATAAGTAATATGAGAATCTTATTATTTCAGCTAAAGACCATGCAATCACTGCATTTATTAAACAACAAAAACACACTCCATCATACATAAACAATAATGCCACAACAAGTCTACCTCCTAATTAAAGGATATTACTTATTAAGGATCCAGATGTTAAACTTTCATAATCCAATACTATACCCAACTATGTTAGAAATTAAATCATAGATCTAAGAAATTTACATCACATGCACTAAACAAACTATCTATCCTGTTTTTTCTGTTCCATTTACTAATTCCATCAATACTAATCCTAATATTGCTGACCATCCAATCAATTATGATATATTATAAACAAGAGATAATATTCCAAACATTAATTTTTATATTTTTATATAAAATAACTTTAATCAAATTACGTTTCTTCCTAAATTTAATTCTTTTCTTTATATAGTATCTCCAATAGTTAAATACATAAATACTTATCATGTTAATAGAATTTTTAAGAGAGAATGTATATTATTTAATCATATAGTCTCAAACTACTTAGAATATTTATTGAGTTAATTATTTTCTGAACATTAGAATCCATTTTGAATAAAGTTAAATTATATTTCTAAATGATAGAGAAAATTTACTAATATCAAAAACTGATACTTTATATACGATTACTTATAATTGGGTATATTTTTTATAGAGTGATAATATCATAGTAATTATTATTTATAGAAAATGCTTAAAATTAATAAGTTAATATGTTGAAATTCTATTCTCAAAATTCTTTTAATTTAACTAATTATCAATAATAAAAAACAATATAATTAAATTAAATACTAAATATATTTATATTCAAAATTCATTATTATAATTAATATACATTTATTTTGCATAAACAGCTCTTTGAATTGTAGGCTTAACTCTTTTTGTATCCTCTATCAATCCTAAGATTTTAAGATTTGCTATTGCAGTCTAAAAATCTATCATATCCTATTTTTCAATCAAATTAGACAAGGCCACTTAATATTAAGATAAAATCTTGGCATAATTTTCTCCTGTTTATTTGAAATTTGATGTACAGGTATCTATTAAATTTGTATGTAAATGGTTCATAACATCAGGATTTGTAGATTCCAAATATTTTTCGAAATCTTTAAAAATATATTGAGAACAGGATTTCTTAATTTCATTGATTGTAGATACAATATATTAATTTAAGAATTAATTAACGTAGTCTTCAAATTTAACTTTTTCATTGTCTTTAGTCAGTTAAGCAAATCTATCAGTCTATTTTTTACTTTATGGTTTTTCATAATTTTAATTCTCTAAATACATTAAAATTGATTCATCTATGTTTTATTCATTACCAATTGAAGTCAATTCTCTAAATAATTATTTTGCTTTGTTCAATTTACAATCATGACTTAAAGTAAACCATTTACTCGCTTAATTAGAACATAATAAACCAAAGAGTTTCTACTTAAAATCCTTTATATCTTATTGATTCTAATTTTATTCAACAATATATTTACTTCATATTTCAATTATTCTATATATTTACTAAATACTAGAATAGCATCACTTAATTGTTTTCTTTTTTATAAGTACTGTTTATATATCATGTTGTTATTTGGCTAATTTCTTAGAGTATCAAGCAATTCTTTCATTGTTAAATTTTTCTTATTATGTTATTACATAAAATGTAAAGATTGATACATTAAGAAATATGCTTACTTTATTTTAAAAAGCTATTATTAATAATTTAATGTGTAAATCTTAAAATCTTTTTCCCATAAGGAATAAATCTCTTAAGAGAGTAAAGGAATTTAAGGATTTGATATAAGTTTGATTAATAAATGGATAAACATCTTTTTTGGATCACTAAAACTATATATTTTAGTAATTTCATAATTCTCAGTAGCAGTAGATTATAATGGTAAAATAAATATGATATTTCCTATTGTATTTGGATAACGAAGTTTAATTTCCTCTAATAATGCCTTTTTTAAATCACTTAAATCTTCTGAAACAAAATATTTCGAAATCAAAAATATTAAAGTATGTGCTCTTACATTTGATTTAAATTATTTAGAACAATTATTCAAAACATTGTTTAATAAATCTGGTAAACTATAATCAATTTTATCAAATAATTCAAAACTGAGTGAATGATCAATTACTCTACCTCCCTCCATTGTAAATTCAACACAATTAGAATTTAAAATAGTATGGTTATCTCTCTTTTTCAATAGAGAACTATAGAAAGAAAATACTGAGTAGAGATTTGCTTAATCTACTAAAAGAAAACCAAATTTGATTTAAACATAATGATGTTGCTAAGTTAAACTATGTAATTCTAAAATTTAGAATGTTGTGTTTTTCAATTCATCCTCAATCCATAATAAAATTGAATTTGATAATTTTAAAAACTTCTTATCAACAATATCCTTGGACTCTAAATCAATTTATTCAACTGTCAAATGATATAATTCTTAAAAATCACTTTAATCTTATTGTTATTTGACTTTTTGTTTTTTTGGCACAAAGGCCTAATAACAATCCTCCAATTCTCCAAATATTTATTCTTAATGAAAAGCCATTAATTATATTAGAAAATATATTAATATTATCACATAATTTATAAATAATCATTTTAATTATTTGATTTATTTTATTTTTGGAAAGACTTAAACTTCATCAAAATCTCCTTCTAGTTAACTTAACAATTCTTTTAAGATATTATCATGAGTCAACTTATGAATACTTGATTAACATTATGGACATTATGCCAAATTGAAATCTATCTAACCTGTAGCACATAAATTTGTAAGACTATTTTCATCAAATGCTTCAGGATGTTGACAATAAATACCTCTAATTGGATTTCTTAATTTATTATTTGTTATCAAACACTAAATTAAATTTATTGAATAATAATTACTCTTAATTTTAAATTAAATTAATCTAACTCTTATATTGGAGATTCTAATTCTTCAAACCTCAAAGATAGATAAAGTTTTTTTTATAAAAATAATTGATATTTTTCCTTATTTAACAAACTAAAATTCTTAATTGTTGTTATGAAATTGAGCATTTTTGTATCCACATAAACTTATTCATGAACACTTTGATCTCTATGTCTTTTTTTAGGTGAGAAAGGATTATGACATAAAGGGCAAGAAACTGAATAAGCTTTAACTCCATTCCTGTTCTCAGGATATTGCACTTAATTTATAATACAACTCATAAATCTCAGATCACAAACATTTACTTTATCACATCTAATACATCTACAAGGTATTTCAACTTTACAATTTGTACTTTAATCTTTTGAAATATTGAAATCTCCATTTAAGGGATGCTCATAAAATTTATCTGTTAATTCTTAATTTTTTGTAGAAGAATAAATTCTATCCGTTAAATCATAGATTTATTTAATATAATTTAAAGATTCTGTTGTAGTAGGAACTAACTTTTTATAAGTAGCAATATGTGGATCATAATTTGTAATCGAGTATGTATCTAATAAAGTTGAAGACTATTAATTAAAAATAAAGTCAGATGAAAAATTAAAACCTTTTAATCCTATTTCATATAATTCTTAATCGAGCTATAATTCGTTTAAATTAATAACTTCTTAACAACCAAAAAATAAACACTTAAACTGCTTTTCTAAAATAAATTTAGTTTTTACAATCTCGATATAACATGTACCAGTTTAAATAGAGCAAATCATAACATTCTAAATGACGACAATGTTTTCCCCTAACAGGAATTTGTATTCTAATATTCCCTAATAAACATAAATGAGAATATTTAAAGGATTCATTTCCTTTTGTCATCTTTTTAATAGATGAGAAATTTTATTAGGTATCACATTGTTGAGCAAATACTGATTAAATTTGATTATTGAATTAAAATTACTCCTTGCCTAAAAAACCAGGATATAATGGAATCAAAGTTTGAGTAGATAAATAATATGTTATTGGCTTTGATTTATCATTCAACTGGAACTTTAATAATTTATTTATACTTATTATCTTAATTATTGGAAAAAAAAATTTGGAATTAATGGTAAGTCTTTTTCAAAATGACTCTTTGATCTGCATAAAGGACATTATATATATCCATCTTACATAAAATTACTATTGTTCTATATCAAATATTTCAATATTTATTTAAGATCAAAACAATCATTTAGATGTTTTTTTTCAATTATGCATTACATAAATGACACCTTTAATAATTAATTTTTATACAGGTTACTCTAACCATTCTCCACTTATGGAACATGTAAATTTTATATTAAAAACAGGGTATTAGGATTTGCAATATTATAAAAACTAATCAAAAAGTTTCTGATATTCATCTTATTAATTCTTCCAAGAATCCTTAATTGAATAGATAAGCTTATCTATATTATATATTGAAGATTTTATTGGCGATGATTCTTTTTTGGAACTCTTTTAATCCATAATTTTGAATTAATATTTGTAAAATTTATATTGTCAATAAATTAAGTAAAAAATTATGTTTCTTTAAATAAAGAGAAAAATTAACTTTTTTGAGGTTTTTAAACCTAAAATATGTGTCAATTTGAAATTAAAAAAAAAAACTCCCTAAAAATATTAAGAAAGTGAATAAAATTTATAATTAAAAAATTTTGATTTTACTATTATAAATGAATTAGAAATCTTTATAAAACCAAAATTAATATAATTATTTATTGAAATAAAGAATAAAATTTGGATTATTTAATAAAAAATTCAAAGTTCAAAGTTCGAATTTTTATTTTATATGTGTTAGATATTTGAAGAGGAGTAGGTAATGAGAACTGATTCTAAGAATTGTTTGATTAAATATGAAGGATTTTAAACCATATATAATGATTAAATTTTATTTGAGATTGCTAATTAACTAATGATTAAAAAAATATCTTTAATATTTAATATTTATTTAAATTACAAACTTAAAGTTGTATGATTGATAATTAGACTTAAAATTGGGCAGATCTACCATCAGATTCAGATGAAGAAAATGAGAAACCTTAGGTTGATTCACAAAACTCTAAATTTCAAAATTAATAGGGAGGATATAAATATAAAAATAATTAATACCAATAAGGCTCATCAGCTAGATAATAAAGATAAAATTAAGAATAATAATAAGGACAGGATAACTAGAATTAAGAAAATGATGAACATGATAATTAGACTAATAATCCTGATCAATAAAATTAATAGGGGATTAATAATTAGAGAAATAATCAATATAAAAAAGGTTATAGGGATAACAAAGATAGAAGAAATAGAGGAGATGGTAATTATAGAGGAAATCGAGACAATTAAAAGAATTATAGAAATAATTATAATTAAGATGATAGAAATGATAGATAATATAGATAAGATAGATAAGATAGAAATGATAGATAAGATAAATAAGATAGAAATTAGAGATAAGACAGAAATGATAGACCTGATAGAAAAAATTATGAAAGGGATAACACAGGTATAAAATTTAATGATTAATTTAAGGACTTATTGAGTAAAAGAAGGAATAATTGAAAAATTATAATGGAGATAGTATAAATTTATTAATTCATTGCAAACTTGCTGAAAATCAATTGCTTGAAGTATTAAAAGATATTGTTATGAAAAACTTAATTTTACATGATGATTAAACACAATTTGATGTGGACAAGGATAATGCACTAAAGTTATTGGAAGTTTATAAATTATAAATTGTAAAAAATTCATATTTATACTTTATTTAGGAAATAGATGGCAGACCATAAAAACTTTATATGAGAATTGGATCAGATCATGAAAAAAATAATTACGGAAATAGAGGAGGATATTAAAAATAAAATTATTAGTAGAGATAATAACAATAGAATGATAATTAAAATGAATTTTAGAACAGAAATAAAGAAGGTAAATTCTAAAATAAAAGAAATAATTTTGAACCTCCTAAAATTTTTAGAAATACATCTTCTCGAGTTGATGATAATGTAATTTAATTTTAATTTCATTAGTAATTGTAAACAGAACAACCATAATAATAATAGCAAAACAATGAGCCTTAAGAGAATAAAGGAAATATAGTAGAATAATAATAAAATTAAAAGTATGAGAATACAGTTGAGAAGACTGGAAATTAAGAAGAAAATAATTAATAAAATTAAAATTAAGAGTAAAATCAATCAAGAAATAATTATAAAGGTCATGATAATTAAAATAGAGGCTATAGATAGAATAATAAGCAATATAATAAAAATAATAATTAATATAGAGAATAAAACAATCAAAATCAAGATCAAAATGAATAAGATAAGGATAATTAAAATCAATTTAGGAATAGTAATAATAATAATCAATATAGAGGAAATAGAGATAGATAATAATAAAATAGAAATGAAAATTATAAGAATAATAATAATAATGACTAGGAAGATAAAGATCATAGAGAAGAAAGAGATCATTAAGGAGAAGGTCAAAGAATTTATCAAAATAATAGAGGAAATTATAGAAATAATAACAATAGAAATAATAGAAATAATGATGATGATAATAATTAGGATAATTATAATAAGAACAATAATGATGGAAATAATAATCGAAATTAAAATAGAAATTATAATGATCAAGACAACACTAGAAATTAAAACAAGGATAATTACAGAAACAATAATAAAAGAGATAATCGAGGATATGAGAATAGATAATAGAATTAAGAAGGAGATGAAGATCGTTAAAAAAAATAAAATTATAGAGGAAATCCACATGTATTTATATTATTTTGATAATAGAATGAAATAAATGAGTTTGCATTTAGTCATCATTATCATGATAAATAAAAGAAAGAAACATAAAAAGTATCAATAAAATCAAAAAATATTTTCGAAGTATTTTAAGAGTGATTGTTCATCATTAAATTAATGTTATTTGTGTTTTTTGATGCGATAACCTAACTAGTTTTTATTTTTATATCAATTAATTAAAATCAAAGTTTTTAGAATCTTATTTTACTATCACTTTTCAATGCTTAGATTTCTGCAAGAGCAGAAATTTCTTTTCTTTCAGATGTGATATATCCTAAAGTGTCTTATCGTTTAATAATATTAATTTTAGGTTAGGAAGCCTATTAAGGTTTACATAAGCCTGAATCAACTTTTGCTTTGATTTTATTTAGATCATATTTTTCTTTTTTAGGTTCTAATTTAAAATTTCCTATCTTTATTAATTCATCTGAATTTTCACTTACTTTTTTTGATACTTATTATTTAAGTCTGTTCATAGTATTTTTTCCATATTACAATGCTGTTGATCTTCTCAAATATTATCGTTCTGTAGGATCAGGGTCTAACTAAACTAAAATAAATATATTAATATATTTACTTTACTTAGTATCATGTCTATTTGTAAGCCAAGAAAATGCTACACCTGCAGTAAATTTAGTTTATATTTTTTCAATTATTTAATCTTCTATCATTGTTTCTTATTGATTTAAACTATGATCTTATTTATCTCGACTATCTCTTGTTTAATCAGGCATTGTTTTTGGTAAATCATCTGATGTTTTTTATCTCAGAATTATTGTTCCTTTTTTTGATTAATCAGGAGTAGCACTTCCTAAACGCTATTTTCGCAACTTCCTTCTAATTACATTGAAAATAGGTTCTAATTTAACTGCTTTTAATTTTAATTATGCTACCATCATTTCATCTTTTCTCTCTAAAATTTTATCAATTAATTGAATTCTAATTTATTACAAAAGTTCAACCTCTCATCAGCAGAATTCAAAGTTTTAAGAGATGCAATTATTTATTTTTTATCATTAAAATCTGATAATGAATTATAGGCTTCTTAAACTCTTTATTTTTTTATGCTAATAGATTAAGATTTATTAGAATCATTTTTTTGATGAAAAGTCTTTCTTTAAGTTTCCATATAATTTTATGGTCTATCTTTATTTTCTGTACTATTCATTATAGGAGTTTAAATCAAGTTCTCAGGTCTGGGTGATTCAAATAATGGTTATAATAATTTTTTTGCAGTATAATTCGGCCGATTTAGCATTAGTTTATCGAAACTCATTATTTTTTGATAAATAAATTCATTAAATTTAATGTCTTAGCAATCACTAAGTTAGTTTTCATAACATAGTCAATTACAATAATAAAACCAGTAGCCAGCTTAAAAAGCTGGAAGTTCAATTGAAGACATAACTTAAGATTTAGAAGAATTATTTGAATCTCTAAAAAGTAATAATCATTATAAATTATTTTTTAGTTGAGAAACAAGGATCTCAAGTTGATCAGATTGAAAAATCAACATTATTAGCTTTACTTCTTTATTTAAACATAGACAAATCAGAAACTTAATTTTTCAATTATGTTGTTAGAACATTAGATCAAATGCAATCTGTAAACAATTATTTTTAACTTTATAGACTACTTTAAACAAGGATTAATTTAAATCTTTATTTTTGGATCCTTAAATAAATACAGAAAATTTGAAAAGCGAAGAGTTTGCATAAATTTTTTATGTTTTTGATTAGTCAAAGAAAGGATCGTTTAGCGCAGAAGAATTCCTAAAATTATATAAGGAAACTTCTGAATATTTAAATTTAACTGAGAATTAAAAATAATAAATAGAGGCAAGAATAAAAAAGGATTTTGAGATTATAAGTCCTGAACACAAAGAAATTACCCCGATCGAATTTTTTAAGATAATCAATAATTAAGGCTGATTTTATTTTAGAAAGATTATTGATACCAATATATCGTTATTAATTTATAGTANCTGTACTATTCATTATAGGAGTTTAAATCAAGTTCTCAGGTCTGGGTGATTCAAATAATGGTTATAATAATTTTTTTGCAGTATAATTCGGCCGATTTAGCATTAGTTTATCGAAACTCATTATTTTTTGATAAATAAATTCATTAAATTTAATGTCTTAGCAATCACTAAGTTAGTTTTCATAACATAGTCAATTACAATAATAAAACCAGTAGCCAGCTTAAAAAGCTGGAAGTTCAATTGAAGACATAACTTAAGATTTAGAAGAATTATTTGAATCTCTAAAAAGTAATAATCATTATAAATTATTTTTTAGTTGAGAAACAAGGATCTCAAGTTGATCAGATTGAAAAATCAACATTATTAGCTTTACTTCTTTATTTAAACATAGACAAATCAGAAACTTAATTTTTCAATTATGTTGTTAGAACATTAGATCAAATGCAATCTGTAAACAATTATTTTTAACTTTATAGACTACTTTAAACAAGGATTAATTTAAATCTTTATTTTTGGATCCTTAAATAAATACAGAAAATTTGAAAAGCGAAGAGTTTGCATAAATTTTTTATGTTTTTGATTAGTCAAAGAAAGGATCGTTTAGCGCAGAAGAATTCCTAAAATTATATAAGGAAACTTCTGAATATTTAAATTTAACTGAGAATTAAAAATAATAAATAGAGGCAAGAATAAAAAAGGATTTTGAGATTATAAGTCCTGAACACAAAGAAATTACCCCGATCGAATTTTTTAAGATAATCAATAATTAAGGCTGATTTTATTTTAGAAAGATTATTGATACCAATATATCGTTATTAATTTATAGTACAACAGAAGAACAGCAATTTATATGAATAAGAGTATAATAAAACGATTTATATATTATTTAAAAATTAATATTTTTAAATCAAAAAGTCATAGCTGAATTGATATTTAACTAAAATGACAGATTTTTCAGAAGAAATAGTGAAATGGCTTTAACTAAGGAAAGAATTTAAAAATATGTATACAAAATGAGGTGTTTCATCTGTATATAAAATAGTGATTTATGGATTAAGAATAAGAGATAAAAAGAAAAATAAGATCGCTTTCTGTTGAAAGAGGTATAAAATTAATAATAACTCTAGAGAAAACAGAGAGCCAATCTTAATTCACAGATGAAATAGAGGATGATAAAATAGTTACAATAGGAGTTTGTTGTATGGCTAAGAAGTCTTAATCTAAGGAAATGCAAGAAATTTTGAATCGTATAAATCCAGAGTTTTTTAAAATTGAGATATTCCCAGAATAAATGATACTTGAAGACCCAATTGAATCATGGCCTATAGTGGAAACTTTAATAAGTTTTTATTCAGATGGATTTCCTTTGAATAAAGCCATTGCTTATGCTGATTTTAGAAAGCCATTTATTATAAATGATCTTAAGAAACAGCAACTATTATGGGATAGGGAGAGAGTATATACATTATTAAAGAAAAATAAAGTTTCAGTTCCTAAACATTATTTTGTGTTTAAAAATCCTAACAAATATATTATAGATGATTATAATAGAAAAGAAATTGAGAAAAAGTTTAAGCCAAGTAAGACTCAATAAGAAATAATTGAGGAGGAAGACAATGTGGATAGTGTTATAAGTTTTTTATAAAATGAAGACTCTTCTTAACATATAAAATCTGTTTAGACAGCAAAATAATTATAGGAATTATTATTACCTTCAAGATAGGATGCAATAGAAGATAAGGATAAAAATAAAAATAAAATGAAATAAGGAATGAGATCTTATGATGCTAGATCTTTATAAGCAGTCATTGATATAAAAAAGGATAATAAAGATCCTTAAATTACAAAGATTGAGGAATGTGATGATTATTTATTAATTAATGGATAGAAATTAGTTAAACCATTTGTAGAAAAGCCTTTTGATGCTGAAGACCACAACATTTACATTTATTATAATTCCAGAGATGGAGGTGGATGTAAAAAGTTGTTTAGAAAGGTTGGAAATTAAAGTAGTATATTTGATCCAACATAGAATAGCATTAGGAATGATAATGAAAACTATATTTATGAGGTATTTCTACCAACAAATGGATTTGACATAAAAGTTTATACAGTAGGTGAATTTTATGCACATGCAGAAGCAAGAAAAAGTCCAGTATTGGATGGAAAAGTTGTTAGATCTTAAAATGGTAAGGAAATGAGATATCCAGTTTGTTTAACAATGGAAGAAAAAATGATGGCTATTAAGATTGTGAATATATTTGGATAAAATATTTGTGGATTCGATTTATTAAGAAGTAATAATAAATCATATGTTTGTGATGTAAATGGATGGTCATTTGTTAAGGGAAATGCTAAATATTATTCAGATTGTGCAACCATTTTATAGAATATGATATTAGCTAAATTAAGACCAACTTTACTATAGAAATAAATTTATGATATCAATTTAGTTAAAGGATTCTATAAAAACTCATTTAGACCTAGTTCAAAAGATTTAGATGGAAAAGAATAGAATTCAGAATTAAGATCAGTTGTTGCAGTATTTAGACATGGTGATCGAACACCTAAATAAAAAATGAAAATGAGATCTACAAATTAATTGTTTCTTTCATTTTTTGATGAAGTGCCTGATCCGTCTAAAGAAATTAAATTAAAGCATCCAAAATAATTATTAAAATTACTTAATTTAACAAGAGAATATATAGGTAAGACTAATTGTAGGGATGATAATATAATTAAACTTCTTTAAATGAAATCAGTTTTAGAATTAGGAGGACATTTTGAAGGCATAAATAGAAAAGTGTAAATAAAACCATTAAAAATGTAAAAAATGGATAAAAATGGTTCGGTGCTTGATTTTCCAGTTGAAGTATTATTAATTTTAAAATGGGGAGGAGAATTAACATCATTAGGAGAAGAACATGCTGTTAGTTTAGGTAAAGTTTTTAGACATGATATGTATCCTACTGAAAAAGATGGATTACTTAGATTACATTCCACTTATAGACATGATTTAAAAACATTCTCTTCAGATGAGGGTAGATGTTAGTATACAGCTGCAGCTTTCCTTAAAGGATTACTTGGATATGAAGGAGAAGTAACTCCTATATTAGCAACTATGGTTTAAAAAAATGAAGTTGCATAAGAATTATTAGATTGCAATAATTTAGAAATTGAAGAAGAAGTTGAAATCAAAAATATCCTATAAAAAATGTTAACTAGTGACGAAGATATGCTTATTTAGATTTATAAATATTTTCCTGATTTTAATATGACTTAAACTTAACATGATTTAATTAGCAAGTTTAAGTGTCCCAAATAGATGCTTATTTAATTACATACTTTCATCAATTAATTAACCAAAAATATAAGGTAATTTTAGAATAAACTAATTAGACATCACATCCATTTGGATAAAAACTATTATATTGCTCCAAGTGATATGGAACAAGGAGCTTAATCCATGTTTGAATCTGAAAATCTTACTTTATTCTTTAAAAGATGGTATAAATTAGAATATGATTTTTTATAAAAAGACACATTCAATATTTCTAAAATTCCAGATATTTATGATAGTGTTAAATACGATATGCTTCATAACTAGGATAAATTATAATTTTATGAAAATTCTAAAGAGTTTTATTGTTTGGCTGAATTACTCAGTCAATTTATGGTACCATTTGAATATGGAATTACCACTAAATAAAAATTATCTATTGCTAAACGTGTTGTAGGTCCTTTATGTAATAAAATTAAATAAGATCTTTTATGGTGGAACAAACCAGAATCAAAAAATTAACAATAAGAAGAAGATTATTGGAAGTTTAGATAAACTGATGATAGCGATTTAAATAGTCCATGGAGACATGTTAGAACTCGATTATATTTTACATCTGCTTCTCACTTATACTCTTTATTTAATATTCTATACTATGGTTTAGGACATTACTTAATAGAAGATGAATTCAAATAAAAATAATTGTAAAAAATATTGATGCTTTAATATCTATCAAATATAGTGATAAAGCTTTACGAAGATTTATCTTCTGAAAAAGAAGATCCTAATAGATTTAGAATTGAATTAAGTGTTTCTGATGGAATTCAAATGTAATTTCCAATAGATAAAAATATGCTACCCAAAAGTGAAAATATTCACATTAATTAATCATTAAGATTGGATTAACTAGAAGAGTTCTTAAATCAAATAATTGACTGTGCTTTTGGAGAAGATGTTCAATCTTTATGATATGATCTATATAATATAATTAGAATAACATAAATTAAATAATGATCAATAAATTTATGGGGTATTTTAAGAATAGACCACCTTTTCAAAAGAGAGTAGCAAACTCATCCCTACTTAGCTAATCTGATGAAATTTTATTAGATGATCTATTGTTCCTAATTTCTTGCTTTGAGAATAATCATTCAGAATTTATAACCAAAGCCCCTTCTTATTATATAGAATAATACTTTACCTTAACCAGTGAATAGTAATATTTAATTTATAATTATTTAGGGAATTTGCAAATTCTTATACAATAAGAAATAAAGTGTTGTTAACATGTCACTTAATGCTACATGAATTTTAATTGGGTATTGACTTTGCTGACCATTTCTTAAATTAGAAATTCAATGCTTTGATGAATAGAAAATCTCCATAGCTGGTTAAAACAAGCTCATAAAAAGAGGAATGGCTTTCTGCAAATATTTAATTAAGTTACTTCTAATATTTGCAAAAACTTGCTGTAAATATTTAAGTTTTTCATGCATGTAAAGTGTAACAATATCCTTTGTTTTAAGAAGGATAAAAGTTCATAGATATTTAAACTAAATTACTTTGGCTCTTCAAGATTAGTAATTTGGTAATTCTTTAAATTAAAAATTAAAGGTTAATAGTGGATTGGGATAAATGGAGATCTTAAAATAAGCTCTATAAATGGTTCCTGAAGATATGCTTTTAAAAGAAATCGTCTTGGTTTATTGGTCTGATATTATAGTATTCTACAATTTTCTAAGTAAAGAAGTAATTTAATTATATAAAAAATAAATAGATTTTACAACTCTTAGATTATTATAGACATCTAGCTACTCACATTTGTCTCTAGTTTTATGAACTTTATTTATAATTGTTTTAAATCAGAAACTCAATTTCAGATCTTTATAAATATCGTAAACATTTCGATAGAGACAATGTTATTAAATAACCTAAATGGTTTGATGTTAATAAACCTGTTCATAAATAAATTGAAGAGTTCATGTTAAAATAAAAATTAAATTTGGGAAATCATACAGATAGAGCTGCATTAAAACCATAAATATCAAGTAGAGGATCCAAATCTTAGATTGCTCTAGATACTAGAATTGATTTAAGTAAATTACCAAGAAAAGATAATACTATAAAAACTCATAGAGCAGGAAGATAAGGAGATAGTGATGGGGATGATGAAGATTTTGAATAGCTTAAATAAATACTGTAAAACTAAAATATCTAAACTAAATTAACAATGAAAAAATAATAATAATAATAATAATAAAAGCAAGATTCTTAAGTTTCTTTTTAAAAATAATCTCAAGAAGAAGGAACGGATATACCCAAAGGAGATTGAATCAACTTATATATATTTATAAATTTTTTTATGAAATCATATTAAAATAATTATTATATCTAATAATGCATTAAAATTTTAATTTGATTTTATTCAAAGTCTTCCGAAATCAACCCTTATTTTTTAGGGTATTACTTCTAATTCATTATTACCATTAAAAGTTACAATAGCATATTATTATGCAGGTTAGAAAAACTGAGGATTAACAAAGACTGTTTAATTGATTAATTTTGCTGATTATGTAAAATGTGATGGAGTTATAATTACATCTGGACATTGATCAAAATCTAGAAATTCTTATTTTGTAAAATCACATGGAAATTTGGTAGGATTTATGGGGACAAAACTTCTTTATTCTATTAGTTAGTTTAAAGCCAAATCAATTTTATTTAATTTCTGATCTCCAATTTTTTCTGAAGCAGAATTAATTTCAGAAATCACTTCTTCATTAATAATTCCAATAGTCATATCTTCAATTTATAATATACAAGGATTTCCTACAAACATTAAGTTTTCAACTTTCCTTTTCTATTGTTCTACTTTAATATTGAGAGGAGGTTAAGGAACTGGATGAAAGCTATTTATTTCTTTGGTTGAATTAACTACAATAATTTAAACCCTTGGAAGTTCTTTTATTATTGCTTGCATAATCACTTAAAAAAATTCTTCAAACTTCACAATATTAAATAAATTATACCTCGTACTCATACTTATCCAAATTTTCTTAGTTATTAACATCTATGATAGGACCTAATAGCATAAGAATATCGCATGATATTTATTTTTTCTTTATTTTCTCTATTAAATGAAATAATCCTGTATAACCAAATTTACCTTCTTTTTCAAAAGGTCCAACTGCTATTACCATCACAATCGAATCACTTCTTTATTAAATTTTATAATCCTTAAAATTTTATTACTCCTCTGCCATAGAATTATTAGGATAGAGAGAAATAAAATTTTTAACTACAATCTCTTATTCAGTTATTTGAGATACAACTGCTCCAACTATTTTACCTGGAAATAAATATGCTCCATGATTTTCAATTGATTATAAATTTAAAGCTTTAGGTTTTGAATCTTCTTTGAAATCTAAAAAGAGAGTTTTTTCATGTTTCAATATTTTTTAGGTACTTTAAGTTTATGTTTAGTTTTAATCTGATACAGATTCAAATCTTAGAATTCTACCAAACAATAGATTAGGTTCAGGTTCTTTTTTATTCAATTATTCCCATTCTCTATAATCGGCTTCTAATTTTTATATTCTTTAGGTTATGCTTACTTTCTTTTTTTATAAAGTTGAAGAAAACATTTCCTTAAGAGAATTATCAGTTTCATATTTGATGAATATTTTTCTAGAATATGATTATTAACTTTGAGTAAAATCTGGCCATTCTTTATTGAAAGTGTCTGCTTTATTAATAAAATCATCATCATCATTTTCAACAATCATTTAATTAGAATTCTCAAATTGTTAAATCTTTTTTAATTTTTCTAGATATATATTTTGTTCAGCTGAACTGAAATTGTATATTTCTTCCACATTGACTTCCATTATCAATATCAAATAATACTAATTTAATTTATGGCGCAATTTTTTAAAATATATTCAATAAATAAAATAGATTTATTTGGAAAAAGCTAAAATAAAATAGAAAGCACAACATATTCATAAATTTAATACAGTAATAGTAGTTTTTATTAAAGTAATCTAGATTATAGTTTTATTGTTATATTATTAATTATGTAAAAGACAACAATATTGAATTTCTTACACAATGGATCTAATTATTATCCTTTCGGAGATAAACCTGAAAATTTCTATTCAACAGAAGGCAGATTTGTACCTTTTATGTTTGAAAGGAATTAAGTAGGAAAATTAACAAATGGTGAAATTAATTCCTTAAATTAAAATTAGAAGACTGTCAAATACAAAACCAACGAGTAAGTTAATTCTCTGTTAGCAGATACAATAATCAAATCAAAATTAAATACAGAATTAGACACACCAAAATATGATCCAATCACAAAGTATGTTACATTAATACCTACAAATAATAAGATTGATGAATTACATAAAACAATAGATGTCAAATCTTATACATTAAATCATACATCAGTTGAGAAAGGATAATAAATGAGAAAGCAATAGAAAGGATTAAATCATAAACATTAACTAATTAGTAGAAGTACTAAGACTTTAACATCACAAATCCCGGCAATAGGAATTTATGATCCTAATCCCCTTAATAGACATCTGCCAAATATTTAAATTAAATCAAAATCTATTCAAAAATTACCTGAAATTTGGGAACGTTCAAATTAAGTTACGACTCCAAAAATCAATATTAAAAATAGTGAATCTGAAATGATGTTTGCTAAGTAAATTGCTTAAATAAACAGAGAAGTTGACTCATAAATGAAAAGAAATCCTAATCAAAGATTTTCAACACAATAATTTGATGTACATGAAAACATGAATTTAGAAGAAGCTGAATAAATGAGAAATAGAATGATATAATATTTCTCAAGTGTTAAAGATAGTCTAACTAAAATTAAGAATCTCATTAATATTAAACGTTGAAAATTATAATTTTTAAAGATTTTATCTCTATATTATATCTTCTATTATTATATTATACTTTGATTGCAAATTATTAATAATTATTTATTTCATATAAAATAAACTTATTGAATAAATGTCTTCTGCCAAAGTACCTAATATAACAAGAATAAAAAGTAATCTAGAAAAGAAATTTGTTGATATTTATGGAAATAATCCTCAAAACTAAGAAATGTTAGATTATATCATTAAAGAATTAAAAGGTGAAACTGCATAAAGTGAAAAGAAAACTAAAACCTCAAAATAATAGCAAATTTACTCTGAAGATAAAGCAGTTTAATCTCTACCATAAACTGTACTTTAAAAAACAGAAAAAATAATTGAAAAAGCTAAAGATCCATCAAACTAAAATGTATAATTTACTGAAAAACCTTCTAGTCATGTATTTTAATTATTTTAAATTAGCATGGTAAATCAGCTTATGAAGTTGATTCTTTAAAATGGGGTTAATATGCTAAAGAATAAGATTTAAAGTAAAAATAGGAGGATGAAAAAAAACTTAAAATGTTAGCATAATAATAAGAAGAATTAAGAAAGCAATTATGTGAAATTAAGTTAAGAAAATTGAAAGAAAAAGATGATGAAAAATAATCTGATGTAAGATTTGCAGAATAGCAAAAATAATTGATTAAAAAGTAAGAGGAGCTTTCAAGATAGAATAAAGAAATAAAATTTAAATAAAAAAAGGAAGAACTATAATAAGTGAATGTTTACTTAGAAAATTTAAAAAAAATGGAAAAAAAAGAAAGAAAACAAAGAATAGCCGAAGAATAAAAAGAAATTGCATAAGGTATAATAATAAATATTATTCTTAGTTTTAAGAAAAATGTAGATAGATGATGAAGAGGATAAGAAGAAGAAGTTAGAAAAATAATTAGAAATGTAAAAGGTCTTAAAATAGTATGATGATGATTAAGTAAAATAAAAGCAAGCGATAGAAAAAGAAAAGGAGGAAGATAGAAAGTTAATGAAATAAAATAGTGAAATTTTAAAAAAGAGAGAAGAATAAAGAGAAAAAGAAAAAAATGATAGATTAAATAAAATAGAAGGGATAGCCAATAGATTTTAATAAACAGTTGATAAAGAATTACAAGATAGAATAAAGGAAGAAGAGAGAAAATGTCAAAAACACATGAAAGATTAAGAAGAAAGGTAAAGAAAAGAAGAAGAAAGAAAGAAAAAGTCTTTGGAAAGAAAAACAAAAGAAATGACTGATGAATTAAAAAGATAATAACAATAAAGAGATGAAGCAAAAAAAAAAGAAGCGGAAGAAGATAAATAATTAGCGAAGCAAATAAAAGAAAAAATGTTGCAAGATGAAAAATTATCATTAATAAAGAGAGAAAAATATAATGAACAGATATAATAAACGAATGAAAAAATAAAAGATTAAATGGCTGTTGAATAGAATAAAAAAAAGAAAAAAAAAATATGAAATATTTTATGTATAAGTAAACTTTAAATAAAAAAATCAAAGTATAAATTTAGTATTGATTCAGTATTTTGCTAAACTTTATTTAAGTTTTGGTGCATCAAAATTATATATTTTTACTTTATTTTCTAAACAGGCATCATCTTCTAATTGAGTCATTCCCCCTATCTCAGTCTGATAATCATTTTATTCAAAATGATGTTAAATCTCTTTTACTTTTAATGGTATATTGTTCCTGTGTTATTAATTACGCTAGCTCTTGATTTAAGAATAATTTACATAGATTATTTATCTTTTTAGAGCCTCTCCTCCAATTCCTCAAGGTCTTAAAAATCTTCCTAAAATCGTGATAACATTTAACTATTATTATTTTAAGATTATTATTAAGAGAGTATCTGTTAAATAAATTATTAAGATTGATTTCTATCTCTAAAAGATTTTGAAGATTATTATTAGATAATTGAACCTCTAGATTCAGAACTTTTATTTATTATACCTCTTTCTTATAATTTACTTAATAATTTTGATGATCCTATTCTTAAATTACTTTGAGACATTTAAGAATTTTAATAATTAATTAGAACAGATGATTATTCAGAATTAATGCAAGATGAAGAAAAGCTATTTGCACTATTACCACTTTTATTTACGCATTACTCAGATTAATGTCGACTTCTATTTCTACTCTTAGAAGTACCTTTTTATTGACAATTTAATTCTATTTTTTTTAGATCAGATATTTTAAATTATCCATCTTCTTTTTTAATTTATCCAGAAACTTATTATTTTGTTTCTTATTAAGTTTGTTCAGCTGAAATTTTTGTAGTTCCTTAACTAAATTCAGTCCAATCAAATCTTTTATCATGTTTGAATCCATTTTGAACTGAAATTTATTCAAACAAAGAATATAAATAGCGATAATCAGGGGTCGATTTATATTGTAATTGCTTCACATATTAAAAATATCTAAAATAATATAAAATGTTACTGAATAAATTAAATAGGACAATTCTTACATAATTCTTCAATAGAAATTTAAGATTTCATTTGACCAACTATTTTTACCTTTTCTTTTTCAATAACATTATGAAGAGTCTGCCAAGGTAATTTTCCTTTTAACATGTAAATAAACATGTAGCCTATTGATTCAAGATCATCTCTTCTACTTAACTCAAACCCCTTATGAGCATTAATACTAGCATATCTTGTTGTACCCACAAACGCTTTATTATCTTTGAATGGACTATAAAAATATTTTGAAAATGATATACACATGTGTACCATCTGGATTTTAGTAGAACTTTGCTATTCCAAAATCAGCGATAAAAATTTAATTTAATTCTTAATCCTTACCAGTCATAATATTTTCTGGTTTCATGTCTCTATGTATAATTCCTCTTTCAATTTATAAAATTTAATTAAGATACCTTCTATGAACCCCTTCAATTATTTAGATAACTTGCAAAGTTATATTTACAACGCATCTTAAAGAAAAAGTCTTCATTTCTTTCAAGTGATAAGATAGATCTCTTCCTAATAATTGCATAACCAAGCTATTGTGACCATGATCATTTCCTGCCCATATAATTTTTGGAATTCCTATTTAAGTACACATCAAACCTGGAAGCTTTCTCAATTCATTCAACATTTAAATCTCCCTATCTAATCCTATAGCGTTCATATCATCTTTTTCAACTTTCATTGCAACATATTCTTTAGTTTATAAATCTTCGCATAAAAACACAACTCCAAATGAACCTTTGGACATAAGTTTATAGTATTAAATACCTGCGCTTATTTTCTTCTTTATATAGAATCTATTATTGAATAACTTTTCACTTTCAATTTATATGAAATTCATTCTTTTTTAATAAATAAATTTTTGGAGAATTCGTAAATGAAAGTTGTGATAATTTATATTAAATCAAATATCATTTTATATACAATGTATTGGTTTCATTAATTTTTATATTTAATTATTTTTTATTGTAAGTAGTGAATTATAGATTCGTATTTATCAGTCAACTCTTAAATTTTTTATAGATGGAACTGAATTGGTATCATCTCCAGAGTTTAACTTTATGTAGTCATCGAATTGAATTCGTTTAATTAAAGCTATGATTAAGTTTAAAATTATTATTAAACAGACAATTAAGTTTGAAGTTTAGATTATTATCTAATAATTTTGATTTATTGAAATTATTATCCAAATTACAGTGTACCTAAAGCATCATCTATTTTAGTAGGGGCTAAACAAAGTATAATTTTTAACTATGCTTATCCCAAAAAAGAATTTGATAATAAATTAGTCAATTTAGATTCTCTAAAAGGTATGTATATTCTTTGCATCTAAATTATTTTTTTTTGTTTTTATTAATCAAGCAAACATTAGATACATCTGTGTAATGTAAAAATGCTCTTATTGTGAGTAACCATCTATCCTGAATTTCCTTTGCTTACGGATCCAATTTAAATAATTTTAATTTTTGAATTCTGTAAAGTTTTAATTTCAATAACAACATGAATAATGGAATCGTTAAGGTTTTGAATAACTTCACATAATTGTTTAGCTAAATCTATCCATTTGGACTATCCATTGGTTGTTAAATGATTAATAATTTATTCATTATCAATAATAAAAATTTTCAACTCTGATATTTATTTTTATTAGTGTAATTGCTAAGTATATAAATTCTAATTATTTACATGAATCATTCTTATGGCAATGCCACTTTCCAAGCTAATTAAACCTTATTTTAATGTAAATAATGAGCCAATAGTACCAAAAAGAGAATAAGTTTTGCCGCTTCCTTGTGAACCATATATGATTAAATTTGAACTTATTCCACTCAAAGCCTCTTAGACAATAGGATGGACAACACATAAATAAATTTATTCTTGATCACACTGTGAATCAAAAATTTGATTAAATTCATACTATTATTCGTAGAGATTGGATTTAGATATAACTATTTATTTCTAAATAAATAATTGGTAGTATTCATACATCTGTGAAGGAAGATATACAACTCTCTTCTTTGTCTTAAGCATTTAGATAGGCTTTGATGCGAACTGCAACATATATTTAATTATAATTAATCATAATTTCATTTAGGTTGAATGGAAGCTAATTATTATTTATAATATTCTATGAGTTCTTGCCATTTAGCTTTATTTTTATCTAAATTTTAAAAGAAAGGTTCATAAGCTGGTAGGAATCCCAAGATACAAGCGAAAGTAGGTTTCACGACATAATCAATAAATCTGATATGATATAAATTGATACCCCACTTAAGCTTCTGCAGTATTGGTTGTGTAACGATTACATAGATATGAAATTGGTAACCCAAGTTCTCTTTCTTTATCTCCTTGTAACCAGAATTCAGTTAAGACTTTTTCTGTCCATTATTTGTAGATTTCAAAGCTTTTAGTAGGATTAGAAACATCTGAAGAATGAACGATCAAATCCATTAATCTTTATTTATCTTTACCATTAGGTTCAAAATCAGCTATTAATAATATTAATTATATAATATATACGGGCAGCAATTCTACTGTTTGTGATGGCTAATTCTGAAGCATGATGAGCCATGTCAGTGGAAAGTACCATTAAGATAATAGATTCTCTAATACGTCTATATTTTTAGAATTATAGATTTTCAAAAATGTTAACTTTTTGATTTCCCCAAGCAATTTTAAAACATTAAGAGGGATGAAACATTTCCAATACGCTTTAATCATTGTAAGTTAAAGCTAATTCATTTCTACTATTGATTAAGAATGCATTGGTAAGCCCTGGATGTCCATAATCATGAATAGCTCCGGCAATCAATACACAAGCAATGTCCTATTCATCTAATTACCCAATTTCAATAAATTTGCATTTGCTTATAAGGAAATTACAAGTTTATGCAACATCTTGAGCATGAACTTTATTATGATATGGATTATCATGATATCCTTTCATTACTTCTTCAAAATAACCCCTTACTACTTTAGGTTTAATTAAGAACACATCAAAGAGATTATAATTTTCAAAGAAAAACAACATCAAATTGACCAATCCTTCTCCCCCACTTAATTTATCACATTCAAATGGATCTATATAGAGATCATCATGCTATTTAAATAAAATATCCAGTAACTATTTGATATTTATAAAAATTTTTACTCTCTTTGGGATATTCAGCTTTTAAAAATTTGCCATAACTTTCTTTTATTGTAGTTGTTATTACTATTATTCATTAGTTACAATTCGTTTGATTTCGGTTCTGCCTTATTAACTTTGATTGAGCCAAGCCATAGCCTAAATAATTCCAGTTATTGGATTACTTCAGCATTATCCTCATCCAATTTACCCATTTAATACAATTGATTGTTTCCTATCTTATCAATACAATAATCTATGTCTAATTTCATATTTTCATCTTCCAAGACTTCTTTCAATTCAGCCAAGAATCTCACTATCTTTTCTGCGGGTGTAGATATAGTAGAAATTGTTGCCAATCTTCTAAATGTCTATGCTTTCCTTATTAAAAGAAAGATTCTTAAAAATCGAAAAACTGCCTAAATTACTTTAATAACATTAGATGTCTTCTAATCTGCCAATTCAAATATAACAAAAAAAAGTGACAATAAGATAATTAGAGTGTCTAAAATCAACCATTTATCTTTGTAATATTTCTACATTATTATTAAATTATACCTTTATACCCCAAGCATATAAACCAACAAATATTTCTAATATGAAAATTATCAATATTCCAAGTTCAATCCAACTTAAAATTGATGAAATTTTATTGAACTCTGCTTCATCCAACAATTCTTCAAGAGCCACAATCACAAATATTAATATTGCATATGCTCCAACTAATGCAATGATACTAATTGTAACAATCTTCGAATTAACATAATCTTAAAACTTCTATTCAGATTCTGAATACAATCTAACTGCTCACTGAATTCAATTTACCTCATGTTCAGCTTCTTTCTCGGAACCTCTATCAATTTCTCATTTCTCTTTGTAGAATCTACTCTCATCGTCTATTTATCAGGATTTTCAAGACTTCTTTATTAAGAATCTGATCTTGATGGCAACATTTGCAATTATTCAATTAAATAAATTAACTTATTCAATACAGTTTCTTATAACAATTATTGTATATTATTTACATTCATAAATTCTTTATCAAATTGGTTTAACTTCAATATAATTCATGTCCTTCATTTCTATTTTTCTTATCTTTATATTTAATACCTTTATTAGCTTCTTCACCAAATATCTGTTACATTTAATTATTAAATGAAATTATCTCCTATATGTTAAACTCTCATCCACTCTAAATCTAACCCATTATCTCCTATTGTACAAAACATTAAAAAGAACAGTCTACTTAACAATGAAAATGAAAAAAAAGACCTCAAGTAAATTACTTTGTTAATGTTTTTAGCTATCAGTTAGAACTAAGAATCAATTAATTAGTTGAGGAGAACAAAAAGGTTAATCTCTAATTGAACGATAAAATTAAAGAAAATGAATTGTTAAGATCCTAAATCATGGAATAAGAAATTGAAATCAATAAATTAAAAGGTATAGAACATGAACTTATATTGGTTAAAGAAATATCTGATATTCGATTTTAAGATGTAATATATCATCAATAAATTAGTATGATATATCCAAATAATAAGCAGAACAATTAAATCAAGAATTAACAGCCTTATAATAGGTATTCTAAGATTCTTCAACAAAGCTCAAATTATAAACAGAAGAAATATAATAATGGAAAATTAGATATGCTGAATTAGATTCTGCAAGGCAATAATAATTAAAAGGTAGAAATATTTAATCAACTTCTAGAGCTGAAATAATAACTTCATAAATAATAGGATGAAGATGAGCAATAATCAAATTTTCTATAAACTATTACAGAAATGGAAAGAACTATCTATTCTTTATAAGATTAATTAAAATAGAAGGAAGAGTCTTTAAAATTAGCTAATGAAGATATTAATTCATGGAAGATTAAATATTCAAAGGCTTAAGTCTAATCAAAATAAGTTGCTAACGACAAGGAAAAGGATTAAAAAATTTAGATGTTAATAGATGAAATTGAACGATTAAATGATTTATTAGGTTAAAGAAATGATGAAATTTATACACTCAAAAGATTGGCTGAAAAAACTGCTTAGCTAATTTCCATTAGTTAAAGAGCTTAAAGATCAGCTAGTGGTCAAAAATATAAATGACTTTTGTATTATTCTAAATTTATTATTTAAATTTATATTAAATTAATATTCATTTATTTTTTATTATATTAAAAAATTTATATTTTAATTTGCATAATTATTAAACTTTAGGAAGAAAGTGAAACCAAAGATGAAGTTTCTTAATTAAGTGAAGAAAAAAGAAGACAAAGTTGTAAAAATGAATAGGAATAAAAAATAAAGGCATAATAAGTTTTATGATTGATAATGGCATTGATGATTTAGCAATCTAGTATTCAAATATCATTTCTTTAAAAGGATGATGGAATCAAAGATCTGGAGTTTCAAAATTCCAACATTAAATGTTAGAAAAAAAAATTTATATTATATGCATTGTAGAAGACAATTATTAAGTTTTTAAAGATTGAAATAAATAAATAAAATTTTCCATAATTAGATAAATTAAAAAGTAAAAGTAAAGAAAATATTTCTAAATCTCTACTCTTTAAGAATTATTGAATATATGCAATTAATCAAAAGAATCTACAATAATATTAGATACCATAAAATTTCTTACCCTCATAATCTTTCTTTAGAAATAATCTATTTGCCTTATAGAGAGATTTCTATGTAATTTTTAGGATTATTTTTTGAAAGAACCTTCTGAATGGTTATGAAAAGTAGAAAAAGCTAAAAATAATTAGAGCTTTTATGAAGATCTTGAAATTAAATCCAAAAGATTTCTAAGTTTAGCCCAAATTAAATGTAACATATGAAAAAATTTTAACTAAGGGTATTGCAAGGATTTTAATTTTAAGATTCTATTTTTGAATTATTAAAGAGAAGGGAGCTTGAAACTTATCTATTTCAACATAATTAAGCGAATTTAATTTGGAAATTAAAACTAATAGGACTCAATATACTTTTTGTATTTTCAGAAAGCTGGAAATGATTCAAAAATAATAAAGAATCACTTCTTTCTATAGAAAAAAAAAAAAGATTATTTGAAATAGAAGGATTTAGACAAAATAATATAAAAAATATTTTTGGAATGCAAACATAAGATAATTATTTGAAATATTGGTTCAAAGAAAAGCCTGATTGAGATGAACCATTTATATATATTGTACGATTGTATGTATCAATTTCATTGTTATGCTGTCGTTTCTGTTTATTCTTCAGCTCTTCTTGGTCCTCTGTTTCCTCCTCTACCAAATGGTTTATTGCCTCTTGGACCTCTTCTTTCAGGAACATCTTCTTCGAACTTTTTATCAGCCTTCTTGAAAGTAGCTGGAATAACATCTTCGACAATGCCTTATTGTTAGATGATTTCATTATACCCAACTTATCTCTGACATATTTGACTCCTTCAGCCTTGAGATAATAGTAGTAGTATTGCCATGAGAATACTAAATCAACTAACTTCTTGTCTCTCAAACTTCTCAAGAGCATCCAAACTTCCAAGTTTTTTACTCCTGTTTCAGCATGAACTGGGAGGGCCATGTCCTTATGAAATCCTATAAAATATTACCTTCTTTATGACAATAACACCTTCCAATAACAAATATTCATAGACCTTTCTTCTGTCTTATCTCTTGACTTGAACCATGCAAAATAATGGATTTGATTTATTTTAAATTTTAAAATAAAAATAAACAAATACACTATTAATGCTTTTCTTATATCTTTTTCTTTTATCCATACCTTTTCTCAAAGAATACCTCTCTATCTAACTCTGTATCAATTAATCATTCATCAAATTACATCTTAAGCCTTCATCTTAGTTCTCAGATTTTTTATAATCCATTCATTGATCAACTTTAAATTATAAAATTGTATTTAAATCTCAACTCAAATAATTTCAATTTTTACAATTAGAATACAAATATTATCCCATCCATTCATGGTTATTATCATCAATATTATGTAAAGTTATGGGAAAATAATAGAATATCAAAGTTTATTGATTAGTGTATAATTTCTTATTAATAATGAAAAGAGAAGATAGTAAAATGATTTTATAAATTTTCACTTTTTGAACTTAAAATGATTTGAATTTTTCACTTTTTAATATATTTTAGTTCAATGATGAAAAATATTGGTAAATAAGTGATAGTATCAAATATTTTAGATGCATTTGTATTAGGATTATTATGTAATAAAATTAATTATTTTTGATAAAGATTTAAAATTTTGCATTCACATNTAGAAGGATTTAGACAAAATAATATAAAAAATATTTTTGGAATGCAAACATAAGATAATTATTTGAAATATTGGTTCAAAGAAAAGCCTGATTGAGATGAACCATTTATATATATTGTACGATTGTATGTATCAATTTCATTGTTATGCTGTCGTTTCTGTTTATTCTTCAGCTCTTCTTGGTCCTCTGTTTCCTCCTCTACCAAATGGTTTATTGCCTCTTGGACCTCTTCTTTCAGGAACATCTTCTTCGAACTTTTTATCAGCCTTCTTGAAAGTAGCTGGAATAACATCTTCGACAATGCCTTATTGTTAGATGATTTCATTATACCCAACTTATCTCTGACATATTTGACTCCTTCAGCCTTGAGATAATAGTAGTAGTATTGCCATGAGAATACTAAATCAACTAACTTCTTGTCTCTCAAACTTCTCAAGAGCATCCAAACTTCCAAGTTTTTTACTCCTGTTTCAGCATGAACTGGGAGGGCCATGTCCTTATGAAATCCTATAAAATATTACCTTCTTTATGACAATAACACCTTCCAATAACAAATATTCATAGACCTTTCTTCTGTCTTATCTCTTGACTTGAACCATGCAAAATAATGGATTTGATTTATTTTAAATTTTAAAATAAAAATAAACAAATACACTATTAATGCTTTTCAGATATCTTTTTCTTTTATCCATACCTTTTCTCAAAGAATACCTCTCTATCTAACTCTGTATCAATTAATCATTCATCAAATTACATCTTAAGCCTTCATCTTAGTTCTCAGATTTTTTATAATCCATTCATTGATCAACTTTAAATTATAAAATTGTATTTAAATCTCAACTCAAATAATTTCAATTTTTACAATTAGAATACAAATATTATCCCATCCATTCATGGTTATTATCATCAATATTATGTAAAGTTATGGGAAAATAATAGAATATCAAAGTTTATTGATTAGTGTATAATTTCTTATTAATAATGAAAAGAGAAGATAGTAAAATGATTTTATAAATTTTCACTTTTTGAACTTAAAATGATTTGAATTTTTCACTTTTTAATATATTTTAGTTCAATGATGAAAAATATTGGTAAATAAGTGATAGTATCAAATATTTTAGATGCATTTGTATTAGGATTATTATGTAATAAAATTAATTATTTTTGATAAAGATTTAAAATTTTGCATTCACATTATAAAACTCTAAGATCCTTAAACATCTTGATAGAATAATATCAGATAAAAATTTTGATAGTAAATTAATATACTGAGTCTTTAAGTTGGAATGAATTTCAAAGAAGATATTTTTAAAGAATCTGCAATATATAGTTGTTATAATATTTAAAATAAAAAAGTTCCATAGATATTTTAATTGATTAAATATTAAGTAGTAAAACCTCTAAATGAAATAAGTTTCTTATATTAAAAATTTTAAGTTTAAAGCAGTTACATTTTGTGAGGGTGTATAAATAGAGAAAGGAAGAGAATTTGATTAATATTTTAAAATTTTCATAACTATTTGTTGAAAATAGATGGGAATGAGATATGAAAATAGGATAATGATTTGAAAATATTTTTGGAAATTGGAATAGAACCAATGAGAATAATTAATAATAGATTGATTAAGGTGGAAAAGGCATTAAAGAATAAGTGATAAAATGAAAGGATAGTGTGGTGTAAATAAAAAAATGAAGATTAGTATAGTTAGGGAAAGTAAGTAAAGTAATAGAGAGTAGAGTTTAGAAAGTGGATTGAAAATTAAATTGGGAAATAGATAATTGAAAGATAAAGAAATGATTGGTCCATAAGAATAGAGTGATAAAAAGTGATATAATAATAAATTTAATATATAAAGATATCTAACAACCTACAATGGATGAAAACAATAATCAAGATGGGTATAATGTTGAGTTAAATTAAGTGAACAAATAGTAATATTTGAAGAGAAGATTACAAAGGTGAATGGAGAGGTGGCAATTAAACGTTATCAAAGAGGGAAGTTTTTAGGGAAAGGAGGATTTGCTAAGTGTTATGAAGCCACAAATTTAGAGAATAAGAAGGTGATGGCTGCAAAAATAATAGCAAAATCATCTTTGACAAGAAACAGAGCCCGTTAGAAGGTATTTATGAAAATAATTGAGTTAGCTTGTGTCAGAAATCAAAATACACAAAAGTTTATAGAATTCGAATGTCGTCTAATTCGAACACGTCTTTGAAGACCATGAAAATGTTTACATATTATTGGAACTATGTTGCAATCAAACGCTGAATGAATTAATAAAAAGAAGAAAAAGATTGACAGAAATAGAAGTATAGTGTTATGTAGCACAGATGATAAATGCGTTAAAATACTTACATAACAATAATGTGATACATCGAGAGTAATTTTGATATAGAAAGTAGTTTAAAACTGGGAAATTTATTTCTGAATAAGAACATGGAATTGAAATTAGGTGATTTTGGTTTGGCAACAAAATTAGAATTTGAGGGAGAGAAAAAAAGAACAATTTGTGGAACTCCAAATTATATAGCTCCAGAGGTATTAGATGGCAAAGTGGGACATTCATTTGAAGTAGATGTATGGTCACTTGGAGTTATAATTTATGCAATGTTAATTGGTAAACCTCCCTTTGAAACTCCTGATGTTAAATCAACATACAAAAAGATAAAAATGAATTAATATTCATTTCCAGATTAAGTTCAAATATCAGATAGTGCTAAATAACTTATTTAAAAGATATTGGTTCTTGATCCAAGTAAAAGACCTACATTAGATGAAATAATGGCACATTCTTTTATGAATTCAGGTGGTACTATTCCAAAGTAAGTTAATTAATCAAATATTATTAGAGTATTACCTTTATCTACTTTAGCTTGCCCTCCATCAATTTAATATAATAAATAATTTTAATAACCAAGTAGAGCATCAGAAACTGCTCAATCAAATCCTAAGATGGCTACAGTAAGACCAAATATTTCATCTGAAAGACGTATTTTAGTATTCATATTTATTAGAAGATCAATTTGGTGCTACTTCTGGATTAAACACTGGATATAATGGAGGATATAATAGTAGTCAAAGACCATCTTCTTAAAAGCCATAAGACTTTAAATAATCCGTTAGCACTAAATCCCTCAATCAGTTTTATACTAGTGGTACCATACAAAATTAATAAAATACAAAATAAAAAAATGAAATCTTTGTGAGAAGATGGGTTGATTATAGTAGTAAATATGGACTTGGATATTTACTTAGTAATGGTGCAACTGGAGTCTTTTTTAATGATTCAACCAAAATTATATTAGATCCTAAAACTTAAGAATTTGAATATTTGGAAAGAAAAGGCACTGATAAACAGGATGCCGTTGAAAAATATTCAATAAATAGTTATCCAAAAGAATTACAAAAAAAAGTTACTCTCCTTCAACATTTTAAATCTTATTTGGATGCTGATTCTAAAGCAAATGCTCAAGGTGAAATCAATGAATATGATCCTTTCTAATCTGTTTATGTAAAAAAATGGATGAAAACAAGACATGCTATTATGTTTAGACTTTCTAATAAGATAGTTTAAGTATTATTCTCTTCTCTCTTTTTAGGTAAATTTCACAGATAAAACTGAAATCATCTTGTCCTCAGAAAATAAATTAGTCACCTATGTTAATAAATTAGGAGAAAGAAGTCATTATCCATTAGCTACTGCACTTGATAGTTAAAATCATGAAATGGCTAAAAGATTAAAATATACAAAAGAAATCCTTACACATATGCTTAATGGAAATACCAATGCCGTAGATTTAAAGAATCCAGAATGATCACTATATATTTGAATGTGAGATGATATAAATCATATAATATTTAAATTAATATATTTCAAATATGTAAAGTAGAAGCAGTAGCGAAGACAAGAAAGAAAAAAAAAGAAAGCGAAGTAGATCATAAAAAAAGGATAAAAAAAAATTAAAAAGTAAAAAATCTAAGGAAAGAAAGTCTAAGGAGAGAAAAAAGTCAGAGAAAAAAAAATCTAGTAAGAAATCAGAGAAGAAGAAAAATAGAGACAAAGAGAAAGAAAAGGAAAAAGAGAAAGAGAGTTAAAAAGAGAAAGAGAAAGAAAAAGAAAAAGATAAAGACAATAATAAGATGGATGCATAAAAATAAATTGAACATGGTGAAACAAAAGAAGTAAAAGAAATAATATCTCTTCTTTAGCAAAGAATTGCGAGATTAAAAAAAGAAAGAAGAAAAAGATCAAGATCTAACTCTGCCGTCAAACATTATTAAAAACAAATTCTAGCCAACAATCCCGTAGCTAAATCAAGTAATCAGTGTTTTTCATATACTATTTAGATGCTCTAGGCTATGATAAATAAGATAGCTTTTGGGATGGATTTACTTGGGTACCTAAAACTAATTTGCACGATAAAGTTAGAGAAGATAAAGAAAAAGTAATGTCATTGACTAGTAGAATGAGAAGAATTCAGATATGTAACATACCAACAGGTTTAACAAATCGAGATCTATATGCTGAATTGAGTAGATTTATGAATAGAAATTACTTAAATGACGTTGGAAATGCTAAACCAATTTTATATTGTCATCTCAATGAAACAGACCGAACATGCACTTTGGAACTATCTTCCGTTGAAGAATCTAATCGAATGCTAAGATTAGAAGATATCAAGTTACTGGATGAATCATGTAAAATATTAAGACTTGGTGATAGTCTTTATGGTATCAAATAGAATCATATTTTATTTAGGTTAATCTGTCAATCAATCATAATTAGTATAATAAGCTCATAACATGGCTTAAGCATAAGCAGCCGCCTATCTTGCTTTAAAATCTTTCGGTTATGCCAGAGGTTAGAGGGAAGAAGATGAAATTCTGGCTTAGGCAGGTATCCCATCCAGGATTATAAAGGTTGGAAATTTCTTAAATGTTGCTATGGCAATTAATCTAAATTAAAATGAATGGAATGAAATGCGAGAAGATTTAATTGAAGGTTTTTCATAATGTGGTCATATAGAAGATGATTTTTTTGTAAAACCTTATTAGTCAGGTCTTGGGGGTATTTGCTTGTATTAAAACTTTTAGCGGAAGCAGGTTCTCTTTTTCTAGTTTATACAACTATTGAGGATGCTTAACGCACAGTTATATCAATGTATGGTAGAACATATAATTAGAGAGCACTAAAAATTATTTTTATTAATGAATAAACCTATATTAGAAGTTATATTCCATTAAAATTAAAGTAATAACCTGAGTCTGAAGAAGTAAGAATGAATCAAGAATAAGACAACTATGATAATGAACATTTTGAGAGTTCAGAAGACTATTTAGAATAGATGGATAATGGAGTTTTAGAGAATAGTAATAAAGATAAAGAAAATTGATATTTTATATATTTAATATTTTGTGGGGGATAAATTATATTGTCAATTAAGTTTTCGTTTAATTTTTAATTTAGGTTCAATATCATCTTCAATTTCATCATTTTAATATTTATTAATTTCATGATCATGATCATCATTATTCATGTATTTAAGTTTTTTTATTTTTTTAAATTCTTATGGATTTTCTTCATCTTCTTAAAAAACATCATTCTATTCAATATCTATATGTTCATCAATTTTCAAATCCATATCATTAACCTCTAATTCCTTTCCATCTTATAAGTAATCAGATTCAGAATCAAAATAAACAACATTTTTTTTTCTTTCTCTTTAACCTCGACCATATTCTTTAAATTCTTAAGGTTCATTTTATTTAGAAGTAATCCATTCTGGTACTTCATCATCTTGAATTAATCTATAATTATAATATTAATCATCTCTATTTTAATTGAAGTTCTTATATATTAATTTTTCTTCTTCATATCTTTATCTATCAAGTTCATTAAACATTTCAAATTCTTCTTCACTTCTTGCTATCCATTCATTTATTTAAGTATCATCAGGTATATCTTCAGCCTCAAACAAATCCACTTTATTTTTTTATCTAAAAAAATCTTATAATCTTTCTCTTCTTTCTTAATCCGTAGATCTCTAATTATATAAACCAGCCTAAATAATAATTGCATCCAAACCCATTTTGTGTTCTGCCTTACTAAGAATATTTCCCTCAATTTATGTTGCAGTAATTAACCTTAAAACTCTTACTTCATTTTTCTATCCAATTCTATAAGCTCTATCTTAAGCCTATAAATCCATCATAGGATTCCAATCACTATCAAATAAAATCACAGTATCAGCAGATTATAAATTTAATCCTAAACCACCAGCTCTTGTACTTAATAGAAATATATTATAAATAGAATTTTCTTAATTAAATAACTTAATTCTGGCTTCTCTGTCCTCTGATTTTGTAGATCCATCTAAACGTAAATATCTCCAACCTCTATATTCAAAAAATGCTTCCATAATATCCATTAATTATGTCATTTAACTAAATATTAATAGTCTATGTTTAAAGTATAATAATTTAGGTATTATTCTATCTAATAACTCAAATTTTCCACTTGATCTCCAAATTTCATCTGTAATTCTATTCATATCTAAATTTAACATGAATAGATATGGATGATTGCATATTTTTCTTAACTACATCATTAAATTTTATAATGCTTATGATCCACTTTTTCCAGATTATTAATCAAAAGTCATTACACCTCTTTAATTTATTTAGTCATAAATCTTTTTTTACCAAGCTGATAATTTAATCTTAATAACATATTCTGTTTTACGAGGTAATTCTTTTTCTACATCCTTCTTTACTCTTCTTAAAAGAAATGGCCTAAGTACTTAATGTAATCTATTAATTATTAATAATTATTCTTCTTCATCTAATTAACAATCTTTTTCACTTGCTCCCATTTTACTTAAAGGCATTTAAAACCATTTCTCAAAATCTTCACATGAAGAAAATACTTTTGGTAATAAGAAATTCAATAATGCCCATAACTCTGCTATATTATTTTATAAAGGAGTTCCAGTTAATAATAATCTCCTCTCACTTTAATATTATTAACCTAAAATCATTGCAAATTTGCTTCTAGAATTTTTCATTCTATGTCCTTCATCAACTATTATATATTTCCATTCATATTTAGATAATGCTAATCTATCTTTCAATACATACTCATATGTAGTAAGACATATATTCCATATTGTTGTTCTCATTTATTTAGAAATCTCCTTTCTAATTTATGGTGAACCTTTATAAATAACTTTTTTTATCGTTGGTGCCCATTTCTCAAATTCATTAGCCCAATTACTTAATGTTGATAATGGAACTATAATAAAAAAAGGACCAAAATTTTTCTTAGTTTCTATCAAATAACATAATAGAGAAATTGTTTATATTGTTTTACCCAAACCCATTTCATCTGCCAATATACCATTCAAACTATTATTATATAAACTCACTAACCAATCTAAACCTTAAACTTAATAATGTTTTAATTATCCTCCTTCTAATAACATAGGTTATTTAGTAACTATTTCTTTTATTCGATGTGTTATGTTATAATATACTTTATTTGCTTAATTAAGTTCATAACCTAAATTATTATTTGAATTGTTATTCTCCACTACTTCATCTTCTTCTGTAATTTCTTCACCCTTCTATATCTTAACCTTCGCACCTATATCTTTTAAAAATTAATCTGTTTATCTTAAAATAGATACAACTCTTTCCTTTTTAGCTTCATCAAGCTTCTCTAATTTTTAGATATAAGTGACCATATCCCCTTATTTAATATCTTTCATTCTCATCTATTTATCTATCTACTATTATTTCATATCTTTCTATTCCAAAACTACTTTAAATTATACACTTCTCTTTCTAGCATGCTTATATTTCTTTCTATGAAACTCCATAAACTCAATCTGATGTGCAAATATTGCTTACATAAATTCCTTCTATTTTATTCTTTTCCTTCTTGCTTATTCATGTCTTATCATACTTAATTCAAACTTATCTGATAGTTTGTTTTCTGGTCTTCTTTATGGTTTATCTCTTTTAAAATAATTTCTATCAAGTAACAACCTCTCTAACATTCTTGATTATAAAACTGTTTAATTTTCTTCTTATAAAAGTGGATTCAAAATAGCATCTTTTATTTTTAAATAAAAATCCTTAGAATTGATTAAAAGCAACTCAATTTTTAAACTCAAATATTTTGGATCATTTTAATGTGTCTTTTTAAGATCCTACTCAATATCTTATCTTCTCTTCTCTATATATCCTTACATTCGATCACTAAACATCCATATATCCTAAATTAATAATCAATATATATGCTTACTTCCTAATTAAGATCCAATTTAAGTTTTGGATAGCGGTCTCGGAACATCGATTTTAGTTCCTCATTTTTATCAATTTTATCATGAAAATATCGAATGGAATTCTAAAATATCTTTTCCTTCTCAACTTCCCACTACTCTTTCGAATAAGGCAACATCTATTTTTCATTTTCAATATGTTGATTTCTAAAGAGTCACTATCAATCTTACCTTTAAACTTGTTTGTAGCAAATCATTTGCTACCTCAGTATGTATACTTATTTTTCATCTAAATTCTAAATAAATATAAATGAATATTTACATTATCTGCTTCTTATTACATTTTAAATGATTTCTTTAAATCTAATGCTAAAAATTTTATATTTTATGTATAAATGATCATCATTTAATACTTTCAAATTTAAATTTCCACACCAAAAAATGCACTCAAAAACTTTTCCTTATTATCTTTTTCTACAAAAATAGTTCTATTGATTGTAATTTTATCGTTAAATTATTGAAATTATAAATGCACATCATATATTTTTTGCAATTGGTATTAAAAATTTAGTATCATAAATTATTCTCACTCTAAGATTTATATGTGATTTTCATAATTTATTAATTTAAACCATATAAAACTATCAATCTCAATTAACAATTTAAATAAATTAATATTTTAGTATTTTATTAATTCTATTAAATAATAAAGCATATCATTTAAATTCAATCTCAAATACATACAAATCTCATTATCTGTAATTTTTTGATTTATATAAACCTATAATAATTAGAAAATTGATTATTTAATAAAATAATTTTATTTTCAAATGATCTTTTTCGTATTTAACTAAATTATATCTTATATTTATTTTTTATAAATCAAATCTCAATTTTTTTTACTTTCTCTCCAAGATCTGGAACTTCTTAAGCAATAACTTTAAGTTTATCTTTATTTTAGAGCAATTCTACAGTGTTCATTTTATTTGTTTTCTTTTTAATTTTACCTTATTTTTCTTCAATTTAACTTTTTAATATATCAGCATGTCTTAAATTTACCTCTTTTATATACTAATAATAAGTTATAAATTGAATACTTCAAATTTTTTTTTTTCATGATCATTATAATTATGTAAATCTTATTTCCAAATTTCAGCTTATCTTTTATTTAACTCTTCTTCCTCTTCTTATCTTCTCTTTTTTTCTTCTATTTAAGAATTTAAAAATTATCTTAATTATTATCTTTAATCTAATTGTTTAATTTTTTTTTTTTCTTCTTCAATTTTTTCTCTTTCATTTTGAGCCAAAATATTTCTTAACATTTTATCATCTTCTTGTTTAATCAATTCCTTCTAATCTCTTACAACACCTTCAGCAAACATTCCCATTACTTTTTTCATCTTTTCTTCTCTCTATTTTCTTTCCAAATCTCTTTGTTCCTCTAATTAATTTTACAAATTAATGTATTATTATTACATTTGAGTCTCAGCTTCTTTCTCTAATTTAGCATCTTCTAAAGCTTTTTTTCTATATTCATCATTTTCCTTCATCATTCTTAAAAATCTTTCTCTCTCTTTATTTCTCCTATTCAATTATTCTTTCTATTCTAATTCTAATTCCTCTCTAATCTTTTTAACAAGCAAACTATCAAGCTCTTTCTCTTTTTTCTATTCTAATTTTCTAAATAATATTTTTCAATATTTCCATACTTTCTTTATAATTCATCTCTAACCTATTTATCTCTCTATAATTTTTCATTATATATTTTGCTTTTAACATTATCTTATTTTTCTTTTTCTCTTTGATCATAAACATTTAATTAATAATGATGCAATTTAACATAGGCGTCTTCATCTTAAACTTCTTCATTTTTTTTATTTTATTTTTCATTTATCTACCTATCCAATTCTGATTTTATTTTTTTTTTAAATTCTTGCTTTCTTACATTTTCTAATTCCTTTTCCTTTTTATATAATTCAGTATCAAACTTAACTAAAGTTGCCCATTCATCATCTTCATCACCTTCCATCATATACACTGATTTTGGAGCCTTATGACATCATACATATAAATGGATACTTTTGATGATATTTCTGATTGTACATCTTAGCTATATTAATAGGATTATTATTATTGCAATTATTGTTATTAATGCTATTAATTAGATTTTCTAGATTGACTACTTGGTGGCTTTTGTTATGGAACAGCTTATCCTACCTATTATTAAGTGACTTAAATTATTCACATCATAATAATACTTTATGATTCCTATATTGATTTCTCAGCTTATGATTGTGTTGTAGACCCTACATTTTGAATTGCTTATTAAACTTATTATTTTAGAGTTTTCAAAGTTACATCAGTGACTCTAGTTTTTGTAAAATAATCATTCACTATTTGAGTAATAATCTATTCTCTAACTTATAAGTTACTTATATTTTGTTTTTGTTATTCTTACCGAAATCCTTTATAAATCTTTCCAAAACTGTTTGCTTTAATTATTCCCTTTATTACTATATTAGTGCCTTATCAATAGCATCTTTCTTTTTTGACTCATTAGTCACTGTGCTCATTATAATATTTAATAAAATTAATTATTAACTCATCTATTTTTACATCTGTTTATATCAATTTAAAAACTACTTTACATGACTCATATAAATCAATTCAAATAACACATTAAGTTTAAGTACTTTCTTATAGAATGAATCATCTTATTTTTAAAATATTATTCGAACATACATATATTTAAGAATATCAATAATTTTGTATTTATTATGCATTTCTTAATTTTTCAAAATTAAATCTTCTAATACATGTAAAAGATTTGATTAGAGCGATATTTCATTAACTAAAAATAATAATATATCTCTGAATTTAAAAAATTATTGATATTTATTTATAAATTGTTTGTTAAATGGAATAATTTGATTCATTCAATCCTGTTAATATTAGAAATATTCTTGATAAGATTGAAAATATTGGTTTCATTAGCTCAAATAAATAAATTTGCTTATATGCCAACATCTTGATGATATGTCATGATATAATCATTTAATTCATTAAATCTAAATCATAATCTCTAATTTGCTTCTCTATTGAATATACAGTAAAGTATCCACAATTATCATATTAGTTTTAAAAAAATGAATCGAAAAGTAAAATTTATGAAATTTTTAATTCTTACCTTCATTCGTTAGAGTAAAATAATTCAAAATTATCATCTATATTTTTATATTTATTCTAAATTGACTAATGTAGAAATTTAGCTTTACTTTATTAAAAGTCTAATTAAATAATCAGAGATTTTACAAAAATAAAATAGGAATAATTATTAGATGATATAACATTAAAATTTAACGATATAATAACAATTTCTTAATTAATTTTTAATTAGATTACAGTTGATGAAATTATTCAATTATTAACCAATGAAGTGATGAAAAATACTTAAACTCTTAATCCTCTACTGGAGTATAAATTATAGTTTTTATCCTTTTAGAATCTCTGCAAGCCATTTAATTTAACTTTTACTCCTTTACAATTAGATCTATCAAAATTTTAAGCCTTTTTCTAGTCCAGACAGAAGTTCTCACAAAGACACAAAATGTTATAGTCCTAAATTACAAGGTTTTTATCAATGGGGTTCCCCATTCTTTAGTGAAAATGAATTTTAGAAGAATCCATTGAATCAAAAATTACTAGAAGATTTAGAACAATAAGCTAAAAAATATCCTAAACAAGATATATATGGAGTTAATTTAATTACTATAATCACCTAACACCAAATGAAGCAAGATCTGATTTTGAATCTAAAGATTCAGTTGTTTCTCATTTTATCAAAATGAAAAGCTATGAAAATTCAAAAAAATAAAGTCCTTCTTTGATAAATTATACCAATAACAGTTTTAGTAAAAAGAAATAAGATCCAAGTATTTTAATAATTAAATTTTTATAGTAAAATAAAGTGGTTGCATATATAATAATGAAGTTCCTCAATCTCAATAAGAATTATAAAAAATAATCCAAATTTATTAAATCTAATATTTTGATCCTTCTATATAACTTCCATAACCATTAGATATTTAGATTAGTTATGAACATCTCATAGATCTTTATACAGAATTAGAATAAGAAGTTACCTTTAGAAAAACAACTTTTAAAGCTAAACAATATTTTGCTTCAAAAGATCCAAGATATTTATAGATAAACAAAAGTAATCTATTCTTTCTCTAATTTCTAGATGAAAAAATTGAGGCTATTTCTTAAATAGAAGGATGGATCTTAGGAAAAAATGAGTTTGGACATATAGGCTGCTGTGCCTATTCTTATATACAAAAATTATGAATTAAATATTTATTCTCTTCAAGTAAAACAATTATTATTAAAATAGAGAATAAATAATAATTTTAAAATCATTATATTTCATATTTTTTTACTTGAATTCTTCTTCATTTTTCTTCGGTTATAGGATGTCTATTTTAAATGAGAATAAATCCATTCTTATCAGTTTAATAAATCATCATCTACTTCTAGACATTACCTAATCTTAATATTTAGAAAATTATTAAATTTCAAAAGACTCAATCATTTTTATTTAATTGCTATTTTTCAGAATCTTAAACTATTATATCGTCCAGACAACCTATCAGATTTTTAAATGGAGAATATTATTTTTTGACTTCCTGTTTATAACTTTATTTTGTAAAAATTGTTAGTAAGTATAATATTTAAATCTTATTTTATTTGATTTGATTGATTTAATAATTGAAATTTCGACTTAAATATTTCCAATTCTTTTATTTAACATTTTTATTTATAATTAGAATTTAATAAAACACTGGTAANTAATTACTATAATCACCTAACACCAAATGAAGCAAGATCTGATTTTGAATCTAAAGATTCAGTTGTTTCTCATTTTATCAAAATGAAAAGCTATGAAAATTCAAAAAAATAAAGTCCTTCTTTGATAAATTATACCAATAACAGTTTTAGTAAAAAGAAATAAGATCCAAGTATTTTAATAATTAAATTTTTATAGTAAAATAAAGTGGTTGCATATATAATAATGAAGTTCCTCAATCTCAATAAGAATTATAAAAAATAATCCAAATTTATTAAATCTAATATTTTGATCCTTCTATATAACTTCCATAACCATTAGATATTTAGATTAGTTATGAACATCTCATAGATCTTTATACAGAATTAGAATAAGAAGTTACCTTTAGAAAAACAACTTTTAAAGCTAAACAATATTTTGCTTCAAAAGATCCAAGATATTTATAGATAAACAAAAGTAATCTATTCTTTCTCTAATTTCTAGATGAAAAAATTGAGGCTATTTCTTAAATAGAAGGATGGATCTTAGGAAAAAATGAGTTTGGACATATAGGCTGCTGTGCCTATTCTTATATACAAAAATTATGAATTAAATATTTATTCTCTTCAAGTAAAACAATTATTATTAAAATAGAGAATAAATAATAATTTTAAAATCATTATATTTCATATTTTTTTACTTGAATTCTTCTTCATTTTTCTTCGGTTATAGGATGTCTATTTTAAATGAGAATAAATCCATTCTTATCAGTTTAATAAATCATCATCTACTTCTAGACATTACCTAATCTTAATATTTAGAAAATTATTAAATTTCAAAAGACTCAATCATTTTTATTTAATTGCTATTTTTCAGAATCTTAAACTATTATATCGTCCAGACAACCTATCAGATTTTTAAATGGAGAATATTATTTTTTGACTTCCTGTTTATAACTTTATTTTGTAAAAATTGTTAGTAAGTATAATATTTAAATCTTATTTTATTTGATTTGATTGATTTAATAATTGAAATTTCGACTTAAATATTTCCAATTCTTTTATTTAACATTTTTATTTATAATTAGAATTTAATAAAACACTGGTATCAAATTAAGATAGACAATAATATGATGTTTAAATTCTAAAAATTATTATAATTATTTTATGAAAATTAAATATTAATGGATAAATTCGATCCTTCAGTTGTAGTGATTATAATCTATTAGAAATAGCTTATTTTTTAATTAGACTTTGTTTTCATTTGATGACTATTAAGAATCTTAAATTGATTCATAAAAATTATTATTTACTTATTATTTTTGACTTATGGATTTTTGAAATTCTAATTAGTTTGTTAGCAGCATTATTATTTTGTTTAATTACTCTATATTTATTATATCTCTTACAAGGTGTAATTGAGTTTTGATATAATGAGGTGGATAAAAGTAGAGACAATTAAATTATTGATGCATAAAAAAACTTAAAATTTGAAATCTATTTATAATAATTGCAATTTATATGTATTCTTTCTTGATATTGACATTTAATAATTTAATGAGTAATTTCATGACTATAACATAAGATAAATATTATAGATATTATCCAAGATTAGTTGTAAATGATGATTTGGAGAATAATAGAATCAAATTTAAGAAGATTGAATTTTCAGATAAGTTTCTAAGAAAAGTAGAAACTAGTTTTGTTTTAAAGAGTTTACATAAGAGAAATGATGAAATACATAGTTTCAGATTAATAGAAATTTTAGAAACCCCATTTAGGTAAAGAAGGAAAAGTGAATGTGATGGAGTAATATCTAAAAAAATAGTATTTTTTTTATTGATTGCAAGCAAAATCTGGATATGAAATACCCAAAAACGATAATAGAGTAGCATAAATTTTTATACAGAGTAAAAGACTTACGTAGAAGAGCCATAAAAGGAAGAATGAAAATAAAATTTTAGAAATCTTTTAAGAAAATAGATACTAAAAAATCAAGCTAATTTCATTCATAACATCAACATACTATGTCTATTCGTGATTCTATTTATGGAAGTTTATAAGAAATAAAAGTATTCAGAACTTTCACCAAAAATCGTCCTTACTATTAACGACCATTAGAAAAGAAAAATTCCTATTTATTAAATGATTCTCAAAGTGAACTTAGCTTTCATATTCGCAAAGTAACTGAAAATGAATAGATGGTACAAAAATAAAAAAAATTTGTTCAGCTTTAATTAAACAAGTACAGCCCCAAAATATTTGAATAATTAAAGAAAGATTCTATAATAAAGTTCTTATCTGAAACAAAAGAAACTTAACCTTAAACTCCTGCTATCACATAAACAACCTCAATAATCTAACATAAATTTTAACCTTACTTTTGTAATTCAAAGACATAAAATCTAAAAAAATCTTGCATCGGATCTTCCTTTAGAATTAAGACAATATTATGATAATCTTTTTTGATCATAAAATATATAATTAAGTATCAATTAATATTAGTTCTACTTGTTTTGCTGTCAAGAATATTTCTTTTTCTCTTCTTAATGTTACCAAATCCAATTGTACTTTATTATATTAAAATTATCATACTTAATATTATTTAGAGAATGTCTATTGGAGTTGATGGAATATCGATCACAAACACTAATAACTTTATCAAATTTCTCTATAAAACTCTATTTTTAACTAGTACTAGTAATCTTATCTAGATTACGTAAACTAGTTTTTGGCAGTTAAGATAAATTATATTTCTTTGGTTCTCTATAGAAATTAAATATTTCATCCTATGTACATTGACTTACATTTAATTCATTCATTGTGGGTGCAAAATCATCTTCAGAAATTGAAGGTTATTTTTTGAAAATTTCCTAATATTTGATACTTAATTAATTTCATTTAATAATACTTGCGTGCTTCTTCTAATTATTCTTTAGCTTGAATTTCAAATTTAACTAAATATTCTTGAATATTAGTTTTGATTATTTATTTATACTTATTTAGATTATTTTCAATATGTGAATCACGTAAGGCTGTTGTTTAATATTTATCAGACCAAAACTCAGTACAGTGAATTCTGCCACTATTAATAAGTGGAATATTATGTTTCTAAGGTATTAAAGGCTCAAATTTTCTCTTTCTATATATTGCTATAGTATCTTTTCTGTCTTCCAATGCTTTATCCTTTAATAAAAACTACAAATAAACTTTTAATAATTAACCGGTAAGGAGAGCATCATGTTAAAATTAACTTTCCTTTTATTTGCTAATTATTGTAGTGTAAATTATTCAATAGGAGGAAGCATACTCAATTGAGATTTCATAATTTCAGGATTGTAAGACAATTCTTCTTACATTTAATTTTTTATTAATTTATAGAGAAATCTTTTATAATTTTTGTAATATTGTAAACATTCAATTAACAAAGAGTTAGTACAATTAAGATCGTTTAATCGGTTACAAAGGTACACTTCTAGGAGAATCATTAAAATACAATTCTGATTCTTAATTAGATTTTAAAGGTTTAACTTTTACTTTTCTTCCTCTTTAAGTAGCATGAATTCTAGTTAAATCAACATCTTTAATTTCTTAGTTTATTTTTGATTCTGAATTTCTTTCAGTAGAAATAGATGACAGTTTATGAGGAATCTTCTTTTTATAGACTTTATTAGTATAATCATTTCCAACTAATCCTTTAAGATTAAGAGTATAAATTGAATTGTGTTCATTAATTAAGGCTTTAATTTTATCACATTCTTTTTTTGTATGTACAGATTACCTTTTAATATAAATTTAAATGTATATACTTTATATAGTCATTATATTTATCGTCAACAATAAATTTCTATCTAATCGTCGGATCTAGTAGTTTTATGTAATTTGCAATCTTTGAAGAGGCACCAATGAAATTTTTATATCTTCCCAAACTAGAAGGATCAAATATTAATTTATTAAAGTTAGGCCTTAGATTTATAAAATAATTTATACAATTTTCCTCCATGTTCTTATAATTAACAATATAAACGCATCTTTGTATTATTCATTTTAGACATCTAATCAACATGTATCATTGAATCAAAAAGTATATTTATCTCTGTATTGGTTTCTGCATTGCTAAATGAAGATGATTTATTGCTAAAATACATAATTAACTATATAATTAATCATTCTTTTTTTAATTTAGTTGGAAATGTCTAGTTTTTAATGTTATTCTATCTTTTATTAATTTTTCTTATTCTATCCTCTTTCATTATCTTTACAATATATAACCCTGTCTCAACTATCAAAGCTCCAATCAAAAAAAAAGCAGCTAATGCTAATGATTAATCATATGTAAATTAGAAGAAATATATTCCAAGATAATAACCCAATAATCCACTTGCAAATATGCTAAAAATAAATGATAATCCAAAATTCACACTTTTTTCATATTCTTTTATAGATTCTTATTTTTTCTCCTAAAATACCCCTTTAGTTAATTAGGATGATTTTTATATAAAGGCTCTATCCTTACATCTCATTTCTCTAGCTTTAATTTCATCTAAAATCTCTTTTGGTCTATGATCTGCTTCCCATGCTACTTATAATGCTTATAAATCACTCTCCATTATAAACTTAGTTCCAATTATTTCTTAAATATTTAAATAATCTATATGATCATCATTATATTAGTCAATGTAAAGTTTTATTTCACAAAACTTTGCATAATTTTATGGATTTTGTGGATCTTAAGTGAATTTAAAATGCTTTTTAATTTCTTATGGAAGCAAATCAATATAAACATATACCATATTTATAAATTATTAATTAATATATAAAATGACTTCGGAATTTTATACTAAATAGATAAATAATAATAAGCTAATAAACAATCCAAATTTATATCTATTTTATTTTAATCTTAGATTAGAACCTTAATATTTTTATAACAGATTTCATATGCAATTGCTGTATTATATTTAATAGCTTTCATCATTCCTTGAGTTTTAGTTGGTGGTATGAAAATTTTGGGAGTTGTTCTTTTAAATCATTGTTTGTCTAGATATAAAGTGTTAAGATTGATCCTTTTTAAAATAAAATATTCTTCTAGTTCATATTTATAATTTTTTTTAATAATGAATTTAAAAGAATAAAAAAATTTTATTGAATTACATAAATTAAAGAATTAGGATAAGTGTTAAAATAGTTGACAATAAAATTATCACTTATTTATTTTACAAATTGATATTGATTTTATATTTATAAGGATATAATTTAATTATATTTACATATTTCTGAATAATATTTCATTTCTCAATTCTCTGCATTTCTAAGGGCTTCATCAAGCTTCTTTTCTTATTAAGCAAAAGCATAACCAGTATATTTTCTATTTTTAACTGGTTTAATGGGTAGAAGTGCAGAAGTATCATCATATGCATCTTCTTCCTAGAATAGATTTTCAAATCTATCTGGAGGCATCATTGATTAAGGAGGAGGCTCTTATATATCTCTGATTTTTTGGATTTCAAATAATTCTTATTCTGAAAATATTGACCATCTTGCAAGTGCTAAATCAAAAAAGATTGTCAAAACAATTATTCCACTCAATATAAAGTAAAATTAAGCATTTGAAAACAAATGGATGAATGTATGTGAAATGTCCAATTTATTGGAAACTTTAGATAAAAACAAATAAGTTAATAAATACAGAAAGATTGATGCAAATATAAATAGCACAGATCCTATGGAATTCATATAAGAGAAGACAAAGATTTTCAGATTTACAATTATAATGGCATAACAAAATACAGCCATTCCAACTGATGAAAGAAAGAGTATTCTTCCTTCTTTATCAATACTTGTTTATTCCATAGATGGAAAAACTGAATAAATGACAATTGCTGATTGTATTGCACCTGAGCAAAACCAAAAAAAGAAAGTCAATAGATTAACTTTATTCGTTGTTTAATAAAGTTGTGGATCTAATGATATTAAAATTAATACTTTATAAAAGAAACTTAGGTGTATATTGTTAATCTAAGATTGCATATATCATAATAGGAAGACTTGTATAAAACATATTATAGAATTGATAAAGCCAAGGATCATATAAATTAAGAGGTGAAAATCCATTATAAAATGAGAACCAAAAATGTGGTAAAACAATAAGTAGATTTTTATAGAAATTATATCCAACAAGTACTTAATTTCTTCTATAACATTCTCTTCCATGATAGAGTAATAATTATTATAAAATTTTGAATTCACCAATTGAATAATCTGCTGCTCTTGCTGCTTAATTACCTTCAACACCTTTTATTCCTATTCCTATATTTGCTGCAGTTATCATATTAACATCATTAGCTCCATCTCCTACTGCCATTGTTACTATATTATATATGTTATCTTTCACTAATTGTACTAATTCTTGCTTTTATTTTGGTGATACTCTACAAGCTATTACTGTATGACATTATTTAGCTAATTCTATAAATTTTATATGATATTTTTCATCTAAATGAATCAATGAATCTCCTGATATTATCAATGCAGTAGTACGATTTAAAAATTAAGATTTCATTTAATCTAAACCTTAATTAATTTTAAATTATGCTTCAAATTAATCATCCGCTGAAATCACTATTTTTTATTGTGAATCATTTAATAAATTACAAGCATAACTAATATTTATTGCAGTTTCTAATTTATCTCCTGTTAATACCCATATTTTAATACCTGAATTCAATATTTTCTACATTGTAATACCAACATCATCTTATAATTTATCTTCAATTCCAGTTCCTCCAATTAAATTTAAATTTTTTTCTATTTAATCTTATAAACTTAATAATAGTTCATCTCTATTAATTGTCTATAAACCAGCTTTCAAATATTTGGTTATCCATTCATCATACTATTATTGACTCAATTCTTTTTATGCTAACAATAATGTTCTTAATCCTTTTTCAGCATATTATTCTAAATGTTATTCTGTAATTTGCAATAATTCTAAATTTTAAATGTTTTATTTATCTAATAAATTTATTATCATTGAATCAGCTCCTTTACACAATAATATTATTTTATCATTTTAATCTTAAACAATAACAGACATCCTCTTTCTTGCTGAAGTAAATTCTAATACTTATAGTAATTTATATTTTATCAACTAATCTTTGTATTTCACAATCATCATTCCATCATCCAATCCAACATATTCAAATCCACAAAATTTTGCTCCCATCAATAATGCTAATTCATCTGGAGAAGAGGCGTTATACTTGATTTTACCTTATTCATATTCCACCAAAATAGTGTGACATAATGTAAGATGCATAAAATATTCTATAATTCTTCTAGAATGCTCATCATTCTATTGTAAATCATTAAAAAGTTATTTATCTTTAAAATCAACATTAGTTACTTCAGGCATATTTTTTAGTTCTTAATTATTTAAAATTTAACTTCTATTATTTATCATCCCATATGATTTTCCAAAAATAGATATAGTTTTAAATTCCATCAAATTTTTAGTGATAGTTCCTGTTTTATCAGTGAACATATAATTCACATTACCTAACTCTTCATTTAAATTTGAAGTTTGTACTTCAGTTTTTTGATTTTAAGTCATACATTCTTTATCAATTTCTATCATCATACCTTGTAAATATTTAACCTACCCTAGATACAAATTATTTTCATACCATTTCTAAAGTCACTAACAAAGAGATTGGAACAAAATTTGTATAAATTAATAACCAAGTTCCCCATCTTTCCATTGTTCTAAAAACAATATTAGTTTATAAATCATTTTCATCTAACTCAAGATAAGGAATATCCATAAAATTATTTAATTACCAAAAGACTGAATATTAAGCTGAAAATAAGCAAATAACTAATTAACTATTTATTTTTAGATATATTTTACATAAAAAACACTAGTATAATAAAGAAGTTCATTTATGATTCTAAAGTACTTGATTTAGGTCTAGCTTTGGTTGAATTTAACATAATTTTGGTATCAAATCCAGTATAAACTACTAATCCATAAATCCAATGAGTATTTCTTAATGAACATCCTCTTAAAATGAAATTGACTTCATCTAATTGATATACTTTTCTATGTTCTGCATCATAATTTATGATAGAATCTCTAGATTAATCTCCATCACTAAGATTATGATCAGGAGGCATAGTAATAGTACCATTAAATTTGTATAAATAGGGATTAGGCTTATCATAATGGATTAAGATTTATTCTTTATATAAATTATGATCATTAAGATTTCTTGTAAATTAAAGTGATTTATGCTATTTTTTTATTTTTAGATTAGTTTCTCCATCTAGATTTTTAGTTTCTATAAAACAATTTCCTTTTTCACTAGTTTTAATAACAATAACATCAGCAGGAAAGTATTCTCCTTATTCAACTCTAATAATATCTCCAACTAGTATTTGTGACCATTTCTTTTCAATCAATCCATAATTTGTCAGAACTAATGCTATTCTTAATAAAATAATTGTTAATTGAATACCGGTTATTCTCGTCGATATCAGAAACCTATCGTTTATGATCTTCAAAAAAATCTTTAACTGCTGAAATAGCTATGACTATAAATAAAGGAAACCATATTATAGGTTATCCATCAGTAATAGAAATTAAAGCAATAGTTTCTAAATATCCAATGATTAAGAAATAGATGTTAGCCATTTTTGAAAATTATTCTATCAAATTCAAGGGTAAGAATGTCCAAAATGTATATTTGCAAGTTTTAATAGTATTATCAGGTAGATCACGATCTTAAATATTTGTGATTATCGTTCTATCTTGTGTTAATAATTTAATACCTTTCATATCTCTCCAATTAGGTCTAGTTTTGAAACAACATCCTTTAAGTTAGTATTTATTATCATAGGGTAAATACAATTGCCAAGGATCAGGTTATAATTCACTTTATGAATTTTACATAAATTATAATTATAATAATAATAATTTATTATATAAAAACGACATAATATAAATTATGATGCAATATTTGTGTATTAAATGCTAAGTTCTTGATTAATATTTGGATACACATTTTAACTAAATTTATATATGAGAGTTGGTATTAATTTGCATCAGAAAACTTTGCAACATACTAAATGTCCATTCTTAAAGACATTCAATATAAATATGACATCAGAGTAGGCCGTAAGCAAATACACAAAGTTTTGCCCTTATCTTCATTACAAAGAAATGAAGTATAAATAAATTATATTTCTAGATCTGAGACTAAGAAATGTCCTATTGAACATAGCTAATTTTACAATAACTAATTTAAGGGGGTGATTCAGTAAATTAAAGATGAAGGACGATACAGAGAATTCAAGAGTTTATTACGAACAAATGGAGAATTTCCAAGAGCTATCAATAAGACTCCTACTGGTGACTAACCAATAACATTATGGTGTAGTAATGATTATTTAGGTAATAATAATAAACTAACAGTATAGGAATGTCTTAAAATCCAATGGTAACCTAAGCCACTAAAAATGCTATTGATCTCACAGGAATTGGTGCAGGTGGAACTCGTAATATAGGTGGCACTAGCATTTACCATGTTGAATTAGAGAGAGAACTAGCTGATTTACATAGAAAAGATAGTGCATTGGTAATGAACAGTGGCTATGTTGCCAATATGGCTACTTTGGATACTCTTGGCAAAGTCTTAAAAGATGTGACATTCTTAAGTGATGCCAAAAATCATGCTTCTTTGATTGAAGGAATGAGAGCTACTAAACGAGACAGGCTCATTTTTAAACATAATGATTATTAAGATTTGGAATAAAAATTAAAATAATTAGGTATTTTTATATTGTATAAAATTAGATATTTAATAAAACAAAGTCATAGTATTTGAATCTGTTTATTCTATGAATGGCACTGTAGCACCTATATAACAATTTATCAATCTAGCAAAGAAGTATAATGCTCTCACACTCATTGATGAAGTACATGCTGTTGGTATGTATGGTGAAAGAGGAGCAGGTGTTACTGAAAAACTAGGACTATAAAAAGATATTGATATTGTCACTGGAACTTTAGGAAAAGCTTTTGGATGCTCTGGTGGATATGTGTCAGCTAATTCGGAAATTGTTGATGCAGTCAGAAGTACAGCCAGTAATTTTATTTTCTCAACATCCATGTCTCCAATCATTGCAGCAGCTTGTTTAGAGTCTGTCAAATATTTAAAGTCACATCCAGAAATTAGAGAAAGACATCAATATGTGGCTTCTCTTATTAAAGCTAAATTAAAAAGTAAAGGAATCCCTGCACTCAACAGTGCTTCTCATATAGTCCCAGTTTTTATTGGAGATCCTCTATTATGTAAAGAAGCATCTGAAAAACTATTAAACGAATATAACATTTATATCTAACCTATAAACTATCCAACTGTTCCCAGAGGGTAATATCATATCTCTATATTTTTAGATAAGAAATCCTCCGTATTTCTCCAACTCCATTACATACTGAAGAAATGATTGATGAGTTGGTTAACTCAATCGAGTGTGTATTTAAGAGCCTAAATCTAAAATTAGAATCTTAATATACAGCAGAATAACGGGTTATTTTCTAATGATAGTAAATAATTTTCATTTAAAAAATAAACATAAAATAACACTTAATCTTTGGTAATCATATTAATATTTATAATAAATAAATGTGGAGAAGAACCTTATAAAATTTTCTGAAAATTGCTGCAATTGGATCATCTATTACATTTACTTCTAGCCTTGTATTATCTTAAGAGTAATTGTATGCATGGGTAATAAAACAAAATTTATTAAGGGATGGAACAATTTTGGATAATTAGGGATTGGAAATTCTATATCATAATATTCTCCTTAATTAGTTCCAATTTAAAATGTTTTATTTGTAGCATGCAAAGCTAGTGTTTCTGCAGCGATTGATAAATCTGGAAAATTGTATACATGGGGAAGATCAAAATTTGGATTATTAGGAAATGGATAAGTTGAAAACATTAATATACCAACATTGGTGGAATGTTTAAAACATTTAGATTTCAAATTTGTTGCATGTGGAAATTATCATATGGCTGCAATTACAACTGATGGATAATTATATACTTGGGGTAATTAGGATCATGGAAAACTTGGTCATTCATTTGATAATTCAGCAAAATTACCATCAAGAGAAAAATATGAATATTAAAAGAATTTAGGATCAGCAAAATTACCAGAATTAGTAAAATTAAATTTTAAAGTGCAATAAGTAGCTTTAGGTGATTAATTTACTATAATACTATCAGAAGAGGGAAATGTTTATTCAGTAGGATTGAATAAAAAAGGAATATTAGGACTTGAAACAAAAAATAATGAAGAACTTGAATTTAAATAAATAAAAAGTTTAAGAAATATTGTATAAATAGACAGTGGAACAGATTTTAGTGTAGCATTAGATTCAGATGGAAAGTATAAATGAATATAAATTAGTATGTTTGCATGGGGTAGTAATTACTTTGGATAATTAGGAACACCCAGTCCTTCAATAATATAAATACCTTAATAAATTAAAGGATTACCAAAAATTAAATAATTTTCATGTGGAGAGTAATTTATTGGCGCTTTAAGTACAGAAGGTGTTTTATATACATGGGGTTTTGGTGGAGATGGTTAATTAGGAACACCTAGTAAATAAGATATTCCAACACCTCATAAAATTTAATTTGATTAATAAATTGATAAAGTTTCATGTGGATAAGCTCATGTTGGTATTATTAGTAATAGTAAACTCTATATGCATGGAAGAGGAAAAGAAGGTTAATTAGGAAGAGGTTCTGAAACAGAATCTCCTAATAGTAGTAGATTCTCTCCTTTATTAGTCATGGATAATATAATAAAAATTGCATGTGGAGGAAGTCATTCCTTTGCAATTGTTAACTAAAAATGAGTTTATTTTTATTATATTTATTCTTAATAAAACAAGATTTAATTCTTTTTATAAGTAGTACATATTTTTTTTTGAATAAACTTTATATATGTTAATAAATTGTAAAAAAACCATTTTCAACAATTGCAAGAAGATGGTGCTGGTTGTGGCTAAGCAGAATCCTAATTTAATTTGAATTAACTTTATTAATGATCAGCATTTACTGGAGCCTTTTGGCTTTCATTTTCTAATCTTTTCTTCAAATTTAGACCTAGTATATCGAAAATATTCTCTAAAATAAAATTTTATCTTTTATATTACATATATTTTTATTTTCTAATGCACTGGTCTCTATGAATGGCATTTTATACTTTGTTGCTAATGCTTATCCTTCTGATGATTGAACTCTTCTATCTTGAGAGTCCATTTTATTTCCGACTAATATTGAACAACTTAAGGGATTATTATTGCATATTACACTTCATCAGTTGTATTCTCAGTTATAGATTTTATCCAAGTTTCTACATTATTGAAAGAATTTCTATCGACTATGGAATAAACAAAAATTATTCCAAATGCTCCTTTATAATAAGTTTAAGTTATGTTTCTAAATCTTTCTTATCCTGCTGTGTCCCAAATTTATAATTTGATTTTCTTATCTTCAACCTTTTAAACATATTAATTAGTTGTACAGTGATTGTTTTAATCTTAAAATCAACGCCTATAGTTGCCATATAATTTTATGAAAATTTTTGATCACAATATTGAGTCAGGATATTTGTCTTTCCTACTCCTGAATCTCCCAATACTATTACCTTTACTAACCAATCATAATATCCATTTGACATTTTTACAAAATTTATCAATAATATTTATTATTTAATATATTTGATAATCATTTTAATTATCAGAATTAAGATTCTAAATCCGGTCATCTAATTAATTCATTAAAATATATTTCAATCATTTTAAAAATTTAGTTCTAAATTTCTTAAAGAATGTTTATGGTTATTCCATAATAAATCAAGACTTATGGTTTACTATAATATTATGAGTTATATTTTAAGATATCTATCATCCTGTAAAATAATTAATAAGTTTTGTTAAAAAAAAAGAAAGTTTTTTTGTTTAAAAAAATAAAACAATGATTATTTGATTAATTTTTCTTAATAATGAAATATAATTAATAATTATAATAATAGTATTTTTAAAAAGTATAAAACGAGAGAATTTTATTTTTCTGGGTGTTTTAATATGATTTTATATAATAATAATAAACAAGATAGTTCTTAGTGTTAAAATTATGATTAAATAGGGCTGATCAATTTAATTTAAGCTATCATTAAAATAATATGAACTCTGGATTGAACAACTAAAATTCGTTATTGCAGCAACTAACTCCAGCCTAACTCGAAGAGTATTAGCTTTAGTTAAGGTAAACTTCTAACTTCATAATTTATATATGATATTACTTCATATGCCCAAATCATATATTTGGCAATTAATTACTTATTTTAGATAGCAATAATTTTTCACGAATTTGTTAAGTAGCAACTTGAAAACAATAACATTTCCTAGCATCTTTCAATAGTTTTAGGACAATCTTAATAGAACGTCATAATAGCAAGATCTGATAAATTTTAATCGTGGTAAGATATCATCAATTCTAAATCAATTACAATATTGTGACCTTATAGTTTTTTGAATTGGCTTATTTTTACTTAGGTTTGGGTGCAGTAACGAATTAGAATGATTATATGAAACTTTTATAGAAAAGCTTTTAAATAAATAGTAATGTCATGAGTCCGTTCCATTAGAATTAGTTGTTCTGCTAAATGGGAATGATGGGTCAAAAGAAAAACAATACAATACAAAATCCAATTACTGTTGAAGATGATGAGCCACCTTAAAATTAGAAATGTCATAATTCTAAATGCAATAACAGAGGAGATCGCAAGATTAAGTCAAAGAAAGGTGAGAGTCTTTAATTCTGTGAGAAATGTTTGAGGATGTATAATCGTGGAAATTTTTGTGATTTTTGTGAATAGGTATTGTAAAAATTAGTAAGATTATTAGGTCTATTCAAATGGATCATACGATTAAGATGAATAGGAATGGATATAATGTGATGAATGCGAGAAATGGGTATATCTTAGTAGAGATATTAATAGAATCATTTAAATTGTGAAGCTAAATATAGGAATTAGAATATTAAAGAATAGACTGAGAATAAAGTTTATTATTGTTTAAATTGTTCTAAAGTTAAAAAACAATAACAATAACAATAATAACTATAATAATAATAGTTTCAGTAATAGAAAAAATAAGAGAAAACAACAGAAGAATATTAACCAAAGTAAAGATTATAAATGGAATGTGAAGATGCTAGAACAAGAGAAAAGAATATCAATTTTGTTGCTACAAAAGATAATAAAGTTTAATTTAGTAAATTTATAAATTTAATAATTTTTAATAGCATTTCGATTGAATCTATATGATGATGAAATAAAGTCAGATCTAGACATTCTGAGAAATTCTGGTAGAAAGAGTATGAAGAAATAAAATTAATAAGACTCACCAATAATAAAATAAATAATAGCACCACCATAATAATAATAATAATAATAAGTATAATTGTAATATGATGAGAAAGTAAAAATATGAGTTTAATTGTTATTAGAATTCTGATTAGTAAATGAATACTAGATGTCGAACTAGAAATAATAAAAATAGAGTTAATTACAGGAATTTAGGTGGTGAATGAATGATATGAAATATATTTAATTGAATTTTAATTTAAATAATACTCATATATATCCAAATAATTAAAATGTCTGATTTGAGATTTGATAATAAGGTTGTAGTAATAACAGGTGCAGGAAGAGGTCTTGGGAAAGCATATGCGTTATTTTATGGATCTATGGGGGCTAAAGTATTAGTAAATGATAATGGATGTGATTTAGATGGAAAAAACACAAATCCTTAATTTGCAGATGAAGTAAAGAATATTTCTAAAAATAGGTTGTAGCAACAATAAAGAGTAAGGGAGGAATTGCAGTAGCAAATTATGATTCTGTGTTGAATGGTGATAAGATTATAGGACATGCTATTAAAGAATTTGGAAGACTTGATGTTCTTATAAATAATGCTGGTATTTTAAGAGATAAAATATTGGCTAAATTAACAGAGGAAGATTGGGATATAGTTGTAAAAGTAAATATTAAAATATATATTAATATAGACTCATCTATATGGTACTTTTTCTGTAACAAAGGCAGCTTGGCCAATAATGAGAGATTAAGGTTATGGTAGAATAGTTAATACATCAAGTGGATCTGGATTGTATGGAACTTTGGGTCAAACAAATTATGCAGCTGCAAAAGCAGGAATTGTTGGATTGACATTAACATTAGCTAAAGAAGGAGAAAGAAGAAATATATTATGTAATGTACTAGTACCAGTTGGAGCTTCTAGAATGACTGAAACTATAATGCCACCTGATGTTTTAACTGGTATTGATCCAAATAATCTTACACCGATATGTATCCAATTAATAATATTTTTAAGTGGCTGTTTTAACTCATGAGTCAAATAAAGAATATAATGGTGGAATCTATGAATGTTCTGGTGGATTCTTTTCAAGAGTTAGATGGTAAAGAACTGAAGGAGTCTCATTAGACTTACCAGTCAAAATTAGTGAAGTCTAAAAGAATTGGGCAAAAATTAATGATTTCTCTGGTAAAAATGAATATCCCACTGGAAATGCTGATTTATTCAATAAAGTTTAAGAAAATTTAGAAAGATTGGAATAATAGGCTGCCTAAAAACCTAAATTATGAGTTTAGAAATTATTTTATAAATACATTGAACATTTTATAGATTTCATCATTTATTACAAACATAATATCGATAAAATAATCATACTCACTGATCTTAGTACTATTATTCATTCTTATTAAATATAACCCTTATTACTTATCTAACCATTTAGTAACATTTCTATATTGAAAATTTTTATTTAATTAAAAAACATAAAAATACATTCACTAAAGTATTGATTTAATAAAATGGTAAAACATTAACATCTAATCTATTTTAAGCTAAAATATTTATTAATAATTAAAATATACACTTAACAACTCTTATACATATAAGTAGGTGAAATCAAAGTTTCTAATATAATATTATATTAATTAAAATTGATTTCATATCTTAAAATAGAAAAGGTTCATAAAAGTGTTTAGTTTCCATCAAATCTATTTACAATGAATATTAATTATATAAAAGAAACAAGACTTCACAAGTAATGAAATTAAAAGTATCTTAATTACCAAAGATTAATAATAAAAAAGAGTAGGATTTTTATAATCATATTCAAAGAGAAATAACTAAATTTAAAGACACTTTACATGATTTAGAATAACAAAACTACTATGGAATTATGACATGGCTATGATAAAAGTAAATGCTGATCAAATACATTAAATATAAGTTAGTATTTGGAGGATTCACAACATTTTAACAAGATAAAAATGGAGATAAGATAAAAATTTTTTTATATATAATTAAATAAAAATTAAATTTAAAATGGGTAATATTAATAGTACAGACGAAACACTTTGTTTTAAATACAAATTATTAAAATTCTGTGTGTTAATAGCACATTTTTTCTTATAGAAATAATTTGATAATTAAATGTTTATAATTTAAAATATACTACTTTAAATTTTTTTAATGTTAAAATTAAAATAATAGTGTAAGAAAAATGTTATATTTAATAATTAAAATTAAAGGAGAGTAAAAAATATAATATAGAACTACATATACTTTATGGTTATGATAATTATGATATAATAGGAGAATATATTATTTAAATATATATGGTATATTTAATATAAGATAATAAAGTATCTAATATTTATCAAATGGGGATCGATTAGAAGGAAATTTTGTTTAAGATTTAGAAAATGGATCTGGAAAATATGTAAATAAATGGCTAATTAAAATCTGGAAAATGGTGAAGAAATAAACTATAACAGTAATTTTGATTAAAATTAAAGAATATTTATTTTAAAACTAAAAAAATTTGAAATTAATGAGTTTCTACCCTTATGGTCTTGTTTCTCCACAGCGTTCTGTATACCCTTAAGCATATTATCCATAATCTATTCCTTAATAAAGATAAGCCCCATATTCAATGCCAAGTCAAGTAATAAATTTAAATATTAATTAAGTAGGTGTTTCGTCCCCCTCCACCTGTTATTAGACCTCCTCCTTAACACTATTATCCTTAATATTAAAAGCCAACTCAATTTGCCCCTACTAATTATGGTCAAAGCCCAGTAAAACCACAATCATCTTTACAATAATCTTATCCAATCAATTAATAAAATCAAAGATATCCTAATAGTCCACCTTAAGTTTTTAATTAATAATAATAGCCTCTCACAAGACCTACAGTACCATAATATCAATATTAAATTCCTACACAACAAAGAGGAACAGCTCAATATTATTATTAACCATAATAACAATAATTATAAAAGTAATAGCCACAACAATACAGTCAGAATAAGATGGTATCTCCACCTCCAAAATAATCTTCATAATAATAATTACCAACTTAAACAAAACCTTAATCTCCTCCTACCTAATAAAGACCACAATCCCAATAACAACAACATTAATAAGTGCCTTAGTAATAAATAAATAAGCCTCCTTAATAATAGAAATAACCATAGTTATCATAAAAGGATGATGATTTAGAAAAGAAATTTTAAGATGCCATAGATAGAACAAGAGATCTTGTTTAAAAATATTAAAATCCTTAACAAAAATAACCACAATAGCCTTAAGTATAAGAATAGCATCCAAATCCTTAAGATAATGATGATTAGTTATAAGAACTTGCTCTTTAATATGAAGATGGGTATATCTATAGAGGTTAGGGATTTGAACCAGCTACTAGAGAAGGTTATGGTATTTTAACAGATTAAAATGACAATACTGTTTATGATGGTTAATGGAAAGATAATTAATATCATGGTCAAGGAAAACTAATTAACGTTTAAGCAGAATAGATTGAAGGCCCTTTTGATTATTAAGACTTAAGTGCAATAGAAAATGGATGGTTAGGATATGAAGGTATCACTATTTTATAAATATAATAGGTGAATTTTCTGAAGGTAAGATGAATGGTTTTGGTAGATTACAATTAACTAATGGAGAAGTATTTGAAGGACAATTTAATGACGGCATGATTCATGGTGAAGGTATTTTTTCAGCTTTAAATGATTAAACTATTAAAGGATTATGGTAGGAAGGAGTATTAACTTAAGTTTTTGCTTGATTCAAACATTCAATATATAAATTAAAATTTATGTTATATGATAGTAAAAGCTCCAAAATCTGCTCGCCTTCAAAAATATTCTCAGATTTCGATAAAAAGTACTTATTCTCCCTATTTATTATTACCTTAAGGAGAAATGATATAATAGATATAGTATCGCATTAACATGGTGAAGTATAAAATTACATCGATAAGGTCAATGATAAAACCTTAATTGCCATTTAATTGGAAGTATATATTTATAAAAATTTTTAGGAGTAAAGACTAAATTTAAGATATTTTCACTTAATTAACTAACTTGAAAAAACGAAGTTGCAAATTATTAAATTAGAAGAAAAATTAAGACAATAAAATGAGTACTTATTGATAATATTTTAGCCTTGATAATCATCCATAAATTAAATTAATCATTAGTGAATTATCAAAAGTAGATTAATATCGTTTAGCATTAATTAAAAAAGTACTTTACTCTTGTATTAGACCTAACATTTAATGCAAGATTTGCAATAAAATTAATTTACTATCAAAGAACTTAAAGAATAAGTCTAAAACAAAAGATTACAAATTAGAGACTGGGTAAGAGATTGTTGGCAAATTTAATAATCAATAGTAAAAACTCTAAAACTAATTATACTTAATCTACTTCTAGAACTGTAATTCTTTTTATATAATATCTTTAGTATAGAATTCAATTACAAAGTTTAGATCATAGTAGTAATAGAAGCAATATTAACCTTTTTATTACTGGTTAAGATTCTAAAACTAATCGCTTAAGTTTATCTCAATTACCCCCTATTAAAATGAAAAAGCACTCAAAAAGCAAACTATTAGAAGTACTATAAAAAGTATCTTTTAGAGGATAACAACAAGTAATACTAATTTATATTTATTTATTTAGCCTGTAAATGATATTATTGAAATTTATAAATAAATCAATATTTTCACGAAAAAAATTACTGAATAAATGCAAGAAATCAAAAAAAAATAAAATCAGTACTCTTCCATTAGAAATTTACTCGTTTATTGTACAAATCTGTCTTTAAAATAATTTAAAAATAAATAGAAAATTACTAATTATAATGGATATGCAAACTCAATTTATTTTGATTTCAATACATCTATCAATTAATCTATGACTGATTATTAAAGTAATCCCAATCAAGAAAGAAAAATTTAAAACATTTTATATGATACTCTCTAATAAATCATGGTTAATATGATAGATGCATAACAAAAAAGTGAACAAAACTCAACAGAAGAATCAATGTAATTAAGCCATGTAATACTAGAATCAAAATGCTATTTAAAAGGAATAATTTATGGAATTCAATTCTGAATAAATTTTGGGATTATTAGCACTTCAACCAAGATTGATGCAAGATTTATTAGAGAAATTTGAATTAAAATATAGATAATTAGGAAACTTAACTTAAAAAATGAAAAACTTAACATAAAACTTTTGAATTTAATTTCATCTAAATAATTAAAAAAAATTGAAAGCTTTTACTGCTTTATTATTAAATTATTAGTTTTAAATAAAAATCATATAAAAGTTCATACATTAATAACTAAAGATAACGCTTTAAGTACAGTTGGTATAGGTTATTATTTATCATCCATTTTTTTGGTCAAATCTTTAAAAACATTCAGCTCTGTTTGATTTAGTTAATGCTATTCTATAAATTATTCAATCATTTTGGTAGAATTATGATTAGTAAACAAATTTTATGGCTTAATTTCTGAATAATCTTAAGAATAAGAGAGTTTTTTTTTTAATTCTGTATTTGATTACAAATCTAGAGATGTTATATTTTAAATTTAAATTGGATTCACTGTTTCCTTTAGATAATTCAAATTACAGATAGTAATTTCTAATTCTCGTAATTAAGTTTAATGGCAATCACATTATTTAACTAAACTAAGTAATTATTGATTCACTGATTCTAAAGCAGAAATCTTTAATGATAAATCAAACTAAATTACTTTTTATTCAAGTTCAAATACTTTCCGTTAGAGAATCTAATTCTCTCTTTACAGTTTTTAATAATCTTCTGTTTTATGTTTAGAGGAATTGTTAGTATATTCTCTACTGTTAATAGTACTTTTTTAAGTCGATTCAATTTCAGGATTATGATACACTAACTTAAATTGTATTAATACATTGTTTGTTCATGTAAGATATATTATCATTCTCTTACATTTTAGCCAAAACTTATGCAATTGCTTATTACGATTGAGAGATGCTAATTTGTTTATTTTTTTATAAAGTAGACAACCTAGGATTGATGGGAGATCTTTTATTATTAAGATATTATACTTATCATTTGGAGATGTTTTTCTTAATTTGTCTGAACTGTCACTTAAATTTATTGTTGCTTTCCTTGCCGATAAGATGGCATTTTATTATTATAAAAACAGAGTATTTTACATAGGCAAATTGAAAACATCACTTTTTTATTAACTGTTACCACTAATTGCCTTATCCTTAACTTATTTAGTTCTAACAAATCAATTGATTTAATACATTTTTTCCTTTGAAACACTGCTTGGATAATTTTTTGGTGGAGTCAGACTTGGAACTCTCTTTGTTGACAAAATGTTAGATGCATTTAGTTGATAGTAACTTCTATTAATTGGATTCATTAATAATTTATCAATATGTTAAAATTATTAGTCATAAATTATATATAAATATTTTGAAATATATGATTGTAATAATTGAGGCTTCTTTAATATTAAGTTTGATACGAAGAACAAATTATAAAAGCTTTTCTAATTTATCATATAAAAATAATATGAATTAATAATTAAAAAAATTAGCGGTCCTATTAGTGAGTAAAAAGAAGGATCAAACTTGTCTTCCGATTATGCAATAAATACGAAATAAATTCCCTTAGCATACATATTTAATAGATGATGAATATCAAAATGAACCTGTAGATTTAGTCGTAACCATCGGTGGTGATGGAACAATTTTGTAGAGCTCCAAAACTAGTGTAGGCATGCATCTAGGATATTCCAATAAACATTGACTCCCCCTTTTGTGACATTTGGTAAAGGAACACTAGGATTCATGTGTATATACAGTTTAAAGGATCAGTTTGAAGTTCTAAAGAACTTATAAATTCCATACAATATAGAGTTAAAGAAGAGAATTTAGGGTAGTTTAAACGGTCAATACGTTTACACTGCTTTAAACGACTTTTTTATAACTAAGGGGAATAGCATTCATGTAGTATGTCTAGATATTTATGTTAATGATACTTTTGTAACTTAAGCTAGAGGAGGTAATTATTAATTAATATATAAATTAGATGGATTAATTATAAGTACTCCTACAGGTTCTACAGCATATTGTTTAAGTGCTGGTGGTCCTTTAATTTAAAATAGAGTTCCTTGTATTGCTTTGGTACCAATATGTCCTTTATCGTTATCATTTCGACCTTTAATTCTACCTTTGGATGTAAAAATTAGTATAAAAATGAATGCTAATTCAAGAGGAGAAGGAGTAGTAATTTGTGATGGATAAGTGTAATATGATTTTAAAAGGAATGATTGTTTTGATATTATTCCTTCTAAAAATGATGTGCGGTGTACGTTAGTATTTATAATATAGTTGTTGTACCTCCTGCACACCAAGATTTGGATTGGGTCATAAAATTGTAAAGAATGTTAAACTGGAATTCTAGATTTTAATAACCAAGAGATTGAATTATAAATAAGAGAAGTAAAATAAAAAATATAAAATTAATTATTCATTTAATATATGAGTGATTCATCATCTTATTTTGACATCTAAGGGAAAGGTATTTGGGAATAATATCAAAATAAGTTAAATGAAGTATTTAAAATATCAATTTTTAGGAAGATATAGTTTATAAAGGAGTTTTGCAATTTCATAACAAGACAACTCAATTTTGTTTGACAGAATATGAATTGTTTAGATTTAAAAAAAATGGAGAATTAAAAAAAATAGAACTCTTAACAACATCAATTTCTCTATTTAATGATAATACAATTTTATTATAAAAGAACCACAAATAGGTATTCTTAAAATCAAGTCCTTAAAATATAAAGTTGTGGTTTGAATAGATAAAAAATAAATGCATATAAAATAATTTTAGATTAGACTATGATATTGGGGAGCTGATTGGATAAGGACAATTTGCAAATGTATTAAGTGAATAGTATCATTAGGTATACAAGATCACTAATAAGAAAAATAATCAAAAATATGCACTAAAAGTATTCTAGAAGGTGGCTTTAAAGAATTTAAACGTGGATAATGTTTCCGTAGCTAAAGAAATAAAAATAATGCGATAACTTAAACATCCAGGAATAATAAAAATTTATGAGGTATATGAAGACAAAGAGTTTATTTGTATAGTAATGGAATTAATGCAATGTATTTTAAATTTAATGGCTAATTTTAGATTCAATGAAATAGTAAAAAAAGAAACATGCTGAACATTAATGTGCATAAATAATGCTGCAATTATTCATGATGTTACAATACATACATGATCACAAAATAATCCATCGAGATATTAAAGTATAAATTTTTATATCTATTTTTAAGCCAGATAATATATTATACAAGAATCAAGACACAATATGTATCTGTGATTTTGGTCTTGCAGATTATTATAATCCAATGTCTGTATATCAATATTAGAGATGTGGTACTCCTGGTTATGTTGCACCAGAAGTCTTGAGAGATTAGAAATACGATTATAAAGTAGATGTTTATTCAGCAGGAATCATTTTATACACACTCTTAGTAGGCAAATAGCCATTTTCTGCACATTCATAAAATAAAGTTGTTTAACTTAATTATCATGGCAAAATTGATTTTGCTCAAGTTAAAGCTTCAGATTTATGTCTTTCTTTCTTGAAGTCAGTATTATCTATAAATCCATAAACAAGACCTTCAGCTTATGAGGTTTTGCATCATGAATGGTTTTTTAAAACTCTTGGGGAGTCAAATTATTTTTATATGCTCAATAATAATGGAAAATAAGTTTAAAATATTTAACCTGTTTCAAAAGGTATTATAAATCAATTATTTTATATCATTTTAGAAATATAAAATTTCTAAGCTATATAGTCTATGATGGATGAAGAATAAGATGAATCAAGCAATAGTAAAATATAGATAGAGATTCCATAACCCACCACATAATATCGAAATAATAACAACTGCTATTATTAGAGTTCTATGCCATAATAATAATAGCACTAATAATCATTGTAAATAGCAATAGATAATATATAAGAGGCTATTAAATAAATTAAAATTAAACAGTAAGTTAGAGATTTAAATTACTTGACTTAAATGCTTCATATGTAACATAAAGAAATGTCAGGTATAGATTGAATTCAGAAGCTTAAAAAATACAAAATTACATATCAATTGATTTATAAATTATTTATTAAACTTCATTTCTAAAACTATTCATTTTCTAAAAAATGTATTACCCTTAATACTATTACTTTTATTTCCAGTGTATGTTTACTTAAATTGCATTTTCATATCATTAAATTAATAAGCATAATTTTATAATGAAATCTAATCTGATAATTTAGGTGAAATAGTCTATGTCTTAGTTTCATATTTCAAAGTATGACCACTGGATCTTCTTCCTAAACCTAATTTCATAGTATTCATAAATGTATCCAAATTTTACTTTAATCTTGGAGTCGAATTTTTTTAATCATTTTTAGAATTAAACAAATAAGATATCTATCTTTACATTTCTCTTAATTTATCATCTTTTGCTTCTTATTTTGTCTTTGGATATTATTCTGGTTTTGGAGGAGATAAAACTTTTAATGGAGAACTTCTTCTATCCAAAAGTGGTGGAGTATTAAACTAATTGATTGAAAAATCTCCTTAAATATTTATATATTTAGTTGGGGAATTGTTTGATTTGTAGCTATTAAATAAATCAGAAAACTGTTAAGCAGACCCAGATTTTTATAATGTGGAGTTTTATACAACTGAAGATTTTAATTATTAGTTTGTTTAAATATAGGATTAGACTTATTATTTCTATTTTTAGAATTATTATCTATTTAACTCTTATTAAATTTATGATTCTGCACTTGTCCATTACTTTTCAAATTCTTCTAATGTGATCTAACCATTTTTTGATATGTTCAAGTATTAAAAGATAGATTGAATCTAGCTAAAATTTATTTATAATTAAATTCTTACTCTTTCTAAGTAATACCATGATTATTATTGAGTTCTTATGTTAATTCATTTATTTCAATTATTCCGTTTTTATTTTAATCTATTGAGTCAAAAGTACTCTTAAGATTTGAAAATTTTGATTACAGTGTCGTTTTGATCTATTTCCATAGCTAGAGAGTTTAAAGCATATCCATATAAATTGTAATTAAAATAAATAAAAAATATTTTAATTGAAATGCTTTTTGGATTGGTGACAAGTTAATACAACTATTTTTTTGATCCCTTAACAAATACTCATCATTAAGATTTAAACTTTGATCAAACATAATTCAATTATGCAAAAATAAGTTAACTATATTTTATATTTCTAAGTTGTCGCTTATCCTTTCTTAGAAGATCAAACTAGATAAAAAATAATACCTTAAATTTAGATATAATTCTTTAATTTATGTGATATTCTACAAGCTAGAAATAAAAAGCTATTTTCAATTGGTGATGATAAGCAATAATAAAAAGTTCAATTAGAAATAGATTTAGACAATCAAATTATCAAAACTTATTTTAAGATAAATGAAGGTGTTGAAATAATATCAAATAAGGAATTTGAAAGAACATTTAGTCCAACCTCAATTATTGAGGATAATTATTATCTATTTCTAAAGAAGTATAAATTACAATATAATTATAGAAATGTGAACCATTTACCATAATTTAAAGATGCTTTAAATTTAAACAATATTTAGGCTTTTACAAAAGATCATCAAGAAGATTTATATACAAACATAAGTAATAATTTAATTTGCGATCTTGTCATCTCTAATTTAGCAACCAGCGTCATTATTATAAGCAAAAATCTTAGAAAATTTTCAGCATAAAATTTTGTGCAAGATAGAGGATATTTTAAGTAACTATTCTGTGATATTTCTCTTAAAATAATCAGTGATTAAAATCCTTTATTTGATTATATTTGATAAATATATGTTTAATTGTATATTTTGATTTCTTAGAATAAAATTCATCGTAATATAAAATTTTAGTTGATCTTATAATTATAATTGATATATAAAACTATTATCACAATTAATCGTTGAGTTCTGTAATTTATTTATATCTCCATTGATTTATGTAAACAGAGTTTATGATCATTGCTATAGAACAAACTATCTCTAAAATTACAGTAAAATTGTAAAATGAAAATGAACATTCCATTTAGCCCTTAGAAAATAATAATTATGAATTACCTTCATTTTTTCTTCAATTTAAAACTCTTCTTATAAATTACATAAATTATAGTTATTTATTTGAGAAGTTCTAATTGAGACATAATCAAAATATGCTGAAATTAGCTAAATTATTATTACAATAAATACTAATAGAAATGAGAATGATATCCCAATTTAAAAGCTTAATTCGGCATATTTTTTATTTGTTTTTCGTAATGCATAAATTCCTATGAGTACACTTGATATAGATAATAAAATGAAGCATAATCTAATCTCTGAAATAGCAATTTCCCATGGACATTCAATCTTTAATATAATTCAAAAATTACTATAGCGCTAGCTTATAGATCTTTCTTAACCTTCAAAAATATTTCAGATCTTATTGGTCCACTAATAGTTTTACAATTCATAGTTCTTCTCATTTCAACACAAATGTAATGGCCTCCTATAATACTATAAATTATAAATATTACTATTGTTAGCAGATTCTATTTCACAAGTCCATTTATCATCTGAACCTACAATGCTGTAAAAAAGCAAAATACATAATAATCCCTTATGATCAATATATTTATATACCAAAGCAATTAAATTAACAATTAAGCTTTTTTTTGTGTTTCCATCACTTTCATATAACAATTTCTTAGCTTGCCAAATTTCTTTATTTGTTTTTGCTTAGAGGTCAAGCATATTTTAATACGTGTAAATTTTATTAATAATTTTTCTATTCACAATTTTTAAAAAACAGCTACTAAAACTTTTTTTACAAAAAATATTCTTTCATTTATGAAAACTAAATAGGGCAATAATTTTTTGATAAGTTCATATTTTATATCGATTTTTATTTTATTTGCTTCTTATTAAAAATAATCTTATAAATTTTAAAAGAAATTTAATCAAATTAAAATATTTTGAATCCAAAAATTTTTAAAATAGAGTAGTTTTTACATTTTTCATAAATTAAATTTGTCTATATATTATATATTGATGAAATTAAAAAAGATTATTATAAACTAACAGATGAATCGTTTGAATAAGTTTAACAAAAAAGTCTTCAAGTTATAGGAAGATAAAAATATAATTATCTAATAATTCTTAGAGAATTTAACAAGATAAAGATTTTATTTAAAGTATTAATCTGATTCTAGATTGAAACTTGTTTAATTTATTTAATATATCCTCTGATTTTAATTTAGATTTATAAAATTATAATATAAGAATATATAATACAAATTTTAAAACAAAATATGATCGATCTAACTTGTTAGATTTTTTTGAGTAAAAATCTTTATATTTTAAAAATTTTAATTGATAAGGATTAAAGAGAATATTAATTGAATTATTTATTATATGTAAATGGAATCATTCTGAATTTTCATGATATTATACTATTCCTTCAGTTAAATATTAATCATCTTAAGTTTTTAATACTTTAATATAAAAATTTTATAAATATTAAATTTTTCGGTTGCTAATGTTTTATAAAACTAACTTACTATCTCCTAATAGAACATAATCTCCAATAATCGTACACAAACAGTCAATTTCTTAAGTAAACAATCCTCTTTTATCATAATAACAATATCAACCTTAAACTTATTATACATCATCAAGAACTACACCAATGAAAAATATAGAATAGAAATTTGAAGCAATAAAACAAAATATCACCATACCAACTTAAAGTTAATATTCACCAGAAAGAAATAAAACAGTAATCTCTAACGATTTTGAATTGTAAGTTTTACGCAATGAGATAACATTCAGAGATTAGAAAATTGTTGCATTACAAAAAACACTTGATTAATCGAATGATGATAGAATAAGATTAAGATCAGCTTTAGAATAAAAATCTAATTCGTGTGTTAACAAAGAAAGAGAAATAGCCAAATTATTAGCAACAATTCATTAGATGGAATTTAAGAAAAACGAAAGTTAAATAATAAAAGATCTTCAACTATAAATAGAAACTTTAAAGACTTTTATTTAAGAAAATTATCTAGATAAATAAAATGCTAAGAATGATGATACAAATAATTTTAAGGCCAAAATAGGAGTTCTTCAACAATAATTAACAAAATAAATAAATTAAAATTAGTCACTCTAATAGTATTTAAAAGAACTAATAAATTAAAATAAAGAATTATCATTAAAATATACAGAGAAATGTATAGAATGCTAAAAATTAGAAATGCAACTCGATTAAATCTAAATATTATAAAATGAAATTAAAGGAAAGGAAGAAGAAATATAAATCTTAAAAGGGGAATTGAATAATGATATTATAAGTAATCGCACTAAAGAACAAAGTGCTATTGACCAATAAAATGAAATATAGAAATTTCTAATACAGATAAAATAATAATATTTAGAAGATTCTCCAAAAAGAGATACAGATAATTAAGATTCCATGAATATTTATCAACATATTTACAGTTTTTAATCTACAGATGATTTTAATAAAGTGGAAATATAGAAAATAAACAAATGATTTATTAAAACTATATATAATGTTTTATTAACTTAGTATAAGATATTTAAGTTATATGTTTAATTCACTATTTCAATGAATGTAAGATTAGGCATTTATTTTTTTTATAATTAAAATTATTATTGTAATTAAAATCAAAACGTTCATAAAAAAGATAAGTTTTCAAAGAAAATAAACAAATTTGATATTTAGTAAAACATTTCTAATTTTATATCTATGATATTGATTATATATAGATTGTAAAAAGATATAAATTGAATATTATAGAAATATTAAAAAGAATATTATCTTTAAATAATGTTTTATATTGATTGTTGTTTTTGATATTTCATTCCTCAGGTTCGAAAACTCCAAATGAATCTTCAAAATTGATAGCCTCTTTTAATGAGCTTGTGAATGTTTAGTAATTATTATTTATGGTGGCAGCACAATTTTCTTTAATTTATTAAAATAGATTTATTACTGACACATTAAACATCATTTTCAGAGAGCTTTGTACCTTAATCAGGTTTGAATAATCTACACTTGTTTGCACATAATTTGGCCAATGATAATGTTAATCCAACAGTTATATTCTAAATTAAAGAAGTAAATAAAACAAATTACAAAGGTGTAAAATGGAGTGTTGGGGAAATCCAAACTTTCAGAATCGTCACTCATAAATCTTAATTTAATTATATTTATTCTTTATATTTATATATTTATATATAAATGAAATCTAGAACGGAAATACCATTATCAAATTAACTAACACCTTATCAGGCCAATTTGTAAGATAAATAAGATAGAGTATTAAGATTAATTTTGAAAAAGAATAACTAATTAGAGTTTAAGTAATTAAAAATTGTGCAAAAATAAACATAAAAAAATCAATCACAACATCTTTAATTGCCATAAATTTAGAATGCTGATTTAAATGATAATAATTTGAGAAAATATAGAAAATATAAAAACTTTTATTATTCAGATTAAAAATAATACTAACAAGAACATAATTTGGAATCAAGAGTCTAAGAAATTTTGGACAAAATATGCAATGTACAAAAAAAATAAATCAACGATTTAAGACCTGAATCGAATTTAATGAAGAGAAAAGGTTATTCAGTTGATTTATAGAAATAGCATCCTTCTATCTTATAATAAAGATAAAGAAGTGTATAGCAAAATTCTTTTAATTACTTTTTATAGCCAGCTCAATTGAACTCTGAATCTGATTGGCTTGAGTTTGTATTTGGTTGAATCAGCTGCAATCGTAATATTAAATGATTATTTATATTATTTATGCACTTAGGATATGATTTAAAGATATTAATTTTTTTTACATCTTTTTTTTTTTTAAATTATCTCATGCTTCCTATTGTATACGCAACTTCCTACCTCAATTATCCATAACTCAATCTTTAATAACTTTATCCAATTCCAACTTAATACTATAATATGATTCCAACAAAAGTTATGTGTGATTAAGCCTGTCAATTCCCCGAGATTGCTTTAAATGAAGAAGTTTCGGAAAATACTGATTCAAATCGCTTAATTTATTCTAAAGAAAACTTAGTATTACAAGAACTTAATCTACTTTTAAGATATTTGTCAAAGAATATTTCCTTACTTAAAGAGAAGACTTTTGAAAATTTCGCAAATGAGAATTTGAAAGTATATCTTATAATCATCACAATTAGAATCTAATATCTTTAAATTGTGACATACCAAATATTTTAAAGAAGAGATATATCTAAGTTAATAAAACAAAAGAAGAAATGACAAAATTCATTATTAGAAAATGTTTCCAATTCATTAAAACCGAAATCAATTATTAAGATAAAGATAATCTTGGAGCTGAAGAAAGAGACAGACTTTTTTATCATACATTCTTTTCTAGTGATTAAGAATTTATAAAAACTCTTGAGAATAACTCTATTGATGACCTCATTCCTTTTAGGAAAGAATCAAAGCTTAAAACTATAAATGACACTTACTTAAAATAACTGTTCAGATCACAAAAATTTTGCTGTTACTATTAGAAATTTTTAAGTAAAATCATTCATTACATATTATAGATGAGTTTTCAAATATTTTTCAACTTGAAAATGAAGAGAAAATTTAAAAAATGGCAAAGTAAATTTTAAAAATCATCTTTACAAGAGATTATGATGTAGAATATTTATCATTTATTTTTAGAAAATCAAAATTTATAGAAGATTTCCTTGGAAAGATCATGAATTTCGTAAGTGTGAAAATAGAGCATAAGAAATCTATTGGAAATATCATTCTTAAAAATTCAGTATCTAAATTTAATTATAAATTTAGAAAATGAAAAGAAACTTTTGAAAAAGGAATCAATTAAGTTAGAACATAATGAACTATCTGAATCTATATCATGAACATTATAAAAATATAGAATATAATATGAATTATAATTAATTCAATAATGGAATTCCTTTCATAAATATTTCTGTTAATTTTATGATTTCTAGATTTTAAACCAAATTTATAATAAATTAATTTTTTAATATTTAATACGAAGTGATAAAATTTGTTGACAATTTTAAATCCTCAAAAAAGTAATTAAAAAACTTAAATATTATATTAATTCCTATTTTGCTATATATTTTCTCCAAATTACTTTGAAACTTTATTAGAAATTAGAGAAATTTATTATCTTAATTATGATGTATAAATTTAATTCAATTATTGGCTTCTTATGAATTAGCTTAATTTAATCCAACTCCTAAAATTTTTTCCATTTCAAATACTCTGTGATTCAATAAATTAGTAGATTTTCTGATTCTTGCTTTTTCATTTTTTAATATTTCCACCTAATTGTTTATTTCGTTGGTTTCATGAATTGATTCATCTGCTAATTTTCTAAAGCTTCTTGTAAAGTCTGCTAATTCTTCAATGAAACTAGTCGAGGTATCATCATTGATAGAGGATTATATGTATGATTCATGAATAATTTCTTATCTCAAAATTTGTAATTCTTTTTTATCTCTTTCCAATTCATGTAATATATATTCTAACATAATCTAGTTGTAATTACTAATACATTTAATTTATCTTCATGTTCCTTCATTGGTAAGTTCATTGAATTTTTTTAGAACAGTTATAAAGCCTCTTTATATGATTACATAGAAATAATTAATATACGAAATATTATTGTGTTGAGGAAGCAAAAGAGCTCTCTTTTAATTAATAATAAATATGTTTATAGAGGTCATGATTCATTGTGTAATTCATCACGTATTTCTCTAATGATAATAACTAATTATAATAGATTTGATAATGTATTTCTACTAGGGGACTCAATTGCTAAAATAATGTTTGAATTTGATGTTTGTTACTATAATATTAAATAATTAAATTAATCGTTGTCTTAATTTTGAGATGCAATTTATCTAACATAATTAGACATTGCATTTTCATTCAAGCTTGGCTAATACAGTAAAATATCTTAATAATAATTTAATAGTACCAGTTCTATTTGTAAATAGACCCAAAGGGGATAAACGAGGTGAAGAGATTGGAATATATTCATCATAGGCTTTATTCCATCCTTTATAATGGACTAGCATTTCTTTTTAATTTTTTATTTCGATTATCTATCCAACACACCAGATATGTTCAGTGTCTAAAATATCTAAAGAATCTCCCTGTTTAAAATTTGTTATCTTTCTTTTTAACTTCCATTCTTTAAAATCTTTTTTTCTATTTAATATTGTTGAATTATTTTTTAGTATTTTACTATTCTCAATAAATTAATCTATTGTTTTACAATAGATAAATTGTAAGCCTTTCAAAACAGTATGACAAAATGGACATTTCTTTTTTATATTGAAATTATACATGAGATTTGAGTAAATACTCAAATATGCAATAATAACAAAATGAATGTCCACATGAAGCTATTGTGAATTTTATATAAAAATCTTTGCACAATTTACATTTTAGTTCATTATCATGAAATTCTTGGCTTAATTAAAAGGCTTAGCTGTTATTTAAATTTATACGAATTTTTTTTATCTAATTATAAACTTCTAAACTTTATGGTTTTCTAAATTTGGACAGAAATTTATTTTTAATTTATTTAGAATCCGCAAATCGGACTTCATGAAGTTGTTCTTCAATTTCGATATTTTTTTATTTCATTTTAAAATTAGTTTTATATAATTATTAACAAATGAAAATTAAAGTTTCTTGATTTTCCAAAAGATCTCTAAATAAAAATAAAAAATAAAATGCTAATAAAAGTCAAAAGTTTATTAAAATATTATACTCTAAATAAAAATCTTTAATTGTATAGAATTTATAACCTCAATTATAATTCTTTATACATACAAAGTTGATAATCTCTTATAGATAAAACATATAAATGAATTAAATCATATCTGATTATTAAGAATTGATATTGATTAATCACGCAATAACTCATGTTAATAATAATAAATAATCAGAAGAAAATTATGTTACTTGAAAAATATCTTAAGTTTTTAAATTAGCTAAAGAGCTTTATAAAGCATCAGTTCAATGATACTATTTTAACATTGATGCTCAGAAAACTGAAGCAAAAATAGAACATGCCACCAATTTAATAAATTTACAATGTTTTAAATGTTCAAATGTGTACATTCTAAAAACTAGAGTTTTTAAAATAAATCATATGATTGAAAAAAACGAAAGATCTATTAAATATTTTAGATTAATTTAATAATAGACATAATTAGCTAGAGAAATCATTTTAATTTTGAAAAGGTCTTATTTTATTTGATGATGTGAAGAGTAGAAATAGCTAAAAGGTTCAAGCTTTATTCATTAACAAGAATTGAATGATAGATAGACAATAAATAAATTATATAAATGTAATTTATAAAATAAATCTATTAAAAAGTAAAGATTAAATTTGTTATTTTAATTGTTATTAATATATAAAGAGATTTAATACGTTTTTATATGAGAAGTTTGAGAAAAAAAACAATTAAAAAGAAGTAAAGAGAAGATTTAGAAAATTAAATGGAAATAAAATATATTTATTAAATAAATGTCGAATAGACCACCCTCATAATAACCATTACAAACCGGAGCTGCAATTCCATAAAAACAGCCTTAATGGAATCCAACATTTTCTCCACCAAGATAATACTAAGCCCCAGTGTAATTGTAAAGTCCTGCATACATTCCTTAATATTACACTCAACCAGTTGCTCAATCATATGTTGCTCCTACTGTTGTTTAATAACCAGTAGTGTATTAATAACCAGTTGTTGCTTAATCAGTAGTAGCATAACCTGTGGTGAGTCAGCCTGTTGTTTAATAATAACCAATTATTAAGGGAGAAAGCAGAGTAGAGTAAAAATTACAATTATTCTCTCTTTAGATACATTCCTTATGAGAAGAGTGTAATTGAATATGAAGAAGTCAGACAAAGAATTTAAGTTCCTAGAGAAAAATACATCACAGAATACCAAGCCATTGAATACTAAACAGAATACGTGCCTTAAGTATTTTATGATAAAGTGACAGGTATTCATATTAGTATAATTATTAGAGTATGTTCCTGTTGATAGATATTAAGAAAGAGTTGAATATTATCCAGTTGAAAGATAAGTTGTTCATTAACCTTAAGTTCAAACTGTAGCTTAACCTGTTGTTTAGCAATCTTATGTTGCTTAACCTGTTGTTTAGCAATCTTATGTTGCCTAACCTTTAGTCACTTAATCTTATGTTCCTTAACCAGTTGTTTAATAATCCTATGTTACATAAGCTGTTCCTGTTGTATCATAACCAATTTAATATGCTTAATATCCTCAATATGCCTAAGCTCCAACTCAAACTATATATGGTCCACCTGTTCCTATTGGAAATGGACCTATTCCTGCAAGTTAGTTACCTGCTGCTGTCAAAACTGGATAATTCCAACAAACACCTTAAAAATGAGATATTATTGTTCAAATAAAAAAAATCACAACATTTATTATTTTATTTTTATATATACATTAATAATCTATTTTTCAATGAGAACAGCCATTTAACCACAATGCTATTATTGTTAGATATAACAATATTGTTCCTATATTCAACAATTTGAATTAAATCAAACTAAATTATATAAATTAAATACTTTCTGAATGGAGGCTACAAAATTCCATAATGATATAATAATACTGCAACCAAATATATATATTATAAATAACTGTGTTTAAAACATAACAAAATTGCATGAAATAATGCAGTACTCTAATTGATTGTTAAAATAATATAGATACTATGAAAAACCAAGGCACATGCTTACTATATACAGCAAATGGCAAAAAAAGTAAAGTTATCAAATGATGGGAAAAGAATGACATACTGCATGCTGATGCAAAAGCTTTCCCACTTCCTACTTTAATAATAATATCAAATAAGTAATATATTGGCCCATAAAAAATGAACGGTCTAATTAATTTATCTAATTGGTTCATCAAATAATACCCTGAAGTAATGATGGAAATTGTTCCATTCTCTTCACTTCTTACCAATAAATTGGATAAAGAATTTTGTAAATGATCATTACTATTTATATCGGAATGCCTATGTAACTATATGCCACCCAGATATCATCATTTAAATCCTTTAAGTATTCCCATTATTCTTAAGATAAATTCATTTCAATTTATATTTAATAATAATATTATCAAACTTTTCTTTTGTACAATTTATGAATTTCAAATTACTCTTGTTTGGTCTATAAATATTCAGAACCAACTGTTTAATATTATTTTAATTCAATGTTTACTGTCTCTAATAATGAATCAATTAATAATTGTTACTCTTTCTTCAATTCTAAAATACCAATCAATATTGCTATGTATTCTATTATATCAACCATTTCCTTTATATTACAACAGCTTGATTATTATTATTATTATATTTTCATAGCTTTTTACCTGTTTAATTTTATTATTCCTGGGAATTACTGCATTTTCTACATTAATTATTAATCTGATTTTCCTTTTATAAATCTTCTAGCTTATTCAATTGGATGCTTTAAATTCTTAATTCTCTTTTTTATTTTTAATTTTACTAATATTAATTTTACTAAAATGAAACTTAGTAAAGTTATTATAAGTATTGCATAATTTTACATTATTTTAATCAAATATAATTATAAATAGTTATAAACATTAGATCATTTTTATACCATATTTTTTTAGGAATTCATTGAATTTAAACTATTCTTTCTTTTTATATACTCGTAATTAAAAGATTCTACTTCAACTTCAAACATTCAACTTTTTAATATCAGTTTAAGGTTCTTTTTCAATTTTCTCATTCTTAAATAGCCATTCATTCCCTTAATTAAAATCTTATTTAAGGTTCTCTTAATATATTCTATTCTTCTTTTTGACGCTACAACTAATTAAAGATATTAAGCTAAAATTAAATACTAGAATTTTTCTGGATTTATATTCCAACTTATTAGTATTTCTTTTATCTTTTTTATGCAAACCATTTAAACTAACTTCCTTCAAAATTGAATAATAGATTTACATATAATCATTAATATTATAATATAATAACTGTATTATTATAGTATAAGTAGTTAATCCAATAAATTTTAATCAACAATGAAATGATTCTAAATAAAATTTGAAATAAATAATATTCCTAACAATCTAACCTTGATCCCTATCCAAATAATCATACTAATATTTAGACCTTAAAAAAGAATAGATTAAATGATAAAAACTAATCCAAATAATTATACATATCTGAGTAACTTAAAAAATTATTCAGAATTCTTTTTTCCACTACATTTATTTAACCATTTGCAATGATGATCTAAATTAGATACGCATCTCAAATAAAAATTTAAATTAACTATTTATATTAACTACAATGACGAATAGTGTTACCGATAGAACAATACATAAAGATTTTCATCCATTTCTCTATTATTAAATTTCAATAATAATTATACATTATATCCTTTTCTTGATTTTATAATCAAATCATCAGTAGGAATATTAAATGAATTTAAAAAACATAGAAATATATTAAGATTGCAAATAAGCTAAAATAATCTATATATTATGAATTTATACTTAATATAACAAATTAGTTATTGGTGTTATAACAATAGAGATGCAACAAAATAATTGAATAAAAAGAAGATTGAAAATATCTAAAGTGGATACTTAGGTCTTGTAAAACTATTTCATGTTTTATATTCCTTTCTAAATTCATAGAATTTATATTAATAAAGCATTATTATAATTTTTATTATCGATTATTATTAATAAATGATAAGATTATCAAATTCATCTTCCAGACCATGAAGCAACTTGTTTCTTGAACATAATGATTACTTCATCAAGAATAGCATTTTCTTCTTCTCTTTTTGCTTTAGCTTCAGCATAATCGGCTCTCTTTGATTCTAAATCAGATTATGCTTAATCTAAGGCATCTTAAGATTCTTGTAAGATAATCTTTGATTTAGCTTATTGAGCCAAAGCAGCTTAGATTTACTTAATTAAAATTATTAAATTACAGTAGCAGTTCTATCAGCAAATACTTATTTTCTTTCATATTCAACTTCTAATGATGAGATTTCAGCTTCTGATAATGAAACCCATCCAGCTAATTCCCATGAAGCATTAATTTCATTTTATTTTAAATTTTCTAATGATGCTTCTAATTCAGCTTCTAATCCTTCAAGTACTGCTAATACTTTTTATGCTAAAGTAGCTCCACCTGTTGATGTTTCTCCCTTTAAAATTTATATTCTATAAATATTACTTCTTAAGTATTAGCTAATGCTAAAAATGATTTGATTTAATGATCTTAGAATAAGTTGCTGTATTATTTTAATTTTTCAGCTACAGATTATGCTTTAACTTATGTGAATTCAAATGAATCACCATTTATAATATAACCAGCAACATCTTATTTCAAAAGTCTGATAACTTCAAGGGCTTCTTAATTGTGTTTAATTGATTTAACAAAAAGTTAATTACTAAAGCATTGATTATCTGAAAGTGCATCAATTTTTCTTGCTATTTCATCTCTTCTTGCTTCATTCCAAGCTAAATAATTCTTTGTTTATTTAAGCACTTCTTCATAATTTGCTCTATTTTCTATTGCTTAATTAAACAATTTTTGATTCAAACTTTTAATCTTTGTAAATTATTCAATTGTCCTAAATCATTTAAATTAAAATTACTATGCACCAACCCATTCATCTGTTTCATTCTTTTAATCTGCAGCAAACTAAGCATCAATATTTGATTATTTCAAATCATTAAGTAAACCAAAAACTGTATCAATAGCATCACTTGCTTTTGTTCCTGTCTATTATTCTTATCAATATCTGTTACTTATAATAAGGCAAGGATTTAATCTTATGTTTTTGAACCATAAGTTGTTGCTGCCAAAGCTAATAACACAACAATAATGAATTTCATAAAATTATTAATCAAAAACGTGCTCTCATAAAAACGATAAAAATTATAAAAATGTATCCTACATCATACTCTACTTAATACAAATTCTAATAATTATAATTTAATATTCATTCCTTTTTTCTTCATTAAAATTAATTATCTCTAAAAGAACTACCATCAACTTATGATTTACTCTATAAATAAAATAATAAATTATTTACATGACCAAGTTATGATTTCCAATTTGTAGGTGGCACACCTTAATTCATTTTTGAAAACAGAATTCTCAATAACTTTTCTTTTTCTTCTAAATCCAAATCATTTATATCAACCTTATTCGATTCGAGACTTTAAGATTTTTATGATATTTCTGGTAAACGACTATTTTTCTAATTCTTATTTTTCTTATTGATTTCATTTTTCACTTAATCAATCGCTTAAAGGAAAAATTACTCAATATCAGATCTTTAATCTAAAATCATTTAAGCCAATGCTTTAACAGTTTTTAACTCCTTTGTTCTTTGATCAAGTAAATGTCTTAAATTTCGCAATTACATTTCCAATTCTTATACTTTTGTATTACTTTAATGTTTCATAATTTCAATTTCTTTTGTTTACTTTGTCACTTCCTTTAAAACTTAGAAAATACAATACATTCGCTATATAAGTCTTAAGATATTCTATCTTTTCTTTCAATTACTTTATCTTTATAATTTATTAATGATTAAGCATTTAATATCTAAATTAAAATTAAATTTTTTTTTACTCTTTTGCTTATTCCTCTTTAATACTTAAATTTTGTTTATAATTAATATTCTCTTATTAAAACGTTTCTTTTTCTTTTTAATATATTGATAAAGTTCTTTCATATTCTTGTAATTCACTTTTAATCTTTTCATTTTCCTTTAGAATACCATCATATTTTGCAGCCACTTTTTCCTCTGCTAATTTATTGGCATTTCTTTGTACATCCTCTATCTTGGCATTATTAACATTTGTTAAGTTCTAAGTTTATTTTAAAAAATTTTTATTGGCTTTGCTTTATTCATCTAAATGTGCATAATCCTTTTTATTCATCTCTTCTTTTAAATCATGTATCTCACGAATCATATATTCTTTTTCTTCCTTATTTTAGTAAATTAATTTACCTTAAATGAACTTAATTTTTTTAATTCTTCATTAATTCTTTATAATTCATCTTTATGTCTCATTTCTAAATCTGCTTTATCTTTTTCCAAATCTAATAAAATTATGTAACTTAAATTACATCTAATTTTTTCATCTTTTCTTTAAATCATTGATTCTATTTCTTCAGTTGTTTATTTTTTCAAGTCTTCATATTATTATAAAAGAGCATTATAATCACTTTCCTTCTTATTTATATCGAATTCCATCTTTAGAGTTAAAGCTAACTTTACAATATACTCTTAGACACTTTACATTTTATTCATTTATTGTCCTTATTGTCTCATTTAAATCATAAACCTATTTCTATAACTCTTCTATTCTATCCTTTAGAACCTATATTTCAATCAATAAATTAGAATGATCTCTATATATTTATCATGACTATATTATTTACAATTTCTCTAATGCTTTCTTTTCTGCTTCAGTGAATTCAACTACTTCCTGTTATTATTTTTTTTTAGGTGGCATTTTTAAATAATTATTATTAATAAATAAAATTTAGTCCTGCCTCTACAATTTTTGATTAATATTATATGTCCTAACTTATAATAACAATTTATTATTGTTTGAATCTCACTTTATTCTCTCAATATTAAAATAAAAGTAAATAAATTTATAATTTATGAACAACAACAACTCTTTAATATTGGAATATCACCTATATGATACTATTTAGTTGATTAAAAATAATAAATACAAAAAATTTATCAATTTAAGTAGAAAATTACTTTGTCACCCTTATTTGATCAATGATACATTTTACATACAATTAAATATTTAACTAATTAGGAGATTATTATATTGTTAACTTAAAGTCATCAAGAAATATATATTCAACTTTAGTTAGAAACAACAAACTATTTTAGAAGTTTTAATAACTTGCATGAATTTATGTTAAAATTATCAAATTTTGCTTAATAAATATTAAATTTCTTTAGATGAAAAATAGATAAACGAAAAATAAATTTCTAGAAAATAAAAATTTTTAAATGAACCAAATAAATTAACAATTAAATAATTTGCAAATATTTTTGATAAATTAGAACCAGACAGCAAATCTAAAATTTGGATTTAATATTAATAATAGCAACTATTTTGTTACTTTTAAAAAACTTTACTTTTTAATTATCTATATTGCAAAATATCTTTATTAAAAGAGGCTCCTCTTTTTTTGTTTAAATTGTAAATGTTGAAACCTATCTTCACATTTTAATCATAACTTTTATATTTTTAAACATTAACCCTAAAAAATGCTGCTTAATTTGAATTATCCAATACTACCAATAATGATGCATTAGAATATGGATTTTAAATGTTATTAAACTCTCTTCGAGAATATCATAAATCATAAACAAATTTAATAAATTTATAAAAATAATTGATAAAAATAACAACTACATTAATAATAAATTTAGACATTCAAAGCAAATCTTATGAAATTAATGATAATCATTTAGAATGTATTTAATCTTTGAATTTGGCTCACTTTTTAGCCTATCAAATTTTAAAACCTTTGAAAGCTAAATCAGAATTCATTGAATATATAACTTAAGAATTTGATTTCGTAAATGAAAAATTTGAATAAATTTTATTAGAAGATCAAGATTTAACTAAATTTACATAATTTCTTTATGGTTATCATTTGAATTAAAAATAAAATATCAAAATTATTGCTAATTCTAAACTTTAAGAAATGATTAAAGCAAAACTCTCAGAAAAAAAGAGTACATAATTTTAAAAAGGATTTAAGACTGTTGATAGTAATTAATGTATATTTGCCTCACATAGTTAGGATAAATTGACAATGTAAGATTATTTACCCATTAAAATAAAATCATATCATCACAATAATTCAACGGCTTTGTCAAATCCCTATTCTTCAACTTCAATTAATAATACTGTCAATTTTAACACAATTATTAAAGAATCTCCATCAACTAAAAAAGAGAGAATAAATTAAAATGCTTGTCCTAGTAGTTTTTTAAGTTAAAATAGTGTTTAAATCATTAAATAAAAAAATTAAGAAATTCCAAAAAAACGCCAAATTTCTGTAAAGCATAAACGATCTATTACTAATTCAGAACATAAAAGTAGTTATTTAAGTTAATTAATTAATTTAAGATAAAAATCAAATTTGAGAATAAGAGATGAAATGAGTGAATTAGAAAAAAATCATCATAAATTAATCAATAAACTAAATAATCAATAAAAATCTACTAAAGTATCAACAATAGATGAATTTTTTAATAAGAAAATAGAGGCAATAGCATTTGAAGAATGTTTAACATTAGATTAAATAAAAGATACAGCAAAGAAAATAATTTAAACAGAATGGGAGATTCATAAAGAAATGCCAGTAACTAAAAGTTTGATGAAATCTATATCAGTTTTTGATATTTAAGTTGAATAGAAATAGGCAATATATAATAAACTTTAAGAGTATAGAGAAATACAAAATGTTGATTATTACAACACAGAGAAGGATCGAGCTTAAGATTAAATGGAATAAACAAAAGAAGTTAAAAAATTAAAAATAAATCAATAAAGATTTTCAATGAGAAATAGAAGTAGCTAATAAAGTTTATTGAATTCTCATTAGATTTAATCTTTAGTAATCAATGATACCAAGATTTAAGAATAATTAACTTAGTCGATTTTAGAGTAATAAAATTCAGGCGAATAGAATATTGAAATGAAAGTATCACCAAGATTATCTAGGAAGAATAATTCGATGTTTTATAATTAAAATTAAGAGTAAAATAATTAAAAGAAAGGATATTCATTAGTAAAAGGATAGTTGATAGATTTAATGATAAAAAATCTTGAATATAGAGATGAATTGAATATGTAAGAAAAAGAGCTGAAATAAGTATTATATTTAATAGATTTAATAGTTTGTATTACCTAGATAATTTAGAACAAAAACTATATCTCCTTAAGGAGGAGAGTTCTCATAAAAATCCTAGAATATGAGTGATTTTAAGTCATTTGCTTATAGTACGAATTCAACTTAAATTACCTCTCAACAGATGGAAAATAAATTACATAAGACATTTATACATCAAAAATAATGATAAAGCTTCTATTTATTTAAATTATATAAAAATTATATCATTTTTAAGAATGGAAAATTGATTTTAGTAATTAGTAGTAATAAATATAATATTATTTATTTTAATAAAAATATATATAAAATATAGTTAATATGAGTCAAAGTATTATGAATGAGATATTTAAATTAGTATTGATTTATTATGATTAGGTATGTTTTGATGGAGCATAACAAAAGAAATGGATATAATGTAAAGATTTAGATAGTTAACTTTAATTTATTAGAGATGCAATACCTTAAAAAATAAATGAGGCAACTAAAAATTATGATTATGAAGCTTTGGAAAAATAAGTTTAAAAATATGAACATGAGATTCGAAAGCACATAAGAGTATGTTCTTATTAATAATAAAATTAGATGGAATAACAAATAAAACTATATGCAGAATCGTTATAATAAAAACTAGAAGAACAAGAGAGTGTAAATGATTGTTTAAGTAATACCAAATAATTAGTGAATGTAATTATTATAAATTTTTAGTCTTTAAAAAAAGAGAATCAATAATTGATAGAATAAGTGAAAAGATTGTAAAACGAAAATCATATTCTAAAATCTAAATTGATTGATGTTAATGAAAGAATCAATAGTCATTAGACTTCTCCTGTTTAGGATAAAATTAAAAATTAAGATTCTCATCATCAAAAAGTATTAAATCTGAAAGCTTATTAAGAATAGTTAAAGATATTAGACTATAGATTTCGTAGCTCCAAAATAAAAGTTAAACTAAAGAAATATAGAAGATTATACTAAATAATATGCTGAAGTTAAAACACAAATAAGTAATACTATCGATAGTTCGATCTTGAAAATGCTTTAAAATCGTAGAGATTCATTAAAGTAGAATGATCCTTATAAATCTTCAAGAGATTCATCTTCTATAGAAAAAAATGATTCCAATAAAATCAAGTCTTGTATCAATCAATAAAGAGCAGCAAGTTAATAATAAAAAGTTTAGCATAAATAAATGATTGATCCAAATATTTAATAAGTCAGAACTATAACAGAAAATGTTAAATTTGATTTAAAAAATCAAAGTGATAATTTAAGGGCATTCCTTAATACTTAAAGTTTTCTTTGCAATAAAAAGAATAAAACTAATTCTAAACCTGAAAATAGATATAATAAAAGTCATAGTGAACATTAAAATGCAAATACAAATTATGCAGACATATAAAAGTATTTCTTGTTTATATAGAAAGAACTAATAAAATCCAAAAAGAGTATTTATAGTTTTCATAGAATTATTAAAAATATTTAGATAATTAGCTATGATAATAATAATTTTCCATTTTTATTTAAACTTACATGTATTTTAATTTTACAATCCCTTACATATTCTCATGGTATTAATTTTCTTCAAATTAACTCACTTTTTAATTTTATCATATATATTATCAAGAATAACAATTAATTTTATAATTATAAATATAAAATGAAAGATGATTCTTAGTTTAAAATTAGTTATAACAATAGTGAAAATGAAATTAAAATAAAAAGTAATGAAACTGAAAAACTAAAAATGGAAATTGAATAACAAGTGAGATTGTCATAATTAGAACAAATATAATAAAATGCCAAATTTTAGTATGATGAATTTAGAGTTGATTTAATAAATTAAGACAAATAAAAAAACAATACATTTCACCAAAACAAACTTCAAAAGCATTATGATGTGAATAACAATTCAGAAATCTAAAATTTAAATTAATCTTGTAATTTTAGATAAGGAAATTAAGCTAATTAAATTTCTGATTTTAATTACTCTTAAGAATCTAAAAAATTTTTATAAGAAAAGTTAAATGAATAAAAATCTGGTAATGAAAATAATAAGAATAAAGTATAATATATTGATAGTAATAATCCTAATGAAGAAGATAGTGATGATATTGAATAAAGAAAACCTTAAGCTAATATGGATTAAAAATAAAACAATAAAGATTAAAAAGAATCAGAAAAGGGTATAGACAAAGCATAAAAATAAGAATGGTTGTTGAAAAATAGAATAAAAAGACATGAAAATTAGGGAGATAAGGATTATAATGAAAATTTAGATATTTTAGAAATAGTGAATCACGGATAAAAGACAGAACCCAATCTTTTTGAATAAGGATTATTAAAAAGGAGTGATTATGGGATATAGAATAGTTTAGACTAAAAATCATTATAATTTAAAAAAGAATTGTATAAATCAGATTTGGAAAGATTATAAGCTTAATCTAATGTTAATAGAGAGATATAAGATTAGAAAAAATAAGAAAATTTTGAATCTAATTCTATGAAGAATTAAATTTAGAATAATGAAAATCAAAAAGAATTAAAACAGAATTTAGAAGTTAGAAAAATATTTGAAAAAAGATTTGAATCATAAAAAGACAGTTGGGATGTTTCATAACATGTAATTACAAGTACAGAGAATAAAATAGATTCAGTAAAAACTCCTTATGAATTATAACCATTGGATTAACTTTATAAAATAATGAATGGTTCAAATTAAAGAACTATAAATAGTTATTTTAGTCCAAAAAATTAATAAATTTAAGCTCATTCTTTTTTATAAAAATAATAAGGAATTGATCCATAAATTAAATAACAATAAAATTAATTAAATAAATAGTAAGAGGAGAAACAAGGATTTATTAAAAAATATGATGATGGTTCAATAAGATATAATAAAGATATTGGTAGATCATTAAAATATTCTGGTAAGGATAACAATTAAAGTAATTAGAAAAAGACAATTCTTTAAGAGATGAAATCATCACATAGAGAAATTGAATAATTATAATAAAAATAATAGAGGTTTCCAGAAGGAGTTAAAAAAATTCTAAATTAATTAGATTTAAAATAATAATAAACACAATAGATTTCTTAAAGAGAAAAAGATAAAAAGAAACTTGAAATGTAAATGTAAACCTTAGATAATCCATTAATTAAATAATAAGGTTAAAGATAAACTGAAGAATTATTAAATGAAGATAAACATGAATTTAGATCAATTAAAATAGAGAAAAAGAAGGTTACAGAATCATAGAGACTATCTAAATTTAAAATGATGTTAGACAATAATATGGGAGAATCATTTTAAGTTGGAAAACCTATTTTTGAATTTAATAGATTACTAAAGTATTTATTCTTGAAAAATTATGATATTCCAGACATAGCAGATTAAGAATAGAAGATTATTCCAAATAAATTTGAAAGTGCTGAAGAATATTGTAAAATTTTTGAATATTTATTCTTAAATGAGGCTAGTGCATAAATAAAATAAGAATTGATTGAATTTTTAAAAAAGACTGAAAAGACAACAAAATATAGAAAAGTATAAATAAAGATTGATGAAAATGATAATGAATCTGAAGGTGCTATATTTATAATGAGAGGACCTTAAGCAAATTTATAAAAAGATACTTAAGAAGATAATAAAAGAGAATAAATAAGATAAGAAGGAAAATATGATAGTTAATCAGATGATTAATAATTTTGTTATGACAATATTAAGGATGGAGTTTGTGATTTGACAACTCTTAAAAATTTTATTGTAATAATTTCAAGCAATATTAAAATGAAATTAAGATAATTTAATTAATTAAATGAAGATAAAATGACATTTTTTGGGATTTTAATAGAACCTTAAAAGGCTTAATATTTACAATAAATAAGAATATAAACTTTTTTAAATAAATAAAGCTTAAATATAAATTAATGGCATAATGTATTTTTATTTCCATTTTCTAAAATTACAACTTTAATTCGTGAATATTAAATGATTACAAAGTTAAATTATAAAACTCCTTTAGCAGGATTAATATATAATCCAACATCATCTTAATAATTGATTGGTTCAGATGTTGGAATAGGTTGGACAGTATAATTTTAAAATTAAATTTAAAATAAAGAATTGTTAGATTCTTTTTTTTAGACAGTGTACTAAAAGTATAATGAGAGTTAAGCAAATTCAATAAGAGATATAATTTTAAAGGAGAAAGGAATATGTTTATTATAAGGACCGGTATTTTATAATAGATATTTTTTTAGCCTGGAACAGGTAAAACACATACATTAATAGGACTATTATCAGGAGTTTATGAGTATATGAAGTTAATGAATAAATTTCCTAGAAAAAAGATATTAGTAATATAATAAATTATAAATAATAGATATGTGCCCCTTCAAATGCTGCAATAGATGAGATTATTTTAAGGATTCTATAGAAAGGTGGTTTATTTGATTCAAAGGGTATTTCTAGATAAGCTAATGTTATTAGAATAGGTTTATTAGATGAAGAGAATGTTCATTCAGATGTAATTAAGAAAGTTTCTTTAGAAGATTTAGCATAACATAAATTATTTTCTACTTAGAAATTTAATGCACAATAAGATTAAAAAACAACAGCAGATTTAAGAATTGAATTATGTTAGATTTAGAATCACATTAAGAAATTAGAGAAAAAGTTAAACTAACATGGATTACCTTAAGAAGAGAGAAAGATAATTAAAGAATAAATAAATTAATTTAATGATTTAAGAAAAAGTAAATAAGAATATTTAGATAAAACAAGAGAAAATAAAAAGATTTATAAAGAATTTTATAATTAATTTTGTGAAAAGTTATTGAATGATGCTGAAATAATATGTAGTACATTAAGTTCAAGTGGATCTGATAAATTATCTAAATATTTAGATTAAATAGAATTATTGATAGTAGATGAAGCAGCTTAATGTACAGAACCATCTAATATTATACCTTTAAGATTAGGAATAGAAAAGATGATATTAATAGGTGATCCAAAATAATTACCTGCTACAACATTTTCACCTGTTTCTCATTAAACATTATATAATAGAAGTTTATTTGAAAGAATTTTAGATAATAATTTCGAACCTTATTTTTTAGATACATAATACAGAATGCATACTGAAATAAGAATGTTCCCATCTTAATACTTTTATGGTAATAAATTAAAAGATCATGAATCTACCAATTTAAGAACTTTACCATCAAATTTCTTTAAAAATAGACTATTATTCTTAGATATACTTGATGGATAAGAAAATAAAGATGGAACATCATATATAAATGAATAAGAAGCATTTGTTATAGTATAATTTATTAAATCAATCAAAGAAGAATTTACTAATTAAACTATTGGTGTGATTTGCGCATATAAATCTTAAGTTAGATATATTAAAACACTATTAAAATTAAAATTTACAGATGAAATCTTTTAAGATCAAACAACTATTACAATCAATACTGTTGATTCATTTTAAGTAAAATTTTATACATTAATTATTAGGGTTAAGAAAAAGATATTATATTATTTAGTTGTGTTCGTTCTTCTCAATCAGGGGGAATTGGATTTCTAAATGATGGAAGAAGAATGAATGTTGCTTTAACAAGAGCTAAAAATGCTTTATTTATTTTTGGAAATGCTATCACTGTATTAATATATGTTTATTATATTTAGTTATCAAAAAGTGAATTATGGAAATCAATGTTAAAAAATATTATGAAAAGATAACTTTATAGAAATCTTGATTCCTAAAAATTTACATTTAATTTACTTCTCAAAGATGAATGGACTGAAGAAAATAAAACAATATCTTAATAACTTATAACCCATCTTAATTAAACATCTTAAGGAAATCATGAAAAATCAACATATAATATATCAGATTTTAAGATCTAAATCAATTCAAATGAAAAAGTTGAAAATAATTAAAATCGTGAAATTATTAAAAAAAAATAATACTAATAATAGGATAAGAATAATGAAAAAGAAAGTTAATTTAAAATTAATGTAAATAATAAGGAAAAAGATAGAAATACTTCTGAATATTAAATTAATAAACAAATAATTTAAATTCAACAAAGCCCTATTCTATAAAACTAATCAATAAAAAATAATAATGATAATTCGAAAATCATCAATAATTAACTTCAAGCTCCCAAGGATATAAAAACTGAATAAAAAAGAAAAGATTAGACAAATACTTAGTTGAAAGAGCATTAACTTTATGATGATTTTGATTTGATCAGATGCCTACAGGAAGAAGGCTTTTTTGATAAATGAATTTATTTTCTTTATTCATTACCTAAACACATTTATAATAGTTATCTCCTTTTCAATAACACTTAAAATATCTTTTACTATATTTGAAGTCCATTTAATAAACATTTCTAAGTTTTAAATTTAAGATATACAACATAATTATCATTTATCAATCTCAATATCAGTTAAGAAAATAATAATTGAATATCCTCTTTAATCATTTGAGTTTTGAAATAATTTAAGATAAGCATTAAAGTAAAAATAGAATTTTCATGTTTATTTACAATTAATTTTAAATAGTTAAACATTTTAATAGTAATAATTATAAAAACTATATCTTATTTTAATTATAATGGAGTAAGATTAATAATTTGAAATGATGGGGACATTTAACAATAAACCTTAGTTGTTATGTATCAATATTGTTCCTAATTTAGAAAGTATCAGCATAGTATATAAATATATTTTTATTAGAACACTCCCACTGGGTAAAAGTTATTTGAATTGTAATTTGCTGACGATAACATACAATTCTAATGGGCTGAATAAAATTAGATATTAGACCTTATGAATTTCGTTAGATTATGGATAAAAAAGGAAGAATTTAAGATTTCAGGGAATCATGAGAATATTCAGTGGCTATTTAACATATGTAAAGGAAAATTTATATTTCTGTAAAACAACTAAAATACAAATAGAACTTTTATTGAACAAAATGAATCTGGAATTGTATAAGTTATATTACCAATCTAGATTTATAAACTGGATGATAAATGTCATAATGAGTTTGAGTATTTTTAAAAAATTCTTTTTAAGACTAATGTGGAATCCAATCGATGTTTTTATATTCCAGAAGAAATAAAAGTTCTAAAATTAGTTAATCAAAATAAATGCCCTTAATTAATTAGCATAGAGACTATTTAATATGATGGACATCAATTTTCTTATTGTTATAAGAAATAAAAACTAAACACCTTAAGATAACTTATATAAGAGACTCAAAACTTGAAATTAAGTTTGGTATTAGAAATAATAAGATAGCTCCTCTAAGGTATATATATTTATATTTTAAGTCACCAATTATTTTGAATCAATAAAGCTAGTTCACAATAGACTCGACTTAGACAATATACAATATTCAAAGCAATAAAATATTATTCAAATTACGAATTTTTCATATGCTTTTCTAGAACAATAATAACGAATAAATTTGTAATTAAATTTGCTGATTAAAAGTAAGGGATAGTTATTTGGCCATGCATCTCCAGAGAGTTTTTCTCAGACCTAACAGATGACGACAGCTACAAACATTTACTAAGTGGGCATACTATTTTACATAATGTATATAATATATTTCAATTTAGGGTATTTGGTAATAATCCTTTTGGAAATAAATAGGATGAGATTTAGAAAAATAATCTTATTGGAAATTTTTCAATACCTAAATTTAATGGATTAAAATGGCAAAATTTAACAGAAGTTCACCAAAAAATTTTTGAAATTATTTCATCGATGTTATCAAAAATTCCTGAATAGAGGAAAGCTCCTTCACATTATTTGAAATCAAAAATCTTTATGCCTTTTTTGAAATAAAAAATTTCAAAAATGGAATTTATGATAAACCCTAATGATAATCAAGAAGATGACATTATAAATGAAGAAAACAAAATTCTAAACACAATATACATACTTCGAACAAAATTTAAATGACCATGAATTAAATTGATTCTTTATAGAAATAATCCATAGATAAAATAATAATTATTAATTTAAGATAAAAATAAAATATGATTAATTTTTATAAAGTCTAATAATTATATAAATGCTTTTTTTAAAAATGAAAAAAATCCTATTAAATAAATTTCTAAAAGAAAGTTTAGAATTATGGAACAACTTCGAAACATTAATGGCTATATTGAAAACGATAATTTAATTAAATAAATGAAGACAATTTTATCTTTTAATAAAATTTACTGAATTTAAATTCTAGATAATAATTAATTAAAAATATGAAAAATCAAATTTTATTATATACAGTAGTGCTAAAAAGTGGATGAAGTTTGTTAAGTTCTTTTTGAAATAAATTTCTTTCTTCTTTTATTCCCTTTTTCTTTTTATTATATTTAATCTTTTCATAAAAGAAAGTAACTTCATTTTCTGTTGCTAAATATAAAGCCTTTATATCTTATAGAATAGTTTAGACAAATGAACTAGCTTAACTGATTATTTCATTAGTTATTGGAGAGACTATAGTAATTTATAATTAATTATCTTCTTAATTAAGTTCAAAAAAGGGACTAAATTAAATTAAATTTTTACTCTTAATTGAAACCTTTGTAATTTATTCCTGTTTTTTTGGTATCAAATTCGATTCCATAAAATTTTAAGAATCTATAAGTTGTGAATCCAATAGTAGAAGCTTAATTCGATAAATAACAATTTTATAAGAATGCTAATACCATTTGTATAATGCAAAATGAAGAAATCCCTCCTTTATATTAATCATTTAATCCTCTTTTTTTTAATAAACTTTTGAATAATAGAACAATTGGTCTTAATTCACCATAAAAAGATAACCATTATAAAGTTAATTCTGTTGAAATTTATCCTAAATGCTAATTTTATGTAACACCTTGATATTAAAAAAAACTGATATCTACACTAAATAGATGTGGAGATATCTCTTCATTATTACTAATAATCTATAAAACTTTATACTTTGGAATTAAATCAATATAAGGTAATACTATATTATGAGAGGAATCAACAAAAGAAATAGTAGGATCTACTTATAATTTGATTAATGGCATATTTGAAGTTGTAATTGCCCTTAAAATAATATTAATTTATACCTTATATTTTTAACCCATTTCATTTTTTAAAGAAAATCAATAATTTTTTAAATTGGTCCATTTAATTTAGGTGTAGGAAATAATTCAAATCCTGATATTCCTATATCAATATCACTTTCTGGAAGAGCTAAACCAGTTGCACAAGATCCAAAAAGACGAACTGTTGAATTAAATTCTATTTATTTATAAAAATTCTAACCTCTAAAAAGTTAATTTATAACAAATTAAATTCTATCATATATTAACTTTCTCATTTTTAGAATCTCCTAATTTTATTAAAATATTAAATCATTAAATTCTCGCATATCCATATCTAATTTCTTTATCATTAAAGATCTTGCCTAATTCATAAGAATAATATCAATATCATCAAAATTATTACATTTCAAATCTTCTAAATTATTTTCAGAATTATTTGTTTTAAAATTATTATTTTCTAAAAACAATTCATTTTAATAAAGACTCAAATCTTAGATTTATATTATAGATTTTAACGGTTTACTATTTACATTTTCATCTACTTTAAATTATTTAGAATTTTCAAAAGATTTATTTAATTTTACAATTTCTACATTCTCTGATGATTATGGAGACTTTACTTCTTTTTTTTCAGGACTCAACTTTTATTAACAAAAAATTTCTTAATTAATATCCTTTTAACTATTTCTATTTTAGAAAGTTTCTTTTTATTTTTCTTAATCTTAAACATCTTTTTTAATTATTTAAGTGTTAGGCTTTTATGTTGTAATAATTTGATTTTATTAATTAGATTTATTATAAGAATGAGATTTCTTAAATTTTAGATCTTAGGAACTAGCAAATTTTCTTGAAGTTTTCTTTCTTTACTTTTATGGTCCTGTTATAACAACCCAATTATCTTCTTCATCATTCTACTTATTTTATTCATTTTCATTAAGATCTATCTCTTAAATAATTTCATTTATTTTAGTTTCCTAAATTATATTATTATCTTTTTTTTCAAGATTAACAGTTATAAAATCTATTTATTTATTGACTAAACCAGAACTTAAAGTTAAAATATATTATACTTTGAATGTCTATTGCAATCACATTCAGTGCAATGAACATCATCCTAAGTTGTATCTTATTTATCAATAATCTCAAAGCTATTACATTTATCTTAATTTGATATTATCAAATTTTTTTAAGAATCATTTTTATTTTTTTACTTTTTTACTTTTTTAGATTTCTTTTTTTAATCTTGAGATTTCTTTTTTTCTTTACCTTCTATTTCTTATAGATCTTTAACTAATTTTTCTTTAAATTAATCTCTTATCATTCTTAAAATCCTCTTTTCACAAAAGGATGAAAGTTAAGTGAATCTTTCTAAAGGCAAATAATAAATTTCATTTAAATTGTTGTTTTCAAATAATTAATTAATTTCTATCTCATTTATTTATTATGATAAAATAGCAATATTTTTATCATATGTATTTTATGTATCATTTTATTGTAAAGGTTTTTTCATTATTAATTAAACCCATAAAATATCTTCTTATTTAGCATTTTTCTTTTTAGATGCATTTTTAAATTCCTTACTAATTTATGGTATTTAATTAAGGATTTTTATTTTAAAATCAAGATTTTCCATCCAATATTTTTTAAGATCTTAATTTTAAATTTAATTATTATCATCATTTAAATTTACCTATTAGTTTTAATAATATCTAAATTCTATAAAATATATTTACATTAAAGCAATCGCTTTTTCAAACTCATTTATTATCCAACCAGCACAGGTTTAATAAGTTTTAGGATTAAACCAGATTGCATCATTAACAATATATTATTTAGCTATTGAATTTATTGTTACTTTTGGCTAAGAAGAAAATGCTAATCCATTAGAACATTCTATTAACAAGTTTATAATATCTTCTAATGAACCTTATAAACAAAATTTGTCAAACATATCATCTTAATCAATGATACAGATTTTCGAAAGTAATTTCTTATAATTTAATATAAGATGATTACCTATTCTAAATGCAATTTCTCTTCCTCATGTGAACGTCTTTTACGAACTAAGCAAACAGCTTTAATATCTTCATTTATTGAAGGGAATCTTATATTTAAATAGCTTATACTTTGGATTATCATCTCTTAAAGCATAATTAGATCTTTCAATAAGTAAATCATGGAGATACATACGCATTATAAAGGTAGTTATCTTTTTTGAATTGACAGCAATCTCATTTATATTTTATTTCTTAACCCTAAAAATTACCACAATTAATAAAATATATATATATCGTAAGAACAAAAAGCAACATTTAAGGCATGCTGCTTCAAGAAGTGATTGAAATTAAATCAGTACCATTGAATAAGGTCATTTTTGTATGTATTCTCAAATGATTCAATTGTTTCACAAGCATGATTGTTGTATTTTGCAGTCAAATATTTAGGAATTGTATAAAGCATGTATTATTTGTATAATTTATAATTTATTAATTATTGTATGAGTCAGAATAGAGGACCTTCTAAACACTTTAAAATCATGTATATAAAAAATAATAGCTCCATCTAAATTTCTTTTTTATACTTAACTTATAGATTGCATTTAAATTAAAAGTACATATCAATTATAATAAAATTATTTTAATCTCCATCTTATTTAAATTAAGTTAAATAAAATTCAGTCTTAATCACTTAATTTAAGGTTTCATCTCATTTAATTTAGATTTAAATATCAAGAATGCTAGTTTGTTTCCCACTTATAATATAACGTAGTAGAAACATTAAAATTCTTTTAAATTATGTATTAAAATGATTAAAACAAAAAGACATAAAGAGTTTATAAATTATATTCTATAATAATTTTATTTTAACTATTAATAAATTCATTATTATTTATGACAAGTCTTATTAAAAAAGACTAAAAGAAAGCTCCAAATTAGTTCTTAAATTTTGATTAATTAGCTCACAAGAAATATCACTATGATCAAAAAAAAGCAAATGATTTATCATTTAAGCAAGAATAATATATTAATGATTTAAAAAAAGGGTATTTCTTCCATAATTATAATAAGTTATGATTAATAAAAACTAGAGATTGAACCTTTGTTTTAGAAGGTTGAATTGTTGTAGATAGAAAGAAAATAATTGATTGATGAAATAGAACAATATAAAATTAGTTAAATGGAAATTTTAAAGAAATACGAATCTGAATATTAAGAAAAAGATAAATTAAATAAGGAATGTGCAAAACTAAAACAATAAATTCAAGCATAATAGAAGATATAAATGCCAAAAGAATTTTAAGAAAAAAAAAGTCTTGAATTGAAAGAATCATTATTTATTACAATAAAAGATATTATGCATGAATTTGTAGACAATTATAATCATAAATTTGGATTTAAAGATGAAAATGGAAGTATTTTATCTTAATATTATAAAGTTTCTACAAATTTATTAGATGAACTGTTTTAATAAATTGATGATTCAATTATACTGTTTGTAAATAGCTTATCAGTTTAATCATCATAATAATTTTAATCAGAAGAAATTTAACATTTGAAAGATGAAATATCAAAAACTCTACAAATAGTTTCAAATTTTTAGGCTGAGAATTAAGATTTAAGTACAGCTTTAGATATAGAAAAACAATAGAAAGAAAAAATAATCAATTAAAGAAACACTTAATAATAGTTAATTAATTAATTATAAAATTAAATTGAAATATTAAATAATGAGAAAAAGCTTCTTGAATAATAAATGTAAGAGGTTTAAATGAAAAATTTTGAATTTTAACATGATTTATGTAAAGTAAATGAATTTTAAGAGCAAGAAAATGAAAAACTAAAAACTGAATTTATTGATTCAATTAATGAGCTTTAAAAATAAATCTCAAAATTATAAATAGAAAATTGTAGACTAACAACATTTATAGAAAATAATACATAATAATAAAATAATGACACAGAATAATTTAATAATTAAGTTAGAGAGTTAGAAAGTAAACTAAATTAAGAAATGATGAAATATGAATAAAAATCTAGAGAGGTAAATAATTGATTTTAATTATTAGATGTTAAGATATGAAAAAGAATTGAATTAATATAAAGCTGAAGCGACAAAATTATTTGAAGAAAATAATTTATGCTAATAGTAATTAGAAATGATTAAAGAAAAAAGAAAATAAGATAAAGATGTACTAAATAAATAAAAAGAAAAATAAAAAAAAATGAAATTGCAATTATAATAATTACAATAATCAGAGAAAGAATCTTAAATAAAAATAATTTAATTAGAAGAACAAATTATTCAACTTGCTTAATAGTAAGAGAAAGATGATGCTAAATAATAAATAAACTTTAATAAAGAAATTTTAATGGAAAAAGAGCTATAATTATCAAAATTAGATTAACTTGTTACAGAGTAATGCAATATATTCTATTTAGATCTAATTAAAAAAATCTTGAATAGAAGTAAATAATAATAGAAATGAAGATTTAAATTAATTCATTAGAATAAGAGCTATAATAGTAAAAGCTTACGAATTAATAGCATTAAGAAAGAAGAGCAACTGCTTTTAGTGAGATAAATCGTTTGGAATAGTAAAATTAAATTTAAAAATAAGTAATTTATGAAGAAATAAATTAGCGTATAAATGATTAGGATTTAAATATCAATTAGCTATAATCTGAAATTAAGTAATTATAATAATAATTAATGAAATAACCAAAAGTCAATTGTGAATAAAATAATATGCCAACTCTTAATTAAAGTTGTAGCAAAAATTCTATGGTTGAAGGAAATAATTTAGATTCATCAAGATTATCAGATGTTGACACACAAATTTCGAGAACTGCAAGAGCAACTAATTTAATTTTAAATGGGCTAAATTATTTTAAAGTTAGACCTTAGGTTATTATTTAATAAACTGAAGATCCAAATAGAAAAATTGCTGAAAAGGCTTTATAGAAATAAGCTGAAGACTTGAAATTCAGTTTAGAATAATTATATAAAAGCTTCATATCAACCTTATTACTAAATTAAGTAAATGATGAGAAATTCGTGAAATTTGAAAGAGAAATTAATTAATGTGTTAAAAAGACATAAGATTTGAATGATAATATTGAAGACTTTTTTTGATTTAATTATTAATTTTTGTAGTTTAATACTTTAAATAATTCTATGTGAAAATAAAATAATAATTAGAATATAATTAAAAATAGTAATAAGGAAACTATAAATCTGTTTATTTTTGATATAAGAAAGAATATATTTATAAAAGGAATATAAAGTTTTATAAATAATCATTTCATTTGTAGATTAGGTGAATAATTTATTTAAAGATACTTCTTTAAATATTTATAATATCTTNAAAAATAAAAAAAAATGAAATTGCAATTATAATAATTACAATAATCAGAGAAAGAATCTTAAATAAAAATAATTTAATTAGAAGAACAAATTATTCAACTTGCTTAATAGTAAGAGAAAGATGATGCTAAATAATAAATAAACTTTAATAAAGAAATTTTAATGGAAAAAGAGCTATAATTATCAAAATTAGATTAACTTGTTACAGAGTAATGCAATATATTCTATTTAGATCTAATTAAAAAAATCTTGAATAGAAGTAAATAATAATAGAAATGAAGATTTAAATTAATTCATTAGAATAAGAGCTATAATAGTAAAAGCTTACGAATTAATAGCATTAAGAAAGAAGAGCAACTGCTTTTAGTGAGATAAATCGTTTGGAATAGTAAAATTAAATTTAAAAATAAGTAATTTATGAAGAAATAAATTAGCGTATAAATGATTAGGATTTAAATATCAATTAGCTATAATCTGAAATTAAGTAATTATAATAATAATTAATGAAATAACCAAAAGTCAATTGTGAATAAAATAATATGCCAACTCTTAATTAAAGTTGTAGCAAAAATTCTATGGTTGAAGGAAATAATTTAGATTCATCAAGATTATCAGATGTTGACACACAAATTTCGAGAACTGCAAGAGCAACTAATTTAATTTTAAATGGGCTAAATTATTTTAAAGTTAGACCTTAGGTTATTATTTAATAAACTGAAGATCCAAATAGAAAAATTGCTGAAAAGGCTTTATAGAAATAAGCTGAAGACTTGAAATTCAGTTTAGAATAATTATATAAAAGCTTCATATCAACCTTATTACTAAATTAAGTAAATGATGAGAAATTCGTGAAATTTGAAAGAGAAATTAATTAATGTGTTAAAAAGACATAAGATTTGAATGATAATATTGAAGACTTTTTTTGATTTAATTATTAATTTTTGTAGTTTAATACTTTAAATAATTCTATGTGAAAATAAAATAATAATTAGAATATAATTAAAAATAGTAATAAGGAAACTATAAATCTGTTTATTTTTGATATAAGAAAGAATATATTTATAAAAGGAATATAAAGTTTTATAAATAATCATTTCATTTGTAGATTAGGTGAATAATTTATTTAAAGATACTTCTTTAAATATTTATAATATCTTTAGGTATTTTAATACTTTTTTTTTGATAAAAAAGGAAATTAAGTTATGATTGAAAAAAATATTAATAGAGATGAAAAATAAACAATTATCGAAAATATCTTTTATCACTTTTTTCAGATTTATTATTTAAGGTGTAGATGTATTGTGAATATTGTTAATTACAGATTAGGAAAAACTGAAGTTCTTTAAGTAGGATTTGATTTATAATGGAATGAATGGAAAGAATATAAATGTGAGTAATTTAATTGAAATAATATTAAGGAATTGGAGAATACAATTTTTAGAATAAATATTGAAGAAAGAATAGAAGATTTAGTGATATGAATTTATGTAAAAATGTATATACGTGTGTGTTGTTATAAAAATTAAAATCTAAATTTTTTGAAGATGAATTTTTTTGCAATTTTAGGAAGAGTTTTATTGGCTGTAATTTTCATTGGTGCTGGAATTGATAAATTAAAGAATCCATAACATTCAGTAGGATTATTGAATGGAAAATATCCAAAGTTTTATGAACACTTGTAAAGTGAATTAAAATAATACAATTTACAGCTTCCAGTTTAATTGGTTTGATATAAATAAAATATTATTAGTAACCCAAAGAAATACAAAAAATATCAAATGAATTAATAATGGGAGTTGGAGTTGTTGAAGTATTGCTAAGTCTTTTTGTTGTTTTGAATTAAGGATGGGCAGGAAAATTATTATCTTTTTTGGTTTTATCATTTGTTGCTGTGATTCATAACCCATATATTCATGGATCATCTCAAAGGTAATAATAAGATAGATATATAAAATAGTGAAAAATTGGCAGAATAATCATAAGCATTATGGACATTAGGTATTGCTGGTGCTTTAATGCTTATTGGTACATCTTCTAAAAATGTTAATGTTACTGCCTAACCAGCTACAAAATCTAAAGGAGTTGCACCTGTTGCTCCAAGCTAGAAAGCTAAGAAAAATTGAGAAATTTAAATAAATATATATGATAATAACAACATTTCGAATATTTTTTTAAAGACATATTCCAAAAATTAAATATTCAATGGGATTAGATATCAATTTATTAAGAGAAGATAAAGGTGGTAATCCAAATTTGGTAAAGGAGTGGTGTTAAAAAAGATTTTAAGATCCATCAATAGTTGATAAAGTGATAGCCTTAGATTAAGAATGGAGAAAAGGTATGAAAGTTTTAAATGATTTTATTTAGCCAGATATAATCTTGATTAACTTAATAAAGAATATGGAATAGCAAATAAAAAGATTGCTGAAAAGAAAAAGGCTAATAAATAAGATCCATGTGTTGAAGAAGTAGAATAAGCTAAAACAATAGATCTTAAAATAAAAGAAGCTTAAAAAGTAAGAAATATAATGTAATAAATAGATTGAATAAGAATAAGAAGTTATTTTAACAACAACATTAAATAAAATTGGGAATGTAGTACATGAATCAGTACCAGTATTTAAAGATGAAGCATAAAATAAAACAGAAGTAGAATGGGGTTAAATCCCTAATATCTAAGTTAATAGTACTCCAGGTAGATGTCACCATCATGAAATCTTATTTATGATTGATGGTGTTGATCTTAAAAGAGGTTCTAAAATAGCAGGTCATAGAGCCTATTTTCTTAAAGGACCAGGTCTCCTTTTGAATTAAGCTTTAGTAAGTTATGGAATTTAATTTCTTAATTAAAGAGGTTATACCCCGATTCAAACACCTTACTTTATGAAAAAAACATGTATGGCAGAGACTGCTTAATTGTCTGATTTTGATGATTAATTGTATAAGGTATTATTATTTATGCATATTTAAATCTAGGTTACTGGTAATTAAGAAGATGAAGAACTTTATCTTATTGCTACATCAGAATAACCTATTTCTGCTATGTATAGAAAAGAATGGTTAGAACCTAAAGATCTACCAATCAAATATGGTGGTAGTTCTACTTGTTTTAGAAAAGAAGCTGGAGCTCATGGTAAAGATGTTTGGGGAATTTTCAGAGTTCATTAATTTGAAAAAATTGAGTAGTTTATTATTTGTGCTCCTGAAGATTCATGGAAATTTCATGAAGAAATGATTACTGCTGGATAAGAATTTGTTAAATCTTTAGAATTACCTTATAGAGTTGTTAATATTGTTTCTGGAGCATTAAATGATGCTGCAGCTAAAAAATATGATTTAGAAGCTTGGTTCCCAGGATATAAAGATTATAGAGAATTATAATCTTGTTCTAATTGTCTTGATTATCAATCTAGAGCTCTTGAAATTCGTTTTGGTGCTAAAAAAGGAGATGATAAAGAAAAGAAATATGTACATATGCTTAATGCAACACTATGTGCTACTGAAAGAACCTTATGTTGTATTTTAGAAAATTATTAAACAGAAACTGGAGTTAAAGTACCTGCTGTTTTAGTAATTTATTTTCATTATTTATTAAGTAACCATTTGTTGGCAAGGATTTCATTCCATATGTTAAACCTTTACCTAAAAAAGAAGATCTTGGAGCATGAACAATAATATATACAAATAATATATATTCTTATACAATTCAACATCTCTTCATTTCTCTTATTGCTCGATATTAATAGCATTATTTAGTTTATTGGCTTATTTCTATTAAATCTTTTATTAATTATTTGCTTTCTCTACTTAAATCTTTTATTGATTATTTCCTTTCTCTATTTAAATCTTTTATTAATTATTTTTATTTAAATTTTATTCTTATTTCTTTTAATTTCCCTTCTCATTCTAAAATCTTAATCTTTCATTTTCTTACTCTTATGGAACTTTTAATTTCACAGTTTAATACTTTAATTCTAAAATTATAATACTTTATACATACCATCTCCTAATATTATTGGTATTTCACAAACACTCTCTTTTTTATAAATATTCATTTATTCAGTTAATTTCTATAACTTAGGTTTAATGATTTCTGGTATTTCCACATCCTTTTTTGAATAGATATAAATGCAGTTTATTTTATTAATTTTCATAATTTTTTATAAATGTTACCTTATTATAATAAATAAATGTTTTGTACCTTATATCATCTTTAGCTAATATTATTTATTAATTGTATTTCCAAAATACGGTTGATGCTTAAATTAAAATATCTGTAATTCTTGAAATTATATAATATTTTACGATTAATCATATATTAATATTAAAGCCAAAAAGTTAGATTAATTTGCTCTTAATTTTCTTATAGCACTTCTTATTCCAACTTTAATCTATAAAAATGACAATAATTCTTAATCATTAATAATTGATTAAATTGTTTTGACTAAATCTTAAGAAGTATATTAATCTAAAGTTCTAAAATTATACTCAAAAGGTTGATGTAGACAAGTACGAATAGGTTGTTTACGTTTTTCCTTAATTGTTTGTTTCATGGAAAAATTGTTTTATATATTAAATAAATATAAATTCATTTATTAGTTGAACTTGAACTTTAACCAGAGTTTTCTTAAAAATTTCTACTCTGTTATTTGAGTATCATATAATCAGCAAGTATCAATTTGAGCCACTTCCAAGTCTATTTGAGTGAAGGTTATTCTCTAAATGAATTGTCTGGATGGCAACTAACCACCATATGCAAAAGAGATTCAATAAATTTATGTTCATGGGAATATTTAGATCTTCCTTAATATAATAATACTTCAAAATTTGCAATTCTTCTGATATATCTTAATTTAATTTATTTGTTGTGATTACTTCTTATTCCAATTTAAGAATTGTTTTTTTCAATTCAATGTTTATCTTTTGTAATTAACCATTATGCATTATTTCATTATGCAGTTTATCAGACATCTATTATAGTTCCTTATTCAATTCATCAATATATTTCTAATTCCTATTCGAATTTTTAAATTATTCTTCCAGTTCAATTTTTAAATCCTTTACTTAATTGAGAAGTAATTATTCAACCTTTCTTAACTGTACAATAATATCATTTAGTTTTTATATTTCCTAATCTAAGCCTTGTTATTATCGAGGCAACGATCTACTATAAGGTTTTTTTTAAAGAAAAGTATCACAATTTAGAGATTTTCTTGCAGTGTATGAATCTGAAGATAAATTTGCTTCTGCATCAGTTTCCCTAATAGAATACAACATTGAAATTTTAACGAAATTTAATAATAAATATATTATATTTTGAAGGGTATTATTGGTGTTTATATCACTATCTAAAGATGCCTCCCTTTTTTAAAGCATTTTCAGCATCCTTAATTGCTAATAACTCATTATCATATTATTAGATTAAGGTATTATGTGATGCAGTTCTTAAATAAAATAAATGATGTACCTTTCAATCCATCTATTTTAAGTGGCAGAAAGATTATCTTCAGCTTCAGCTAAATTGAGTCTTGCATCATTTAAGATTGCATTAAGTGCTTTAATTTCTCCATCCTTAGTTTCAATTTCAGATTATAATAAAGGTATTAAAACATCCCTAATTCCAGTGATTTTAGCTTAGATTTCTGATAAAATATCTTATTGTAATTTAGATTATGAATCATATTGATTTTATAAAGATGTTTGTCCATCTATCAAAGATTATCTTAATTAGTTCATGTAATTAATAACTTTATTTAAGTTTTCTTAATCAACATAATTATTTTAAGCAATTTATGTTAAAGCCTTAACTAATGGTTGATAAAAGACTCTTTTAGATGACAATTATTTAAGACTTAAAAAATAGATATTAATAATAATTACTGATTATGCATTTTTAATGAAACCTCTTTAATATTATCAGCTTTTTATAAGAGTGATGTTTCATCTTTGACTTCATTTAATAATGCAATAGCCTAATCTAAAACTGCAATAGTATCAGCATATTCATTGAATTATCTAGTAAATGTTGATTTATCTGAATTGATTTAAGCTTCCTTAGCATTAAATAATTTAGTTGCTTCATAAAGATCTTATTTAGCTTCAGTCAAAAATTATTGCAATCTACTTCTTTCATCTGTTAAATCCTTAACATCGATTTCTAATTAAGCAATCTGAATCTATAGGTTTCCACAATTACCTTATTTTTAAAGTCTGTTATTTGATTTTAATAGTATTGAACATCTGCTTAATATTATTGATATTCTTATTCATAGAATGCATTTTCTTCATTCTTTCTTGCTTTGAAGGATTCAGCTAGTTCATCAAGAGCAACGAATAGTTATTGGAAATTAAAGTCTTTTGATGCCACTTCTGATAAACCAACAATAACTGATTAGAATGCATGTACAGATTCTCCAGGTACTGACAAAATTCCTTAGCTATTTTATCATGACTCTTAATTACTTGGCCAATGTCAAATACAAAAGTGATAATGTGATGAATGCTTTCATTTATTATATTATATATCCGTTTTTATATGTGAATTCTAAATGTGATATACAATTATTTATTTTAATCATTTTGATTATTTCTCATTCCTGTTTACCATCATCTCTGAATCAACACTCATTAACAGATTTATCTATTATCAATATACATCTCTTACTTTCTATAAGTCAGAATAAAACATTCCTATAAAAAATGAATTCATCAAATATAAACTATATGATAATGTTGAATATATCTCACTAACCATATTAGCTATAAAATCCTCTGATGCACTCAAACCATCATTTAAGTTTGGTTCTCCTTAAGCCATTGGCATACCCATAAATATGCTTATGAAATTTACTGATATAACTAAATAATTTTATATCTATTTTTATACAAGCTGTAAATAAAAAGCAAATCACTGTAAATAATGCTGCTTTTATTTATTAACTCAAAGAAAATGCTTATAATTAATTTCTTATTTTTGATGTTTAATAACCCTACTTATAACACATATAATAGCTAGTAAAAAGAAAATTCATTATAAAAGAAAATGTTAGCAAAACTCTGTCTTCAGTATCTAAAATTATAATAAAAATAAAGCATTTCTAATTTAAATACATAAAAAATTGGATTGATTTTTGTATTCAATTGGAAGTAAAGCAAATGCTAAAAAAGCCAAATGCGATAATGCTCCACATATAAATATCTCAAATGAAAAGACTTTATGTGAGATCGATCTGTTTGAATAACGTTTTCTTATTGGTTTAGTTTGATTAGCTTAATAAACTAAATAATATATAATAATCCCTATTAAACTTATTAAAGCATTTCCAATCTATAAAATATAATTTATTAATTATAATACAGTAAATAATTAATTCTTTTAAAAAGGCAATTCCAAAAATAGAGGAAATGTTTAAGCCCTTGCATATTAAAACTGACTTAAAATTGCTGCAGACAAAACTATCAGTGACATTGACAAATATATTGGTGGCAATATCATAATTTGTTATTTCAAATTAGTTTATGTTTGAATGATTTGTTCTTTATCATTTACACTAATAAATGATTACTATTCATCATCTCTTGAAATCTCATTTAATATCATAAGCAGTCTTTAAAATCGAATAAAATATATATAATAATTATATTAAAAATCAAACCTTATAATTCTTATTTTAACTTTTAGCATGACGACTATAATTTTCCAGATATTGGCTGTCTAAAGTAAGATTTTTATAACCAATTGAAATATCCAATTTTTTACCCTTTATATTAGATTCTCTCATTTTAGGTCTTGAATTAATATAAAAAATGAATACCTAGAATTTGGAAGTACCTAATATTATTATAAACTAATTTCAGGTTCATCTTGTTCTGAATTAATTCTGATTTCCTGAATATTTTTTTTCCCATTAACAACTATACTATTGTTAATATTAGAGTTAATATTGATGTAATTGTTGTTGACTTAAGGAGTCTTTTTATAAAAAGTTCCACCTATGCTATAAATCTACAATTGAATTACTTTTAATTATTCATGTATTTTTATTAAGTAATTTTCAAGATTTATTAAATTTATCTGGATTTATTTTTTTTTTCAGAGGATAAGGTAGGTGTAGCCCTGAAACCTAGATTTGATGGAGGTTTCGTAATTACACTCTCTCTTCCTTGACTTTGACTAGCAGCATTTACAGACAACTCTGTAGGCTTTGTTATAGATGTATTTGATATATTGGTTCCACGTAACTTCTACAATCTAAATTATAATAATCTTAAACCTTGAAGACTTCAAATTAGGAGCATAATTAAACTATTTAGTTTTAGTTTAAGCTTCATCAACAATGAGATCTGTTAATTTTATTAATCTCTCATTCAGTGCTTTCATAAAGTGAGGTTAAGTGGCATCAGTTAATCGATCCAAATTATCACAATTTAAGTTATAAGATGTTACATCTTTTAAGGATTGTAAAGATGTATCTGATGAAGATTCATAGTTCTCTTTTGGAAATTTAAAAATATGGTTAATTTTACAATTTTTATACCTAAAATTTATAAAGCTAACAAAATACTTCATTTCTATCTCCAGTTTGAAATCCTCTACTTCACAATCTTCATCTGGTTATGTTTTTGTAATCAATTCTGCTGGCACTTATGGTTTCACTATCTTCTAAAATATCAAATATTTCATCAAATCTTTGTCTATATTCTTTGGTTATTACACTTATGGACTTTTAGATTTCTTATTTCTGTTGGACATAAATCAAAATTAATTAGAAAAATATAAATTATAAACCAAAATCAATAATAACTTTAATTTCTTAGTTTAGGTAATTATCCTCTTCTCTTCAAATCCCTACTCACTTCCTCTAATACTTCTATTAAATTTTTCATAATCACTTACTTTTTTTAAATTTCTACTATTCTTTTTTTCTAAAGATTTCCGATTTAAATTCATTCAAATCAATATTTATCTCTTTTTTCACTTTAAGATCTTATTCAAATTTTAATAATGTTTTTCTATTGATTTTTATTAAAGAGCATTCTGACTTAGTAATCACATTAAATTATATAGGTTTTGAGTTCATACATTCGTAGATTGCAAAATGATTTCTATTCTGACTAAAAACTAGTTCAATACCTTCTGTACTTTTAAACAGTTACAATTATCCTTTTATAAGAATAAAAGCATCTGTTGGTATTTCCCCTTAATTAAATAACTTGCGATTTTCGTTAAGGTTTATATGAACACACTCTTTGACTAACTATTTCAATTGATAATAACTCAAACCTTTGAATATATTTATTTCTAATAGAATGTTTATAAAATTTTCAATCTTTTTTATCCTTTCTTCTTATTAAAAATATTCAATCAACTCTTTATTAATTAGAATTACATCACTATTTTGTAATGCAATAATTTAATTATCTCTAAAAACAATATCTCCAAGTAGCAATTTATAATAATATAGATTTTCAATGTTTAAAGTTTTATCTTTTTTAATCTCTATTAAAATTGCTCTTTTAGATAATAATTGAAATGCAACATCACTTTCGATATTATCCACTATTTTTAATTATTTGAAGAGCTGTGGATCACATTGACCAAATTTAATTTATTCTTTTAGCAATTATTTACTCATTAATATAAATATTTTAGATATTGTAATGTTGAGTGGTTTATTGTATAGTCCAAATTGGACCTTCGTAGACAAAATCTTAAGAGACCCTCAATTAGTAGATCTTGAATACTTTGTTGGAGGTGGTCCAGGACATGATTGGTTAGCAAAATCAGTTAGAGTAGAACAATAAAAGTATTAATATTAATATTTCCTTTAGATACTTGGGACCAAGAGCTAAATTTGAAAGATAATTCAATGAAGAGCCAAAAACATGGGAAGTCTTAACAGATAACTTATATCGTTTAACTTTACTTGCTGGAGTAGAGAGGTTACTTACATTAAGACAAGCTTATGGTGGTTTAAAGACAAGATTTACTTTTGGAGATTCAAATACGTAAAATCTCATTAAATATATTAATAGAGCATGTTTACAATAAATATTCAATCAAGGATTATTTAAGGGATATTTTAGAGGAGCATTATTAAATGCTGCTTAATTTATAACTGTATGGGCTCATCCATTAGTTTATAGTAGAGGTAATGGGTATATTTCTCATTATCTTTATTCTTCTTTATTCGAATTAATTACATATCCAATTGATACAATAAAAACAATAATTTATTCTGATGTTCAAGGTAGATACAAAGGAGCATTCGATGTAATTGAATAGGTAAATAAAAAATAAAATCAATAGGTTTATGCAAGAAATGGATTCAGTCATTTTTACAGAGGAATAGTATTTAAGTTAGCTTTTAATGGAACATTAATTTATCATCTTAGAAATGTTTATGAATAAGATTATATTTAATAAGTAATGAATTGTTAATCATAATAGTTAGTATCAATTCCATTATTAGCGATTGGTTATGGATTTTTAACAATAAAAACAAGATTATAATTAGCAAGCACTGATTTGAGTTTCTAAGAGACTCCATAAAAGGGAAGAATAGCTGCTAATCTTTTTGCATAAAAGACTCCATTTAGTATTTATAGAGGAGTGATTCCATTCTTATTATTGACTGATTTCTTCCACTACAAATTATATGCACTTTACTCATCAACTGCTTAAGCAAGAACATTAGATGAATTCCTTGTAGATTATAAACATCGTATTGGAAGTCCTAAACATGAAAATTTATGGCAATGATTATTAAATAATAAATAAAATAAAATTTACAACATACATTTCAAAATATGCTGCAACAACACCCATTTTCAGATCTAATATTTTCATCTTTTTATCTATTCTATGTTTAATTTCCAGATTTACTACCCAAATTACCATTTCCTATTTGAATCAATACTCTTTTTGTTAAATCTTCTATCACTAAATCTACATTTTATCCCGTTAAACATGAAATCTCAAAATATGGAATATGTAATTCATTTGCCATTTTTTAAGCTTCCCTCTAAGTTTCTATATATTCTTAATTGACTTCTGAATCAGATTTATTTCCTACTAAAATAAGTTATGCATCTTAATTTCAATTTAAATAATAATAATACATTAAGATGATTACGATGCAATTTTACTAAAATCATCTCTTAAATCTTATAAAGTTTAAGGTCTAATATTTATTTTATATGTGATTTTTACCTAGACATATCAAAAATTAAAATAAAACCAAATGCCCCTTTATAGAATCCATAAGATGAATATCTCAAATTCATGGTTCCCGGCTATAAAATATATTTTTTATATTCTATACTGTGTCAAAGATGCAAATTTTGCATTTACCATTATCATATATTTTTTATTTAAAGTCAACTCCTTTACTTTCTTCATAGATTTAAAGGTATCTATTTTCACAAAATCTAGCTAAAAAGGCTGACTTTCCAACCATATTTGAACCTATTAGCATATATTTAATGACTATCTATTGATCAGACATTATTTAATTAAAATAATTGATGATATATATTCATAAACATTTATTTTTTATCTTTGTAATGAATTTTATAAAATTGACATCATTTAGTGATGAAATTTAAAATTTTTAAATAATTTAAAAATGGAGCAAATATATACATTTACAATTGAATCGAAAAAGTAAAATATTGATGCACTTACTGAAGAATACTAATAAGAATTCAGAGCTAATGCTGATAAATGTGAAATTATAATTTTGAAAGGCAATAGTTACTCAAAATAATTTTTCAATTAATTCTCAGAATATATTACAACTGCAAAAGAAATGCGGGTAAGAAATAATTAATAAGTTAGAAAATTAATGCAAATGATATTGTTGTAGGTAAAGGAAAAGATGAAATTCCTCAATCTTTATAAGTATAATATAAAATAATCAGTAGATATTAGGAAATAGTTTAATAGGATTAAATATATTAAGTCTTGATCTATCTAATAATGCATTAATCCTTTTGGAGCTGAGGCATTAAAACCTTTTCTTAAATAAGCTCATTAATTATAAAGACTTTTTCTAAATAATTGTGGTCTAGGAATTAGAGGAGTAGCTTAGGTTTCAGAAGGATTATAAGAAGGAGAACATAATTTGTAAATATTAGCTATAGCAAGGAATAGAGCTGAATGTGATGGTGCTATTGAAATATCAAAAGCATTTCCAACATGTAAAAAACTTAAAGAATTACATATCTATTAAAATGGAATCAAATAAATAGGCATGATTGAATTGTTAGTATCATTAAATAAAAACTGTACTGAATTAACTACAATTGATATCAGAGATAATTTTGTACATGAACCAACTACTTAAGTATTAAGTGATCTTATTACTAATTGTATTCATTTAACAGCTATCAATATATCTGATTGTAATATTTAAGGAAAATAAAATAAATAAATTTTAGAAGCATTAACCAAATTAAGGAAATGAATTGTATTAGATTATCAATTTGTATTATAATCTCAGAAATTGGAATTGAAAGGAAATGAATTTAAAAAAACTACTAAATAAAAGTTTAAGGAATTATTCTCAAATAAAGAAAAAGTTCTTGGACCTTTTGACAGTGATCATGAAGATGAAGAAGAAGCAGATGAATTGTAAAAATTATTCAGTCAGTTGGTTATTTGAAATTATGAAATTAAAATGTAAAATGTTGAATGAATTTTAACTAAAATTTGTTCATATCTCATTCTAAATTAATTATATTTACTTCAAATTCCTTTTGCTTTTATATTATTCTAATTCATTATTTAATTTTGTAAATCGTAAGTTTATTAATAATATAATTTATTTACTTGTGTGTAATTTTATTTATTATCAAAATGTTGTTAAGTATTAATGCATCAAATAGATAAATTATTTTATATCTATCTATAATAATCAAGTTAATTTATAAATAGATAATAAAAATCACTTTAAACTATTTCTGTTTTGAAATAGTTCTTTTATGATTTAATAAGTTCCATTTATATTATTTTTTATTAATTCTTTTAATAAAAATTCATGATGTTAAAATAATTTTACAACTATTATTAAGCTAAATTTGATGAATAGTTTAAGGAATGTTACAGAAAATCTCAATATAAGCTATCAAGAGATTAAGTTTTTTAATTTGAAGAATAGTTATATACATTTTATTTTACATTTTCATATATAATTATAATAAAAATGGATAACCAATCTAACTCAAAGTCTAAAATTTGTCCTAAGAATGAAACCGATATTAAAAGATCTTTTTATTCAGAGGATGAAGCTGAGTTAATTCCTAAGATTCCATAAATAGCAAAACCTTCTAAATTTTCAAAAGGTGATATTCATCCTTTTTAAACTGATGATTCTGATAATACACCTAAATAAGTGCTTACTCCAACATCACCTAAAGGATAAAATAAATTATCTAAGTTCAATTAGAAGGATCATCACATTGAAAAAGATTCTGACATTTAGTTTGATTCTGAAGAAGAGAAAAGAAAAGAAGAAACAAATGATAATACATATCATAGTAAAGCTTCTCAAGAGAATGGTATTGAAGAAATGGGTCAACAAATCTAATAATAATATTAAACACCTAAATTAGGGCATTTACATCTCCCAATTTCTAAATCTAATTCTACAAAACAAGTATAAGCAAATAAACACTTTAGCATAAAAGATCATCCATTTAAGCATCTCATATATGGAAGACATGTGAATTATAATCAATTTTTAAGATTCTTATAACTGGTTCAAAGTGGTTTGGTTTATGCTTGCAATTCTTTAAAAGGACCATCTGAAAATTTTTTGAAAAGCAGATTTGTCAGACTTAAAGAATCAAATATAAGAAAACAGAAATTCTTAGTGTTAGATTTAGATGAGACTTTGATTCATAGTTGTAATCATAGAGATTTTCCCCAAGTTACAATAACTATTTAAGATGATAATTAACATGTTGATGTATTTATTCTATTAGTAAAAACTTAGTTAACATTTAATATAAGACCGTATTGTCAAGAATTTCTAAAAGAAATGTCAAAGCACTATACAATTTATTTATTTACAGCTTCATCAGAGATGTATGCTCAAGCAATAGTGAATCATTTAGATCCAAAACGATAATACATCTCAGACATTTTAGGTAGAAAAAATTGTTTTGAGACTAAAAATGGTTTCTTTATAAAAGACTTAAGAATAATTACAAATAGAAATTTAAAAGATATTGTAATAATTGATAATCTGGCACATTCTTTTGGGTTATAATTGGAAAATGGGATTCCAATTTTAGAATGGACTTAAGACCCAAAAGATGAGGAATTAAGATTTCTATAATAATATCTTATTGAATTGAGTAAAGAAGAAGATGTAAGAAGATTCAATAGAGAGAAATTAAAATTAATTGATTTAGTTGATTTTAAACTTGTAATCTGATTTTATATAATATCAAAAAGTATAGATTCTATATATCTACATATTTACATATTTGTCAATAATTGAAGACAAAGTTCATAATTATGAGGTTTATGAGTTGGTCTTTGTAATGATTAGTCTTCTCTTTTATCTTTAGGTTTAATCCAATAAAGATTTCTAACTTAATATATCTATTATTATACAACTTCAGCATATTGTTTAAAAGCCTTGAGAAATCCTAGATTTTATTCAACAAATTTGAGATATTCTGATTTTCAATTCAATTTTATCTTTTAGTGCAATCCAACTTCTAGATGGAAATCTTATGATTTAATCAATAGTTTATTAATACCAGATTACTTCTATTCTTCTAAGGATTAATAATATTTAGTATTTCAACTGAACAGTTTTATAATTCTTATCATCATAAGATACATAATTAGTTTTATATATATTGTCTTTAACTCTAAATTAAGGAAAACTGATAGATTCTTAAACATTCTCTATAAATCATTATAGATCTTTAGAATTTTAGGATTGATTACTTTTTTAAATTGAGATGGTATCATTTTTGAACTTTATAATAATAATTTTATAAACAAACATTATTCTATTCAAAAATAATTTGCTGTTAGAATTCTGATTCTGTTTTCTATAAGAGTTAATTTCATTAAATCACTCTTTGGATAAAATCTTTTATTGAATCTATAATAAAGACATTATGTAAATAAAACATTAGATAATTTATCTACAAACACTATAATATTAGGCATAAAATGAATATTATTAAAGTAACTCAATAATTTTTAAGTGGAAAACCAAAAGGATTTTACTTATAGCTTTTTGTAAAACCAAAATCAAAGGCAGAAATGCTTGAATTTTAAGAAGATTTCATAATTGTTAAGACTAAAGCTCAACCAATAGATAATTAAGCTAATGAAGATGTAATAAGAATGTTAAGTGAATAATTATAAATCGATTGCTGTTCAATAAAAATAGTAAAAGGATTACAAAGCAAATATAAAACTGTGTTTATTGAAAATGAAATGCAAGCCTATAATAAATTAAGGAATTGAGTTATATATTACTTACGTGTTATATTTTTATTATCTAGAAAATGCTCTTAATATTCACATTGTTATTTTCTTTAGGTTAAAGTGAATTAGTCTATCTTGGATACAAGAATTATACAATGGCAAAGAAAGAGTATTAACCTTTAATAGTCTTTTATTATGGAGATGATAAATAATCCAAAAAGTTTGTGGATGATTTTATTGCTATTGCTACAGGATCTCATAGTCTTTAGAAAACAGGAACATATCCTACAAATATAAATTTTGGATTAGTTAATGCAGTTGAAGAAAAAAAATTGATGGAAAAAACATAGATCTAAGTTACTCCATCTATCTTTTTATTTTATGCTGACACTTAAAAATAAAAATATTCTGGAGCCTTTAATGCATAAGCCTTTTTGAATTGGCTCAAAAAAACTTATAGAGATTCACCAGAATTAAGTATTCATTTAATTTTATGTTAGATGAATTCTATCCATCTTCATTACTTTAAAAGTGGGATCAATTTGTTAATAAAATAAATAGTTTTTAATTGATTGCTTTTTTAGCTACTCCTGAATATAGAGTTTCACCTTTAAAAGCTTATGTTTAAGCTGCCAAATAAATACCTTAAGGAGTAATCTTTTTAACATAATTCTTTAGTATGTCTTTTGTCACATCTTTAATCCAGATCTATATTAACATTTAGGATTGAAAAAAGAAGAAAGTGGTCTAGTTATATATAGCAAATTAGAAGATCTAGAAGATATTAGTGAAGAAAAAACCAAAAAATATTAAACATATTTATATCGTTTTAAAGGAGATGTCAAAAATACTGATGAAATCCTTCAATTTTTAAAGATTTATGCTTTCAAAAAAGGATTTGTCTATGTAGACGATACTAAATTCTAAAAATTATCCAGAAGAGTAGATCTATTACCATCAGTTATTTTATTGTACAATAAAACAAGTATTTTTTATAATAAATTTATAATAAGATCCTGAACATGAAAATTATGTTTAAAAAATTTAAGATGCTAGATATACATTATTAAATAAAGCTATTCTTGGTGTTCTTGATGTTAATGGAGATTGTTAAGAAAGATTAGAAAGAGTTTATGAAATTAATGTTAATACAACTTAATTGCCATAATTAATTGCTATGAAACCAATTGATGATAACAGATTCTATAAATACAAAAATGGTCCATTAGATCCAATTTAATTTTATGAATAAATTCAATCAAATTAAATAAAAGCCTTTTATAGAGATGAAGGGGTTTTATAAAATTTATATGATGGTGCAGGAATCTATAAATTAACAAGATCTACTTATTATCCTTTCATAAAAGAATAAAATGATAAAGGTATAGATGTTGTTGTTACTTATACTGCTAAAAAGTGTTAGCCATGCAAAGAATTTAGACCAGATTACAATGAAGTATTTAAAAAAGTATTTTATATATTTAATTGTTTAGCATAAATAAGCAATTGAAGGAAAAGTTATTTTTGCAAGATGTGACATTGAAAATAATGAAATTGATGATCTTCATATTGATTCTTATCCTCATGTTAAATTATATGCTGCTGGAAAAGAACATCCATCAACATTACATTAACAAAAAACTGAAGAGACTTTAACTTAATGGTTAAGTGAATAAAGTAATTACGGAAGCATATTCAAAGTTAAAACAGAATTGTGAAATTAATTATATTTTATGTTAAAATTAATCATTATTTTTTTATTTTACACTCTATTAAATGATTATTTCATGTAATTTTATTACCATGCTTTTATTTTCAACATTCTTTAAGACAATTAAATCCAGGGATCTTTTTTTTGGACTTCAATTTATCTTAAATAAAAAGATCACTCTCCTTAATTTCAATGGACATTTTGACTTATGGTTAAAAGGAATTAAAGGATATAATAAATCAATTAGAAGAATAACTAAGGACTGTACTTGACCCTTATTAACCAATAGAAAAATATATATAACCAAAACATTTACCAAAATCAGAAACAAAATTAGATGAATCTGAAGTGCATCATCATCAAAAAAAATAAAGAGTTGATAAAAATAAATGTAGAAAGTGTAAATTATCTACTATTCCTACTATTTTAAATCTATTATAACAAAAGGATTGCACTGATGTTAATTCTTGTATTACTATGAAATCTATTAGATAATAAATGGCATAACAATCTAATAAAAAAAATGAATAATAAGATTCTAAAATTCCATACATATCCTTTGATTATTCACATTCGATCATTATTTGTAAAAGATGTAGATTCAAATTTCATTCTGAATGCATATCATTTAAAGGATCTTCAAATGAATGGTTGTGTGATTATTGTTTAAATAGAATAGAAGAATTAAAACATTTAAATTTATGGGATTATAAAAATAACAAATAGTTAAAACAATTATCAAATTTAACATCAGAACAGAAAAAGATTAACCTAAAGATTCTAGAAAGAATACAAAAAAAGAAAACTATTTTTACAATTTTTAAATTGTTGCCTTCTCCGATTTTAAAAATTAATTAGATAACTGAATTTTTATAAAGATTTCCTTTGTATAAATCTTCTACAGATAATATTAATTATCCTGTTTCAGAAGTCTTAGCTGCAAATTATCCAAAAGTTTTGACAATATAACAAAAACCTAAACCATAAATTATTAAATTTAACATGATTGAAGAAATTCTATGGATTCAAACATTTTATCAAATTATGATTCCTAATTATAAAGCACCTGAAAATGTAAATCAACAATATATTGAAAAACACTTCTATGATATTGTAATAAATATCATCATTGAATATTTTGATGAAATCATTTCATAAGATGATATAAAATTTTACAATTATTGTAATTAGGCAAATGCATATACAGCTTCGTATTTATTTTTAATGAATTATTTAATAACTGATTGTAAAATTTAAACTTAAGATTTAATAAAAAAAACATGGAAGGAGTGTGTTCTATAAATTGATTAAGTAATAAATTATAATAGTGATTCAAAAATAAATTTCATTGATTTTAGTACTTTATAATTTTAAGATTAAATCCGAATATTGAAAATCTTATGTGAAGGACTTTATGATCTTGATAAAATGTAAGAATTGATAAAATTTAAAGAATCTTCATTAAGCAAAGTTAGCTAAAATAATTTCTTTTTAAATTAATAAAAAAATTATAAAACTTTTTTTCAATAAAATTTGTCGATATCAATCAATGGTGGAACTTATTTGGGTTAAGATGCTTTTTCTTAGTAATACTTTTACTTTACTTTTTATCCCAGTACAATTTTTGTAGAAACTAAATAAGGATGGGGTCAATATACAATTTCAGATTTATCTGAATTGATGAATTCTTTAAATTAATAAGGTGTTAATGAATTAGATTTATTTAAAAATTTAGAACTTATTTAATAGATATAGTTATTAGATTTATCAACTCAAATCTAACAAAAAAATATATAATAGTCAAGTATAGATTTATTTATATTTAGAATAGTAATATATTTTAGACATTTAAGAGGTTATTGAGAAGTTTATATGTATTGAAAAATCCTATTCCTAATTCTTATAAAAGAAAAATCTATATTGGATTGATGATCATGAAAAGATAATTTTCTTCAATTTACTAAAAAATTAAGATGATACATAATTTATCCTTTGTGCTTTAAAATAAATGTTAGAAGGATTAATTATTCCAAAATCTAAAAATGGAGTTTAAGTTAAACCATTTAAATTGTTCAAATATCATTTTGAATTAATTAATTAATTAGCCATATATGTTGACAATGCTAGTTCTTTATCAAATATTTACATATCTTTATTAGTTTTAGAATTTATATTAAATGATAAAGAATAATATTTAAAACAAAAAGAATAAATGAAAATTATGATAGAGAAGGCAAAAAATAAAAAAATAATTAAAGAAGCATAAAAAAAAAACAAAAAAATTGAAAAATAAATTAGAGAAAAAGAATAAGAAAAGGAAAGTATAAAAAGAAATTAAAATAAAAAACGTGAAATAATAAAGAATCAAAAGTAAGAGATTAATTTTTATTTTAATAGAGAAAAGGAACCAAGTATAAATAAAAATTAAAAAAAGATTTTTTGTTTTTAATGTTTAAAAGGATTTTTTAATTAAGAGGCAAAAATTGAATGCGGTAAGTGCAAAAAAATATTTCATAAAGAGTGTTTAAAAAAAAACAGAAGATTTTGTTAGCAATGTTTTAAAAATAGTAGCAAAAGGAAATAATTGAAATTTTGATTAATTTTTAAATGAGAAATAAATAAAAAGATATAAAAATTATGTATTTAAATAAATTAATAAAGTTGTTTTATTAAATAAAAAATTAATAAACTAATGTATTAATTAAATAAATTCAATTATCAGAATCATTAGGAGGAGTAGCAGGGCTAGATTTTTTCGAACCTTTAGGTTATCTTTTCGATTTAGTTTTCTATTGTATTTCAATAATATTGAATTCTGATGTTGGTTAAGCTTATAAGTTTATATAATCGTAATATGCTTCTGATAGTAATCTCTTTTGTAATTTTACATTGATCTAAAATAAAATATAGATAAATTTTACATCATCTATAACAACAAGACTTTCTTAAAGATATTTAGGTTAAATATGATTAGGTATTGACATTTCTATTTTTTTTAAATATCTTCTGTTAGTAAATTTTTATTATCTTCTAAAAGTAATTTTTGCCTTCATTTTATTTTATACTATTTCATATCTGTTCATAATTTCTGTTTTAAAATCAGGTAAATTAGAAATGGAACCTTACATCCATGGATGTTTTTTAACTTATTCTAATGAGATTCTTTTTTATGGATTTTCTTCTAAAAGTTTTTCAACAAGATCTTTGAATTGTTGAGATATATTATTATTCAATTCTTAGAAAACTTACCAAAATTTTAATTTATCTTATTTTAATAAAGAATAGTAAGGATCAGAAGTTTTAGATGTTTTAAATGGAGCAGATCTCATTGCCATACTAAATAAGATGACTCCAGATGAGAATATATCTGCTGATTCAGGTGTATAATACTTCTATTTTCCAACTTATATTTAAAATTACTATTTTACTTGCATTTGATAGTTCAGGTGGATTATACTCTGGAGATCCCAAATATTATTATACTTCCAATTATACTTTAGCCCCTGTTTCATCCACTGATTTAGCACTAAATCCAAAATCAGCTAACTTTAAAATTCCATCACTAAATAATATATTTTCTGATTTTATATCTCTATGAACTATCCCTCTTTCATGCAAATATTCAATGCCTATACTAAGTTTTGTTAAATTAACTACCCTTTATCAGTTATGAAAATATTCCCCTTGAAAATTTCTCAGAGAATTAATGAGTTTATTCAAGCAATTCAAATAATTCTCCCTAATCAGCCAATTCCATCACAAAATAAGATACTTAACATAATCTCCCATCCACTTTCCTGTATTTTCCATTTATACTACACTATTTATTGAAATCTCAAATACTTATATAATCTTTATTATGTTATTATGTTCAAACTCAGCTTAATGAGATACTTCATTTATAAATTATGATAATTTATTTTAATTTGTAGTTGGATCTATCTTCATTATTTTTATTGCATACTTTTACTTATCTTAAATATCAATTGCTAACTTTACTCTATAATAATCAATATTCTAGAATTACTTAGCATATCTACCCACTCCAATTGTATCAATAATATAGTACTTATCATCTAATACTGAAGCATAATCCAAATAATCACTTTAAATATCTAAAGACATCATTTTTATAATGAAATATATTTTATTCTGATAAATTAAGAAGTTATTAATTTAAATTTACAACATTATAAATAACAAGCCAATAAGTTCTGTCTTTATTACAAATATTCCATTTCATAAAAAATATTTAAAAACTTATTAATAAATCATAGATTAACTTTGTATCTTTTAATATACTACATTATTATAAAATGAATTAAAATATTATATTTTAAACTAAATTTAGATCTCTATTTAGTAATATTATAAAAATATTTATTTTTGAATTATATTGTCAATTCAATATTCATTCCTATCTGTTTACAATGTGAGAATTTGTTTCACGATTTTTCTTTAATTTTATTGCATTATTTAATGCTTACACTCGATATTTTTTCATTCTATCATCTCGTAATTTTTCTTAAATTTCATTTTCTTTCTTAATAAAATTATTTATTTATTTTATTGTTTATTTTGTAGATTAATTTTCACATTTTGTATCCTAAACAATTGATTCTAATCTATTCACTGGAGAGTTAATTGGCGAATTTAATGTTGAGAATTATGGGACCATCATCATTCTATGATTTTATTGAGAGGTTGAAGCTCTTCTGCTTAGAAAACTCATTTCTTAAGATTGGGGCCTTATTCCTTAACTTTAATTTCGAGATGCCATTCTACTATGTTTAGTAGAAAATTCTTATGTTTAATCTTCATTTTAAGATTTAAAATAAGAAATCAAACTTTTATGTTATTATTTTACTTCTTTGTTTATGTCATTTTTTTGAGATTAGAGATTTTCTGAATAAAAAGCAGATTCAATTATTTATTTCATTTCAGTTATTGATTGTTTTTTTGGTTTTAACTTCTTTATAAAATATTCTTGAAAATTCATTATTTATTCTTCATAACTCATTTTGATTTTATTCATTTCTAATAGTTCTGATAATTCTTTTAATCTAGATTAATCATAAATTTGATTTCTTAATTTTTAAGACCATAATTCATTTGTGTATATGACTCCATTATTTTGTTTAAATTAATGTTAATAGTTATCTTGCACTTTATTATTAGAAATTTAACTTAAAATATCTTTATAGTCAGCTTTAGAGGAAATTGTTTTTGCTGCACCAGATGATGCTTTTTTCAATTATAAATAATATTGTTCTAGTGAAGAATTTTTGGTAAATATTTCATAAGTTTTTTTTCTCTATACTAATTTAGGATTATTAATTATTTAAGGGATCTAAAATAAGTACTTAAATTTAAATTTACTATCTCCAACAGCTTACTTCATTTAATCTTGCAACTCAATTTTATTTTCTTAAGTTATAGCATTTAGCCAAGATTTGTCGAAGGATTTATTATTTTTCCTTGATAACCTATTGATAAATTATAGTTTCTTTTTTTAAGTATGTTCACTTTCGAGTTCTTCTTCATCATCTTCAAAGATCTGATTATCTTAACACTTTAATAAATTTTTCATAAAATATATATTTATATATAAGAGCTATTCATATTTCATTGAATTTTGTGATAGTAACATGCTCTTAAATACAAATACATTTGAAATATATTCAAAAAGGTTAAAGATATTTAAAATAGTTTATAATATATTCAAAATAAAATAATTGCATCCACTGAAGTTTTTCTATAACTTTTGAATAAAGGATTAATGAGTTTCCTATAAATTTTATCTTTAGCTTCTTGTTGATTATTAAAAGTTGAAGATAGAATTTCTATTGTATTGTTATTGAATTCTTAAATAGTATATTGCAACTTATCAATAATACTTGTTTTGATGAATTAGATTGATCTTTTTTTCGATTATGATTAATTAGTTTTTAAAGAACTGAAATTAGAGAATGAATTGTAAATGTTAAATGGGCTTTAAATTGGAGAATAATTACTAAAAGATTCTTCGGAAGTCTAAATAAAGACATTTGGGATATTATTTTATATTTTTTAGTTTCTTACACGATCAGTAATTTATGTAATAAATCTATCATTTAATTAATGAGTATCATTTGAATTACTAGACAAAGACCTATTTGTATTTGTTTATCTTTAGATGTTAGAGTTAATAGGAGATTAATTCTAATTAAGTGGTTTAAGAATATTGATTGTAGATAAAAACTTTGATTACTATTTTGAAAGGTACTTTTATTTAGATAATTTGATTAATTGAACTTAATTCTTAAGTTAATCATTTTAATATGATGATAGTAATGAAATCTAGCCAATAGAGACAATGAACTTTTTGATTTCTAATTCTTTGGTATTTTTATCATCTAATAAGAATCTGAGTTCAGCTAATTTGAGTAGAATTGATTTATCTAAAATATAATTTGAAAGGATTTGAATCAAATAAGAAAAAGCTCCTTTGAGTTCCATTTGAATAAAATAATAAGTAAAATAAATTTAGTATAAAAATGACTTAATTATTAAAGAAGAATATTGAATCACTGTATCCTTAATTCAGTGTGATCGAAATTTTAAGATAAAATGTATACAAAAAAACGATAATTTTGAAAAGAGGGAATAAAAATTATGTTTTGAGGTTATTTAACTTGGAGGGAATAAATAAGGAGAAGGTAACTTCGATCATAAAAATATTGAATAAACTTTCTATAAAGAACAATCCTCATTTAGTCAAATTTTATGAAGCTTCACATGATATTGAGAATACCTATTTAGGGTATGTATAAAATAATATTTTATAGGGTTATTAGTGAATATATAGAATGTTAATATTTATGTCCATTATAAGAAAAAGATATATTGATAATTCTAATACAAGTAATAGGATAAAAATAAAATAGTTATGTTCAGCTCTTAGTTTATTTCATCCAAAAAGGGCACATGCTAAAATACTGTTATCAAATTTATTTACTTTCGATAAGAATGCTATATTGGGAGAAATGAATATTTTGTATTATTTACATCCTGAAGAATATTTGGATATTTATTTATTAGCACCAGAATTTGCTAAATAAAAAATTTATGATTGCAAATCAGATATATGGATGCTAGGTTTTCTAATTTATTAATTCATGTTTAAAGAAGCTCCATTTAAGGCAAATAACATTAATGTGTTGCATAAATAAATATTAAAAGGTTTAAAATTTACATACAACCCATAATATAGTTTGAATATGAATAATTTATTAAGGATAATGTTATGTTATGATCCTGATTTAAGACCAACTATAGAATCTATAAGGTCTTTTGCAGAAACAGCTTTAATTAGTTAAGAGAAAATAGATATTTTTAAATTATTACCGAAATATAAATTGGAATAAATTGCACTTCATAAAAAAAGAGAAGAAAGAAAACCTTAGTAAATTGATAATTAAATTTACTTAAATGAAGATTTATTAAAGTATCCTTCATTTCGACCATCAAAAGTATTAAAATCTTTTAAGAAAATTCTTAATTCAAGTCCCTCTCCAAAACATATTATGGTAAATTTTACAGAAAAGAATGAAAGTTAAATCAACAATTAATCTTAATCACCATAACAACAATTTTCATATTTAGAATAATTAGATAGCAAAATAAATTTATCTACTGGTAAGAATTCTCATCAATCCTAAAAATAAATAAATTAATCCTAATAAGGAATTTCTCATTCCTACTAATAAAGCCAATAAAATACTCTATATCCAATATAATTACCAAAAGTGTTATAATTTTAATTTAGTAAAATAAAGTTTAGACATGAAAAGTCTCCTAAGAAAGAATTTGATGAATCTATGTATCAATTAAATATAATATATTTAGTTAAGAGTAGCCAATAGCAAAATATGCTCAATTACCTTAAAAGATTAATTCTATTCCTATAAAGAAATCTCCTCCAAAAATGTTATTTCATTAATATTAAGATACAGTCTTAAGATCTTTTAGCTAAAGATAATGAATATAAAATTATATTTACTTTTGAATTATATAAATAAGAATATTATTCTAATTTATAATATTATATATTTTCAAATTTATTAAATAAATTTAATATTATATAATAAAACAGATCACTTTTTACTGAATTTTGTTTATTTAAAAGAGGATCCAGCTGCTTAAGTCTATTTTTATAATAATGGTGATTATTAAGGAGGTTTTTTTTACGTTTGAATTAATTGTCTTGTAGATTAAGGATGTTATTTAGCGAATTATTTGGAAAACTGAACATTTTATTTTTTATTGGTAGCTGATTATGATTATTGTTACACAGCTTAACTTTCATCTTCTTGTATTTATTGTAATTAAGTTTAGATTTTAGGTCTAAATTAGTATAGAATTTACTTATTGCTTAGAGTATTTTCATTAGTAACAAAAGGATGATTTAATAGTTCAATAGAAGTGATTCTTTTTTTAGGTTCAGGCTCTAATGCTCTATATAAACAATCTAAGCAATTTTAAGATAGTTTATTAATGTATTCTTAGGGAATATTGAGTCTTCCTTCTGAAATTTAGGCGATAATCTCTTTATTAGTATTACCATTAAATGGTAATGTACCAAATAACATTCCATACAATATAATTCCCATAGACCATACATCCACTAAAGGAGAAACTGCTTTATCCATTCCTAGATTAATTAGATAATAGATATATACCTTTTAATAATTCAGGAGCCATATATCTAAGACTACCTGCATCTGCATTTTCTGGATTGTCATTTGAGGCAAAACCAGATATACCAAAATCTATACATTTGATTATTCCAGAATCTTTGCTTGTCAACAATAGATTTTCCAGTTTTAAATCTCTATGAATTATCTTTTTTTGATGGCAATATGCTATAGCACTGACTAATTATTTAAAATAGTGTCTAGCTTCACTCTCTTCAAATTTCCCTTTTATTTATAAATACTAAAGCAATTCACCTCCTTCCAAATATTCCATTATATAAACTGTTTATAAATTCTGCAAAAAGAAAGCATTATAAATCTTTACTATATTATCGTGTTTTAAAGACTTTAAAGCTCTTGCTTCTCTAAATATCATATCAACATCCTCGTTACTAATTTATTTATACTTAAGCATTAGTCATCATTTACTTAACCATTTTTATAGCCACTTTCTCACCTGTTTATTTGTGTCTACCCAAAACTACTTTTCCAAATCCTCCTTCTCCTATATCTTATAATTGTTCATACTCAGCCAATTAAAAACTTTCATCAAATTCTTCACCTTTAAATAACTTCCAAATCAACTCTTACCTTTTGATGCAAATAACACAGTCCCATTTTTTATATAATCCAAATCATCCTCAGTTATTTCTACTCCTTCCTAATTAAATAATCTTAATCTATTAAATTAGGTGTCCCATTTTTATTGTAAAGATTTACGTATTTCATTAAATTTAGTATTATCTCTTATTGTTAAGGTACAACATAAATTAGAATTCCCGTTTCGATAGATTTTTAGCTATTTTTAATATTTGATCTACATCTTTATTATTCGTTGTTGGTTAATAATCATCATAATATTGATCCATATTTATATTTAGATTTTAATTGCATATATTTTCAATTAAAATTCATATTTAACTCTTTGTTGTTCATTTTTTGAAATATGAACATCTATCTCATTCTCTTCATTTTTATTAATATATTATTCTATGATATATTTCCTAAATATTTTATTAAATCATAAATATGAAAGAGGATTTTTTAACTCGTTTTAAAGGTAGAACTTCTACAATGAATAAACGTGAAGGTGTTACAGGAATCATTAAATCAAATTGTACTCCAATAGAAAAAATGCCTTCTTCATATACTTTTAGTTCATACATTTCTAATTAGGTTGCTTATAATTATTCAGATATTGAAAAACAATCATAATAATCAAATGATATCACCCCTACAAACAAAGATCCATAGGTGATTACTAACATTAAAACATTTAATAAAAACAGAAAATTATCACATGCTTCTCCATTAAAACCAGGCACAAATATGTCAAATATGTATCGATCATAATTTGTTCCCGATAAGGAAATGTATTCAATTCCACTCTCGAAAACAGGATCAGTCAACTTAAATGATTATGAATTGATTGCAATACCAAAAAGTGTCTTGTGTATTATTATCTAAAATTATTAGAATTTGGTATTAGAGTATAAAATACAGAAGGAGATTAACCTAAATAAACTATCTTACCTAATATTTCACGGCCATTCTATTCTAAGTCCTAATCACTTGATTTACAATAGGATAGACCAATGATCAAATCAGAAATATTACATCAAGGTTCTTATGCAAAATAAAAAGAAAAAAGAAGTCTTCTTATAGCTGGAATGAATTCAATTAAATGAATGTCTTTTTTCTGATANCAATTAAAAACTTTCATCAAATTCTTCACCTTTAAATAACTTCCAAATCAACTCTTACCTTTTGATGCAAATAACACAGTCCCATTTTTTATATAATCCAAATCATCCTCAGTTATTTCTACTCCTTCCTAATTAAATAATCTTAATCTATTAAATTAGGTGTCCCATTTTTATTGTAAAGATTTACGTATTTCATTAAATTTAGTATTATCTCTTATTGTTAAGGTACAACATAAATTAGAATTCCCGTTTCGATAGATTTTTAGCTATTTTTAATATTTGATCTACATCTTTATTATTCGTTGTTGGTTAATAATCATCATAATATTGATCCATATTTATATTTAGATTTTAATTGCATATATTTTCAATTAAAATTCATATTTAACTCTTTGTTGTTCATTTTTTGAAATATGAACATCTATCTCATTCTCTTCATTTTTATTAATATATTATTCTATGATATATTTCCTAAATATTTTATTAAATCATAAATATGAAAGAGGATTTTTTAACTCGTTTTAAAGGTAGAACTTCTACAATGAATAAACGTGAAGGTGTTACAGGAATCATTAAATCAAATTGTACTCCAATAGAAAAAATGCCTTCTTCATATACTTTTAGTTCATACATTTCTAATTAGGTTGCTTATAATTATTCAGATATTGAAAAACAATCATAATAATCAAATGATATCACCCCTACAAACAAAGATCCATAGGTGATTACTAACATTAAAACATTTAATAAAAACAGAAAATTATCACATGCTTCTCCATTAAAACCAGGCACAAATATGTCAAATATGTATCGATCATAATTTGTTCCCGATAAGGAAATGTATTCAATTCCACTCTCGAAAACAGGATCAGTCAACTTAAATGATTATGAATTGATTGCAATACCAAAAAGTGTCTTGTGTATTATTATCTAAAATTATTAGAATTTGGTATTAGAGTATAAAATACAGAAGGAGATTAACCTAAATAAACTATCTTACCTAATATTTCACGGCCATTCTATTCTAAGTCCTAATCACTTGATTTACAATAGGATAGACCAATGATCAAATCAGAAATATTACATCAAGGTTCTTATGCAAAATAAAAAGAAAAAAGAAGTCTTCTTATAGCTGGAATGAATTCAATTAAATGAATGTCTTTTTTCTGATATCTTATCTTATTTATATGTTTTAGTTTTCCTTTGAATTCTTAAAACATTTTTTTCATTTAATTATTCTTTATCATTTCTATCTAATCAACATATGTACTATTTTTATATAAGATCAATTAAAACAATTCAACAACGGAATATCGTAATATAATAATTATAAAACAGATTTAATATATGTGTACTATTTTGCGCTATCATTTAATCACTCAAGCCTATAATTCTTAATCAATTCTTGCTTTTCCATCTTAGGTAAGTTGTAAAGTGACAACCAATTTCACTCTCTTTCTTCCTTCAATATCAGCTGTGAATGAATTAATTTTAGTTATTGTGGCCAAGCCTTTTATATATTTTAACTTATACCTTATCTCTATAAATTTTCAGCAACTCTAACACTGATTTTAGTGGCTTCACCTAAAGCATGCAATTCAACATTTTGGAATTTCTTCAAAAATATTTTTGAAATAAATATGAATTCTCTTGCATTTTTCTTAGAAGAGATGTGTAAATGATTATCTACTGGATCGAGTTTTTACTTTTAACCTCTTTATTGCTATTAGGTGGCTGTGCTCATTTTTATTTAAAAAATAAATATCTAATTTTAATATAAAAGGAAATTTTTTCATATAATTACTTTCAAAAATTCCCCCAGTTAACATTCATGTTATTTTTAAATCTTCAATTTTTTATTAATTAATAAAACACTCTTCAGACTTATTTTATCACCTTTTCGTTCTTTTATCCTTATTTCTTTTAAGCAATTTTATTTTTTCCATTATTTAAAAGTTCTTTTAATTAAAAATTAGAAAGTAGACTTTAAACTTAATCCATTTATTCAAAGTTGAAGTATTAAAACTAATGCAAAATTAAATTATATGCCATCTTGATTAAATAGTATTTAAATTAATAAGACAAAAAATAAATTTAATTATTTATTGTTTCTCATGATCTTATCACCATAATATTTTATTTCTAAATTCAATACTGTAGGTTATTTATATATTAAAATTTATATTTTAATTTCTCATAAAATTAAAACAAATAAATTAACATTTAAGAAACCTTATTACTTTTAAACATATTTTAACAATCTTTAATTTCTGATTTTTAAGTTAAAATTTGTCTGTTATTACAGTCTAACAGTAAGAGGAGATAAATAATTAGTATTAAAATATTTGGTTAATTCGAAATGTGACTAAATAGAATTGATTTTAAATGTTTAATATAGTAATGTAAAGTTAAAAGAATATTTTTATCAATTTAACAAAATAAGATATTAGTTTGTCTAAAGCCACTAAAATTGTTGGTAAAAACATTGATGTTATTTTTTATCAAAAGTTTAGAAAAAAATCCGTTAAATCCTTTACTTAGAAAAATTTTTTAATGATTCTTACTTCATTATAATTGATATTGAATCTCTTTAATTATTTTCTAATAATCAATATATAATATGTTATTTTATATATACGTGTGGATTTATAAAACTTATTAATAAAAATTTTAAAAAAATATGGAGCAACCGAGCTTCGATCTCAGCGCCTCATGCATGCTAAGCATACGCTCTACCAAATGAGCTATTACCCCACGTTCGAAAATAAAGAAGTTCATTCCAATTTATTCACCTTAGTATGATTAATAATTATATACAAATAATTAATTGTAAAGTTGAAAAATTTATTAAAAACTTTATAATATTATAATATCAATAAATACTAAGCAACTTAAAAAAAACTATTTAAAATCTGGATGCTTATAAGGAGATAATAAATTTAAATCGAATTCCAATTCAAAATTCTAGAAAAAAAATAATTTATGTTTTGGTTCCCAATTAGCAAACTCTAAGGAAAATATTATTTTTTTATATAAACTATAAATTATTATAACTATTAGGAGATAATTTGAGATATTTATAGGTAATTAATTTGTTAATAGTAATATTTTTAAAATGACATAAATTTATTATAATATGATCCAAATAGGATGTTAAAGAATAAAATTTCAAATTTAAATTCAAACAATAAATGGATAAAAGTGATTAATATTTTAAATATTTGATACTTATATAGAAGAGATGGCAAGAACTAAAGAAGGAAAAGCTATATCTAAAAAAAGTATAGCAAAGAAAGGCGAAGAATAAATGAAATCAAAGAAATCGAAAAGATATCGACCAGGGACAATTGCTTTAAAGGAAATAAGAAAATATTAGGATAGTTCTAACTTATTGATAAGGAAATTACCATTTTAGAGATTAGTTAGAGAGCTTGCTGGATTTTCAGAAAAAGAGATGAGATTTTAAAGCAGCGCAATTCTAGCTTTGTAAGAAGCAACTGAAGCATTTATAGTAAATATGTTAGAAGACAGTGTTATTTGTGCTCATCACGCAAGAAGAATAACGGTGATGTAGAGAGATATTAATTTAGCAAGAAGAATAAGAGCTGATAATTTTTGATTATTAATAATAATTATATAAATGATACTCATGTTTGTGATAAAATCAATGAAACAATTAAACCATATAAGGCTAATGCTTCTGCGAAGATGAGGATTAGAATCAATCCAACAAACAACCTTTCTTATTATGCATTTCCTCTGACACCAACATCTCCAACAATTCCTATTGCAAATCCAGCTGCAATACAACTACATCCACAACATAATCCTGATGCCATATGAGCAAAACCATTTTTATATGTATAATCTGTAGGATTTGAAACTATTTTTAATTATTCAATTTTTTATTACCTTTCTGTGATAGTAATACAGCTACGATCATACCATAGATACCCAAAATACCAGCCATAACAACAGGAATTAATGATTTCATAATAATTTCTGGTTTCCAAATTCCTATAGCAGCTATACCTGCTCCTGCCTTAAATGTTCCATATCCTGCTCCCAAATCTATAAAAAAATTATTAATCATATTTTAATACTTGCCAATACCAATGCCATAGACACTCCCATAAAACCAAAGAATGTTGAGGCATTGATTTAAACATCCTCATCACTAACCATATTATCAAGAATAAAAAGCATTTTATTTTATATATATATATATATATTATTTATTTATTATTCATTATTTAATTGGCAGATATTTTGCTAACATTATCAAAGAAATATCAATTTCAACAAATTAGAATTATTATTAATAATTAATCATCCATCTTAACCGAATTCAGCAGTCCAATCTTCATATTTTTTAAGATCTCCTTATGAAACTGATGGTCTACACTTTGGAAGTACACTCAAGAAATCATCCTAAAAGTAATCAATATCAATACATATTCGATTTATGGTAAATAGAGTTATCCACCTTTGATATCATACATTCTCATTTATTAACCTTAAGGATCAGAAGGAGAACAAGCCATATATTTCATTCCTTCTGGTGTTTATGTGTATTTGAAATGAGTAGCCCTTTCAGTTTTTCTTAAAGGTTCAAAAGAAGCATCTCTTATAAGAGTATTCATGTCAGATCCTGAATATCCATCTAACATTTTAGCAATATCTTCAAATTCAGCAAGAGTCAAATTATTAGGAGTATTTTTCATTTTATTTTTTAACAACTATAATCTACCTTGTAAATCAGGGAGAGGGATATAGATTCTCTTTTCAAATCTTTAAATAAAATGATAAATAGATATTACCTTCTTCTAATAGCTGGATCCAATGCCCATGGTAAATTGGTTGCACCTAAAACTAAGACAGAATCATTATTATTGCCAACTCCTTACATTTCTACTAAGAATTGAGTTTTAACTCTAGATGATGCTTCATTTCCGCTTCCACTCTCTCTATTACTAGTCATAGAATCGACTTCATCTATAAATATAATTGTTGGTTTTGATTCTCTTGCCATAATAAATAACTCTTTGATTAATCTCTCTGATTCTCCTACAAATTTTGATATTAAATCTGCTGAAGATACAGAAAAGAATGTTCCTTCACATTCTGTAGCACATGCTTTTGCTAAAAAGGTTTTACCAGTGCCTGGAGGCTATAATATGTAGAAATATTAATAATACTCCATATAATAGAATACCCATCCATGGTTTTCTTGCTCCTTGAAAAAGTTCTGGGAATCTCATAGGCATTATTATAGCTTCTTTTAAAGAATTTTTTGCATTTTCTAAACCAGCTACATCATCCCAACTGACATTTGGTTTCTCAGTTACTATAGCTGTTGAGAGATTATTTCTCAATGCTTATTATCCTTCTAATAATCTAATTTATTAATTAGATATTTCATTTACTTTTGTTTTCCTTATTCTTGTCCATCTTTTTAATTCGTACTTTTATTTATATCATTCTAACCAGTCGATCCTTTTAATTACTATAAACCTTAAGGATTTTATGCTAACTTTTATTATTATTGTTATTATTAAGGAGGAAGCTAAGTTTAACCTTATAGATTTGCTCTATAATTATCTAAATAAGCTTTCATATTTTGCATCTCTGTTGTAAATTCATTTAACTTTTAACTCGCTATTTAACACAATTATTAACTAGTCTCTTGTCTTGCATATTTTACTAATTCTTAACATCCCAATTTCATTTTATCATATCCTCCTTATTTTGCTTCAAGTGTAGCTCCTTATAAGTATTCAGATTTCCCTACATTAAATATTCTTATTACCTTAGGCTATCAACTATATCGCTTAATCCCTTAATTTATTTAAAAACCCTTCTGACATAAAAAATAATAACAAAATATTCAATATAAAATGATCTTAAAAATTTATTTTTCAAATCAAAAACTCGATTAAGTCTCTATATGGAATCATATTTTTATTAACCTTAAATAATATACATTAAATCAAATTATTTTTTATTCTATCCTATCAAAATTAACAAAAACTATTTATCCAAATATATCTATTTATATTCTATACATTACTAATAAGCTTTCTAAATTTTATAAATTTTATAATTAATTGATTCATTTTATTCTATTAGTCATAATCAAAGATCTTTAATCTTTATCTTGTTTTAACTATTCAATTAGTTTGTTGTTTGTTAAAAGAATTATGACGAGGATACTGGTTAATAAATTTAACAGATAGTACAATTCTAAAAAATCATAAAACTTGAATCTTTTACATCAACTTCAAAATACATAAAGATCCAAAATATTAATGATCTATACTCTGCACTCTTAAAATTAAATTATTATTCAAGTAAATTTAAATCATTCATAATTTATTCTAGCATAATTAAATAAAATGCCATAAATAATTGCTCTAAATGATAGGAAAACCAATATATATGAATAATTAGGTAATCCAAAATCTTTATTGAATTTAACATAAATTATAACTAGAATCAAATTTGAAAGAGAAGATGTAAGTTAAATCTAAAAAAAATATATATATTACTTTTATTTAGAAGAAATAATTAAATAATTTTTGTTATCTAAGAATTGGTAATAATATTATTAGATTTAAACATATTCATAATCCAAAAAAACATAGATTTGTCTTTGATTGTGGAAGTTGATGATTGTAATGAAATATTCAAAAAAGGAGATCATAGAAATTAATTTGAATAATTTATTAATAATAAAAACGAATAAGTTTAGGGTAATAATAAAAATATCATAAAGCAAAAAGGAAAAGAAATTGAAAAAAAATGTTAAAATTTATGATAATATTTAATAAAATTTTATTGTTAGAAATAACAACATCAAATGATCTATTCTCAGATTCCATATGACTAAACTCTAAAGTAATTTCAAGCATTTATAATTCAGCTATCTTCCATAAGGTTATCCCATGTATTACTAACATTATCAACCATACCAAACAACATTTGAACCCTATCAAGTTTTATCAAATATTATTCCCATCACAGAGCATATACCATCTACAATTATGTTTCCTTAAGAAACAGTAATTGAAAAATATACCCCTTAATAAATGCCTAAAATAGTTTAAAATGAAAATTGTAGGAAAAATAAAAGAAAAAACTTTTTTAATTTAGATAACAATCCTTATTTATATTCTAATGCTAGAATTAGAAATTATCCATAATAATTATCGCCATAACATTACTAATAATATTCTAATGAGGCTCATTAAATCTAATTTTAAACTAGTAGATTAGAAAATACCTAAAGATTTTAAGACCATTAAATTTAATCTGTTTAACAGAAAAATCTAAAAGAATTAGAATCAACAAGAATATTTTATCCACCTTAACCAATATAATAATAAACTATCAATAATCAAATCGAATAAAGACTACAAACTACCTAATAATATCCTATACAAAATATTTAATAGTCAAAAACCTTAGAATAAAAGGGTTATCATCATTAATAATAGAATCTTCCTTTCAATGAGCCGATTCCTTCTATGTAGACTTAGAGTTTACATCCTTAATATTAAAGTACAGCACAATTATAACCATTATTATCTAAAAGCTTAAATAATTAAACTGGAAGATTATTGAACGAATCTAAACCCTCTATTATTCAATCAACTATTGTAATACATATTTATATTTTAGTAATATAATGCACCTAAATAAAGACCAGGCCTTAATTTAGATTTGAATTAGTATAAATCATCCAGTTAGAGCCTTTCACAATCAAAATTAAGAAGATCAAAAATTTTCGATTGATAATAATTCATGATTAAAAATATAATCATTATTTTTTAAAAACTTAAGCACATCTAAAAATCAGATATTTAAAGGGAGACTCAATCAAAGCAAAAATATTCACTTTCTTCCATCTTTCTAATAACTTTTTTTCAAAAATCTTTATTTTATAATGATTTATATCCCAAATTCTTTTTAATAAAAATTACAATTTAATTTCATATGTTTATTTATTCTATAGGTTTTTATACTTTATAAGTAATCCAAATATGACACTAAGAATTATTTAAAAACAAAATGATTAAATGTAATTAACAAGTGATGAAATAAAAATAATTATAATTTTCTTGTTTAACTCATTTAATTGTATTATATGATGAAATCTAGTAAATTAAATTATTTCTCAATCCATTATTGGAATATCTTTTTTAAATCTTAGATCTCAGCTGAATTTTGGAGAATATTGACAAAAATATTTATATTGTATCCTAATAGAATCTTAAAGCACAAGTGGTAAAATGATGAATTGTAAAAATAATAATATATTTCAATAATAAGATTGTATTATATAATAGAAATTTTATATAGGCAAAAGTGTCATTCTTCATCGGTTGTTTCTCTAATTAAGGCAAAATACTTCCTCATAATTTATTTAGTTCTTAAAATGGCTTAGCCCTATCCTTTTAATCTATTTTTGCCTATATTTTTAAAGCATTTCTTTTTGCTTTTTTTAATTAGTTAGTTATAAGGGTTGAATTTTTAATGATGGGATCTAGATTGTTTGATAAAAAATACCTGCATTAGCTTGCGGATCTAGTTCCAATAATCTCACTCATTTTTTTAAATAAAGGTTATCCTTTCTTGTATGACCTATCAACACCCCTAACATTATGTAAAAATTCTAAATATATTGAATGTTCATGATCATCCCAATGACCTGTTCGTTGTTGTGAGCAAATATTTCCTTCTTGTTATTTCGAAGTATTTACAGTAGGATCAAGATTATCCTCACCTTATTAATCAGAGCCATCGAATTTCATTTTTAATTATATCTTAAATTAAATTATGTCAGTCAAACATTTATTGCCTGATTTATAAATCTCGTACTGATTATAAAATACAAACATTCGTATATATTTATCAATACAAGAGTTACTGAACTAATTCAATTATTTTTATATGTATAAATATTTTATGAAAGATAAATATTTCACCCTAAGTTGTTTTAATTGTTCAAAAATTACTTGCTTTTGATGATTGGAAGATTTTTAATATATAAATTATATTGTATAATATTAATTCTTGGAAATAAATAATAAATAGGTATTTTAATAACAAAATATTTAGTATCAAAGGATCAATTATTTAAATTTCATAGGATATTTTAGATTATTATAGTATTAAAAAACCAATTTCAATCCAAGTTTCAAATACAAGAGTACTGACGATAAAGAATTCAAGTAAACTATACGATCTCTTTAAGTTCTAGGTATGAAGCATATATAGAATTTAAATTTATAAGACTTGATAAAAATTATATCAACTAATTACTTGATCCTAAATCATATTTTGATGAAAGACCAAAATATTATAATATAATATTAACTCTGCTTAAAAAGATTTAAAAAAGTAATATTGATGCAATAGACTATAAAAACAATGATTGTAATGATTTGATTAGAAGATTTACCCTGTTTTAAGCAAAATTAAATTTATAAAACTACTCAATTCCTCTGGTTTGAGGTTTTTTAATTATAAAAGTTTAAATTAAAGCTAAAAATGAATTAAAGAAATTAAGAATAGATCATAAGATTATGAAAAGATATCATAAAAATCCTTTTTAATGAGGGAGAATAATTTTAATAAAAATAAATGATAGAAGTTATTAAATTCTTATGGTTTTATATAAACATTAACATATGTATTAATCCTTTAATTTATCACTCGGAATTCTTCTAATTACCTAAAAATATTATGTAAATATAAGCGATTATTAATAATATGTGTATATATATATAATAATAATATATTTCAATAAAGCTGTTATTACTATTAAGATTAAATCTCTTTCAATTTTTAATCATAATGCCTTTAAGCATTATTATAGATTTATTAATATTATTATTTTTCTTCTTTTGATCTTTCTTAATCATGAATAATTTATTTAATGATATCGCTAGCCCCCTAAGTATCTCCTTATTTAGCTTTGTCTTAACCTTATTTTAAGAGATACAAAATTTGCTTAAAATAAATAAAAGTGGAAAGTACTTGCTATCCTGGAAAGATGTGTTCCATGTTAGTTAATATCATTACAAGAATCTATTAGGTAAGATCTGCCTATAATTATTATTAATTCATTTATTTCATTTATTGTTACATCTATCTAATGGATAATCATATAGAAACTTTACTAGTATTAACTTTATAAATATGGCATTGTATTTAATTCACTTTCCCCATGAGCAAAAGTACAAGTGGGTCCATTTTTACATTAACCTGTTTGAGGATTGAAATGCTTGCATAATTATGCTATTTTTATGATCTTAATCATTTACTTTTATAATTAACAATCATAGGGTTGATTCCTTAAACCTTATTGAAATTATTAGCAGGTATAACTTATTCAACAAATCCTGCTTATAAACTATTTGCTCTAAGTTCTTATGGTCCATGAGCAAACTAACATCTTTACCCTAAAGCACAAACACCATTTGATGCTATATATTTATACAAACACTTACTAAAATGTCTACAGAGCTATGTTTTGTACTTTGAATTCGGAAACTGAGTTGCCTGATTGTACATAATTTTAAATAATATCTCAATTAAAACAAATTAATATATATTCATTCTCACAAATATATGATTATTAATTAATTCTTTTCAATTTCTTTTATCATTCTAGTGTTCTTTTATATTTTTTAAGATGTTACTTTAAATCTCATATAAAACTTATGTTTCTTTTTTATTATCAATTCATATAATATTTAAATTTCACTTTGATATCACCTCTACAATTAAGACTAGGATTTATTCTGAAGATTCTACATTTTTTTATTGTTTTAGTTGTTGTTTAAATAGCATAAGTTTCATAATCTTTTTTACCTATCATATTAAATCATATATCAAATATTATTAATTGAATAATAAACAGCTAAATATGGCTTCTATTCTCAAATTTATTATTAACAATAATTATTTTAAATGAGTTTCTCAAACATTTGAAACAGAATGAACAAGATTTTCATTTATTATACCTATATATTATAAAGAAAAATCTTAAATTAGTATCAAAGACTTTACATTTAATTTAATTCATAAATTTATATACAGTTTTTAATGTTTAAAAATATATGATATAATTATTTTATCAAAGGCCTGATAATTATTATAGATTAGAATATCATTAAATAAATATATAAATGATGTTTGAATAATAGTTAAGCAAATATATAAATGAAAGTTAAAATGTTTATTTATTTTACATTATACTTGTTTAATATAGATCAGAATCTCAATTTTGAGAAAAGGAATCTTGATTAAGCTTTCTTATCAGCCAAACTTCCAGCTGGTAATGTTCTATATTTTTCAGCTAAATATTTTCTCAAATTTTTTCTTAATTCCTTTCTTTTTTCAACATTCTTCAATTCTGCCTCTTTAACTCTTTCAATTCTATCTCTAACTTCCTTTAAAGTTGATTCTTCTAATCTGTATCTAAAAAGAATCGATTTTTAATTACCTTGTTGGCATAATGTGATTAAGATTTAATTATTTAATGAAAACTTTCAATGTAGTTCGCTTTCTGATTTATTTTTAACCCATTCTTTTTGTAACTTTTCTTGGATATCTTTAGATACCTACGACTAAACCATTTGGGAATTTAGCATCCTAAAAGAAATCAATTTTAGATTTACTTTAGTTGATTCTTCATTTGCTTTAATTAAAATAGCTTTTTTTCCTGCATATCTGCCAGCAAGCATAACTACTAGACGACCTGGTTTCAAGCTATTTATAATAGTATTATTTACAATTTCCCCATTTAAAAACCCTAAATAAATCTTTAATAATTTATTCCAAATTTTTGTAAGAAATAATCTAATTTATTGATTTATCATAGATAATATTATCTCAATATATTGATGTCACTTAAAATGATATAAATATAATTTATATATTTAAAAAAAGAAAAAAAATATTGAATAGAGACAACTAATTGTAAATAAAATATTGAAAGTACATAATTAAAAAATTATATGAATTTAAAAAAAAAAGAAGGAAAAATAATATGAATTATAATATTTTATATTGTACGATAATATCTTGGAATAATCAAAATACTAAATCGTGTGGTCTTGTTGTTTTACCAATGCTAAAACGTGCACCAAGATATTATTTCATGAGTGGTGTTTTCTTGACTGCTGCAATCAATGCATCATCAATTGATTTTTAAGTCTTTCTTTTACCTTCCAATCTTGTTTTTTCTGCTGCTTATTATTCAGCTGTGAGCTATACATTATATTATACCATTACTTCTCCTCTCTTTGCCCAAAATCCTTATTCATTTTTACGTCTTTAAGCTTATGTTCTCTTGAAATATTCATCATCTACTTAACCAGCATTCACTCCATTAACATCTACTTTTGTAGAAGTTGGAATAACATATGCTGAATTAACTCTCTTGAGTGGAACACCATTTAATTTGAATGGACCTGTAACAAGCAACAATCCTGATTTAAGCTGCTTCAAGAATACAACTCTCTTTCCTTAGAATCTTCCAGCCAACAAGATTAATACTTGTCCTGGTACAATCTTTCTCAATTTAGATGGTCTTGGAACCTTTTTTCTATTTATTTCACTATACTTTTCTCTTTCTAACGAAATGTACTTTTTCATCATCGCTCTTATACCAATTACCAATTCTCACAGTTCTCTTTTTTCCAGGCATTGATTATATTTTAATTAATTTTAAATCTAATTTTAAAATTTAATTATCCTTAATCACTCATCTCTTTCATTTATTCATTATTAATTATTTTATTTATTATACCGAAACCAAATCATATAGATCTAATATGTTAAACTGTATTATGTAGTTCATAAATCCCATATAAAATAGATATCAATAAATTATACAAAATTAAATATATTTTGTTCTAAAAACTAAACATGAAGATTTTATATTAAATTAATTATAAATCTCAAGATTACAATGTACTTATCTAAATACTTAAATGATATCATTTAATTCTAATTAAAGCAATTAATAAACAAATTTTATAATTGAACAATTATATATAGATTTAATTGAAAGAATAAAGTAAGTAAGTAATTTATAAAATGATAAAAAGGATAAGATTTTATATATCTACCAGTTTAATTTATTTTTAATATGTAAATTATTTTTGAATAAAAATTCTAAAGCTTTTTTAGAATTTTTGGGAAGAGAATTTCAAATAAAAATTTAAAGAAATTCTTAAATTAAAAAGTGATAAAGAAATCTTAAATAATGATTTAATTTCATGTTTTACAACAATTTTATAATTTTTAATAAATAAATCATAAGTAGAAATTTATATGATTACATAAATATTAAAAAATTGATAAAAATATTAATATTTAATAATGATATATAGTGAATAATTATAATAAATTATTGATATTTAAAATACATGTTTATAAGAATGTTAGAATAAAAAGGGTAAACCAATATAATTTCAAAAATAAGATAAACTCATTCAGCCTTATCAGATTGAACTGACACAATAGGTGCTACAGAATATGCTTCTAATTGCAATTAGTTTTAACCTAGAAATAAATAAGATTGAAATACCTAGAGCAACATAAGCCAAACCTTTGAGACCCCAAGAATCTCCCCATGAATTTTCAATAACCCAATAATTAACTCCATCTTACTTACCCCAACCAATTACTTTAACTGCATGTCCATATTAGAATCTAAATAATGAAAAGTATAAATACTTAGAACTTCCTTCAACAACTTCATAGATACCTCCTTTATAAACAAGGAAGTCTTTGAATACTTAAATAACTGCTATAACAGGTCCATTATTTAAGATTTCTCTCTTAATGTTTTCTTCACTAGAGATAACACAATAATCTTATATCTTATATTTTTCACAATTAGTAAAGAGAGCATCACAATTATCTTTAGCATCTTCAGTTCCAGAATATGGTAAACAAGAAGTTGTAACAAATCCTTATTTTTTACCAACTTCTAAAACTCTAGTAACACTTCCTCCTCCACATCTGTAATTCTTATTATCACAAGAGATGGGAGATTAGGGAGACAATTAATCTTAAAATTCACCATTTCTAACTTTACATAATCTATCACTAGTAGCTGAAACAGCAGCAATAGAATAACTTGATGAACAATTTCCTATTTAATTAATCTATATATTACCTTAATTATATATTGGTTAAGCACATTCAGGTTAAGCATCTCTAAAATTGTAGCTTTCTGGAATTATTACTCCACTCTCTGGACATTATGGAATCTTTCCTTTAAATGTTAAATGATTATTAAAGATGAATTTAGCATCACTAAATTTCCAATCTTTAAAAAAATCATTTGATCCTTATAAATAAGATCCTAATTAATTATGACTAGCAATTTCTTCTTCATCAATTACAGGTGCTGTTGTCAACTTTTTACTTGATCGGGTTAAAATTGAAAATAATGCATAAACACACACAAATCCAAATGCACCTATTACCAAATGATATGCATATTTTTCAAAAAAGCTAGGTTATGTTTGATTACGTCTTTTCATTGCTTATGCTGCCTTTTCTCTTTAAGCTACTTTTTCTGGAGATTAAGGAGATGGACTTCTTTATCTTTATGATACTTAACTCATAATTTAATTTAATTATTTAACACGTTTTTATTATTTTTTAATTTAATATAAAAACTAACAACCATATTTCATTATTCTATTCTATTATTTTTGTCATTTTAAAATGAACTTAATTCAAATTATTATCTAGTGCTCATAAATAAACTTCTCTTCAAATATAATAAATAAGTTTATATATTATTTCATTGTAATTTTTTTACAATCTTAAACTATAGATCTTGCTCTTATAATGCTATCTTTGTTATTTTTAAGTATTTGAAAATAAACTAGGCTATTCATCTAAGCATTAATTTCATATTTTTTTTATTTGATCTATTTGGCTACCATCTATATATAAACATTTTGATAAATATTTATTATAACATCAACAAATGTAATTCATATTTATTTAGAATATATGCACATGTATCAGATATTTCTTCACTTTATACATAAGTACATTCATTCAAAAATATATACTAATTTTTGAATATATAATTTCATAAAAAAAATTAATTTTTCGACAAATAATGATCACAATAAATGTAGAAAACTATCAAAAATTTTTGATAATTCAAAAAGCATAATTTTTAAAAAATATTTATGTTTATTTAAAATTGAATTCACTAACTCAAAATTATTTTTGTTTAAATTTTTATTTATAAAATTTATTATTTTTTTTTTAGTAACAGTTTAGGAATCAAAGGTTGGTAACACGTGATTTTAATAAATTAATATGTTAAAATTTATCTTTAATCTAGAGTGTTTCTTTAAATATAAATAAAATCTATTTTTTTATTGAATGATTAAATAAAAATGTTTTAATTTATATTTATCAAATACAAGAAGTAAACTATTTATAACTTTAATGGAATTATTTTTTTAAGAGATTTAATGGTGATTTACGTAATAGGAAGAAAATATCTTTTACAAAAAATCATTAAAAATTATTATTTAATATAATCGCATTGTTACGGATCTAAATAATTTCTATCTTTTAATACTCATTATCTAATGATTAAATATAAATTCATTTATTTTAAATTAAAAATGAATTGATTTATATATTTTTGATAAACATATATTTATTTTACAATCCTAATTATAACAATTGGTCTTAAATAGTAAAATCTTAGTTAAGTAAAGTTGAATGATTATTGCTTAAATCTAATTAATTTAGAATAAATTATAATAAAGATAAACATAAAAATCACAATAAAAATTTTGAATATATATAATTATGTTATTAGTAACACAAGAAGTCGTTATTGATTGATCTTTTTGTATAATATATAAGAATAATGTGAGAATAGATTTGGTTCTTTCAGAATTATGTTATAATAATAAATGAGTAGTGTATAAATAATAGTAAGAATTCAGTAATATTTTACCTAATAATGCTAAGCTTTATGTTTCAAATAAATGAAATATATTAATTAATTAAATGGCTGAAGAAGAAAAGAATTTAGAGCCTCCTTAGAATGCTCCAGATTAAGAACTATTAAAACCAGACTTAGATAATAATTAATAGTATGATCAAGATGGACAATAGCAAACATAAAAATTCAGTGAAATAAATCCAATGAGTAGTGTGTTGAATTAAGGTTATCAAGAAGAAGATCCTAGGATGATGAGAAGAGATATAATAAAAAAGAAAAAGAAAAGATAGAAGGAATAAAGATTAATATCAGCAAGAAGACTAAAAAGATTATTGCGTAAGAAACCTGTAGATAAATTGAGATTAGCATATTAAGCTTATTTTTTTATAGTAAGTGTTGCTGTATTGGCATTAAGTATTTTATCGTATAGAGATCAGACAGTTTACGAGGGAGATTATTAATAATTTTTAGATAATATGGGATCATATGTAATAGATGATATTTAATTTACTTATACAAATAAAAACTGTAAGAGTTAATTTGGAAGTGAAGTAAAATGATAATATTAAAAAAATTAGTATTCTTCATTATATGAGTATTATTGGCCTGGAACTTTGATTGGATGTGATTGTAGTAAAGGATTTAACTTTACTTTGTTATAGGATAAAAATATAAATAATATAGAGGGATTCTTTAAACAATCATTTATGTTGGATAGAATTTGTAGTTAAGAAATGTTGGCAAGAGGTTGTAAGACTGTGGATGAATAATAACCAAAAGTATTTAATTCTTGGAATGATGGTTCTTATGGGAGACGTAAATTAAATATAATAATTATTTTAGCATTTGTTTTATGTGCTAGAAGATAGACTGGAATAAGTTTATAAACAAATTAGAGTTATTGTGAGTCTGAATAAAAAAATATATGTGGTATTGGAGATAATAAATTTTGTGTTCCATCTGATATGAGTTGTCCTGTCTCTGAGATTGGATTTAGTACAAATTCTAATCATTATAACTTATCAAAATTAAACAACACTAATATTGGAAATATTTTTGATTTAGGAAAAGGTTTTTATTTTTATTATATAAAAAACACATCTACACTACCACTTATTGAATTTAGAGTTACTGAAGGTACCAAAATTTGTAGAAGGAATTTAGAATAAAATATCTCTCCAAATAGAATTGATTATCCTCTTATGACAGATAGAAGAGAATAATGTGAAAATACAGATCCTTTATTTAAATTAGTTCATTCTATAGATGAAGAATAATTTTATTTATCCAATAATGTCATTTATCTATCAGAAAAACTACCATATTTTAATATTAACACTACATACAATTGGTCTATGCATTCTAAAACTTATATTCCATGGGCTCCTAATTGTAGAGGATAATTATTTGATGATGTTATCCATGAAGGAAGCACATTATTTTTTGTATATGTATCATTAAGAGTTTAATTGGGAGTAACAATAACTTATTTTATTGTTATTGGTCTTATATTTAATATTGTTGGAACTATGACTGCTTGTAATTTTGCTTGGTCTTGCATGGCAAGTAATATATATTAAATATTATTTATTAGCTCGTCCGGAATCTTAATATAATTATATATTCTTAATTGAAATTGGATTTAAAATTACTTTATAAATAGCTGAAATCATTGTCATTTGTGTATCCTTTGCTATTATTGATACAAAAAGACTTGTTATTAAAGATGTTAATGATAATAAATGTATTTCTGATCCTGTTAGTGAATTCTTTTTTACAAATCTAGAAACAGATCTAACCAATTTTGCTTGGTCATACAATCTTGCTAATTTAGTCATCTTTGCAGTAACTTTAGTTTTAGATTTAATTATTATTAAACATTCTTTGAATTAAGGTCATCATCATGGAGCAAAAAAGCATCATGAGTAAAAAGAACATTAAGAATTAGATATGGGATCGCATGCTGAATCTTGCAATTAGTAAGAGGTTAAAAGTGATCTAAAATTATAAGTTAAAAGTGATATATTATAGTCTCCCTAATGATAAAGAATAATATTCAATATATTTTTATATAAAATAATAAATCATCTATTAAATATTAACATTAGGATATTATTACTTGATTTATGTAATCATATAAATTTCTACTTATGATTTATTTATTAAAAATTATAAAATTGTTGTAAAACATGAAATTAAATCATTATTTATGATTTCTTTATCACTTTTTAATTTAAGAATTTCTTTAAATTTTTATTTGAAATTCTCTTCCCAAAAATTCTAAAAAAGCTTTAGAATTTTTTATTCAAAAATAATTTACATATTAAAAATAAATTTAACTGGTAGATATATAAAATCTTATCCTTTTTATCATTTTTTAAATTACTTACTTACTTTATTCTTTCAATTAAATCATCATTTATTCTTACTTTTTATAAAATATACAACTTATTATATAATTTTTTGATTATTAAGGTAAATAATTTTTTTCCTTCTATATTAATAATTTTAATAGAATTAACAATATGCAAAATTTGAAAGCAATATACAAATTTTCTTACTATCCATAATAACCCTTACCTGAATTACACTATATTTCTGCAAGAGAAGATGAAAAATATTTCTTTTATTAACTTGAAGGATCAAATTATATATCCCTTAATACACTCCTAAATTCATATGTATAAAATATTTCTAATATAGTTATCTCAAATTATTAGATTAAGTATTGGTTAATGTTTAAGACTAATTCAATTTATTTACTAAAAGGTCATTGATGTTTATCATAGAGAAAATAAAAAATTATCTTTAATTACATTAGATAATTTATGGATATATACAGAGAGCGGATTTAATGGAGAAATAAAACCATAAAAAACAATGAAGATAATATTTCTAAATTATTAGGATCAGGACGTAAGTTTAGAGTAAAATTTATAACAGCTTTCATTGGTTAATAGATAAATAAAAAAATTTTGTAGAAAAGCTGAGTTTAAAATCAGGGCAAAGGATGGTAAAAATACGAGTTTAATATAATAAATAATAAATGTTATTGATGATATGTTTTATGAAGTTGAAGTTTGTTTGTACGAAAATCCAAATCAAATATAATAAAAAATAAATGAATTTGTCAATGATGCTCAAGAAACAGAATATGAGTACTTATAAGAAGATGCATCATATATTTAAAGGAGATTCGAGCAAACTGTTGGAAAATTAAATAAAATATTTGAAGAGGATTGCTAAAATGAGATATAATTAAATAAAAAATTACTCAGGTGGTAAAAAGAATTGCATGACAGTTTTATTGAATATAATTGGGAAAGATAAAGTTATAAAACATCATTTGAAACTATTTTAGAATTCGAAAAAAAACTTCAAAATATAAAAGAATTAAATGAGGAATAAAGAACAAAAATAGAGCATGAATTCTGTTTAAAACTTGAATAATAAGGATTTTTTAATTTTAACTCTTAAAGGATTAAATAGGCTTAACAAATAACATTTTAAAGAGAATTAAAATATAAATTGGAATCTTCTAAAACAAATAGTGATGAAATAGATTAATTATTTAAAGATCTTACTGAAAAAGTCAAATAAAAATAAAATGATATTTAAGGTTTTAATATGCAATAAAATGTCAGAGATTACAATTTAAAATATATTAAGGAATTCTATAAATAAAATGCATAAAATGAATATAAATTATATGACAGATTCTATTTCACTATCAACTTATAAGAATAATGGAAGACTAAAATTATGGAAGAAATCTTGCCAAATATTAATTTAAATGATGAAAAATTATAAAATACAATTATTCCTAAATTTGAAGAGTTATTAAAATTAAATAAAATGGGAACGAATAATGAAGAACCAAAACCTAAATATGTATGAATGGATTGAGATATAATAAATAATTCAATAAAGTTATAATTTTATGTTAAATACATTAGATGATTTCTAATTTTATTTAATTTCTGAATATTAAGAGAATAAGGTATTATAGCAAATTAATTTAATTTATAAGGATTATTTATATTATTAATCACATAATCAAAAAATGGGAAATGGTCAAGGTATGGAGGAATAAATGGGTACATTCTAACCTTAAGAGATTAAAAGACTTTACAAGAGATTTTAATTCTTAGATAAAGATGGGTCCGGTCAATTAGAACCAGCTGAATTGTTTGATGTTCCAGAGTTATCACAAAATCCATTAGTAAAGAGAGTGTTTCAAATATTTGATAAAGATAATGATGGTAAGATAAGTTTTGCTGAATTTATCACTGGACTGTCTAGTTTGTATGGTAATGATGAAGAAGAGAAGTTAAAATTTATGTTTAAAATTTATGATATAGATTAAGATGGATTTATAACAAATGGAGAGTTATTCAAAGTACTTTAAATGATGGTTGGAAATAATTTAACTGATGTTTAATTACAACAATTAGTAGATAGAACAATTATCAAAGCAGATGAAGATTTTGATTCTAAGATTTCCTTTGCAGAATTTAAGAAGATGGTCAAAGACTTAGATGTTGCATCTAAACTCTAGATGTAAGGAGTTTGATAGATATATATACAAATATATTACATTCATTACAATCTTTATTCAAAATTTGATGACATAATTTTTAGAGTAACTTATTACTATAATATCGTCAAATAATATTTAAAGATAAAAATCATATTTATAAAGAGTGAATTTGAATTTGTCTGATAATTTGCAAGTTTTTCATTCTTCTTAGTCAATATTTTATAAGTGAAATCTCAGAAAGAATTTGAATATATTATAATTTAGAACATTAAAAGGGATATTACTAAATATCAGTATTGAAATATTTTGCTATTTTAAATCCAAATCCTAAAAAAAGAATAAATATATATTTTACTAATGAAAAAAATACTAAAATTTTCAATTAATTTTCTTTAAAAAAAAAAAGAATCCTTTTAAATGAAAATTTTTTATATATTAATTACGATTTGATTTTCATAAATTTTAGTTCCAATAAAACATATTTTTAAGAAATGATAAAAATATAGACTTGCTAGGGTGATTAAAGTATAGATCAAGAGAAAGAAATCATTTGTAGTTTTGAACAATTTTAAACAGAGGTTAGTGCCTAAAGACAAGAAACTAAAATAAGAAAAAATAAAAATAATAATGAAATCAGTAGTTTGAAAAAAAAGTTTTCAATAACTTTTAGGGATGAGATTTTTCCTGAAGAAGGTCTTGTTGATGTTTAGATAGTTGAGAATTGGAAAATATATAATGTAAATTAAGAAAAAGCAGCAATAGCTGATGATTGTTTATGTTTTATCTTATGAGTCTTATTTATTGAATTTATTTTAAATTGGAATATAATAGTGGTTTATTTCTTGTTAAAATGAAATAGATTAAGTGTTTTAGATGAAATTTTATTTAATACAAAAAGTCTTTTTTTTTTTTTTTTGATGCAAAACTTAATTCTAAATATAATTTGTGAATAATAAGAATATTCGATAAAATAAAAATTAATGTAATTTAAACTGGTTTTATTTGATAAGAAAATATTAATAATTTACTTATAAACTATTCAAATAACTAGTGTTCTCATTAAACTTCATTTTTTGTTTACTGTTAATATACTAGCTCTAACTTATTTCATATGACGAAGCTAACTAATTTCGTTTGCAATAAAACTTTTTTTAGGAGCTTTATTTGAAGGCACTTCAAGTCTAATAGAATCTTTGATAGATTATCTTGGTATAATTGTTTTAAGAACTGATGATCTTTATGCTTCTTTTGGAGGTGGTTTAGGTCCTTCATCTGCTCTTCTTGCTGTTAACGGTGTACTTTTCATCATTTATCTTTTTTTTAAAGCATCTTATCTTTTTTATCTTTCTTCTCTTTATAATTTCTCTAACTTTTATCTTAAAATTTGTCTGAATATTTTCAATATTTTATCTCCAAATTTATCAGATGGATCTTTTGGATTTTCACCATAAAATTATGCACAAGTTCTATATTCCTCTTCCAAATGATTAATCTTCTTATCAAGTTCTTCAATATCTTTTGTAATAGATTCATACACATCCTTAAACTTTTATTATACTAAATCTTATGGATCATCTGTTTATGAATCCATAGCTTTTTTTATAAAACTATAACCTTTTTTGATATCTCCTAAATCAACTACTAATTGATGAACTGGTACTCTTTAAAGGACTTCAAATGTTTTCAATTCTAATATTAAATTATTTAATTACTTTCTTCAGAAATTATTTCACCTCCTATCATTTACTCTGTCTTTTCTATAATATACAATAATAAATTATTATTTTGATTATCAGATGTTTTAATTTCAGCACAAATATCAAGTGCTTCTATTTTAAAACCTAAGGCTCTACCTCTAGGAGTCTTAGCTAAAATTTTATAAATTAATGTATACCATTTAAAAAGTTTCCAATATTTAAAGTTATAAGCAATATCTTTTAAAGTCCTTTTAAATTTCTTATTTCTTGAAATCTTGAAGTTAAAATTGCCATTTTATCAATCAAATCTTATCTATAATCATCATAAACAGATCTAAATTTTAATGATCTGATTCTATATTAAAACCCATTAATTTATCTAATACTATCAATAAATGTTTCAACAACTCCAAGTAGATCTCTTTGACCTTAAAATTCGCTAACCTTAAATTAAATATATTATTCTTACAATCTTAATTTCTTCATCTGTTGGAATTACGGTATCTAAAGAATCTATTGCTGAATCATTAAGTATATTCAAATCAATTGATAATAATGATTTCATAATTAAAGCATTTGGTATTTTAATTTTTCCTAAGACTAATTCAATATTTTTAGATCTATCTGTAGCAATTAATTATATTTTAGTTTAGACTACCTTTTTAATAACTGTATTTTCAGTATTTTGCTATTAAGATGTTGAAGTTTAAATTTTATAAAAATATGTTTCTAAATATTTAGTATCTATTTCATAAATTTCTTAATAAATAGATTCATAGATAGTATTTTTCATATTTTAAGGTTAAATTAAAATCCAATTTAAAGTTTTAGTAGGAACTGAAGGAATAAGTTCAGTTTTATTGAAAGGGAATGGAGATTCTTAAATTTTAGGTGTTTATTAAACTCCTTTAAGAGGTGGAGGTGGAGGAGGTCCAGTTGTTTTTAAACCAGGAGGAGGTGGTGGAGGTGGAGGAGGTAGAATTGCACTTGTTTATTAATTTGGTGGAGGTGGTGGAGGTGGTAGAGGAGGTTAAGATACTTATATAGGTGGATTTATTTATATTTCCTTTTTTTCTTAAATTGTTGCTAAAGTAGAAGTATTAATAGAATATTCAAAAGTAGTTTAAGTCTCTTATGTTATATATAATTTTTAATTAGTTTATGATTCATTATTAATCATTTACTTTTTATCAATTATATTTATATCAACAAATTACTTATTTAAATTATTTTATTCAATTTATGTTGTTTCTTAATTTATATTTTATTCTTATACATTTCTTTCTTTTTATTATGTTTAGTTTTATTCTTACTATTCTATTTTATTATTATTTTAAATTTCATTCTTTTAATTATCTTCTTTTTATATTAATTCTGTTGTATTTATTTATTGAGTATCTTTATTTACTTTTTAATCCTAATTAACATTATTATTAACTTGGGTTAGTTATTCTTCAATTTATTTTTCATCATTTTTATCTATAATTGAAGGAGAAGAATATTAATCTATATATCGCTATAATAAATCAATTTATTATTTCTATGTTTAAACTTTTGTTCTTTCAATTTCAATTTAATTTATTAGTTAATTCTCAAGTAAATTCTAATTTTGAATTTAGTCTTTTAATTAAGTTAGTTCTTCTGTCAAAGAATTTAATTACACTTGATGTTGTTATTTTAGAAATTCAATTTATTCTTAAACTAATGTATTCACATTCTCTTAATCTTAGTTTTAATTTGTTGTGTGATATAATAATTTCTCATTTTATTCTTCAAGCTTTTTGATCTTTTCTTATTCATCAATTAATTAAGATTATAATTCTCTATATTATTTTTCCATCTCTTCATATTTAGAATATAAAATTTAATGTTTTTCTTCTAAAGCATTATATTCTTATTACAAATTAGCATTAGCATATTTGATCATATTGCCTTGATTTCTAAATTAATCATTATTCTTTATTTTTGAGAAACTTACTAATCTATTATCAAAATCTTCTTCATCATCTTCATCTACTTCAGCCAATGTTTACATTTCATTGAATATTTCATTTGGGTTAGAAATAATTTCAGTTTATTCAACATCATCATTTTCAATTTAAATTAAAATAGAATCAATATTTAAAATTCCATCCATTAATTCAAAAATTTGAATTTTCAAAATACTAAAAAGTTTAACATCATGTTATTCAAAATAAAAACAATTCTCAAATTTAATTCTACCTGTTTCTTCTAAATCAAATTCAATATTAGGTTTAATAGAATCTTTAGGAGGCTTTTCTGTAATTGTCTTAAATCTCTACATAGAAAAAAATTCATTTTCTTAAGATTATTTTTCAACAAGAGGATGTTAGAATTAAGCTAATTTTTATCTCACACCTTAATAAGTGCATTCTTCAATTTAATAGTAATCTTTTACAATTCTAATTTTAACTTATTGAAATATTTCATCAATTCTTTTACCATTTATTACTGTTTCTAATAATTCCTTATGTAATGCATCAGATTCAGGTTTTTCCACAGAAAATAAAAAGTTAAATAAAAATTAAAGTAAATGATAAATGATTATTAAATTCTTAGAATAGTAAATACTACGTATTATAACATCAAATCTATAAATTTAACTATTTTAATTACTTTGTTTATAATCTGTGATTATTTTAAAATTCTGTCATTGCATCAAGAATATTTTCTAAACATTCAGGTTACCAACATAAACCAGACTTACCACCTAAAACTTATAACATTAATCCTGTAAGTTCAGGTTCTACAGGATGAAATGTACTAAACATAATTTAGAAGAAGTTAGAAGTATCACATAATAATTAAACACCTATAATAAAATTGAAATTCAAAGTGTACCTGTTTCATGATGTAATAGCTTTTCAAAAATTTTTATTATAACAATTTGATCTCTAAAATTTTTAGAATGTCTAGATAACAATTCTTAAGTCTTCAATTCTAAAATTAATTTAGCAATCAAATCTCCCTTAGCAATTATAGCTATTTTATGCTCAAGAAATTCATCAATTGTTAAATTTCTCTATAATGCTTAAAATATGGAATATCAGATGTACCTTCTAATGAAACAACGTCTTATTATGCAAACACTTTTTAAATTAGTTTTTCTGTCTCCTATATCATTTTCTATTTATATTATTCCCCTTTAGTGATCTCTTAAATGATTTAGTCATGTTTGTAACATAATCTAAATTTATATTTTAAAGGAATTCCTTTCAACTTTTCTTTCTCTCTTCTTCCAATCAAAATCTGCCACAATAATTATATTGTTTACTTTGCTGAACCATTTTTAAAACATAATTTCAACATCTTTTTCTCTTGTAGGCACTTTAGGAAAATTTTACTTTCCTTTTAAGTCCTTAAAAGGTAGAAGTATTTCCTAACCTTAAAGAGTTGAATAAGATAATGTTTGATTAATCTCTATAGAATTTCCCATATTTTATTTAGTAATATAAAATTTGGAGACAAATAAATAAATTAATAGTGACACTTTAAATTGAGCATAAAATTTGTTTGATCCTGATATTTACTAATTATTAAGAGTAACATAATATAATATGAAAAATTTTAATAGATTTATAATATAATATTAAATTTATTAGATAAAGTTAATAAATCAAATGTACAATTTTACTAACCCTTCATACTCCCAACTTGACTAATTAATGAAAGAATTCAGCTATTAAAAATAGATAATCAATCTTACTTTATTCATTACTTATTACATATCGATTTAATGATCCGTCTATCAAACTTATAAGTAAGACCAAAGATTCATTCTCCATAACTAATATTATTATACATATATTTATTACAATAAGCAAATGTTACAATACCAATACTGGCTCTATTTTGATACAAGTGGAATATGATTGGAGGTTATTCATTTAAACTAGCAATATCTTAAATTATCAGTATCTCACCTTTTAGAGTAGACACCAATAAATGTTATTGTAAATATGTACTTATTTAAGTTATATTACCAATACTATTATAAGAATATCTCTAAATATGAAGACCATTAACTCTAGTAATTATTAATTATTCAAATTTACCTGGTTGCTATAATTTGATTACTATTTGTATATAATACTATTAATCCATTTCCATTTGTTACTATATTTTATACTTTCTCACCATTTATTAAATCAAACTTTATATCGTTCAAAAATATTCCAGTAATAATTGAATGAATTTATAATTTTCCAATTTTATCCAAACTTACTACTACTTATAATATATCATCAATATGAACACATTTTATTGTTTTATCATGACCATACAATATCAATGATGGAGTTGATGAGAATAAAACTTATTTTTCAGAAGAATGAGTGGTTTTCCATACAGTTACTCTATTATCTTTTGCACCTAAACATAAAATCTTTAGTTTTGGAGAATATGATAAACAAGTTACTCTCTTTTTATGTAATTTTATTTTATGATTTATTTAAGCTTATTAAGATTTATCTGAGAATAAATTATATATATAGACTGCTCCACTTAAATATCCACAAACAAATAAGAGATTATCATCAAATTAAAATTATAATCCTTTTGATTGAAGTTTCTCATTTCCTCTAACAGAAAATATTGAAGAATTTCCCAACTTCTCTTCACTATCTCTTTTTTCTTAATTACTATTTAGTCTAAAATATAAAAATGATAAATACTTTAATTTGTAAACTTATTTATTATTTAAAAGAACATATAACATTTCATTTTCCTTATAAATTTTTGTAACAAATTTTTTATCAAATTTTATAATAGTTTTAAAATAACTAGAATTTTTAACACTTAATAATTTAAGTATGTTTAAGGGTGAAAACAAATTTAAATCCCATTTTTATTTTTGCCAATGTGGCTTTGTAAATAATTAAAATGGAACTTATCCAAATTATTATATTTATGCTAAATATCCCATTCTCTCTTATCTTGGTAATTTATTTAAATAATTTAAACAAGAATCATAAGTAAGCCAATGAAATAAATTATCTTTTTTTCTTGCTTCCTCACCATATGCATAAACTCCAAAAACTAAATTAATCCAACAATGTAATTTCTCACTAACATAACTCGATTCAAGGGCTTATCTGTTAATTTCAATAAACTCTTCACTACTTGAAGCCCAAGGAGGTAATACTACATCATCAACTTATTCTTAATTTTATTTTTATCCAAATTATATTTTATTAATATTCTTCAAAAATTCTGGTAAAAAAAAATACTCAGGAATTAATTCTCTATAATCTTAATTATCATTTTAACATGATTCCCAAATGTTTTAAATTGAAAAAAATAATCTATCTGGTTAATCCAATTTTCCATCTTATAATTCACATGACAATGTTGTAAATGGTTCTACTCTTATTAGAGTATTAATTATTTAAGCAGCCACACTATAATGGGACCCAAATAAAAAATATTCATTTTAAGTTGATTTTAAAGATTCTGCTCTTATCTTACAATTTTCTAATCTCTCTTTATTCTATGTACTAATCATTTTTTCTAAATCTCTATATATTTCTTTATTTCTCTATCATAATAATTAAACTTAATTACAAGATCTATTTTCTTGCTTTTATAATCAGTTATAACCCATGGAAATATTGGATACTAATTTAAATCATTAAAAGATCTTCCAGAATATTTATTTATTAACATTAAATATTCAAAATTTGATAATTTTCCTTTCATCCATTTCTTTGTATATTCTTTTGCTTAAAATTCTAATCTCTATTTTTCAAATAATTACCTGCTCTTTTATCTATCACAATGTTTATGAAATTGTTAAATTTTATTTAATTCAAAAATTATGTTCTTTTATCTTAATCATATAAAACAAAAAAGTAAGACTTTGTGTTTTTACAAAACATTTCTAAAGCAATTTCTTTATGTGAATATCTCCTTGTTTAAATTTCTATAATTTGAGAAGTGTTTATTGTTTTTATTTTCTTCACCTTTTTTAAATTACAAGCCTAATAATTATAGAAATTTCAATACTATTGTTCCATAACTATAAAATTCTTTATCTGGACGTTCTTAACCATCACTTTAAAATTATATGATCTTCCCTTTTTCTAATAATTTCAATTCTCCAAATATTTACATCTTTACTTGAATCCATTCACAAGGATATGAATTAGAATCAAACATATTTTATTCAGTTTCTTAATAATGCATATCAATATTTTTATCACTCTATATTTCAGCCATATTTTAAATATTCTTCTATATTTATTATCCATTTTTCATTGATATTTAACAAGTATAATTTCTTGTATTTTTTCTTCCAGTGAATTATGATTTAACTTTTCTATCTAAATTAAACTGCTCCAAAGTAATTTTCTAATTTGATCGCCTCTCTAAATTTAATTTCTCAGGTGAAGAATTCTTCTTCTAATCAGACTCATTTGATTTATAAACAAAAGGATTTTATTATTCTTAAGAGAATGTAGTTTATACTTATACTATTGGGATATTGAATAAAGAAGTCTAATCCATTTAATCTTAATCAAACTCTGGACCAACTTAAAATTAAGAAGTCAATTTTATTGAATTTGAATTTGATCGATCAGAATCTAATTAAATAAAATTTTATCTTTATTGTTCTGGAGATTCTCCTTATGATATTAATGAGCTGTTTTATTTTTTTAAATTGAATTAAAATTGTTAGTAATTAACATAATCATCACTACATTTTCTTAAATCTTTTATTAAAAATATTTATCTTGAAAGAGAATCAAAATAACTAGTTCTTCTAAAAACTCCTTTGCTTGAATTAGTACCATTTGATAAAACATTTTTAACACTTCTTAACTTACAAGATCTCCTTTATTATGGTTCTATCTCAAAATAAGTTTAAGTTGTTATAGATATTATGAAGAGAATAATTTCAATATTCTCTAAACTTAAAAAAACTTCAGCCAAACTTGTATCTTCAATAATATTTGCCCCTTGATAAATAACTTTTGCTTCTTAATTTTCTTAATAATTAATCTTATGTTGTATCTATTTCTTAATCATTGTCATTATAAAATTTTAATCTTATATATTTTAAGCTTTTATAATCTTCAATACATCTTTAATCTCAACAATTTAAAAACTTTACTTAAATTTTTCAAAATCTAAGTATTGCATCTCCCTGCCTAATAATATAAATCAAATATTATACTTTAGATTTCATCAACTCCAAAATTCATTGTTTCTTTTTCAACTACTTCTACTAAATTTGTTTAATTTCTTGAAAATATTGCTTCAATTTGTTTTTCTAATAATATATTTTCAATAAGAATAAAATTGTTTATAATTCCTTAAAATGTTTTCTAAAACTATTAATTTTAATAATAACATCCTATATGTACATTAAGATGATGTTTTTCAGAATGCTTTTTAACATATTCTTATAAAAATGATTTGATCTAAAATGAAGTTTTCACTTTATTTTAAATATTTAATGTAAATTTTCCTCTATTTCTTTCATCATACATAAACAAAATTAATATAATCTCATCTTTTGATTATTATGTGTAAGTTAATGAAAATTCTTATGTTTACTATTCTGAAGTAAGAATTGAAACTTTTATAAGATTATCAAGATAGTTATAACTTCTCTCTTCTTCTTTGTGTAATAATTATTAATTAATTAATGAAACTTAAATTAAATCTATTTAAAAAGTATTTTATTTTTAAGATGTTGTCTATATTCCACCTTTATCTACTTTTTCTGGCCTCTCTAAGTAACCACTATATGCAAAAAGAATCTATTCCTTTTTATAAATCTCATCTAGGGATTTTGCATTTGAATTAATGAAATAAAAACCTTCTCTTTTGAACTCCATTAAAATTGAAAAAGATCTCCATGATTTATTTATACTTAAGTCTTTATAATTCTTTATTATAATTCCACTATCTTTTCCTAATAATTAAAACTATCTTTTAAATTTAATTTCACATCCATTATTTTAAAGATTTTCCAAAGTGGTTCCTACATATTATGAAAATTCTGATTATTTAAATACTTTATTTTTTTAAGATTCTTTAGGAGCATTTTAAATTAATCTTTAAATTTAATCATTTCTTATAAATGATAATGACCTTTTTAATACTTCTTCCATTGATTTTTATAAATTCTTATTTTTCTAATTTCTCATACACAATAAAAAGTTCTAAATCATATAAACTATTTTATACAGATAATCTAATAGCTTCTCTAAATATCATTTTATTATAGTCATTCATAGAAATTAATATACCTAAAAATTAGATACATTTAAGTCTTAATTATTCTGAAGCAGTTATATTAAATAAGAATGTTTCAACAATTACCTAAAATATATATTGTATATCATTTACTTTTAAACAAAATTCATTTTATATTAGTAGTTCTCCATATTACTCTGCTGCATTTGATACATTCTTTAGCCTAATATATTTACTTATCATAGAAACTGAACAATCAAAAAGAAGTTCTATTAGTTCTCTCATTTAATCATCTGAAAATAAGTATAATTTTTATTCTAAGAATGTAACGAACTCATCTGCAAAATCAATCTAACATAATTTAAGTTCTTCAGTTAATAACCATAATAATTTAATAAACTCTTTTAATTGATAAACCAAATTAATTGTATTACTTATTCCAGAAATAATATTTATTATTATATCATAATAATTATTTACTTAAAATAATTCTTAAAAACTTCTCTTTATTTTAAATTACTTTAAATATACACAATTATCACTAGGATCATGTTCAGAAAAGATTTATTCTATATTTATAGGGGCTTATTCGAGACAAAGGTATTAACAAATTTAAAGAAAAGCATTAAATTTTTATGGATGAACAATCTTCTTACGACTTTCCATCTCTAAAATTGAAATAAAAAAGCTATTTCTCGTACCCAGAGAATAATCTTCGTTTTCTAAATATAGAGTAACAACCATTTATAATATTTATAAATAAAAAGGATCTTCAGGAATCATTTTAGTCCAAATAAACTAAAAGATCTTTTATTTAATTTATGGATTAATAAATTGAACTTATTTTAAGACTTTCTCTATAGTTTATAAAACTCCTTCATTCTCTGAAAGTTTCTAATCCACAATACATTCAATGGAGGATTTAATTAAATTTTAGAGCAAATGACTTTATTTTATAAGAGTTTAATTTAAAGGATAAAGTTAATCTATAAAATGAAATAAAATAGTAGTAGAATGTATATATTTTTTTAAATTATTGTCATATAAAATAAGATATAGGCCAGCGCATCCTTTAATATTTACTGTTTCTTTTGGTACAGGTATTAAAGGATTCAAAAGTAAATTTAATTTATGAATATAATTTAACCAAAATTCTGTTTTTTAATCATAGAGTTGATCATAAGTTTATTCTTCTAAAGTATTCCATAATATATGAAAAATTTATATAAGTTCTTCTAATAATTATTCAGAATAATTAATACCACTAATAAATGCTTAATTTTAAATATGACCTAATATATATTAAAATCATTTACTTAGCAATTCAAAGGATAGGTTGATGCTTTCTTAATCGTATTTGAAACTGAAATTGCAATTCTAAAAAGTATTTTATAAAAATTTTTTTATTTATTAAAAGACGGTTTGGTTCTTAGAGTTCAACCAAATTCTTAAGGCTTAAAGGCTTAAAATTATTTAATCATTTAAGTTCTCTAAATTATAAAATATTTAATTCGATAATCTACCTTAGGATTCCTGATTGTATTGAAAAATTTGCTTTATTTACTATCTAGTAAGATGAATTGTTTTATCTGAACAATCAAGAAATTCTTTCATTAATTCAATTATAAACTTAGTATCGTAATACCTAATTTTAGTTACATGTTTTTGTGGTATCTTTTCAACTATCATTTCACTCAAAAATAATTAGTTAATAAATATTGTCATCAAAAATTGTCCTTCATTATAGCATTTAAACAATACATCCTTCATTTATTCAACCAAATGTATATAAGCATATTTATAAAATACTTTACTTTCAGGTATAGCCTAGAAATCATCCTGACATTCATCTAAATGATTTTACTCATTTATTTCTATTAATATACATGTTTGATGAAGAAGCATTAGAATGCATTCAAGTAAAATTGATTTGCTAATTGGATGTTGAGGTTCTATGAACTTCTATAAATTTTCCAGAGTTTTTTGTTCTATTCTATCAATTGTCTCGATAAACTTTTTGAAGAAATTATAACGAAATTGTTATTTTTCAATATAAGTGATATGGTACCCATAAATGAAGAATGTGAGTATCATTATTTTTTGATTAGATGTTTAGAATTTAGCCAACTTTTCCTGGTCAATTTATATTTTCTCTTTTTTGCTGTCAATAAAATTTACAAAATCATTTGGGCATTCGATTGATTGAGCTTAACTCAAATAATTAATCTTAATCCATTAACTACCCAAAAAGGATTTATAATCATCAAATTAAATGAGTGGTTGTCTTTATTAAATAAGCATTATTATATTATTCGATAATTTAATATACAGTTAGATAATCTTAACATCATCTATTTACAAACTTGACATAAAAACTATTTTTAAACAAAAATTAATTCAATCATTTCGATTTTACCCAAATACCTAATTTATTTAGAAAGTTTTTACTGCTTTTAGTTAAAAACATAGCTAAGAAAATAATTAAAATTGCAAAAATTTGAAATTCGGATATTTTTATAATAAATTTATTTGAATAATAAACATAAGACATAAAATGAATTAAAATTTTAAGAAGATTAAAAAGAAGGCTTTTCAAATTTGATTATTTTTTCATTAAATTTAAAAAAAATAGGAAAAAAAAAAATTTATTGTGTAGAGTGCCAAGAGTATAGGTTGATGTTTGTTAAATGATGAAGTAACTCTTTAGCAAGACACAATTAATTATGCTTGTAAAAATATTTAAAACTTATTTTTGATTATTTTAATTTTATGGGTTTCATAATATTGATAATATGATAAATAATATACATATTTAGTCTATAGATGGAATTTAGTATATTCCTTAAAAGCTTATCTAATCGTCTAATTGGTTGTTTAATCTTTTTTTAGTAATTTAAGAGTAGAAATCTTTAATATTTTTGAGATTAGAGTATAATGTCGATTATAATAAAAAAATAACTAAAAGCTTAAAATGTTTGAATATAAGTTGATAATGCTTGAGATTTATTGTATTGTATTGGGTTCATGCTTATATATTAAATGGTAATATAGTAAAATAAGGAAATCATAAAATTATGGGTTTAAGAAATTTAGTTCTCTTTTATTTTATAATATATTATAATTTTTTATATATAAAAATGAAAATTTAATAATGTAAAGATTGATAAATTTGAATCATAGATGCCTGTATATTTTAGATTTAGAGTATTCGCATTACTATTTATCAAAATTCCATTTGCATCTTTAGTTGGTGATAGTAAGACACGCTTTCATATTTAATCCAGGAGTAGGTGGTAAACAAGCAATTTAATGAGTAGGTTAAACTTTGACACAAAGGTGTTATTTAGAATCATAATAGACAGGTTCTGTAGTGACAAGAGCACATGCGTTTATATTTACAAGTGCATGAGTTTAAGGTGTAATAATAGAATCAGTTTCAGGTATAGAAATACATTTATTATTGAGCCATTTACAATATTATTTAAGAGTCGTAATAGATAAACAAGATAGATAACTTAGATTCTCATTACAAAGAATGAGTTTATCATCTACAAATGGAATACAAGTACCGAAATCGACTGATATAGGTTAGGATGTTTTTATTTTTTTGATTTAGACAGGTTCAACTTTCCAAAAGCATTTAGAAGTAGCTTAATTAACACAAGCTACTTTATTAATGTTATCTAAACATTAATCAGTATCATGAAAATAAGAAGAACATTAACCATCTTTAAATTAACACATTTACCCAGATCTTACTATGTTGAGACAAGCTCTTATGGATCCAAAAGCAGAAGAGATATCTGCACATTTTTCATAAGCTGTTGACTCATGATATTTACATTATTGATTCATCCAAACACATGGTAATTAGAGTACCATTTAACATTATAATGCTGATTATAATTAATCACATGATGTAGGTTCTAGTATTTAGATACATTTCTTCATTAAAAGATCTAATACACAGTTTTTATCTGTAGATTTTACACATGTGAGTTTAGAAGTGTTTGAAAGATTACATGTTGTTATTGGATTAGGATATTTTAAACATTTAGTACCATCCCATTGACATTCTAATATATCTTACAATAAACAAGTATTCATATCAGGTGCTTTATTGCAACAATCAAATATAGTATTATCACATTCAAACATTGGTTGTGTTGGTCCATAACAAAAATCTGTAAATCTACATCTTAGACTTGGTTTCGTGTAATTAAGACAAGCATATTCATTTAAACCTCTTGTACAATCCAAATTATCTGTTGGCAAAGATTCAACACATTTATTTTGGAATTAATCATATCTACATGCAATATTGGTTGGTTATTCACAAAAATAAGCTGAGTTTATGTTAGATATATTTTCACATTCTTCATTTTTGAATTCATTTATATCTTCTAATTAACATTTTTAATTGTAAAATCTACAATATTAAAGTGGAGTTGTAATATATATGCATCCAAATTTATTAACTACTTAATTACAATTAAGCGTATCTAAATTAGTTGTCAATTAACAAACATTATTAATTAATGTACAAGCTTATGTTTTAACATTTGTACAATCTGAACTTCCTGCACAACTTAAAGTATTTTCTAAACAAAATTAATCAAATCGACATTAGGGTAATGATTCACAGGCCTATCTATTTATTCCCCTTATACAAGAAATTATGGGTTCTGTATCTAAATAAACCTCCTCACATTATTTAGTAAATGAATTAAACTTGCAAGGTACATCATCAGCTTACTCACAAAATTCTTATTAATTTACATACCCTATATTAGCACAAGATCTAACAGTTATTTCTTTAGGCAAAATAAATTAGCATTTATAATCTTTATATATACAATATTAAGTTGGATTAGTAATTTAAGAACATGCAAATTAATTTACTGGTTAATCACATGTCAGATTAGGTAAATCTTCTGGATCTACTTCCATACATCCAAAAGTTGTATAAATAACTTATTTATTATCTGTTTGAAATTTCATGCATGCTAATTTATTGAAAGATACCATATTAGATAATGGCTCATCCACATCCATATCTGATTCAACAATAACACACTTTTAGGTAACTCTGTCATATTTACATGCAACTGATTCTGCAGCAGTACATGTCATAGGATTAGTTGTAGTAATACTATAACATGAAATAACTTCAAGTGGATCAATAGCTGTACATCCATTATTAAATTTACAATACTATTTAGCAGTTTTGATAAAAAGACATTTATTTCTATTAGTGAGATGTTGGCAAGTCAAATTTGTTTCATAAGTAGAGATACAAATATTTGTTACATCATTGTATCTACAAAATTCTTCATCAGTGTTCATTGTACATCCAAATTTATTCAACCCAGTTTATGTACAAGACATGGTTGTAATAATAGATATTTTACAACTATATGTAATAGGATCAAATATACAAGCCTATTAATCAATAGATCTACTAGAACATGTCAATGGAGATGCCATAACACCTGCTAATGAGACACAAGTTTCAGAGTCAATGACTGATTAGCATTTGTTCTCATAAAATTTACATTTTAATTTTAATGATACACAAGCTTTCCAATTGAATGTTGGATCACAAATCTTTGAATCATTCATCATTCTATTAGTTAAAGTTTTGCATTCCTCATTTACATATTAACAAATTGGTTTTGTTTATTTTAAGCAGGTTAATTCATTCAATCCTGGTGCATTACAGCTGTAAATAAAAGGTTTATTTTAATCACCATCCACACAACAACCTTTAACAGCATCATATATTAATAATAATTTTTTTGATTCTAATTCTGTATAAACTTTGCAAACAGAAGGAGAATATGGAAAAGTTTCAACTTTTGTAATCTATGCTATCGTAGTGAATTAACTAACATCATAAACTTAACATTCATTATTTACAAATTTACAAGTATCTTATAAACTGAAACATGCTACAAGATTTATAGGAGATGCACAATTAACTTTACTAATATCAGGAATTGTTTAACATTTACCATCTATAAATTAACAATAACCAGTTGATTTTAAATAACAACCTAGTTTATTTAATCCAATTGTATCACAAGTTATTTTATCTTTTGGTCCAACTTCATTACATTTTTATGTTCTATCTCTAAAACAAGGAATACCTTCAATTTATTAACAAGATTATGAATTAAATTTTATTAGTTTCTTATTTAAATCAAAAAATTCAGTGCATTTTGTCACTTCATTTTTAAATTTTATAGAATAACAATTTTAATCTTCCTCTGACCATCCACAAGCAACTTAACTTAAATTTAAGCATCCAAATTTATTTGCTTAAGAACAATCCAAACTATCTAATGGATAATCTTCACATCCCCCATTTTACCAATAACAGGATTACAAATTACTAATTATACAAGCCTTTTAATTTCCATTCTATTATTTTATCAATTTACAAGTTGAATATGCATCTACCATAGAACAAAATTTTGTTGAAGGAGATTTCCAACAAGTATTTGCAACTTTTGGACAACCAAATGAATTAGTTAAGGAACAATCTATTAGCTTTTCTACATCTGAATCACTTTATTCAACACATTAACCATTTTTCCATGTACAATTCTTACCTGTTGTCATTATGAAACAACCATCTTTATTTGTATTATTACAACCTTATTATTATGTTACTAGTATATTGCAAAAATTTGTAGTAGTATCATAAGAATATGGACCACCAATACAATAAAGGCATGCCAACTTAGTTACAGCTAATTAATTCAAAGTTGAACAAGTGGCTTAAGCTGCAGGAACACATGATTCATTTTAAAATGCACAAGGAAAATCCATTGAAACACATACTTACCTTTTATTTAAACTTGTAGTACTCAACTTACTAACATATTAACATTAGAAAAGATAAAATGGAGATGCTATATCAAATGATGGATTCGAAAACTTTTCTTAACAAAATCCTAATGTAAAATCACATCCATTTGTTAGACAAGAAAGTTGACTAAATGTTTCATCACATTTTTTCTTTTTAGTATCTGAAGAACATTTACTACCATCATAATAACAATTATCACTAACTTTACTACATACAACAGGACTTACATTTCCTAATGCTTCTGCATCTTTACATTTAGAAGGAGCTGTTTATTTACAAACCTATTCCTCATTATTAGAATAATCAAAACAAGTATCAATTTTGGGAAATTTAATACTAGCAGCATCATCAATGATACAAGGTGCATTTGGATTTTTAGACTTTAAACAATTAACACCTATGACACCTTCACAAGATAAGATATATTTTTCATTTCCATCAATTTAAAAACAGCCTCCCATTTGAATATCAAATGCACAAATAGTTGAAAGTTGTAAACATGCTGCTTTACTATAAATATTTGAGCAATCATCTTCAAAAATAGTGAGATCCTCTTCACACCATGTTACTAATCCTTTTTCAGGATCTTCTTCTTCTTTCCAAATTAAACTTTTCAAAGAGATAAGTTAACATGTAGTAGTTTATTGATCCCACTTACAATATTTTTCGACATTACATTATTGCAGAAATTATTAATCACTTTTACCATCAGGGGATTTAAAACATTATAATTCTCCACCATATTCAGCAAATTCATAATTAATAGAAGAACAAGCTATTTTATTAAATAAATAAGAATCAGATTTATCTCTTAAATCACTACATTTGGTGGAGTCCTCCATTTTAATATATTTGCATTCATAGGTAGCCTTAACAAAATAACATGATTAAGGAACTTCTGAACACATTTATAGACTTATTTGATAAGGAGAATCACAAGATGTTTGTATTCCAGTAAAAGCCTAACACCTTTTGTCTGCGCTTTGAGATTTATCAAAATAACACAACTAAAGCATGGTAGTAAATAAACAAGCATCAACATTAAGTAACATAGAACCATCACATAAGATATTAGGTTCAAGAGGATCTTCAGGATCTTTTTATTCTTTATAAATATCAGCAGGAGTAATAGGAGTGCATAAATAAGTGGATGGATCATATCTATAAGGTGCTCCAAAGACTTAAACACAAGCTTCAGCATTATATAAATTTACAGGTAATATTAATGAAAATTGGCTGCTTCTCAATCTAAAACACTTCATTTTAAGGATATCCCATTCACATGGTTAAGTGGTTATTTTAAGACATATAATCATATTAACATTATCTTCACATCCTAATTGATTAAAAGGTTTATCATTTTCATAGCATAGCATTTCCTTATCATCCCATCTACATTCTCCTTTTGTTTTAGCATAACAAGCTATAGAATTACCATCAGGCAAATCACATGAATCTGATTCTGTACTAACATCTTTGCATACATGTTTTTTATCATCATATCCACATATTTAACCATCTAATTTAATATTCATACATGCTAATCTACTAACTGTTCCAGTTGAAGATCCAAAATATTTACATTCTACCATAGTTGGTGCTATTGTACATTTATGTGTCTAATAAGAAAAGAAACAACTTGCATATTATATGTTTACACATGCAAATTCATTCAAATTTTAATCACAAAAATCTAAATTCTCAACATAATCAGAATCTACACTCTTACATTTTAATTCTGATTTAGACCATCTACAGTAAATTTCTGGATATTTCATTTAACAAGCATTACTATTTAATTCTGTTGATTCACAATCTGTTACATCTTTAATTTCAGGATCCTTCTTACAATGTTTTCCTTCGTAACCAAAAAACATTGCAGAATTAGTTTCAGTTTTCATAGCTTCTATTGCAAAACAAGCATATTTATTAAGGATGGCAGTGTCTAAAGTAAAAATGGATAAATTAGGATAAGTATTAAAATTAATATTAACACATAGATTTCCATTGAAATAGCATCTTTGTTATGTTGACCACTCAATCATGTGGCAAGAATTCTTATTCATATATGAACATTTTAATTATAATGTATTGTAATAATCCTTTACTTATTTCTCAATATTGATATCTACAACATCCATTGTAAGTTCTGTGCATTTTAATTCATTACTAAAATAACAGTAGTAGCCAGTAGAGTAACGTCCACAGACATGAGAATTTATACCCACAAATTCACTACAACATGGAGTTCCACAAATACCTTTGAAAATAGTGCAATTGCCTCCTTCATATATACAATATCCTTTCATTTTATCAATTAATGGACCTTTTAAAGCATCATAATCTGGTTATTCCATTTCAATTGAAGCACAAACATTAGCATTAATCAATATGCTTTTACCAGTATATACTGAATTATAATCCAAACAGCTTTCATCAAACATAACAAATTAATTAGAACATCTATTTTCTCTAAATCGCCATGAACATTTAGAACTTGGTTTAGTTATTGATCTACATACATCTGGAGTGGGTGAACTTGTGACACAATCTGAATTCAATAATAATTTATCTGTCTATTTTTTTACGATTGTATTGGCACTTATAACTGTTATCTATTTGCATTGCCATAATTCTTTATCATAATAACAACTTTTTAATAAGATTTGAGCACATGCATATGCATTTAATCCTGGATATGTACATGTCATAGTTTCAGTATTCAAACTATTAACACATCCCTTAGCAACTTTTTCATATCTACAAACTTCATTGCCAGCTTCCACTAAAGCACAAGTAGCTGGATTTACATATTACATTTATAAACAATATATAGCTTATACATCATTCTTATGTTTGATTTGCTAACATTAATTATTATACCATCTACATAATTGACCAGTTGTTAGAACTAGAGCACATCCTATTCTATTCAATCCCATTCCTGAACATTTTATTTCATTTAATAATTAATCATTAACTAATCTACACTGCTAAGCATTAACATCAAAATAACATCCATTTTCATCAGATTTTAATATTTAAGAACATGCTACTTAATTTGCAAAGCCAAGATCTAAGCATTTTGTTTATTCTTAGATTATATCAGCATATCTGCATCCAGAACTTGTCCATTAACATGCTTATTATAGGATGGATACACAAGCATTTAAATTCAAATATGGAGTTGTACAAGTGTCACTATCAATAGTTTTAATGCATAGGTGAGTTTGAGTATTGTACTTGCATCGAATGCCTGGCTTTGATATAGCCTAACATACATTTCCATTAAATTTAAATATCTAATTTTCATCTTAAATTGGACAATCAACATCTTGGTTAATAAAAATTGAAACACATTCCTTTCCAGTCCATTTACAGAATTAAAATTATGTTTTTACATTAACACATGCATCTTCATTTAATTCAAAACATTATATTTATGTTAACTATATGTCACTAAGTTCTTCGCATTTGCTATTTATAAAAGTACAATTTTAAGTTTTAATGGTTAAACAACTCAATCTACTTAATCCTAAATCATTGCATTTTTAATCATGTGATAATGGGACATAACAATTTCCATCTTTAAATTAACAATATCCATCTTAGTTTGCACATACACTTGGACTTACATTTTCATAGTCTTCACATTTTTTTTTATTATCTATTTGTATAGCTTAACACCTATCCTGTTTCCAAATACATGCAATATTTATAGATATAATACTTAAACATGTGTCCTTATTAATTAAATCATCACAACTATTAATTTAAGAACTTACATCACATTAATTATCTTTAAATATACCTAAAATATGATAATTATAAACTTACATTTCTATCCTACAATTTACATACATGTCTCTTGATTCAACCCTTTAGTATTACAAGAAAGCGTATTCAAATCTGTATCCTTTATATCTAAACATTCATAATCATTTTCAAATAAACCACTCATACATTTAATTCCAACAATCAATGCACATGCATTTGGTGTTACTGGTGCATTATATGCTGATTTACAATTTCCTGCCTTTATAAATTAAGTATTAATTTCTTAACATTAATCCCCATCCCAATAACATGTTTTACCCTTTACATTTGCACAAGAATTTCTATTAAATTAACTTGAACATCCTAAATTTTATAAATAATGTTCCTTCGCTTCAACACATCTTGTTCCAAAATAACCTATTTATAGATTGAATTTTTACATCTTGCCTCTTTTCCATCTATGTTTCTAATCTGATTTAAACATGCTTTTTTATTTAATTATGGACTACATCCTAAGTTAGTACTTTAAGCTGGCACACAAGCATTTTCAAATAAATTAAATTGACCTATAACTTAGATTAAACAATTACACATTATTCCTTCTGTTTTACTTATACATGCTAAAGGATCCATTGGATAGTAATTGCAAAATCTATTCAAGGAACAATAAAACAATAAACTGATTAAAACAAATGATTTTACCATTTTTTTTATTAATGAATTACTGTATCAAAATAAGAAGATTTAAGTTTTATTTTTACTTTAATTATCTTTAGAATATAAATATTATATAAATAATAAAAATTCAAAAATTTATTTAAATCAATACATGATTCCTTAAAAATAGTATTAATATTTGTCATACCAATTAGCCCTCCAATTTCCTCTACTCAAATCAATTAATCTTTAATTATTATATAGAGAAATATATACTTTTAGCATTAAACATATAATTATGTTTCAGAGAGATTATCTTGTAAGAATCTCCTCTCTAAATCAGTTAAAGTTTTTTCTTTAAAACAATTTAAATTGGAATTCTCCATCATTTTAACCAACAATAAAATTTTCTCTTTATGTTTTCTAATTGCCTTGAATCCTTCAAAAAACATTTTTCTAAATCTCTTAAACAAATTAGAATCATATCCTCCTAATATATCAACATATTCTTCTGTCATCTTAAAAGGCACTTCTTTTTCTAAATTACCTTTTGGGGCACTTGACAAAAAAAATCCAAAATCTATGTGAATTATATAACCATCTCTATGTAATAAAATATTTCCATTATGTCTATCCTTGATTTATAAAAAATAACAAACCAAACTGTAAGCTACTAAACTATTTAAAAAATTAGATAGCATAGCTTATGATGAATTTAATCTAATTATTAAAATTAATTACTTAAAATATTAACTCAAACATTTTATTTGTAAAATATCATTAAGTTTCTTTTTTATAGAATCAATTGATAGAGCATCCTTTACTACTTCAATTAAACCATAACCAGGTCCTAATGATATAACTTCATATGTCGTAATTTATAGTTTCAGTTACTCTATTTTGAATATCTGATCAAATGTTGATATTAATTGCATAGCAAATTATTCTTACCTCAAATCATCCCCAGATTTAACAATAAGTTGTACTAATTTCCATGTCTTGAAATTTCTAAATGGAGAATTACTCCTAATTTTATCTGAATTGTCACAACCATAAATAGAATCCGTTAATTCTTTCCTTGACATTTTATTTAATTATTTTCCTGTATTATTTTATGTTGATACTAGATTATTCAAATCTTCATAGTATGAATGCGTGACTTCATTATCTCTCAAGATATTGCTGAATTATGATAAATCATCCCTACCTTCTTCAGCATCTACCTCAGCTTCAACTATTTTACAAAGATATGTAGGTCTATTCCTTGTACAATCTGAAGTTTCATTATTTTCACTATTGTTCTTATTATCCATTTTTCCTACTGTTTTTGGAAGAGACATTCGACTATTTCTTAAAGGATTTGGAATTAATTCAGCTTCTTCTTCAGGTCTATAAATTTCTAAACACAAATAAAATGGAGATCTGCATTTTGTAGGAAATACTCTGCATTCATCAACAACTATATTAAGTACTACATAATTTCTAACTCCTTAAAATGGGATATAAACTGCAGCTGGTAAATTTCTATTTATTTTTTGAATATCCGCTTTAAGAGAAATTATTTTAGGATTTGCCAAATGCAAACTATAAAACTTAGTAATTTAATTACTTTTAGGAAATATAAATAATATCATCCCAGAAATCTATCGTTGAACAAAATCCTGATGATTTAGCTTATCTAAAAATTGATTCATAATTATCTAGATTTAATGTATCATTATAAACATGATTAGAGTAAAACAGAGTACCATATTCTTGGATTCTGTCAGGTAACTTATTTACTTATTGTGCAATAGGCATTCCTTTAGAAACTTGTTACTCTATGCCATCGTTAAATTAATGGTTCTCAAAGTAAGCAGCAATTAATAGAGTCTTTTTGTAAACTCGATCTAATTTTGAGAAATAAAGCTTTAAATAATTTTCATTTTCAGGATTGAAATCATTAATAATGGATCTCCAGGCAAAAAAGAATGTGTGAGCAAAAAAGAAATCCACTTCAGCAGCCTTAATAATAAACTGAAGCACATAATCAAGTTATTTGATTAAAATTTGGTTGATTAGTTGTGGAATAAAGTATTCTAAATCATCCCTAAATTATAGTAAGACCAAATTAGGGTTAAGTCTACAACGAGACAACGCTAATTCTACATTTTAACCTCTATAGATCATTTCCAAGATAATAGATGCAGATACAATCTCCTCATCTACTTCAATGTGAGAGAACTTAATCCTAAAATAAAAATGAATTTATACATATTTTTTTATTTGGAACTGCCAAAGCAACCGCATCCTGTTTAAGATGATGTAGCCTAATCTTTAAACTTTGACATAATTTATTTTAATTATTATTATATGAATAATTCTTCAAATTCTAATTCTAGACAATCTGCACAAAACATCATCAACAAATATGAACAAAATAATAATGAGGATAGATTTACATTTTAAGTAAGACCCAATTCACCTAGAGATACTTTTGGAAAATAAACATAACCCAGAAATAGTCAAGTTTAAATCCTTAGAGATATAGATCAAGCTAATCTTTCAAAGATGCTTAGCGATTTTTCAATTGTTACAGAATAAGAAGAATCTATCTGTTAAAATCAATTTAACAATCCTATTGGAATAGGTATATTCTATTTCCATCCTTAGTTTAACCAACATAAGTAGTTTAATAAAAACAATAAGAATAAGTTCAAGACAATTAAAGTTATAGAGGTACATTTGGCAAGAATCCATTCTTTTAGCCTAAGTCAGAAGTTACAGAAATTATTGAAAAAAGTTATATTGAAGAAGATTTATATGATGACATGTCTGTTTTAAAAGATAAGGTTATGGGTTTATTATAAGCTTATGCAGATGATCTTAAAAAATCAAATAATGATCCTACTATAAAATCTAAAATCTAAGTTGATGCTAAATAAGTCTTGAAGGAGTATTCATAAATTATTGAGAAAGTTAATTAATCTGAAATATCATAATTAAATGTTTCTTAAAATCAAGTTAAAAAAGTATAAGTATTTCCTTTACTTTTTTTAAGGAACAAGAATTAAATTTGATGTCCAATTTAGTTACTGAATTTTTGAATAAATTTGATATGTAAAAATAGCCAGTCCTTAATGTCTCTTAGGTTTTAGAATAAAAATTAGCAAAATCTAGAGTTAAAAATTCCAATCAACCTTTAGATCTAACTATCATGCATTAAATTCCATGTGATGAAACTTTTTATTAACACGATTAATATAGTGATGATAAGTTGGAAGTTAAAATTCAAAAGCTTAAGCAAATGCTTCAAGATGAACTAGACAAGTAATAGTTAATTTATTCCAAAAAAATATTATCAGATATGATTTCAAATTTGAATTAAATTTTAATTGCAAATGATGCCCAAACTGTTAAAACAATTATTTATAAAATTGAGAATATGATAAAATAAATACCATAAGAAGATTGTGGATCTATCCAATTATATGATTATATGGCAAAAGCAATGAAAGCAACAAAAAGAAAAATCAAATAAATGGATCCATTAAATTAATAACAAGAAAAAACACTCAAAAGAAAATTTTTTGATCTAGCTACTCAATTAAAAAACAAATTACCTTAAGATCATCCAGGTAGAAATGAAATGATTTCAGTTCTCTATGATCTTTATTGTTAGTCTAATAAACCCGATTAAATGGAAGAATTTATAACAAGTCAATTGAATTTAGTAAAATGATATTATTATTTATATGATCAACGAATTCTAATCTCATTAAGGCAAATAATAGTTTAAAATCTAATCTTATCTACAAGGAAGAATATTCAGAGCTAAAAAATTGAATAATAGCTTCTTGTTTCATAATTCTAGAACGATAGCGTTACTCAACAACGGAATGCTTGTTTACTATTCAAAATGTTTCAAATCCTCCTAATAAAGTGCAAATATCATTTAATCGAAACCTAAATATGGAGTATATTTCAACAATGTACTTCATTCATGTGTCAAAATTTCTGAATAAGAAGTTGAATTAATTGTCAAGTTTAAAAAGTCCTAATTATACTAATTTGATGATTACTAATTTAGTTATGTAAAAGAGTCTAGATCATAAGACATTGTTCTTTGGATCTTTCTCATCCCAATATAACAATTACTTTAAAAACAAAATTGTGATATTTTAAAGGGAAGGGACAGTTTAAATTCTTTATCTAACTTTTAAATGGTCTGCGTTGAAGAAAAAACTCAAAAAAGTAATTATTAACAGGCCAAAACAGAGAAAACATCCATAGAACAAAGAATAAATACAACTGATTTAAAAAAAAAAAAAAAAGTGTAATGGCTTGATAATTTTTCTTAATAATAGATTAAAGAAGCAAACACATAGAATAATTTATCCTATTAGATCACACAAAATAGTAAATAAATTGAATCTGATGATTAATGGGAAATAAATGAAGAAAAAACTGATGTAACTATTGAGAACATTTATATAAGAAGGCTTTCTTTTCACTTAAATGGATCCAATAAAAATATTAAACTAGAATGAATATTTCTTCATATATTAAAATTTTAATCTTAATTCATAATATTATTTCATAATTACTTCAAGGTAAAGTTAAATCAAAAATACTTGTAATAATATTATATAATGAAGGAATCAAAAGCAATTTATTTAAATTTTAAAGAATATTGTTTAATGATCTAACGATAGCTAATTATAAATTATAAAAGTGTTAAAATATGTCAAAATTAATGTAAATAAATGAACTATATTCGATGCTATAAATTAATTTAAATTTATTGGTCATTTTAAAATAAAAAGTTTCCAAGGTTCAAATAATAAAAAAGGTATTTTAAAGGTAATATTTTACAATATTTTAACTTAATTAAAAATTTTTAAAATAAAAAAAAATAATATGCTAGACAAGAAATTTGTAATGAAATAGCAAAATTTAAGTATTTTAGAATAACAAAAGTTTTTAATATATTAAATAAATGGTATTTAAGTATTTAAATGAATTTAATTGAAAAATATTAAAGATAAGATCATGCAGAATAAAGGATCTTAATAATTTTATATAAAATTTAATTGGATATTACCTTATAAAAAAAATTCTTATATCTATATAATATTTAAGGGTATTGTATATATTGATATTAAACTAAAACTTTAAATATTAGATAGTTTCTAATAAAATAAGATAATTTATCAATAAAACCCATATAATATTATGATAAATTACAAATAGAGTATAAATTAGTAATCATAAAATAAAAATGATATTTATCAATAAGCAAATATTCCTCCACTAAGATTATTAATTGTAAATGGATTAATAAGACATCTATTTGATCCAATGAATGATTGCATTTCACCCTTAAAATCTGGAGAGGAATAAAATTCAATCCTTGTATGTCTTGGAATCTAAATAAAAGATTATTAATTACTTAGATTGATCTTATAGTCATTCTAGATAATTGAGGAGGTATTGTTGGAAATCTACCACAGAGTCTAATAGCTCTTCCTTGATAATTGCATTCTTCATATGCATAAAAACAAACATCATCAACATCTTAAAATAACAGTTTAATTTACTTTATTCTAAATTAGCTTTTTTAGGTTTTGTAGCTTTGTTATCATCTTCAAATAGATATTATCCTCTATATCCATCACCTCTTAATAAATCTCTAACAACTCTTCCTAAATCTTCATCAGTTAAATTTTCTATTATTTTTTCAGCTTATTCGTCTTAATATTATTCATCTTAATTATAATTCCCTTCATCACCCTCTCCACCTGCTTCATCACCTCCTTCATCCCAATTCACTTCTTCAAATTATGCTTCATCTTCTCCACCTTAATCTTCCTTATCATAGACTACATTACTATCTTCTCCTTTTTATTCATCATCATCATCCTAAGAATTATTTTTATCTGATTTTTTCTTTTTTTTTTATTCATTCTCAGTTTCATCTTCATCCTCAGAAGCATTCTTATCAGATTTTTTTTAATTTTTTTATTCGTTTTCAGTTTCATCATCATCTTTAGAATTATTCTTATCAGATTTTTTATTATTTTTTTATTCATTCTCACTTTCATCATCATCTTTAGAATTACTCTTTTTTTAATTTTTATCATTCTTCTATTCTTTCTCACTTTCATCATCATCTTTTTAATTATTATTATTAGACTATTTTTATTTTTTTTATTCGTTTTCACCTTAGTCATCATTCTATTACATATGATTATTCCCTTTATTTTTTTCATCTTATTCTTCCTATTTACCTTTGCCTTTGTTTTCATTAGATTTATCATCAGTTTCGTCATTCTCTCCTTTTTTATTATTATTTAACTATTTATCTCGTTCTTATTATTCTTCTTCATCACTTTTTTATGATTTCTCATTAGAAGTTTTATCTTCACCCTCATCCTATTTAGTTTCTGATTCTTAACTGTTTCTTTCTACCGAATGAGATTTAGTATTTAGTTTATTTTCAACAAAAATTTAAGGCTTAAATTTTATATTAATTGCATCTTCTTATTTCATTATTTCTAATCCTAGTAGCAAATCATCATCTTCATTTGCACTACAAAAAAACAAGCAAATGATTACTATTAATATTATTATTACTCTCATGCAATATATTAATATTAATAATTTTATTACATTATTGTGAATGAAGAAAAAGACATAATTTATATAAATATATTCTAAAACTGCTTTATATTCTTTTATTTTAGCCAATCCTATATAAATTTTATATAACTGAATATGATTTTTCTTCCTGTTACAAGCTTTAACCCTATCAAGACAATATTAATTATATTTTAAATTCTAACATTAATTTTACATAAATAAATGAGGAAATTTTTAAAAATTTTTTATCCTTCTTTACCTTCTTTAGAAAAGTGGTATTCTTACATAAGAACTAATTTACAATCAATTTTTCATAAATAATTGAAATTGAATAATTTGGTTAATTTAGAAAAATTAATATAAATTTAAAGAAAAGAAAATGATTTTTTTTTTCAATTTGTAAAATGATTTAATTTAAATATTGCTCTAATTTCCAAAATTTTTAAGTTATATTGTTTTTTTCATTTTTAGTTTCATAATTTTTCTTTTTAATTTTCCCCAAAACTCTTAATATCTGATTTTATTCAATTAAAATAGATGTTACTAAATATTCGAATTAGAATATATTTTAAAATTTCTTTAGGTATTTTTGTATAATTTGTATCTGGGATAATAAAATCTATGATAAAATTAATTAAATTAATTTAGAATTTAGTTTAATTCTGCCAAAATAAATTCCCTCTCTTGATTCTAACTTCTGTTGACAAACAAATCGTCTAATACTAAAAATTTTTTGACAGATTAACAAATTATTGATAAAATAAAACTAAAACTAATTTAAAGTAACAGATTCAAACAAATTTTTTATTAATGATTTACAAAAACACCCAAAAATCATAAATAAAATTTATAATGCGAACATAAAATCAAAAGTTAATAAATAATTTTAAGATAGAAAGGATGATTTTTAATAAATTGATTTTGATTGAACTTAAATAGTATCAGAATTAGGATAGTATTAATAAATGAAGAAAGAATTTAAGAAATCTTTCTAAAAATTAGAGTAAATGTTATTTAAAAGACAAATTGAGGATTAATAATTAATAAAATCCTATAAATAATTTCCTACTTCTATTTAAATTATTGAAATTTCCTTTGTAGAAAAATTCTTAATAAAGGTGTCTAAGTACTAATTAGAAATTTCTTAAGCAATTGTTAATTAATCAAGTTCTCCCAAGTTCTTTTAATTTAATTAACTAGGTTGTTGATTATTATTTTTATTAGTTAAGAGTGAAGATAAATAATCTGAAACAATCTCTGAAATTATTTTCTTGTTTGATTTCCAGAAATTACTCTTAAATTGATGAATTTTAACTTAATGGTTTATGATCCTCTATATTATTTTTAACATAATTTATGTATTTTTATTCCTCTAACATATCATTAATAATAAATTCACACCAGTATTCAAAATCATACTTTTGTATTAAACTTTTTAAAATTAACTGTATATTATGTAATTTTTAAACTGTTAATTATTTTTATGATGATTTCTCAATTCTAAAATTAATTTAATCAATACTTCTCTTTTTTCAATAGCTCCTTTGGCTATTGATAATAATCAAATAAAGATATTGATTTTATAATAGATAAACTTTTTTGATTGTTTTATTTTATTATTCTAATTCTTATTTTTCTTAAAGTTTATAAAGTAATTATTCTGTTTGTTATAAGTTATTTACAATTGTTACTTTTTTACTATTAATTCATTAATGCTTTCTTATTATTCTCTTAATTAATCTTTTAAGTATTTAGATTCTTCCTTTATTTTATCATTTTTAGCTTCTAAAAGTTTACTTAATTATTACTGATTATTACATAACGTTTTGTTTAGCTTATAATTGTGAGTTTAATTAATCTACAATTTACATATAAGAATTAAGCTTAATTTAATTTTGTTATTGAGTTTTTGTTAATTCTAATAATTTTTTATCTTTCTCTTATAATTGTGAATTAAATTAGTGCTAGATTATTTTAATGTCATCATTTTAATTTTCATTTTAATTTAACCATTTTTTATAGAATTACTAATTGCCTTTCATCAATTATTCTTACAGTTTTTTTACTATAATCTAAATTTTTTCAAGCTCTCTCAGTAAATCGTCATTTAAAAGGTTGAGTCTATTAATTTCCCCTTTTGATTCTTAAATTTTAGACAAATAACCTAAGATTTAATTTTTCTTTGGCTCAGATCCTCTTGATAAAGCATCATCCAGAAATGCTTACAAACAATTTATTTCTTCTTCATAAAATTAAAATTGATTTTTAAAATCTTTAGGTTTTCAGCTATTCTTTACTAAACTTGCTGTTTAAGTATTTCAATTTCATTTTGTTACAATCTAATTTTGTGCTAAAATGAAGTGAATAGAGTAAAATGATCCGGTTTTTTTTATTAAAGACATCTGATCTCTTGTAATTTAATTATCATCCATTGTTATTCTGTTAGACCTATTAAATTAGATTTCATAACAAAAATTATTTATATTTTTAGTTTTAAATTTTTGGTTATAAATTATTTTAATCTAGTGGTCTTTAGGAGATAGTTTCTATTCTAATATTTCTTCTCTGTTCCTAGCAGATAACTTTTAGGCTTATGCACTTTTTGGTCGTTTCATAATAGAGATTTAATATATATTAATATTATAATTTTTAGTGTTTAATTAATAGTGAATTTTAGTAACTATAACTTATTATTTTCAAATCACAAAAATAGATCTAAACTAAAATTAATTGTTGAAGCATGATTATAATGAGATAGCTAATACTTTTTGATAAGGGATGGAAAAGGTTAATTAACTTCATCCATAAACCATATTTAAATTAACTCATTGGTTAATTTGTTAACTTCATTAGAATCAATCTAAAATATTGAGTTAATGATGTTACCTTTAACATTGAGGAATCAATCTTTTTGTTCGAGATTTTTCCAACAATATTTAAAATAGTGGCCACAATTTAAAATGGGTCTCCATGAGCAAATCCATAACTAAATGAAGCCAATTATATCAGATATCAACTAATTAAATTTATATAAACAACCTAATTTAATCATCAACTTCTGCAATATGTGCAAATATTTAAAGTGGTGATATAAAAGATAAATTAAAATTTAAATTTTACAATATTTAACCTTCAGCCTTCAATATATCTTCTTTACTATAAACCTCATCACATAATTTTGATAGTTGACCACTTTTTGGAACACCATAAACTTCTTGATATTTTGATGCTATGAATAAACATGCCATTCCAAATAATTAAAATCTATTTTTTTGTATCAATTGAGTTTCAATAAATCTTGATTATTGTAAATACTTACTTGTCTATTAACCATACAGTCAATAATAATGTCTCTAATTGTAATTTTAATTTATGATGAACCTCAAATAGCCAATTAATAAGAACATTTCTCATTTTTAGACTTATTTAACTTTATTAATAAAATGCATTATAAGAGATAGCATTTTATTATTATTATTATTACTTTTGATTCAGTTCTTCAAGATAATTATAAATATCTTGCTTGTAAATTTTAACTAATTAAGGATTACCATAATTTTCTGTTGATGAAAATTTATCTATTCCTTTTGTAACTAGATCTACAAATAAAATAATAACCCTTACATTTATTGCTATTTGGTAATGATATTGAAGCATTATTATTGTTACTATTCTGGGCTTAATTTAAGATAGAAATCTAAATGTTGGTTAAACTTCTATTTTTTAAAGTTCTTTATATATGCTAATATTAGTCGGTTTTTTATCTGGGCATTTCATAACTAATGTGTCTTTGATCTTCTTTTTTTCCATTTTCTCTTATATTTTATTACTTATTCCATTTTGAAACTCTTATTACTCTTGGTTTTATATTTTGTTGAGATAACTCATCTTTTAAATAGAGAGTAGATTAAACTCTTGTTTACCTATTTTAAACAAGTTAAAAGTTTCTATTTTCTTTATTAGCTTCAAGCATTTTCAAAATATTCACAGATTTCATCGTTGTTATTTTAACGACTATATAAATAATATTTAATAAAAATTGGCGAAATATAAAACATGTAGGTTTTATGAGATTAAATATTACTAGAATAAAAATAAAAAAAAGATTTAAATATATGCTTTTATGTTTAGTTTAATTTGAGCAAATCTAAAATTAATATTCTGCTAATAAAACATTTATAAAAGTTAGTTGGTCCTTATATAAATATTATTATTATAATCAAATAAAATTTAGTATTTCAATTAAAATAATATCAGCTTATTTATTAAAATATATTTGCATTTTTTCATTTAAAATTTTGTTCTCTTTTTTTATCCCATAATCTAATTTTGTTATTTGTATCAAATTATTATGCTTATTCATCAATATCATATTGAGTTCTAGCTAAGTGAGTTACTTCAAGTGGGTTCAAATAGATAAGAATAATTTATCAAAGTGAAAAAAATAATACTCATAGCACTCTAACTCATTTTTTTTTTTTAAATCTTAATGAACTCTTGAATTACAATATAACATAATGTTATAATGAAGAAGAATCATCAGTATCACAAAATGTAAACTAAATAGATTCAAGATTGATTTTTTGATAAAGATTATTATGAATTTCGAAGTTAAATATAATCTCTATAACGATTTACATGAATATTTGGCAATATAGTTTATTAACTTAATGAATCATAGAATTTTTATAATATTATAATCTTTCTACAAAATATATATATATTAAGAATTAATTAAATTTATTTTTTTAGGAAATCAGAATATTCATTTAAATGTAAGTTTAATCAAAACTTATTACAAAGAAGTTTGCAAACATATATAAAACTACATTATATTAAATCAAGTTGAGTTTGATCTTTCCCTATTCTTGGTAATAATTTTTTCAATAAATTCTTGAGCAAATTAATCAAAGAGTGGAAGACCTGTAACATCTTATGAGAATGTAATTTCAGGCCAACTATTGATTTCTAGAACAACAAGTCCATTCTTTCTAGAATCTAAAATGTCAACACCTCCTATAGTTAAATGAGAATCTATAGCAGCACAAGCCTTTTCTGCAATTTTAAAATATTCATTTTTTTAATCTGAATCCATCATTGATTCAATTTTAAAGTCATCACTATATCCATTAGACTTGAAATCCTAGAATAAAAATAATAATATTACCACATTATCCTAAAATTCCGTGACAGAAACAGCTTTACCACCAATCACAAGAACTCTAATTGATCTTCCAACTGTATCATCAATGAAATCTTAAATAATGGCTTACTCTCCATTCCATATTGACTTACAAAAAAGTTCTGTACTTTAGTTGTGACTTACTGAAAGTTTAACTCCAGTACCTTCATAACCTACAACTTCTTTCATGATTGTTTTATTATTAAATCTTCTAAGATTTTATTTGAAAGTATTAACAGAGAAAGAGGCTCCACATCTAGGTATTGGAATTTGATTCTAACTAAATTTAACATATTGAAGTAATTTATTTTAAAGTATTCCTTCTGTTGTAGGATTATGAAGGGTTATTTTCCCGGCTGAATAAACAGCAAAATTGAAATACATGTAATCTTGATAATGTTTTGGTGCCATATATCCATATCCTAAAAATGCATCAAATTGTATTTATTCTCCTTTTCTAAAGAATGTGATTTCCTATATAGAGATATTAATTTATATTTACATTCCCTACAATAAAACTTAATTCTTCAAGTTCTGTGGTGATCACATTGACTTTTAATCTTTAAAATGTTTCAATGATAAGTTGATCCATCTTACCGTAAAATATTGGGTCTGGATTGATCATATAAAGAATAGTTAATTATTCGTCTGACATGATAAATAAGGTTATGCAATTTTATTTGATATTATATTTTTTCTTTTTTCTTATCTAATATCAGATTTTATTTATGAAAATAATCATGAATCACTTAAAAGAATTTATAATATTAAACAAAAAAATCTCCACTGTTTATTTATACTACCAGATTAGGTGCATATTATTATTTAACCCTAACCAATTAACATAACTGAATTTAGATACTTGTTTAATAGTGCAGGTGAATTTTTTCATTTGGAAAATACATAGAATAAACTTTAATAAGAAAAATACATAAATTTTAGATAATACATAAATCAAGAACGTAAAACTTTATATATATTTCAATTGATTTATGAAATGTGTTGAAGAAATATCAAATCTAAATGGTGTAAAAATTACTTAATTTAAAGGAAAAATAAATATTAATAATTCATATTATAATAATTTAGCTAGTATAATTAATCCAGAGATATTATTCTCATTAACTAAATTACCAGAAATTTAAGCTGGCAATAAATTTATAAAGAGATCTTTTTTAAAATCAGCACAATTCTTAAAAGAAAATCTAGATGAATTGAAAGACATTAATATTAATATTTTATGTGCAATATAAAGAGGTTTAGAAATTGATTCTAAAATGATGGCAGTAGAAATGAAATAATAAAGATTTGCAGTCGAATATTTAATCAGTCTATGATAGTTATAATTTATTATATATTTTGGCTGGTTATGGTGATATAATATCTATTCTTTTGGGATTAAGTTGGGGAATTGAAGGCTTTTAGTTTGAAGAACCTTTTAGATTAATCTCAGATCTCAAAGCGCTTTTTACCATCTAAATTTGATTTGAAAGAAAAGGAACTTGAATAGTTTTCTGGAGATTAAATTAACTTTTATGAATTAGAAGATAAAAAAATTGGAGTCTTGAGTTTCTCTATCGATTCAGATTATTCATTAATGAGGTTATCTCAATCCTGATTGCTAATGGTTTTCATGCAAAAATCATACAAAATTAAATATTGCTCATCTTGTTGAATGCAGATAAATGAATGCTTGATTATTATATTAAGAATACACAACACATTTTAATATTAATAACTTCAACCAAAATTATAAGAGATGTAAAATTAAAAACAATTAAATTAATGGATTAGATGGTTTTTATCATAACTGTGACATAAAATTACCAAAAAATGTATTACAATGTTATTAATCAATATAATGATTTTCTTGCATAAAACAATATATATGGACTGCTACTGCCATCTGTATCATATCTTTATTGCTTTATATCAATCTCTCTAACATCAGAATCGTTATATCTATACCATTTTTGATTAAATGGATTCTTGCTGTCACTTTATTTATATATCAATAATAATTACGCTGTATAATGTCCTCCATATAAAGTTCCACTATGATTTACTATTCCACATAAAAAATATTAACAGTTTTTTACAGACTAATCAACTAAAATTAAGAATATCTTACGTGAATCTTTAACGAATTCTCTCATATCTAATTCTAATGGGAATATTACTCTATGATTTAATTTATCACTAGAAAATCTTCTAAACTCAAATCTTTTTATATGAAACATCAATATATGTGGTAATCTCCATATTGTAAATTTGCGTTTTACTTTTTAATGTTTTTTGCTTCAACATACAATAACGATAAATTAAATACCATTTTGAGCAATAATAATCATCTATTGCTTCTTCAATTACATATTTATCTAATAATCTCTCTAAATTCATATCTTCTAATATTTTAAATGCCCTTGCAATTGCTAAAGATGTATCTTAGAATGTATCAAATGCATATGAACTGCTTCCACAAATAGAGCATTTAATTGTATGTAAAAGTTGTCCTTAAAAATAATCTAAAACTAAACTATTTTCTCTACTTTTTGAGTAATCCCACCATTCTTTACTCTAAAAATATGTTACAAAATATTACTAAATCTTATAATGTTCTTCCATTAAGATTATCATTCATTTCTTTATATGATGATTTGTTTTTGACTCTATTTAAACCTAAACTAAGACCATCAAGAAGAGCTACTAAAAACTCTTAGGCATCTTATTAAGCATAACCTCTAAAACAAGGCATAACATTCTCTATTAAAATAAAACAAAGAATAATACCTACAGCTGATTTAATTCCATATGGAGCAATAGATTGAAAATTGGGAGTATTTCTTATTGTGGCTACTAATTTGCTATATTCATTAGGAACAGAACTGTTTTTAGAATTTAAGTCTTTTAAGTAATCACCATTTAAAAAATGCTCATTAAAAGCCGGAATATTGAGTAGACATTGTAAAACTGAATTCCTGAAATGTTATGAAATACAATTACATGAAACATGTATTACCAATATTTCTCAAACCACATATGCCTTTGCTGACATTTTGCATTGATTTATATTAATATTATTCTGGTTAAGATTATGACATAGAGTAATTAGTTGTAACAGTCTTTTAAGTATTCTATTGAGATATTGCCAAAGACTGCTATGATAGTTATTAGTTGAATTAAGATGGATTTTATTTTTAAGTATTTTATTCAATAAATCTAGACTAATGATATGAGAAATGATAAGTTACTTATTATGATTAGGTATTAGGAGCGAATGTTGTGTTAGAGGAGTAAATATAATTAGATTTGATATCTTGAGATGGTGTTGATTAAGCCTTATTAAGTAATAGTGGATAATTGGATAATCCTTATGATGGCATTTTATCTTTTGTAGTACTTGGAGGTCTTTGAATATTATTATTAAACATATTTGGTCTCATTATTTAATTAATATAAAATGGATGATTTAGATTTTGAGCAATTCTAGAGATACATTCAATAAGAGCATCATTAAAGTTAAAAGCATGATACAAGGATGAATGATAAAGAAAAGGATCGTGGACATGAAAAAAATAAAGACAAACATAATAAAGAGAGTCATAAAGAAAGAGATAAAGAGAGAGAAAAGGATAAGAGTGCAGAAAGAAAAAAAAAGAAGAAGGATGAAAAAAAAGATAAGAAAAAGTAATTAAATTATTATTCATTGAGGTAGAAGATCAAGATCAGCATCAAAATCTTCTAAGAAAAAAAAGGGTAAAAGAGATAGAGAAAAAGAAAAGGATAAAGAATTACAACAATAAGCCATAACAACATAACTATTAATGACTAATGATATTTAAAAGAAAAGGGAAATTGCAAAATAAAGGAAAATTGAAATTATGGAAGCAGAAATTCGAGAATTGGAAAGGAAGATTGTAGAGGTAGAAAGAGAATTAGAAGAAGCTCATAGATAAGATCTTACTGTTTTAATGTATTGTTTACCATTAAAGGCAAAAGAAAAGCATATATATCAATTTTTCTAAACTGTATATTATATATCATTTAGTTTTTATATAGTTCAATTGTGGTAAGATTAGAGATATTAGGATTATAAGAGATTAGAAATCAGGTAGATCTAGAGGAGTTGCTTATGTTGAATTTTATTAAGAGGAATCCATTCCTATGGCTTTGGCCTTAAATGATAGATTATTTATTATGGATGGGCAATAGGTTGGTACAATTCCAGTTAAAATACAATTAAGTTAAGCTGAAAAAAATAGAGCTGCTAGAGATTAAAAGAATATGTAAATCAAACAAAATAAACTTTAATCAATCTAAGACTTATAAAACATGAATGGTCCTGCAAGAGTTCAAGTTACAGGAATGGCTGAATAACTTTAAAGAATTAGTGAAGAAGATATCAGAGAAGCCTTTGTTCCTTTTGGTACAATAGATACTGTTGAAATTCCAAAGGATGAATAAGGAAGAATGACTGGAGTTCTTTACGTTACATATGAAAAGGCAGAATCAGCTAGAAATATGATCGAAGTCATTAATAACTAACCATTTTTATTAAATGGCAAACCTATTAAAGTTTAATTAGTTTCTGGTGCAAATAATTATATGGATTTATAACTAGATGATGATTTAGTATAGAACCCTGTTATGAGAATCACACTGATGAAAAAATTGATGGATGACAATTTAATTGATAATGTAATTAAATTTATATTCTTTATAGATCAATCTACCTCCTTTAATGACATAATTAGGTTTAACTGTATAAAGAATTTTAAACATTATTCAATCTCCAAATCCATCTTTAGGTTGTATTTCTGGTTGGATGCCTCTTAAACATAATCCCCCTGCTTGTCCATGTATTACCAAAGTTATTGTGTTAACTAACATGTGGACTGAATTAGAAATCTCTAATTAAGCTGCCATAGTAGAATTAAAAGAAGAAGTAGAAAGTTTTTATTTTCTTTTTATTTTATAGATGAATGCAAAAAGTATGGAGATGTTGAAATGGTTTGGGTTGATAAAAAAAATGAAGGTAATGTTATTATTGTATTTAAATAATGGGAAGCTGCTAAATAAGTTAATGTTTTAATGAACAACAGAAAATTCGGAAATAAAGTTGTTTAAAGTTATTTCATTACAGAAAGTCAATTCATGAGCATCATCAAATGATATAGTAATATATAATAATAAACATACAAAGTAAAAAGTTCATTTTTATAGTTTGATTATGTCTAACGTTGAATTTTTGTTGAACTTCTTTAAGTTTTCCAGATTAGGAAATAGCTTATCAAAATTTTTGGCTAAATTTAATATTTTATTTGATAATTCTATTGTTTCATCCTTATCAACATTTAGTACTGATAAAATTTATGGAATCTAATAATAGTAAATAGATATTTACAATTTCATCACTTGATTCTTGGCTTAATAGATTGCAACCAACAATTATACATGCAGCTGATAATGATGAATAATTATATTAACTAATTAGTTCATAATCATATAAAACTATTTTAGCTAAATATATGACAAGTTGGTGCATTTTTTAATGTTGATTGATTAATTATAACGCCATTGAGACAATTTCTGAGATTGTTGTTCCCACTAATTTAAAATCTAAAGCTTATGCAATTTAACTTTCTTTTTCCCTTATTTCATCTTTAGATAATTTTTTATGTGCTATTTTTTCATGAACTATTTATAATTTTACTGGATAAATTTCTTCAAACTTACTAGCTATGAACATACATGTAACACCAATTAGATGTAAATCTTGAGGAACATGTTATTTTGTTGTTTAATGTAAAAATGTATCCATCAATCTCACAGCCATAAAAAACGTTTGATCTTTACATTTGTATGAGGTTAAGACTTCAACCATCCAATCAACCATTTTAGCTCTTAAATTACTGCTTATTGAATGCTTTTTCAAAAACTCAAACTTTTAAACAGAATCATAAGCCTAATAATTTATAAGTATATTGTCTCCATAAAGATTAATCAATTTATTTAAAGGATTCTTCTATTCCTTAATTTAATATTCGTGATTGCATTAACTAATAGAAGTAGTCTATCTTACAGTGATTGGTGAGTACTAAACTTAAATATATAATATATTACAATCTATTCTGTTGTAGAAACTGTTGTTTTTTACTTTACTTCTGGACGATAATGGAGACTTGATACATTAGGGTTTCTTTGTGTTAAATAATTTTATGGTTGAGGTTATTATTTGATATCTATGCTTTTAAATTCAATTTCTGTAAAAAAATAAGAAATTATCTTACTTGGTTATCTATTTAGCAAACTCAATGAAACCAATTATGTAAATGATTTTTAATTGGTTCTTTTGTCTATATTATTAGAAACTTCAGCCTGGTTCTCTTTTTCAAATATGCGTCTGGTAGTATCTTTCATTGTTGTATAATTTATGTTTAACAGATAAATAATTAATGAAATTTATTAATAAACTTATTTTTGTATATATTATGCCAAATGAATTAGTTTATAATTTTTTTATAATATATTTGATATTGAATTTGGTTAAATTCTAAGTTATGAATTTACTTACATCATTAAATTGATAATGATTGATGTTGAATCATAACTTCACGCAATAATAAGAATATGATGTTTATAAAATATTGAAATAATTATATAATCGTCATAATGTCCACTTATTAAAATCTATAATAATTTTCTACAAATGAATGAATCTGAAAAAAAGGATCAAACATAAGAGTTGATTACAAATAAATAAAAATCATGGCATCGGACTAATGTTAGATGGTTAGCATTGTTTTTAGCATGTTTTTTTTAATTTGGAAGTTACTTTAGCACAGATTATCCATCTGTGTTAGCAGAAGAGATTAAGAGCAGCTTTGAAAATAAAGATTAATCTGATGTGAATCTACTTTATACTTATTACTCAATGCCTAATGTGATATTACCTTTACTAGGAGGATTATTTATTGATGCTATTGGAATTAGACTTGCTATGGTTGGATTTTTTGCTATCTTAATTATTGGTTAATGTAGATATATATCTTTATTATAATAAGTTCTTTGTTATATATCAGCAGCAACAGGCAATTTTACAATTATGTTAATAGGTCGATTAGTATTTGGATTAGGCGGTGAAAATTGTGTTGTTGCTTAATCTTATATAGTGAGTAAATGGTTTTTTGGAAGTGAATTAGCATTTGCTTTGGGGTAAATTTAGAATATTATACTAGTTTGAATATCACATTTGCAAGATTAGGGTCAGTTTTAGGAGCAATATTATTAGGAAAAACATATATTTGGTTTGGAAATAGTTTATCTGCTTCAATGTTCTTTTGTTTTGTACTTTTGATCTTAGCTTGGATTGACGCTATTTTTCTTGCATTATTAGATAAATATAGTGATAAAAGGGATAAAGTCGAAGAAAAGATTGAAGGAGATAAAATTAAGTTAAGTGATATCAAAGAATTTAAGTTAGATTTTCATCTACTTACACTTAGTTGTCTCACATGTTATTCGGCATTCTTTTTATTTTAATACAATAATGTTGAGATGTTCAAAATTATGTATTTTATCATGTTATTCTAGTTATCATATGAGCTCAACTTAAGCAAACAATATTTATAGCATTCCATATTATTCAGCTGCACTTTTAACTCCAATTTTTGGATATGTTATTGATAAATTTGGTAGAAGAACTCATTTATTAGTGTTATGTGGTGCTTTACTTGTTTTAGTAAACATTTTATTTATAATGTTAACTTGTGAAGAATAAAAGGTGTGCCTTGCTGCACCTATTATAGGATAAATTTTAAATGGAATTTATTATTCTTTATATGCTGCTGTTATGTGGCCTTGCGTTCCTTTATGTGTACCAGAAAGAGCTGTAGGAACTGCTTTTGGTGTAGTCAATGCTGTCTAAAATATTGGATTAACTGTTTTCCCTATTATTGTAGGACATTTAATCTCTGATGAAACTCCTGCAGCCTATAGACATATGATATTATTTCTTGGTTGTACTGCGATTGTTGGTCTGATTAGTAATTTTGCATTGTGGTTTGTTGATAAATAAAATGGAGGTAAAATGGCCAAACCAAGTCTCAAAGATAATACTTAAGTTTAAGATTACCATATATAAGAAGAGAGTTCTAAATCAAGTAAAGAATGATTTATATTTTCATACACAATTTATTAATTTTATCTCAAAGATTCCTTATTGATAAATATAATTGTAATTTATATTAATTTAACTACTTATCTATTTAATTCTTGAAACCATTCCTCTCATAATACTTATGAAGTTATATTAAAAACGTATTCATGATCGCGATATTTTATCTTCAGACAATTTGGATTGCATTTTAATGGATTTTTTATTATTATTGCATCTCCACATGGAATTAACAGAATTGGATGCATAGCTCCAGCTTATTTAAATAACAATAATCCAACATGTGTCATTAATGCAAATATTTCAACCCAATCCTGAAAATCAAAAAGTGTCCTCTATTACATTTTAAAATAGAACCCTTATTTTTTATGATATCTCCCATCACATAATCCAATACCAATTTCATTTTGAATTTTATGGTTTTTGTAGTTTTTAAATTATGTTGAAAAATTTTATTAGCAAGATATTTAAATATAACTATTCATAGTTTCATTCAAAAAATCTATAAAATCTTTTATTCATCAACTTAACATTAAGTATTATTAATTTCATTATTACCTGTATTTTAGATAATGCTTTCAAACTCAGACTAAATGGTTTGATTTACTTTTTAAAATATATCTTCTTGGTTAATTAAATCATTTAATAAAGAGTTATTTTTAATTATAGTCCATTCTTTTAATTATTTTTTCATGATCATCAATAATTTATAAAAGTTAGTAGTTTATTCTCTGAAATTAACTAAATATTATGAATATTTAAGTAATCTAATTCTTATTCTAAAATTTTAATATGGGATTCTAATTAAGGGAGATGCTGCCTATGAAAATTTTTCAGAATCAAGCTATTTTTTATGGAATTATAATTGTTTTATAATTCATATAATTACGAACTCTTATTATGATTCTCAAGTATTAATTACTATTTTGAATGCAAAGATTGACTATTTGTTCTTATTAATCTTTGCAAAGTTTTTCAGCATCAAACAAAGTGGTTTATTATTCCTTAATTATTTTGATTAAGTTAGTAATAATTTTGCAAATTTGCATTATTCAATGTATTATTCAAGCTATAAAAGAATTTTCATAGAAGTTTTAATACCTTCATTGTGATATAATAACTATTAAAGTCATTTGTTTAATGATATTATATTTTATATTATAGATGGTAAGTGTTTAGTATCTCTGAACAAAGAGTTAAAATGTTGTAGAGAATAGAATGAATATTTTGATATAGAATTAGATGGAAGGGAATTGTTATAAAATTGAGATAATATAGTATGTATTAAATTATAATATAAAGTTAAAGAGTTTTGGTATTTTTCTAGAAAAATCTAAATAATTTAAAAGGTATCTAAGAATGAAAGAAAGAGTAGAAATATTTAATTAGTTTGAATGTTTTAAGGAGGTTTTAAAGGATTTAGTGGTTTTCCATTTGGAGGAGCAGAGGAAGAAAGTTCTACTTCTTAAACTTAAAATGTTGATAATAAATCATTATATGAATTGTTGGGACTTTAATAAGGTGCTACAACAGATGAAGTTAAGAAAGCATTTAGAAAGAAGGCAGTTAGAGAGCATCCAGATAAAGGAGGAGATCCTGAGAAGGTATTTGTTAAAATATTAATAATAAGTTTAAAAAATTAACAGAAGCATATGAAATTTTGTCAAATCCAGAGAAGAAAGATTTATATGATAGATTTGGCATGGAAGGAGTAAAGAATGGTGGAGGAGGTGGAGATATGTCAGATATATTTAGTCATTTTTTTGGAGGAGGTGGCCGCAAAGAATCAGGTCCAAAAAAAATGAAAGCTAAATTAAGAGAATTGGAAGTTAGTTTAGAAGATGTTTATGAAGGAAAGATAATTCATTTAAAACATTAGAGAAAAAGAGTTTGTGAAGGATGTGATGGAAAAGGAGGAGCAAATTCAAAATAATGTTCAACTTGTAAAGGAAAAGGAGTTGTTTAAAAATTAACAATGTTAGGTCCTGGAATGTATTCTTAATCAAGTGGACCTTGTTCAGATTGTAGAGGTGAGGGTACAATATTCTCAGAGAAGGATAGATGCAAAAAATGTAATGGAAATAAAGTGATTGATGTTGAAAAAATAGTTGAAGTACCTTTAGAAAAAGGAGTACCTGAAGAACATGATTATTAATTTTATGGAGAATCAGATGAATATCCTGGAGTGATGGCTGGTGACTTATATATAAGAATTAAAATTAAGAAACATCCTATGTATGAGAGAAGAGGAGCAGATCTTTATACTACTAAAAAGATCACATTACTAGAAGCATTAACTGGTTGTCAATTCACACTCAAATTTTTAGATGGATCTTATCTTAATATAGCCACTAAACCAGGAGAAGTTATATCTCCAAGTAATTATCATTAAATAATATTTTAGATAGCTTCAGAACTATTAAAAATAAAGGTATGCCTTTTTATAAAGATGCTATGTAAGAAGGCAATCTACATATCTAATTTGAAGTTGAAATGCCTACTGAATTAAAATAAGAATAAATTAATGTACTCAAAAATGTATTTATTATTAAATTTATATTAGATTTTACCTAAACCTATAGAAAGTAAAGTAAAATTTGATGCCAGTAAAAGAATTTTTATGTAGGAATATGATGTTAACAATCTTAATTCAAATCCTGAAGGAGGCAAACGAGATGATGATGAAGAGGAAAGTTAACCAAGAGGATAACGAGTTCAGTGTGCGTAATAATGAATTTGTATTTTTATATTATTATAATAATTATTGGTTCAATAAATTATATTGTAATATGAAACAGGCAAGAATTACACGGCTGCATCCTATATTAAGTCCTCCTAAAAATGAAGAAGTAAATCTACAATAATTTATAAATAGGCCCCTTTCTTTGATCCATGTCCAAAGTTCTAAAAATAATATCATCCAAAATGTAGCTTAGATCGTATTATATCTTATTTGTTTTTAAAACAAAATGATATTAATGGTAAAACATTTAGTCAAAGGCGTATTTGTAAATTAGATGCTACTCAAACATTTGATGGCCCTGCTAAGTGTAGAGTTCTTAAAATTCATCCTCCAGATGCTAATAAAATTAATGGATGGTAAAATGTTGGTGGAGAAGTTTCTTATGATTATGATAATGGATGGAAAACTAGATTAGCTGATATATGTACAGATATTTAAGAAGATATTAATATTATGAGAAAAGTTCTTATGGATGAAGGTGAATAAAAACACAATTACAAAGCAAGAATAGAATATCTTAGAAGATATATTGAAGAAATTAACAAAATGTACCATATAGTCAATCTTAAAGAAGATATTAAAAAGTTACGTGGCATTTATAGAAAAAGTAGAGAAGAAATCAAATCTTATGTCAAATTTAAAGGTACTAGATTCTTTGAAATCATACCATAATTAAAATAAGTCTCTAAAACACCTACCATTCTAGATGAATTCAAAGTCTTTAAACCTCTTTCTGATGAAAAACTTATAGAAAAACAAAAATATCTTGATGATTTATTCAAACATCTTAATAAAAAAAATCAATAAAAGGTAATTTAAGAATAATTAGAATAACTTGATTAATTAGATTAATTACTCTAAAATCCTGGTATTAAAATTGATCCAATTTAACCAGATCCTTTTGCTACTAAAGATATTACTGTTAATAAAGAAATAGAAAAGAAATTTGTTTTCGAAGAATTTATTGAGGAATCTAAATAATATGAAGACGAATAGGAAGCTGAATAATAAGATGAAATTATTGAAGATACTGAAAATAATAAAACAAATAATTAAAGACCTAAAAGAGCTTTTAGCTAAATTATTTCAAGCAAATAATAAGATAAAAAAAGTGCTGCCTAAGAATTCAATTCATAACATTACTTATTTGAAGTTAAAGATGTGAATTCATTTGGTTAATAAATTCGATTGAATAGATTAAATAAGATTATGAATGAAATGTTCAAGGATCAAAGAAACTTTTCTTAAGATCTATAACAATATTCTTATAATCATATTAAGCCTTAAACTGTCTCAAACATCTCATGCGACAATCTTCAAAGTCTCAAACATGTAATAAATGTACATTTAATTAGAAACTTGTTTTAAGTAGAGATAAAGAATTAAAAAGAATGAACAAATAAACTACTTAAGAAATTGGCAAACGAAGTTCAGTTCATGTTTCAGCATTTTATTCCACTGCAACTTCAAAACAATAGCTAAGAATTTATTGATAATTCTAATTAATTAATAAATTATTGTGATATGCTTATAAATTAACTCATTTCCTCTCTTTTTATTAATTAACTTTTGTTTGAGCTCATAATTTATTTATAAAATCCTAGATAATTCATTTTGTTTTTAAGTTTTCTTGCTCTTAATGAACTTCTTTAAATTTAAAGAATAAAATTGTAACAATAAAATTATATTATTAAATTTGAAATATGTTTAATAACAATAATACTAGTAACCAGAAGCTTAAAGTTTCAAATAATGAAAATAGAAACACTTAAGAAAGTTATTTTAAATAGGATAAAGAAAACTATTATCATTAATGGGAATAAAAATTGAAATAGAGGGAAACTTAAGTATTTAAATCAGTCATATACAGTTTAGTTAGAATAAAAGTATAAAGAATTAAAAAATTATTCCAAAAAACTAAAGATGAAAAGTGATGAACTTGTAAAACAAAAATTAGAATTAGGAGAAAAAATAGAGAAATATAATAGGCTCTTAGAATAGATTATATAAGCTTAAATATCAGAGAGATAGATGAATAGAGTTGGTTTATTAACACCAAATACTAGTAAAACCAGGACTAATAAAAGTGGAATAAATGAATGTCAATAAAGAGTGGCAAATTTATTATAAAAAATTCGACATACAAGTAAGACCAATTTAAAAACTTAATAATATTCTTATTTTGGGAATAATTCTGATTATGAAGAAATATTATTTAGTAAAAGATAAAATCATTCGACTTCTTTCACAGGAATAATGAATATAAGTTCGCAAGATTAAATAAATCAATAACAGTAATAATAATAATAAAAATAAAATGAAATTTAAGTATAGGGTGAATAGAAGTAAAAATAAAGTTTGGTTAGTTGTGAAAATGAACTAGTGAATCATTAATTACAATTATAGTAGATGGAAACTAACCAAAAACACTTTTATTCAAAAGTATATGAAGAAATGAATAAATTAAAATAACAACTTTGATTGAATAGATTAAAATAAAATAGAATATTATTAGAATCAATTTAAGTTAAAATTATTAATTGATATATAATAAAGATATGACTAAAAAAAAGATTAATCTTAATTTCTGAAGTTGTAAAAAATACTGTATATCTCAAAATGTAATGAAATTGAATAAAATTTAAATCATTTCCATAAATTAAATATTATATATGCTCTAAGAATACTACGATAAGAAGGTCTTGTTTCTTACAGGATGTACAGGTAGAGATGAAATATGATTTAATAGGGTTTGTTGGTAAAGTGCTTTTAGAAAAGACCTTACGTTGTATTCCAAATATAGCATACATTTATGTGTTGATAAGATAAAAAAAGGGAAGCAATTTAGTGGAAAGATTTAAAAGAGAGATTTTGGACTCTTAAGTAGTAGAGTGAATATATGTAGTGCTTTGATCGTTTGAGAAAGATACATGGAAGTGGTTTTGAGTAATTCATAAAGTAAAAGATTTATCCAATAGAAGGTGATATGTTAAAGGATGGGTTGGGTTTATCATAAAATGATAAGGAATTAATAATTAATAATGTGAATGTAAATAAAGATTGAAATAGATAGATCGTAATTAATTGTGCAGCTAGTGTAGATTTTAATGCTAGATTAGATGATGCTATATAAATCAATGTAAGAGGACCTTAAAGATTTATAGCTTTAGCTTAGAAAATAAACAATCTAGAAAACTTTATACATATATCAACTGCATATGTAAATTCTGATAAAGAAGGTTATATTGAAGAAAAGATATATAATCCAAGTTAGGAGAATTTAGAATAGTTAGTAACTTAATTGTTGAAAACACCAGTAAGTATTTTAGAAAAAAATGTAAAAGACATAATTGGAGATTTTCCAAATACATATACATTTACAAAATGTATTGCAGAAAAACTATTAGTTTAAACAAGATCTCCTAATTTTCCATTAACTTTAGTAAGACCATCAATAGTAGGAGCCTCTTGGAAAGATCCAGTTCCAGGTTGGATTGATAGTTTGGTAGCTAGTAGTGCAATTTTCTTTTTTGTGGGTTTAGGATTAATAAAAACATTAAATGGAGATGAATGTTTAATTGGAGATTAAGTTCCTGTTGATTATGTAGCTGATTTTATTCTAACAACTGGAGCATATTAAAATGGTTAAAAAGAAGTTTCTGTTTATCATTGTTGCTCTTCAGCTAAAAATCCAATGACATGGGCTTTAGCTAAAGAAGTAAATGCTTAATTTTGGACAAGATCTCCAAGTTCTCAATAATTCTCTAAACCAAACTTAACTTTCTATAAAAATGAAAAATTATACAAACTTATGACAAAAATAAAAAATACACCTGCTTTAATGTATTATTAGATTGCTAATCGGATAGGAAATAAAGAAATGAAAATATAAGCAAAAAGATTAAAGAAAATAATTGATAGAGCTGAATCCATTAATGAAACATTTAAACCATTTGTAATTAATGAATGGATATTTGAAAGTTCTAAAAGTAATTTATTAGTAGAGTTTTTGAGTGAATCTGAGAAATAACATTTTAATGTTGATATTGAAAAATTGAATTGGAGAAAATATTTGGAAAGATTTAATTGGGGAATTTAGAAATATATACTAAAAGATTAAACAAAAGAATTAAATTAATAAAGTACTGATGTTTTAGCATAGAGAAATCAATAATCATATTTTAGTGACATTGAATGGTGTCTAAATAATGGATAAGATTTTAAAACTAAGACTACAAAAGAACAAATAAGTTTGGTAATGAATTCTTAAAGAGTTTAATCAGTGATAAAATAATTAGTAGAAGAAAAAGCAAAGAAATATTAATCCGCTACTCTGAATTTAGATAAATTTCATTAAAATATAGAAAAACAGGGAATTGATATTTGTGAAGTAATGTTTGCTAATTATAATATGGGAGTGATACGTATATTTGCTTGGTTTATAACAAAGGTTTTTAGATAAATCTATGAAAAAGTTTAAATAAATGAATAAGCTTTATTAGAATTACAAAATTATAATTAAAAAGAAGGAGGACCATTAATATTTATGCCAACTCATAGGTCTTATATTGATTTTATTATGGTAAATAAATATTTTAATTATGTTAGTGTTCATATGTTTTCTTTTCATATAAAATTAAATGTCCACATATTGCAGCTGCTGAAGATTTTCTATAAATGTCAATTATACCTATAATATTAAGAGCTTCTGGTGCTTTTTTCTTAAAGAGAAAATAATTAGAAGACAGTATTCTATACAAAGCCATATTTTATGAATATGTTCAGAGAATATTGATAGAAGAATGTTATTTAGAATTCTTTATTGAAGGAACAAGATCTAGAACAGGTAAAACATTAAATCCTAAATTTGGATTACTGAGTATAGTATGTGATGCAGTATTTGATAAAAAGATTTAAAATGCAACAATATTACCAATTACTATAAATTATGAAAAAGTATTAGAAGCTGATACATATCCTTATGAATTATTAGGAGAAGAAAAAGTGAAAGAATCTTTAATTAGAGTTATAAAAGCATTAAAAATATTATCATCAAATTTTGGTAGAATTCATATTGGATTTGGTAAAATGATTTCAGTAAAAGAATGGTCAAAATAATAGGGACTAGATTCATTTGAAAATATGAGAGATAGAAAAAAAGCAATAGAAACATTAGGATATGAGGTAGCATATAGATTAATTGAGGAAATGGTAGTTATGCCAACTGGAATTGTATCTTCATTATTATTGATGAATAGAAGAGGTATTACTGAAGATTAATTAATCAAACGATTTGAATGGGTTTTAAGATAAATAGCAATTAGAGGAGCCAAGACATCTGTTACTAATAATGGTTAAAGTGATGTAACTGTAAGAAATTCTATTGGGTTCCTATAAGATTTGATTAATAAAAAAAAGAAGAATGTATTTGAATTGACTTTAATTCCAAAACAAGAGTATAAAAGCATATTGTTGTTAAGTTATTATAGAAATTAATTAGCACATATATTTTTTAGTGAAGGAATTGTTTGTTCTGCTTTAAATGGGTTTGGACATTTGTTATCTCATACAGAAGGTGTAAGTGTAGAAAGATTATGGGAAGAAAGCGATTTCTTATTAAAATTATTGAAACGAGAATATGTTATTAGAAATAGAATTACAAATCAAGAATAAATGATTGATTTCATATCTTATATGATTGATAAAAATGTTTTAGAAATGGTTTCAGATAAAATTAGAGTTAACTAATAATTTGGTGAATAAGCATCTCAATTTACTTGTTCAATTATATGGCCCTTAGTAGAGTGTTATTGGGCTACTATAGTTTATTTATATTAATTAAAACGTGTTAGTGAAGCCAAAACTTCATTTGAATTATCAGAACTTATTGCTTAGATTTAAGGATTTGCTGAATAAATGTATGGAGAACACATAATGGAACATTACGAAAGTTGTTCAATTGAAACTATTAAGAATGCAATTAATACATATTCAACAATGAGATGTATTAATATAAATAAAAAGGATGATTCAGAATAGGTGAATATTGCATTCTCAGACTAAGAAGTAATTCTTAAAATTATGAATTTAATAGTTATTAGAAGTAGAAGCTTAAGTGAAAAAATACCTTAAGAATAATTATTCTAAATCAATATAAAACCCAATAGATATTGCAAGATCTTTATTAGATTATACCGTTATACCAAAATTATGAGTAGTTTTGTTTCTACTCATATATTATATTAATGATTTATTATGATATTTTGATTGATGATCAATGATGATGTGATCCATGTCCTTTCTTAACATACTATAAACCACAATATTTGCAAGTTTAAGTAGTTCCTTCTGTTCTAGTATCCAATTTAATATAAACTTGAGGATGTCCTGCATTAATATGAGTACCACCCTTAAAAAATAGTTCATTTAATTACCAAACATCTGACTACATCAGAATCTACTTCAATTACTGGAATTTTATGAATAAATTCTTCAGCTCTGCTTTTATGAGTTTGGAGAGATTACTTCATAATAATTATAATACCTTGTGAGTTTCATCATAATCTAACCATTTATGTTATGCTAAACTAGTGTAAGATTTCACAATCTGTGAAAATTAGGCTGACTTTGCTAATTGCAGGCATCTTTACAACATTTTATAATTTAATATATAAACAATTATAATTATCTTAGACATATGCCAATTTCTAATATGAGTCATTTAGTTGATTTATAATCGTTTTTCAGTTTATCTAACTTAGGCTGCAAAGTCATCGGTTCTTCTTTTTTTTGATATTAGTTCAAATAGACTTTACTTAATATATTCTTTAAAATTATTTTTCTATTTATTTGCTTAGTTGGATAAATATTTTTATTTTTCTTCAAAATTTGTTGTTTATTTCTCTAATTAAGCATGAAGTTTTTAAAATGATGATAAATTTCTTTTATTTTTTTATCTTTTTCAACTTAACATTTATCATACTTATCAATACTGTTTAATTTTTCATCTCCTTTCTCTTACAATCTTCTTACAATATTTTAATTCTATTAACTAACTATTATATTTAGTTATTAGCTTATGATAATTTAGTTTCTAGTTCTAAAATTTTAATCCTATTTTTTAACTATGAAACTTTAATTTTTCAAGGTAGTTTGATATTAGTGATGAAATGGTGGTTATGTTATTGTTTAAATTTATATTTGGAATGAAGGTTAATAAATTAAGTTGCTCACTTTTAGTGTTTTTGCACTTAAAGCAATTTTTATGTATTGAAAGTGAAACAAATGGAGATGATTGTTTTTTTGCTCACTTTTAGTGTTTTTAAATTTGTGTCTATCTTTTTAATAAAAACATTCTCTAATTATTGTTAAATAATTATAAAATAATATTGGTTGGTTTCGATATCTTTTTTTCCTTCAATTCTTGTACTTAATGTTGTTTTGAATTATCTCTAAAATTAAATTAAATATTTATAATATGGAAGAATCTCTATTACATTGTTATCATGAAATGATACCGGTAGGCTCTTTTCTTGAATCTCCACTTCTGTTAAAAGAGGAATAAAAATTTACAGATGTTAGAATTATTGAAAAACCAGAAGAAGAAAATTGTAAAATCCAAGCAAATAGAATATAGCGTATATTTGATAATCAACATAAATTAAACAAACCAAAATAAAGCTATAAAGTTGAACTAGAATTATCAATAATTTTATTGAGAGAAATAAAAATTCATCGATAATTAGAATTTATGATGCTGCTTTCCATTTTCATTGATGCTTTAATCAGACTTAATTCTTATATATATTTATTTCTTCTATTAGCTGAAAAAGACAGCGATGGTAGGATTCTATTATATTACTTAATATTAATACCAAGGTTTTACTTTTTTCTAAGTTTAATTAGAATGTTATTTAGAAAATTACATTTATACAGAAATCAACCAATTTTGATGATAATTGTATTATTTAGATAAAATTTTACTAATAAAAATATAATCGAAGAAGCATCAAAAGAATGGTATGATTGGCGAAATGAATCATCTCAATTCAATATTAAATAGCTTTTGATCTATTTATTAACTCCTAATGAATTATCTTACTTTTAATTAAAATCCCTAAAAAATGGACTTAAAACATATATTGTTACTAGCTTTATACTTAAAACAATTGAGATAGTCATGTTCACTCCAGTTATCTTAATACTATTAAATTTTAATGAAAAAATTATAAACAAACAATTTTTAATTTCAAATGGATATTAACAATTTACTCTCGTTTTAATATACATTGATGGAATTAAATACATTTTTTTTAGTATTTTTTACTTAACTAAAAGAAACTATTAGATTAATAAATATTGAAGTAGATAAAATTCTAATATCTATAAAAGATATACTTATAATGTTGTAAAATTTATATTTAAATATATAAAAATAAATATATTAAATACTAATATTATTAATTTCTTTAAGTATTCTTAATTCTATAATTTTATTAAGTATTCTTAATTCTATAATTTCAATTGTTTTCAGATATTAATCTTATAATTTTAATACTTTAAACTTTTATAATACAAGATGTCATCTATAATAAATTATAATGATAATTATTTTATCATAATTTATCAAAATTCCTTTTCATGATATAATTCATAAAATTAGAAAGAAAAATTGAATTAATATTTATTTTATTCAAATTAATGAGCTTTTAAGTATCAATAATAATATGCCATAGACAACTGATTCAAAGAAAGAAGAATTTAGAAAGTATTTAGAAAAGGCAGGAGTGATTGATTAATTGACAAGAGTTTTAGTTGGATTATATGAAGAACCTGAAAAACCAAATAATGCCATAGAGTAAATTCTAAATTAATTTAGTTATGTAAAAAAGTATTTAGGATCTCCAGTTGATATTGATGTGGATAAATTAAAATTAGAATATGAAAAAATGAAAGATGAAAATATTAGATTAAAAAGAGAAATAGCTGAATTAAAAAAAGAAGTAATTAAGGATATCTATACATATAGTTATAAGCTGCCTTATAAGAATAAAATTGATGAATTATATACAATATTTAATCATTTTCTAATCAGTTTCTTTTCTATATTTTAATTATAAAAATCCAAATATATTATTATATATATTGATAAAAAGAATGAAAATTTATTTTTGATAAGTTAACCTAAATATTCATTTTAAAAGTGGACCAACAATAGGTTTGTAATCATACAGTAACTTAATTTCTCCATCAAAAATACCACATTGTTCAAGAGTCTTTTTTGGATCCAATACCTATAATAAAATGGAGTTTTAACATCTTCAGGACTAAATCTATCACGGCATACTGATATTCCAGAAATAGCACCTTAATGCATTTTAGAAATTTCTTCATGGATTTATTCTACTCTTGTTGATATTTGCACCTTTTATAAAAATATTTGAAATACTCTAATTTTTAATGTGAAAAGATCGGTTACAGGATGTACCAATTTTATTATTAAGTCCACTTTTGGAGTAACAATATCTGGATTCTCATACTAAGGAATATTGAATATAGAAGGTAAATATTCTTCCTTCTTTTTTGACTTTTTTGACTTTTTAGATTTTTTCTTTTTAGGTGGCATTGTTAATTAAAATTATAAAAAATATTATAGAAATTACAAATTATATAATTTATTTATTTTTAAGTTTATTGATCAAACATCATAACATATTTCTTCTCCATCATCATGTATCATTTTAGGTTTAATATATTTATGAATTTCTATTTTAGAATCTATTCTTTAATTACTATCTAAAATAGTTTGTTCTGATATTTTTTATTTCAATTCTTCACTTAATTATTTATTGATTAAATCTTCTTTTAATTGAAAGGCAATTTAGATTTCATGATACTTTTTGAATATTAATTCTAATGTAGGACCAAGCATTTAAGTAAGACGATAATTTACTTCATTACTATTTTCTTTTAATTTTAGATAAGAATCATAAATTTTTAAGAATTTTTTAGATGTATTAAATCTTATTCTTTTATTGATCATTCTATCTCTCTTCTATTTATTAGTTTAAGTTATTAAATTATTAGGTCTAGATTAATCTTCAGTGACAATCTAATAATTTTTTCCAATAAAAACGACAGGTTTTGGAGTATAATTAAAAACAGAAACTTAATTTTAATCAAGTAATGTTTATTTTAATTTATCAATTTATTGAATTTTACTTAATATAGTAATTATATCTAAATCTTTTTTAATCATTTAATCACATTAAATCAAAAGCTATCTTTTCATCCAAATTTTTTTAAAACAAGAACAAGAGAATACTAAAGAAACATAAAATTTTAAATCCAATCTCAATTATTTTTTTGTATCTAAAATTTTTTATACTAAATCATAAATGAAATTCTCTTTATACTCTATTAATTTTTAAGTATATTAATGAATATCATCCTAAGTAATTTTTTATTCAGCTACTTCATCTTATTCTAACAATTATTCTTATTTTTATAATTTTTAATTTGATGAAATGCTACTCCACATTCTAGTAATATGACTTAATTTAACGACTTAAAATGTATAAGTCTTAAGTTTTGCAAGCAGCTCATCTACTCTATTTATCTTATATTAAATAAAATTCAATAATCGATCATATGAAAAATATAACTTACCATCATTTTAATAAGGCACATTAAAATCATAAAGAATATTTGCCAAAGATATTCTCATTGATAATAAATTATACTTAATAGCAAATAATCCAAATATTGCAGTAAAGAACTTCAATATTCCTCCTATATATGAAATAAATTAATCTAATCTATATGCAGTTTTAGTAGTAATTTAATGCTATTAACTTATTCTTAAATTTATTTCAAATAAAGAAGATGTTTTTACAATTTATTTCTAAAAAATAATAAATATTTTCAATACATTAAATTATCGATTATCATTTAGAGAAAAGGACCAATATTCCATTTCTTTTGAATCAGTCATCAAACTAAATAAATTTTCATCTATCTAAGCCTTATTGTTTTAAAAAAATAAGTCTGCATATAAAGATTATTATAAATTTGACGAAAGGTAAAAGTCAGAATTTATGTACTAATATAAATTATTATCTGTAGAATTAGAAAGAAACAAGGATGATTTAATAAGAGAAGACAGAGTAATTGTTGTATTTTCATTTAATTATGCTTCTTCAATCTCTTTGTCAGAATAACAGTTTTCTTCATTTCTACACATTTAAATTAACAATTTAGGATATAATAATGTTTCGCTGTTATAACCTCCTTGTAACTATAGCTCAAAACTTAAAGGCAAACATAAATAAAATTAAAGCTGTTTTTATAGATAGGGATTAGATTTAAAATCGATATCACTAAAGTGCTCATTAGTACATTATTCTAATTTAAATTAACTTAATGATTCTTTAATTTTTGAACCATCATCTTATGTTTATTAGATATACTAATGCATTCTTATTGAAAAGCGAGTTTTTTTTTTATTTTAATAAAATTTTTAAAGAGGATCTTCTATCCTTATTGCTAGCATAAAATTTTAAATGTTCATAGTACTGTGTTTAGGATTCGCATTCTATAATGTTTGTACCTTAATCTAAAAAATCATATATTTATAAATACTGTATAATCAGTCTTTGTAACAATATTTATGAGTCTGTTGATAAAAATGAAACTTAACAATAGTATCATAACTATTGATGATACTCCACCAAATGCTGTTTTAAATTTGTCTTTTTACTACATATTTAAGTTAAGCTCTACTCCAAAGAGATCGAATTATTTTATTGCTTACTTTATTTTCATATACATAGTTTAAATTCCTTTCTGTTTAAAAAATTAATAATTAAAACTCATTGGATAAATTTTTAGACACTTAAAATCCAATTTTTGGAATTTCCAAAACTTTTAAATAAATATTGCTTAACAAATTTCATGTTTATAAATATTTAGCTAATAAAAATTTAAAAGGCGACTTAACATACTAGTACATTTATAGTAAAGGAAACATATAAAAATTTTATAATAAATATTATTGAGATTAAAATAATTCTGAACATGTTAGGTATATTAAATTTTAAATTATCAATATGCCCTTTATATATAAATAAAATTATTATATTGTAATAGTTAAGTATAAACAAAATTAGAAAACATTAAAAATGGCTTTTTTTTTAAATTATTTATTTTTCAGATGCAATAGCAGCATAAGATTAAAATAATGTAAAAATATGCTACTTAAATTCTTGAAATCGGTTCTTAATAAGTAGCATTTTAAATAATAATCAATTTTAATTTTCTTAAATCATTAAATTTGATGAGATATTAAGTTGAAAAATGTATTTAAGCAAAAGAATAAGAAAAGTTAAAATTTTTTAAATTGATTATTTAAAATGAATTTTTTTTATATTAAATTAAATTTAAAATAAGGAAATGAAAAAAAGAAATCAGAAAATATGTAAAAATTTTAAACTATCATTGAGGTGATTTAAATATTTCCTCTAAAATTCAATGTGCGAAATTTGGAATAAATTCTAAGAAAATTTTTGCAAGTGGAGATGATAAAAATTGTGTTCAAATTTGGCAAACAGGAGAATCGAAACCTATTGCTGTATTAAAATGATAGAAAGCTAGACATTAAATTCTTAAAATAATTCTAATTCTTAAGTTGAAGTTGCCAGTATCTGCTTTAGTTTTTGTGAAGAAGAAATATTTTCAGGATCAAATAGAGGAATTATAAATGTATGGGATGTAGAAAACAAAAGATGTATTCGTACAAGTTAAATAAAGTACTTCAAACACTCAAAGGACATTCTGCTTGCGTGAATGCTCTATGCATATATCCATCAAATGAATTTAAAAATTTATTATTAAGTGGAGCATATGATACATCAATTAAATAATGGGATTTGAGATCTAAAACTGCAGTAAATTAGTTTAAAGGACATACTATGTAAATCAATGCATTAGCTGTTTCACCTGATTCTAAATTATTAGCATCTGGTTCTAATGATGGATAAGTGAAAATTTGGGATATAGCATAAGGAAAATTAATAACATCTTTTTTACAGCATGACAGTGCGATTACATGTTTAACATTTAATCCATAATAAAAATTATTAGCTTCTGGAGGTGCAGATCGTTGTATTAGAATTTGGGATTTAGATCGACTTAATTAAGTAATAGAATATACATATTACAGATATCTATGACTAGAACAGATTCTACTCCTATTTAAAATATTCTTATAAATGAAAACGGTAAATTATTATTTTCAGCAACACATGAATCTTTGAAAGTATGGGACCTTGATCATGATTGTTAATTATTAGATAATGTAGAAAGTATGTGGAAAGGAGTTTAAGATATGATTATTATACAAGATTAAGAGTAATTGTTTGGATTAGCTTCCAATCCTTAAACAGGTTTCACTTTACATAATGTTTCTTTAAAATCCATCTGTTTGGATAATAAAATTAATGAATAAAAATAAACTGCTAATAACAATTCTAAATAAAGAGGAAGAACTCCTGATAGAAGACAAGAAATCTAAACAATAACACCTAAAGTCTAAGAGTAAGAAAATAAGTTAAAAAGCAAACCATCTTAATAAATACAAGGACAAAATTTAATAGTAAATTAAAATAATTAATGTGATAAATAAAAATAAAATGAAATCACTAAGGATTATTAATCTTGTTAACCATAACCAATGTTTCCACCTATTCAACCTCAAATTAATAATACACCATTTATTAATAATCCTCATAGTAATAATAATTAAAATGGATATTTTTTATAATAAGTTGAATAATAATAATAATAGTAGTAGTAATAATTACTATATTAATATTAAATTGTTTTACCTAATTAGTAAAATTAATAATTAAATTTACATACTTTATAACAATAAAATTAGGAATTTTTAGTAAATAATTAACATTAATAAAAAAATAAATAAGAATTTTAAGCTATCTAATAAATGCCTTAAATTGTTAAATAAGTCAATTTCATTGAGGAAGAAAACTTTGAAGAGGATGTAGATATCATGAAAACTAGTGAATTAACATTATCTTAGTTTATGTTAGGCGATCAAAATAAGGAGAAATTTAAATAAGTAGATCTAATTCATGAAATTACTAAAGATCATAATCGAATTAATTAAATATTATCATAAAGAATGAAATTTATGAAACCAATAATTTGTTGGTGGACTAATAATAATATTAAATCAGCTGTCAATGCTATAAATTAGTAAAATTAGTTATAAATTTAGAGTAACAGATCCTTAAAATTTGTAAGATGTAATTTCTTTGTGTTCATAATAACCTAAGTTTACATAAATCCCAATAGATAATTTTCCAATGTTATTGGAAAAAGCTAGATTATTAATTGAATCTAGATTTGCATTTCATATCAAAACTGGTTTAGATTTTGCTTATAAATCTCTTTGTTAATTTAGAGAAGTATGATTTAAACAAATTTTATAGGAAATACTGAATATTAAACTTTTCAATTAATTATCCAAAGCAGATTTAGCAAGAGAAGAAAGAATATAAAAATATGATAGAATTATAGAATAGCTAAAAATTATAGCATAAATGCCTAAAATGCAAAAATTACTTGAAAGAAATAAAGATGAGTTAACAGAAATGGCTAAAAAATTGTAATTAGAAGTTTTTGAAATGATGAAGAAAATTAATCAACATATTTGATAGTGTTGAAGGCAATTTTATTTCTATTTTATATATATAATATTTAAGTCGTTAATGAATAATTTAAAATCCAAAATTTCTTCATCATAAGACAAACCATAAAAATATCCTAATACAGATGTTTTAACTATACCTATGCAACATATAAGAATAGACATGATTAATAATAAAAATAAAATCGATTCACAATAATCTTCTAAAAAATTAGAAATACTAAGATAAAGTCATTAAAGTAGTACAAGTAATTTAAGACTTGATAATTCTCAAAATAGATCAAGTGAAAATTTAATGAAAAAAACACCTACTAAAACTTAAATTTCCTCTTCAATTGAAAAAGTTCCTCTCTCTTCTTAACATAATCTATCTTTGAGTCCTCATTCATATGCTTAAGTTAAACCATAATAAAAATAATTAGATGAATAATTAAGTATCATCAGTTTCTACCCTTAGTAATCTAATACAAAAATTGATAAAAAGAGAGAATAAATAAATTTGCAATTAAAAGAAACATAGGAATTATTAATATTTAAAGAATAAGAAAATTAAAAATTATAAGAAATTAATAATAAATTATGCTTAGAAAATTAAAAGTTATTTAAATAAAGTGACAGTTTATTTAAAGATATTGAGATTATGAGATAAAATTTTGATCAATAAAATAATGAATATATGATGTTAAAGCAGCAAAATTAATAATTAATAGAAGATGTAAAACTTATTTAAAATGAAAGAAATTAAACATAATCCCATAGTGATTAGATTTTAAATCTTAAAAATTATGAAATTTAATAACTTTAAAATGAACTTAGAGAATATAAATAGTTGCTTTAAAATAAGGATTAAGCAATATCTAATTTAAAATAATAACTTGAGATAATAGAATAATAGGAAATTATTAGAAGGAATCTAACGTAATAATAATCATATGTCTATAACTAAGAAAAATAGAATGAAAATAAATAAGAAGAATTTAATTCAAGAAACTCAGATATTTTATATTATCAAACTTAATTAGAATAAATTTTATCAGAAAAAGCTATATGTGAATAAAAATTGATAGAATTTTAGACATTAATTAATTCACTAGGATTAAATGAAAAAAAAGAAAATACTACTTCCAACACTATTTTATAAAAATAATATAATAAATTAAAATAATTAATTCAAATTTAAAAAAAATAAATTGAATCTTAATAATAAACAATTATGAATCAACATTATGAAATATAAAATTTATAAAATTTACTTTATTCTACTGAGTAGGATAGTTAATCCTTGAAAAATAGTAATGAAAAATTTTTGATTTAATAATTAGACATGTAATTATAGTTAAATGATTAAATAGTTGTGATATTAGATAAAAAGAAAACAACATTCGAGGATATATGAATAATTAAGGATTACCTATTTTATTTCAATAACAAAAAAGTCCAAATGTTGTTGTTGAAGATACTTTTAGAAATATGTAAAAAGAATTAGTACTTTTTGATTCTGTTAATGATTTATGATATATAATATAACATAATTTTATATCTAATAATAGTGTTAAAAGGTATAATAAAAATAAAATAGATGAATCAGAGCATTTTCCAACTATTTTTGCCTTAAAAAGTCGACGATACATTTTATAATGAATTAGAGGAATCCTAATCTTTAGATATACCAGGGGAAGAATTCCTAACTTTTTATCTTACATTTGTTGAGTTATTTGGTTTATTTTTGGTTTCATCTAAAAATAAATTAATATAATTATACTTTTTATGGCTGGTGAAAAAGTTCTTGTATTTACTGTAGATGGTTTTTAGACCATAGTAAAACTAGTTGATGAAACATTATCTTTAGCTTTACTAATAATAAAATTATAAAACATACACTTATTTTTAAGACTAAGTTTTTTCTGTCAATTCTTATAAAACTCTTATAGGTTAATTTTTAACAAACTAAGCTTAGCTTTTTGTTAAATTTTATGGAGATATAAGTTTTTTAAATTGATTTAAATCAGTAACTACTCCTTTAGTTGATTATTTTTAATCAGTTTCGATTGCAGAATTACTATTATTATTAAAACTACTATTATTTTAAACCTGATTGGCACTTTAATTTAGATATTTATCTTAAAACGAATTATTTGGTTTCTATTGATTTCTTAATGTGGATGCAGCTTATCTTCTACATTAAACATTTCTTAAATAAATCTAAGAACTGGATTAAGGTAAAGGAGGACCCTATTAAGTTACTTTTTTGACAGGATCTTTTTAAAATGGAGACAAACTATCTTTTTTTGTTTAATTAACCCCTCTAAAACCATCTTTTACTTCAGCACTATTAGGTCTATTTTTTTAATCTGTATTATCTTAATTTTTGGTTAAGGAAGTACTTCTTTCTTAAACTTTAACTAAATTTAATCCAGAAGGATTGGCAATTGAAACATCATTTATTTATGCATTTTATTTCTAAATACATGATTATGATTATGATTATTTAATTTAGTTCTTTTATTATAATTATTAAAATTTCTGATAACTAGATTGTAATTAAGATATTGATTAAGTTAGTGTTTTTTATATTTCAGAATGTTTTGTAGAATTCATTTACTAAATTAAGGTTGGACTAATTAATTACTCTAATTTACTTTTTTGTTGAGCATTATTTTATGAAACAGATAATAATGTTTACTATTATTAAACAGACTATAATGTTTATTATTATTATTAAGTAGTATTTGATTATGTTGTTAATTATGTAGTTTAAGATTGTAATGATTATTTATCCATATTTAAAATAGTCTCTTATTATTTATTGAAATAATTTAAAGATTATTAAACTTAGTTTTTAAATTCTTAGAAATTGGTTAAAATAGATGGTTAATTATCTTTTTATTTAACAGAGCTAGGTCTATTGTTATTATTGGTGTCGATTTAATTTTTTTTTTCATCATTTTATTACAAAGAATTACTTCTAATTCCAGAATTAAGATTAGTAGATGCTTAAAATTAAACTAAGTTTGCTGCAATTTAAGACATAGGTAAATTGTTTTGATTTTCAATTTAAGTCTTAATTAAATTATTATTTTTTTTAATAGGTAATTCTTATTATTATTAAGGGGTTTTGGTTTTCATAGCACACATTAATAGATTTTAAAAGGATGGATTATTAGTAAGATTAGCTGATGTAATATTAGAATTTAATTAAAGATCACTTTAATCTTATTATTAAGATTTACTACTGGCAGATCTTACTTAAGGTGCATTTTGAGAACTTTTAGTAAAATTTGATTAAATTTATGGTTGTTTAGGAGGTTATATTAAAGATTAATTCTTTTATGCTCCCTAATTAAAGATTAAGATTTACTTTTAGAATAGGTGGTATTAATGGATCAACTTTTAAATTAATATCAGAAACAGGAACAAAATCAGGAGAACCGGAATAAACAACAGTGGCTAAAGAAATATTTTCTTTATTGATTTAATCTTTCCATTTTAACTTTTAATTTGTAACTTTTGATAACACACCCTTAAAAGAATGAATTAAATATTTTACTTATTTAGCTTGTAAATTTGTATATATTTCATCAACAGGTCCATTATGTGAATTTAAGAAGGTATTTCTAATAATTAATTCATCTTGCATTTATAAAGGGTTTTAATCATCAGAAGTTAATTCATTCCAAGAAGCTGTTCTTTTTGGTCCTTATTTAGTCATTCTACTTTCTAAAGCATTTAATTAATAAAAGAAAGATGCTCTAATTTCTAGATCTGGTCTTCTTGAATTTAGATATTCAAGAGTTTTATACAGTGTCCATGAATATCTATTAAATTTAAATATTTTAACGAACTTTTTCATAAAATATGCTGCAAGTACACAACAAGCTCTACTCTACCCTCTAACTGAATGGACTAAGCAACTCTCTCCTTATTGAAAACATTCTTCTATGAATGTAAATATTTTATTAACATTTTCATTTCTTTCATCAAATAAAACCTAAATATATTATTTTTAATCAATACTTCATTATCTTACTCCAACCAATTAAAAGTTAAATACTTTGCTCCCATTAATGTCCATTTATTTTGTACTTCCGTTCCAGCACAATTTATTATATGAGTAACTTTATTTGTCATTATGAATTCACGATCCTTTATTGAATCAAATACCAAACCTAAGATGCATATTCATCTCCAATAAACAAGCCATCTTTTATTTTTATTGCTCCTACTATTTGGTTCTATGCCATATTAAATAATTTAAATTAATATATTATTAAACTTAACTCTTCATTTAGACATCAACCAAATTATTTTACATTTCTTTTTCTATTCAATATTCTAAATTTTATACAATTACTTATATTTTATATTATAAATTCTACTCTTAATTTTAAAAATTCTACTCTTTCAATTCATAATTAACATTTATCTCTTTTTTTATCAATAAATATAATCAAATATAGATCTCATTAAATATAACTAGAAACAGCTAAAACATATTCTTATAGAAATATTATTATCATTATTATTGTTTAAATTAAAATTTATTAAATATTTTGAGATGCTCAATAAAACAAGTTCTTTTGATTAATAAACATTTAATTATGGAGTTGCCTAAGAAAATAAACTCTATATTTAAAGTATAAAAATGAAAGATGATGAATCAGAATGGTTATAAGGAAACAATTGTATAATCTGTGAATTACCTTTTTCTAAATGTGGAAAAGCACATCATTGGTATTTATCTGTTAAATTTTAAAGTAGAGTTTGTGGAAACCCTGTATGTAAGACTTGTTCTAATAAACTAATAAATGATAAAAGATCATGTGATTTATGTTTTAAAAGAATTTAAATGGTAGATTAAGAAAAGTTAAAGAAATAATAAATAAAAACGAAGAAGGAAGCTATAAAAGAATTAAAGATTTAAATTTAAAAACAATAAGAAAAAAATGATTCAATGAAAGAATAAATAAAGGAACTCTAAAACTAATTTGAAAGATAAGAGTCTGAACATATATCTCAAGAAAGAAGTTTATAAGATTAATTTGATTAGAAAATTAATACAATTAGATAATAGATAGAGAATAATAAAAGACTGGAATAAAATATATAAGGAGAATAAACATAATTAGAAAAACTAGAATATGAAATTTCTGATTTCAGTAATTAGATTGAGAAAAAAAGATTTACAATAAAATTAGGAAAAGAATAAAACGTAAAATAAAATGAGAATCTTTAAAAATAAGAGAAGAATTAATAGGATCTGTAATTAAATGTAATTATATGTATTAATAGTTAGTATGATAAAAAAAAATAGGAATTAATAGAGTAATAAGAAAAATAAGTAAAACCTGAAAGTCAAATATCAACAAATTAATCAAAATAAGAAGATTTAGAAGATAAGAGTACATAATTTAAAAACAAGAAAGAAAAACATAAAGAAAATTGTATTATATATTGATTCAATAAATAATAATTAAAATGATTGTAAAATTTCACAAAAAAACAGAAAGAATAAAAGGATTATCATTTCATCCAAAATAGCCATGGCTTTTAGTTGGTCTTCATTCAGGTGAAATTTAAATGATTGATTACAGATATGGAAGAGTATTAAATAAATTAATGTAATAAAGACAATAAATGAATTCTTTGAACATGAAGGACCTGTGAGATCAGTTTAATTCCATTAATCTTTATGTTTATTTGTATCAGGTAGTGATGATTTTACTGTAAGAGTATGGAATTATAAAACTAAAAAATGTTAATTTGTATTGCGTGGTCATTTAGATTTTGTAAGATGTGTAAATTTTCACTCAGAATTACCATGGTGTGTATCAGGATCTGATGATTCAACATCAAGAATTTGGAATTATTAATCTAGATAGATGATAGCTATAGTTACAGGACATAGTCATTATGTAATGCATTGTGAATTTCATCCATCTAAAGATTTTATGATTACATGTTCATTAGATTAAACTATTAGATTGTGGTCAATAACTTAACTTAAAAAGAAATTTACATCAAAAAATGTAATCATATACATTTTAATATTATAAAGATATAATTAGGAGAATCAACTAATGAATTAGAATTAGTTTAAATATTAGAAGGACATAATTAAGGTGTAAATTGGTGTTCATTTAATCCAAAAGAAAATACTATATTATCTGCTTCTGATGATAGAAAAATTAAAATTTGGAAATTCACTGACACAAGAGTTTATGAATTAGATTCTTATAATGGACATACAGTATTTTTTAATTTAATCTTTTTAGAATAATGTTAGTAGTGTTATGTTTCATCCTTTTGGAGATTATTCTTATTTCATATCTAATTCAGAAGATAAAACATTAAGATTATGGGATATAAAGAAAAAAATTGAAGTTGATTGTTTTACTAATTATGAATTAGATAGATTTTGGGTATGTGCTGTTCATTAATCAAATAATTATTTTGCTGGAGGTAGTGATTCTGCCTTATATATATTTACATTATTTAAAAATAGGCCTGCTTTTCATTTAGTTTATAATAATATCTTATATTTAGGAACTAGAAAATTTATTAAAATTATAGATTTATAAAATGGATCTGATAAAATCATTAAAAATCTATAAGAATTATCATGTGTTAATGATAATTTACTTTAAGATAATGTTGAATCAATTCTATATAATATTTATGATAATTAGAAGCCTCAATTAATTGCTAAATTAAAAAATCATTCTCATAATAAATCAAAAGGAGTTTCTAAATTTTTAGTTTTTGATTAATAAACTAATAAATCAAAATTCTTTTTAGCTAAATCAGCTATTTTTATAGGAAAATATAAGATTCTCAAATCAAAAGAAAATTCTGAAATGGAAATATTTAATTTTGAAACTGATTCTCAAATTCCTTTAGATCATAAAGCAGATAGACTTTTTACTTTTGTTGGTGGAAAAGTAATCTATTATTAAGATTTAATGATAAATATTTTTGATCCAATCTAAAAAAAAATTATAAATTAAGTTTCTTGTACAACAGAATTTTAAAATATAAAATAGATAAAAATAAATGAATATTGTATTTTAATTCAATCTAAAAAAGGAATTTATTTATTTACAAAAGATTTATAACCAATAACACATATTCTAGAAAAAATAAACATTAAATCAATTTTATTTTTAAGTGATGAAATTAATATTGTACTATATTCAACAAAAGTACATGTGAAATATCTTTTATTGAATGGAGATAATGGAATCATTTGTAGTATGGAAACTGTACCTTATTTAATTTCATTATAACCTATTCCAGAGTAATCAGGTTTTTAGTATAAATTACATTATATGGATAATATGGAAAAATTATAAAATATCAATATGGATTTTTCAGAAATATTTTTCAAATATGCATTAATTGAAAAAAATCTTCCTTTTGTTTAGAATTTTATAAAAAATCATTAAAAATTAGGTGATTTAATTATTGCTTATTTATACTAAAAAGGATATTCAATACTAGCTCTTTAATTAGTAAATGATAAAAGAGCAAAATTTTAATTGGCTCTCTGTTCAAATAATTTAGAAATGGCATATAGAACATGTGAAGATTTAAAGAATCCAAAATGTTACTAATTGTTAATGGATGAAGCAATGAGATAAGGAAATCATAATATTTATGAGGTTTGTTCATCAAAATTAAGAGCATCTGATAAATTGGCATTTCTTTATACAATAACTGGTTAATAAGAAAAACTTAATATAATAAGTAATATAGCAAAAGAATAAAAAAATATAGATTTAAGATTTAATACATTATTATAAACAGAAAGCTTAAATTAAAGAATTTCATTTTTAAAAAGCTGTAATTTGGATAAATTAGCTAATCTTAGTGAATTAGCTCATGGATTAAATGTTTAAACAAATAAAAATTGCTCTGAAGATATTGAATGGTTATAATCTTTAAAACCGGAAGTAATCATAACTCCTCTTCCAATAATAAGATCAAATCAAAATGCTTTATTTTCAATTAATTGGCCTCATAATTTTGTAGATGAAGTTGAATAATTCTAATTATCGGGTGATAATATAAAATTTGAAAAATTAAAGGAAGTGGATATTAACAATGCAATTAAAATTAATCATTCAGATATCTTAGAAACAAATAAATAAATTAAACAAACACAAAGTTAAAATGTTGATTAAGCAGATGATCAAAATGAATAATTTGAAGACTGTTAATGGGATTTAGATGAAGTAGAACTATTAGCAAATAATGAATAAAGTTAAAAAAATTTGGATTTAAAATCGTTAAAATTTGGATACCCAGATTATAAAAAAGGTATAAGATTTATTTTTATCATAAGCATTATAGCCAGTTGAATATTTAGTTACAGAATAGTATTAACAATGTTTTTAAATTCTTTAATAAAATTATAATTTTGTAAGCTTTACAACTTGTAAAGATTATTTAAAATAGATAACTTTGAGATCTATTCTAGATGTACCTTAAATTCCATTTTTATGCCCTTCTCCATTAATTGTTTAATCATAATAAGATAAAATCTTTATTAATAAATCATTTACAGAATAACTTAAATTAGGATATAGATAAACAAGTGATGGTAAATTCCAAGATTCTTTGAATACATTTAAAACTATTTTAAGATAAGCAATATTTTAGAATTAATATAATGATATTGTTCCTATTTGTTTAAATTATATCATGGCAATGAAATGTGAATTAGCAAAAAAAGATTAAGAAATCTCTAGATAAATAGAATTGGCATGTTATATGTCAATGTGTGATTTATAACCAGCTCATCGTTCTTTAACTTTAAGAGCTGCTATGAGTTTATCATATAAAAATAAGAATTACATAACAGGATCTCAATTGGCTTAACAATTAATTAAATTATTGGAATAAGCTCCAAAAGATGCATCTTATGCTAAACCGACAGTATTTGAAAATGTTAAAAAAGTAATATATTTTATCTATCAAGATATTTAATAATTGTCAATAGTATTAGACCAATGAATATTAAATTAACTTTTAACCATTTTATTTAAATGAAGGAGCTAAAAATTTATGTGCAGATACACTCACTTATAATAATGATATAAAATAGATATATTTTTGTTCATATGATAAGAGTAGACATTTATCAAATGGAATTTTGTGCCAAGTCTGTGAATTGTGTAATATCAATTGAGTTTGTTGAATAATTTAAATTTTTTAATTTGTTATAAATTAATCTTGAATTCAAAAGAGTAGAAAGATATACAAAAATATAAATAGGTTACTCAAAAAAATACTATAACAGAATTTCATTAAAATTCTATGACAAAAAATGTTAGTTCTTGGAATTACTTATTTTCAATCTTTAGAAAAAAAAATTATATCTAATTTCTTAAGAAGACTTAATAATTTCTCTTAAAATTTGAAAATTTGAAGTTAATCTATATGTAGAATTTGGATCTTTTGGTTTAAGAATTAATGCAAATTACATAAAATATTATAATAACAGAGCCTGCTAAAAAATATTCAATTAAAATAGATGGATATTGCTTAAGATTTAGAGTAAAATCCTCGATAAACAATTAATTTATATAATATCTATCAAATCTAATTTTATAGAATATCATAGATTTTATTTATTTTATTAAAAAAATCTCTATACATAATCCTAACTTTAATTAACTATAATATCAGTCAGAAAATGAACTGCTATCAGATTTCTCAAATCGTGTCTATTTTATATTTTTATTTGTATCATAGATTCTAGTCTTATAAGATCTTTATTGTTTTATTTAAGCTAATTAATTAATTCTAGCATCCAAATCATCATGTTATTAAACTAAAATTTTATTCTTACCCTTTAAGTCTCTGTTTTATTTTTATAACTGATCAATCATATCAAGATATTAACCTTGTTCTTTTTTATGATTCTATAACTATGATTTCAGAATACTATTTTCTTCTCTTAATTTCAATAATTCTTTTGTGATTTTTTCAATTTTAGATTCCAAAATATCCATATCTTTATTTTAAGCGTCTGTTAATTAATGTTGCTAATTTGTTAGTCTATCAAATTAAGTTTTGTATTTTTCTGCCTCTTCTTTTAAATATGTATTTGATCTTTATTCAATATGTAGTAGTCGTACTTTTTCATTTAATTCTTCTTCTAAATTTTTTATTTCTGAACTCATCTTTTTTAATTCCTCATTATTTAAAATTGACTATTATTATTCATTAACACATTAACTACTAAGTTCTTTTATTTACTTACTCATTTTTTCAAATTACTATTGATAATCTGCAATCTCTTATTCTAATCTTTTACTAAAAATATCATTTTTATTTATTACTTAGAATCTTCTATTTATGGCATTAGCCTACTTGATTTCTCATTTTTCATTCTATATTAATCATTTTCTTATAGTAATTGTCGATTCTCTTTTTTGATTCTATCATTTTCTAAACTTAATATTTTTAACTTAGATTCTAATTCACTGACTTTTTCTCTAATATCTGTACTTTTCTTTTTTTATCTATTTACATCTACAATTTGTTCTTCCAATTATTATTACAATTAATAATTCAACTACTTTTTCAATTTTTATATTCTCTTCTATTATTTTGAAATTATTTCTTCTTATGAGATTATTTTATTTTCTAATAAAACTATTTATGATTTCAAAGTTCCTGTTTCTTTTTTAAAAGTATCAATTTCCTCATTTAATTAACCACTTACTTTTTCTAAAGTATTATTTCCATTATATTGCAATTTGATTTTAGTTTTTTCATTTAACATAGATGTTAATTTATCTATTTATATTTAAAGTTTCTAATTGTTTTATCTTTCAGCATGTCTAAATCAATTAATATTCATACACATTTTCTCTATAAAATTCACATTTTCTTTCAAGATCTCTCTATTCATTTAACCAAACCTTTCGATCTTCCTACCATTTATCTTATAACTCAATCATTTCCTCCTTCATTTGAGTTATTTGTTTATTTTTTTTCAGAATTTTGAATTGTAATTAATTTGTTTTATCTTCTTAGGATTCATCTTATATGAGAATTTTATTAGATTCACTTTTATCAAGCTATTTTTTATCATTTAAAAATTCTCTAATCTTGTTCAAAGAATTTTCATTAATTGTAGTTATTTACATCTTAAATTTAATGTTAAGAGTTATTTATTAAAACAGAAACAATAATTTGAAAAATTAAGTTTGAATTGCTTGATATAAAAGTGTTTTACTAAATAGTATTAAATCTTTTTTTGTAAATATGAATCATAAGGATTTTAAATTTTTGTGTAAATTGAAGTTATATATATATATTTAAATTATTGTATAAGAAATTTATTGTATTGATAATATAAATATTTTTAATGTAAAAAAACGTTGCTAAAATAGTGTCTTTGAATTTCAAAAATATATTTATGGGTGGTTTTGTAAATTCAAAAATTTAAAAGGTAAAAACAGAAGAGCACTTTTTTTCAGAGTATGACAAGACATTTTTGATGTCTGATTATATATAAAAGTGTATTAAATAGGAATAACTTATAATTCCAGTTGATTTTTTTAAAGAAAGTAGATTTGATGATTTTGCTGAAGATCACTTTGATTTTGGAATAATAAAGAATGAATGATGATTTAGGACTGAAACATTTAAAAAATTTTCAATATTGTTTATTATATGTTGATATACTGTATCATTAACTTGTCTTCTTAAGTTCTTCCAATTCCAAAGCCTTCTTCAAAGCCTCTTATTAATGTCTTGATTTGATTCCTACTTATCCACCTCCAATAGTTCTCAATAATTCATGGTTTTCATTGTAATGTTATCTTAAATCACGAGCCTTTTATTAATTTTATTTTATACTAAGTTATCAAATTCAGCTTAATCTTCCTTTCTTACATCTGTTAAAGCAACACAAGTAGCTGTTTTTTAATGAACCAAAGCACCTAATCTAGCCTTATCTATATTATAAATATATTTAAATACTTTTAACAAAGGCAAATGGGACTTCTTGACGTCTGCACAATTGTGGAAGCCATACTACTAATTCAATTGGATCAACATCATAAGCAATCAAAACTAATTTAGCTTTTTTAGTTTCAACTAATGTTGTAATATGATTCAATCCGAATTTAAGGACAGTCACTTTCTTACTATCTGTCTTTTAATTTTAAGCCTTTGATTCAGCAGCTTTGACTAATCTTTATTTCTTTTCTGTTTAAGTTTCAGGTGCATATTTTTTCAAAAGAGCAAAGACCTTTGAGCCTTAAATTAAAATTTACAATTTACTTTGATTCTTGTCGAGTGTTTTGCTGAATTAATGAATAGCTGCTGGTACTTTGATTCTTTGCAATAAAATCTTTTTTTATCTATGTAAAAGAATATAACGAGGCCATCTGACATATCTTGATAAATCACGCTTTGGTTGGACATCATTTCCAATTCTGAAGTTTTTAGCATCTCTAACAAAGAGTGGATTCTTCTTTCTATCTGCTACTTTCTTTTAAACTTTCTTAGCTTTAGATGTCTTTGGAGCTTTTGGCTAAAGGAATAATCATAATCAAATTTACCATAGTTAATGAAAATCTTTTAATATATTTTTTGAAAATAAAAGAAAAAAATAAGTATTAATCACAAACCCATATTATTTATTCATATCCTTTAAGCATCCAAAAATATTAAAAGAGAATATTTCCATCGTTAGATTAACTTTCATAATTTAGAATTTTTAATATTAAACAATATCAATGATAGCTAAAAATAGGTAAGTATCTATTTTTAAACAAATTATACTGTTTTATTCTTGCAAATGAATTTAACCTTACCTAATTATATATTCTCAAATATAAAATCAAGAATATAATTGATTTATCAACTTTATTATGTTTAAATCGATTATTTACATTAAGAATTCCTTTAAAATTTGAGATTATAATTTTAATAATTTAATTTTTAAACACACAATTTCATAAATAACAATAAAGAGATATTAATTTAATTATTATTGATTATACTAATCTATATTAATTGGCAAATATGAGCTAATTCTAATCCTATCGATGACTTTTTTTTTTAAATTATCAGAAATTCTAATGTCATACTTATTATCTAAATTAGAAATACAATCTAAATCTCTAGATAACTTTTATTTTAAAGTAGAAACTAAATAGATTAATAAGTATCTAAATTTATAGATTTATTTAATAACTTAAATTAAAGAAAATTCATAGAAGAATCAGATATCATTTCTTCAACATTTTATTTCGGCTTTAAAATTTACATAAAATAGAAATTACTTAGATTAATTCCAAATCATTATTCTCCTTTTCATGAATGATTTAAATTTAATTTAAATATTAATTTTAATGTTGAAAATCTAATACCTAAAAGTATTCATTTTACATTAAATAAAACGTCCAAAAATTTTAAGACGTAAAGTATTAAGTTTTTTTAATCTATTAAAAAGTATAGCTAACACTTTGTCTTTATTTTGCTTACTAAAAATTTTTTTTTATAAAATATATCATTAAAATTAATAGCATTTTATTCTAAAATTATAAAAATTATAACTCTATAAAACCATTTTATTTTATCTAAGAGTGATTCAACTAATGATTATCTAACCATAAATAGCTTTATTAGTATAAATTTTAATCTTTCCAAAATTATAGTATAAAATAATAAAAGATTCAAAATACTAGAACAAAGTATGAAAGAATATTAAAATTATTTTTGAAATTGTTTTAACAAAAAGCAATAAATATAAATAGAAACTGAATTAAATAACAAAAATATTTTATTTATAAAGTTCAAAAATAATGATCCTAATGATAAAATATTTTAGGAAGATATTTTTTTCTCAAATAATACCTAAAAAGATTATAAAAAGAATTAATATCAAATTAGAGTTTTTATTATGAAAAAAAAGATTGTAATGAAAAGTTACTTTATTAATTAGATAAATTGAGAATTCTTCAATAATTTATTAAAACTTTTGTTAAGCATATTTTTGTATAGCATAAATTATAAATGATATAAAGTAAAAATGTAGAATGATTGATATTTATTAAAATGATTTAATGATTTTAATTGATCATAGAAATTAAATTTTGGATTTTAGAAGAGTCTTATCTAAAAAGTCTGATTAATACTGTATTTGGTTATATAAGAAGTACCATAATTAAAGTTTAATAAAATAAAACCTTTAATAATGAGAAAATTCTTAAAATACACTTTTGGATTGGGATTAATGGCATTTGGTTATGATGAATATAATGAAAGGTATTAGTTTTAAGTTAATAATTTAGTAAAATAATTAGAAGAAATGCAAATACTATTCGATGTGGATTGAATATTCTTTATCAATATAAAATTAGATTCAATGCTGAGAATGCAAATGATGTACATGAAACAGTGGCAAAGGATATCTACGAAACTTGTATGAGAAATGATGGATTATATGTTAAATTTGGTTAAGGTATAGCAGCTTCTGAACATTTATTACCTCCACCTTATTTTAAATGGATGAGTTTATTATAAGATAAAGCAAAAGCAGTTAGTTTTGATCGTGTTAAAAATATTTTCTAAGAAGAAACAGGAAAAAGAATAGATGAGATTTTTGATGAATTTGATGAAATTCCTATTGCATCTGCTAGTATAGCTTAGGTTCACAAAGCGAAATTAAAGAATGGAGATGTTGTTGCTGTAAAAGTATAGAAACCAAACATTAAGAAACAATTTGGTAGTGATATGCTTATGCATCATTTAATTTGTGCAGTATTATAGTTTGCATTTGATATGCCAATATTATAATTTTAAGAATCAATTCAATCTAATTTATAAAAAGAAATTGATTTTAGAATTGAATATGAGAATGCAGAAATTAGTAGAAGAGCATTATAAATAATTGGAAGAAAAGATGTTCATATTCCTAAATATTATGAAGAACTAAATACATAAAGAATATTAGTTTCTGAATGGATTGATGGAATTAAAATATCACATCAAGATGAAATTAAAAAACTAGGCTTTAATACTAAATAAATTATGGATACTGTTATAAGTACTTTTGCTGAATAAATTTTTATTTCTGGTTTTGTACATTGTGATCCACATCCAGGTAATGTATTTATTAGACCTAAACCTGGAAATAATAAATAATATGAAGTTGTATTATTAGATTTTGGATTATGCATTAAATTAGAAAACTAATTTAGATTAGATTATTCAGAATTTTGGACTTCAATATTTTTATAAGATTTTACAAAACTTAAAAATATTGTTTAAAAATGGGGAATCAATAATGAAGAGATGTTTGCTTCAATGTAATTAATGAAACCATATCAAATGAAATAACCTGTTCATTGTCATTAAGTTACTAAAGAAGATGTTATGAAATTATAATTAAAAATGAAAGAAGAAATTAGAGAAATGATGAAATAAACTGATTTATTTCCTAAAGATTTAATCTTTGTTAATAGAAATATGAATCTTGTTAGGTCTGTTAATAAAAGATGTGGAAGTCTTGTTAATAGAATCAATATTATGGCAAGATATGCATAATAAGGTACTTAATAATTTAATGATATTCTTGAATCTTAAAAGTTCAATAAAAAGTTTCATTCAAGTTTATTTTTTGAACTCAGATTATGGGTCTCTGGATTTGTTTATTCATTACTCTCCATCTGGTTAAAATGGAAAAAAAATCAAAAAGTTGAAGACTTTCTTGAATAAAAATAAAAAGAATAATTTTAAGGAATTCATGAATAATATGGTTTTAAAACTCCTGATGAAAAGACCTTTGATGCTTGATTATTTTTATATGTTTATTTTTAAATTCAAATTAAATTTGTTTATTCAGTTGATTACTATTCTAAATCATCTACAAATATCACTTTTTTACTGCTTCTTTATAACCTTCAACTCTCACTCCTTAAATTTATATACTCTAAGCATTTTTTATTGTGTTTTCATATGTCTAATGTAAAATTTATAAATCCTCATGACTCACTGTCTGCATTAATTCAGCATAACCAAAAATTATTTTTTTCTTCATCCTCTCCTATAGACTTCCAAACTAATCTCTTTTATTTCCTTAATTTTTAAAAAAGCATAGTTTACATACTCCAAACAATAAAAATAATGATACAATTATTAAGAAATAGAGAGATAAAGACATATCAAATGAATAATATAATTAAATATTTATAAATAACAATTACTTAGAATCTCATTACCAATATATAAAACTATTTTTTTTAATATTTTATGATTCATTTTTATCATTCATCAAAAAATTTATTTTTTAATGATTCAAAGTTATTAGTTTTATTTTTAAATAAACTTTATTATTGTATTAAAATACCTATTTATCATTGTCATCCATCAATCTATTTTAGGAAAAGATACACTACTTGCATTTAATATTTTATTAAAAGTACAAAATTTAATAACTCCAAGTTAATTCTGATTTATTAAAAGAAATTAAATTTCTTAAAATTTATCTAAACTATGCTCTTGGACTAATCCTTTCAAATAGATTATACTTTAATCTTCTGGAGTGCTCCTCCTCTACTTAGTTTTAACTTGAGAATTTTAAATTTCATCAATTTTTTGGGTAATAAATGTTATAATTCTTATTTCAATTCATTTTAATATTTTTAGTGATCATTTTCATGTTTTTTAAATTAAACTCAAAAATATAAAAAGCTTTTGGTATTATTTAAAAGGCCTTATATTCTCAATTTATTAAAATCTTAAGATTCTTTTTTTTGGCTTTATTTTTATATTTTTAGATTGTATATGATAAGAGAAAGTCTTAAATTATTAACTTGATTTTAATATAATTACATAAAATAGAATAAAATGTATTTATTTATAAAAATTCGAAATATGAATAAAAATTAATGTAATCATTTTGAACTCATAGAAATTAAACTGTAAAGCAATAATTTGAAAAGTGAAGATATGGTATTAATATTCAAATGAAATAAGATTGAAATAGTAATAACTTTTTTAATTATCCTTAGCATTTTAATTAGTAAAGTTAAATAAATTATTATAAGAATTTATATGGCTGGAAACTTTTTTAAAGGTACTTCAACAGATTAGGATTCTCGTTTTGGTGATAAAGAGCGTAAACTTATAATGAATAAATAATGGCCAGAAGTGTTTAATCGAAAACTTAATATGAAAAATGTAGAGAAGTATTATTATATTAATTAGATTGATTTATCAGTGATAAAACCCTGGATTGAAAAAAAAATGATTCAATATATTGGAATAGAAGATGAAGTAGTTTAGAGATAAATAATTAATTACTTAGAACAATAGAGCGAGGATATTAGAGGACCTGATCCAAAAGTTTTGAGTATTCAAATAATGGGATATTTTGAAAAAAATACTTTACCATTTATGACTGAATTATGGAATTTATTGGTTGATGCTGAAGGATAAGATTCTGGGATAGTAAGATAATAATAAATGTTATTTTAGCCAAATTAATTATTAGATAGTAAGAAGTTGGAGTATGAAGAAAAGAAAAAAGAGTTATAGAGATTGTTAGAGAGATAAAAATTATTATATCAAGCTATTGAATATTCAGAAAAGACAAGAAAAAAAACAAAAACTGAACAATAATGAATTTAAATATTAAAAGTATTAAAAACATCTAATTAAATAAAAATAAGAAGAAGAATCCATTAGAAATATATCAAAAGAAATATATATTCTATAAAAGGAGAATATAATAAATAAAGAATTCGCAATATTTAATGCAAAGTTAAAATATATTATGAATGTACTATTGTAATTGATTTCAATCAAACAAACCTCCCATATCAACATCTTCTTCAGGCTCTGGGTCTTTTGGTTTTTCAACAGCTTTAGGAGCTTCAGCTGGTTTAGCAGCAGCTTAAGTTGTTTAAGCAGCTGGTGCTGAGCTTGATCCTCCTCCAACAGAGAGTAAACTCATAATGTCTTTACCCTCGAAAGCTTTAACAAATGCGGCTGCCAATTATTTTGGAACATTTACACCTGCCTGTAAATCATTTCAAATATTTCAATACTTTTTTTGTCAATTTTTCTACATTATCAACTGTTAATGGAGTATTTGAAGCTGCTAAGAGAAGTGCTGCATATGCTACTGCTTATGATTATTGTGCCATTATATTTATAATTATATTTTTAAATTAAAAGATTTCCTTGTTTAATTAAATGTTAACACTTCTTAACAAAAAATATATTAAAAATCATGTATTACTCTACATTTAATACTAATCCTATCTTTTATATTATTGTGATCATAATTTATATGTTAGGTAACAAATGGAGAAGTGGAATCTAATAGACTTAACATTTAATGATATTCTAATAATTTCTTAATATTCTACTATTCAAACAAAAAATTATTGCATTATTTAAGTTAGAATATCAAACTTAAAACACTTTTTATAAGCAATCCTATAGATACAGTTACAGAAACTGAAATAGCAATTAGATGGATTTGGTGTAATTCATAGATTCATGATAACAAATAAATAAGTTCAATAAATTAAAAAGATCTGAACCTTATATTAAAAATTAAACTTTTTTTGTTGGTTTACACTTCAATCAAGTCTTGACTCTATCCGAAGAATGAAAATGTATAACATTTTTAGTTACAAACCATAACTTAATTGAAAATCTGAAAATTATGAAGAAACTGATGAGACTGGATCACCTTAATAAATCTTACCCTTTATTTGAAATTAATGTTGATTTAATTAATTTTTACTTTTTAAATTTATTTTAATATCATCAATAATAAATATTATAAATTTAAATAATAAATTGAAAACATTTTCAATATTACTAAATTTATCTTTATTTATTAACTGGTTGTTAAGTATCTCCATCTAAAGAAATTTATAGAGACCATCTAAAGAAATTTACAGAGAAGGAAAGAACTAGTAAGGATGAACCATTAAATAAAGGATTCTCACCTGAAGGAGTTGAAGGATATATACCATTTGTAGGAATAATCCATTTCATTTAATATTGTAAAGAGTCTCCATTGTTTTATAATAATTTAATCTAATCTGGTATGATTTATTCTGGTGCCTCAATTATTGCAGAGTTGTAGAAGAATGTTTAATTTTAAATAATTGACTATTGTAGTTTTGTTGAAGTGGAGTACAAGGAATTACTAAATTATGATTTTCATATCTTTTTTATTAATTATTCTATATTTCATAAATAATTTATTCATTTACTAGCCGAATCATTTATCTATTATTAATTATTTTTAATTATCAATATTATTAAAGCTGATTTAAAAATTTATTTTGAATTGACAATTAAACTTAGAGTAACTTGTTTGTATAGAAAAATCAAATATTATAATAAGAAATAATCAAAGACAGAATAAATATAGAAAATAAATAAAATTAAAATTTTTAAATTCAGTGCTGAGCTTTATAGATACTCCAAAAAATAGTTTAGATTTCTAAATGATTAAAATTAAAATTAAAAATTTTCTTTTATCGTGAAATGAAAATTATATCTCATAATTGAAAATGTTTATATATAAAAAAATTCAGATATAAAAATGCTAAATATACTTACTTTGATTTGTAATATTTTTTATTTATAAAATATAATATTCCTCCTGCAAAAATACATATAAGGATTTTAACCCAAATATCAATTCTAATGTTTTTTTAAAATATAATAAATAAATTTATTAAATTATAAATTATGATTTAATAAAAATAAATTAAGTTAAACTTTTTATTTTGCATCTGAACATGCTAATGATTTAATGCTTTAGTTGCTAATGCTATAAAATCATTATTGTTTTATTGTATAATTTTAGTTTCTAGATGTTTAAATATATTTCTTTGATTTTAATAAGTTGCAAAATCATTTAATTTTATTGTTCGATTTTTTAGTTTGGATTTATAATGAAGACTTAATATATTTTTAGCATTAATATACACATCTTTGCTAATGTTAAACCTGGCATTTATTAAAGATATAATTTTGATTGATGAATTTGTTTGGCCATAATTAATGAATAAGCTTGAAGAACAATATTTTTCTTTCTTTTAAGTTGTCAGATAGTTAATAACAACAAAATATATTATATTTAAGGTAATTTTTGAAATAATTAAATTAATTTTTTTAATTTAATACTTGATTCATTTAAAATCCACATATTATTACATTTCTTGTTTAATTACCTACTTTAAGACATGATTATACAATAATGTTTTTTCAATTAGTAAAAATTTTTTGTTGACAATATTATAAATGTATAGATAAAATTTTTGATAAATTCAGTAAGAAATGAAAATAGAAATTCAGTCGCAAAAATAAAAATATATGATAGATAAATTTTCAAAAAATTAAATTCAAAGAATGCAAGATTTTTCTTACAAACTGCATCCAAATATCATATCTCATTTTTGGAGTTTTCATTTTTGGTAATGGCAAAAAAGTTGTTACTTTTTCATATAATTTTTAAGCTTTTCTAAATTTTTCTAATCTACATGTTCTTTTAATTTATTTAAAATCATCATTTTATTTTTTCATATCTTCAGCAATAGTTGATAATCTTTTGATGATAACCATTTTATTTTTAATTTTGAATTAATCTGTTTCAATGGAGAAAACGACAGGTGGTAAATAAGTAACTTCACCAATACCTCCAAAACAAAAGATATTAGAAGCATATATACAACTACAATGACTCCATCTTTTTGTCATTAATCCTTATCTCTTCACTTAAATCCATTAACTTAAAATTAGATTGAATAAAACAATTTCATTTTAATATTCTTAAATAGTTTATGATCTTCCACCAATCAAAATTAAATTATCATTTAAACATTCCATAGTATGATTATATCTTCCTTATGGAGCTACTCCAACACCTTAAACTCTTTCCCAACTCTAAGGTGCTTAACCAGAAAACACTAATCTCATTAATGGAAATGAACCCAAAGATTTAGTTTTTCCACCAAACAAATAAATTGTATCTACATTTCTTTTAAAATCAAAAGCTTCACAAATTGCATGTTAAGCAATCCCTTCATCAAAATATATTTTAGATCCTAACCATCTTCTCGAATCTAAAGAATACATTAGAGTATCATTTAATAATTATTCTCCAGAATCTAAACCACCTGTTATTATCATATACTTTCCTAAATACAATGCTGCTTTATGTTCTCTTCTAGGTTCAATAGACTCTAATGTTAATGACCATTAATTTGTTTAAGTATTAAAAAATGCAAGTGTTGAATAAACTGATCTTATTTTCATCTTATGATCATAATAACCACTTCCTCCAAATATTATTAACATATGTTTCCAAGCTATCATAGAATGATTAGTAACTTTTAAATTTATATCTGATTAGTGTAACTACCATTCTTATTTCTCTAAATTCATATCATTATTTATTTACTTATATCATAAGACCATAAATCACTACTTAAACCTGCTCCACTCATCCCTCCAAAAACATAAACTTTATCTCTAATTACAGTTATTTATGCTGATTCTCTTCTACTTGGAATTGCATATGAATAAGCATTCAAAGATTCCTCAAAAAATACTATATTTGTTTCTGGTTTATTTTTTGTCTAAGTCGGCATTTATTAAAGGTACATTAAATTCGAATAATCTTCTAAATTACTACCCATTTATCTTTCTAAATTTCTAACAGTATATTGTTCTTTATTTGCTATTATTCTTTAATGACAATTAAATTTATTTCTCATATTACTCATATCTCTCATTGTTAAACACATTTTAGTTTATTCTAGTTCTAAAAAACTTTACTATATAAATTCCAATTAGTATTTGTTAACTTAAAGTTTATCAATTTTTTTTTCTGGAGATTTGCTAGATGTTGCACATTTAGTAAAATGCATAGAAATATCTTCTAAAGTACTATTTTCAATTGAAGGTAACAATAATTTATTTTTTCTAACAGAATTATCTTGAATTCTTTGAAGACTATGATATTCATTTCTTTTTAATTTATTAAGAGAAACTTATTCAAAATAAGGGGAATAGTTAAACTCTGTTCTCTTAGAATCATTATTCATAAATTAAATTCATTTATTTTATATCATGATTACAATATAATTCATTAAATTTATTTCCAATCTTCACCTCTCATACATGCTTCTACTTATGCTATTGATCTAGGAACTAAATTTAGTATTTCAGGACCATTTGCTGTTAAAACAATATCATCTTCTAGTCTAACTCCACCAACATACATAAATTCTGCTATTTTTTCTTAATTTAAAAATCTAGCTTTTATTTCATCTTTAAATGCTTCCTATATTATAAAATCAACAAAATAGATTCCAGGTTCATTAGTAAATACCATACCAACTTCTAAATCTCTTCTAAATCTTAATGAAGAAAGCTCTATATATTTAATATTAAAAATATACCTGGTATTCTTGGAGGACAACCTTTATTATATCCACCAACATCATGTGTTCTCATTCCTAATAAATGACCCAATCCATGACAAAAGAAAATCTTACCAATTCTATTTTACATTAATTCTTCGATTGTTCCAACAAGTAAACCAGCATCTAATAAATGTTAAGTAATAACTCTTTCAGCTAAAAGATGCATATCACCCCAATTTACTCCTACTTTTAAAGAAGCATGAACTTATCTTTATGCATCAAGAACTGCATTATAAATAATTGATTATTTTTCATCAAATTTTCCATCACTTGGAAATGTGACTGTAATATCACTATTATATCCATAATATCTTGCACCCATATCCGATAATATTAATTAATTTTCTTCAATAGTTTTATCATTTTCAACATAATGTAATGTTGCTCCACCAGTTCCTGATGCACAAATACATTCATATGGTGTAAATCTGCATCCACTATATAGAAAATTATTATATTTAAATAAAGCTTCCATTTAATACTCTTTATTTCCTGGCCTAATTTTTCTCATAACATTTTCATGAGATTCACTTGCCAAAAGTGCAACATATCTAAGAATTTCAATTTCTTAATCAGTTTTTTTAACTCTACACTCATTCAAAGTCCAATATAATTCTTCATCATTTAAATTATATTGAGATAAATATGGAAAATCAGGATATGATGAAATTAATTTAGAGTCTGAATCAATACCTTGATATCTATAAATAAGAGATGGTTTATATTTTTGAATCCATGATTCCAATTAATCAACATATTATACATCATCCAATCGATATTTTTATTTAATTTCTTCATTACTAAAAACAACCATCCACATTTTATATGAATCAGGATATTTAGGTACAAAAACTGTCACCTTTCCTGATTCTACTTCCAATATTCCATAACAATCTAATAATTCACAACCAAACAAATATTTGAAATTACTCTCTTAATCTACTCTATATTATTAATCTAAATTTGATTTTACTAAAACTTTTACCTTCATCATGTTTATCAATTGTTATTGCTCCTTTTAGAAATACTATACTATTTTTTGTCTAATCTCCTAATTATTACTTAAAGAAATCTAAGAATCTTTGTCTAATGTTTAAGTGAAAATTATCAGGGATTGGATACTCTTTTGGTAAAGGAATTGTATTTTAATCCATATTTTAATATTATTTGTAATAATACATCATCAATTATCTAACATTTCATCAAATTTAATATCTTATTGTAATAAATCCTTTTATTATAACTTAAATTTACAGGATCTAAATATCGTAAATCTTTCTTTCCTTCTAATTATGGTCTAAAAGGTGGCTCAACTTATCTTTTGGACATTGCTTCTAGGTCAATATTTTCAAAAAAAGGATGTCGTAATATTTCATCTGCTCCTTTAAACCCTAAACGTTTTGAAACCTTAATGAAACTCTCTATTATGAACCTCATTCTAAGTTAATCTTTATATCAAATCAACTGCTTTTTAATTCAAGTACTTTGGAAATTCAAAAGGCTAAGATAATCTCTTATTTATCATATCCTCTTATTTTTATGAATAAAATGGAATCTATCCACATAACATTTAATATATTAGAATTCCCTATATAAATTTATAACATTTTTACTAATGAATACCAATCTACACATTCATTATAACCTTATTCTAATAATATTTCAGGTGCAACATATTCTGGTGTTCCACATGCTGTATAAGTAATTTTACTAAATTTAAATTTCGATAAACCAAAGTCTGTTAATTTGATATGTCCAAATTGATCTAATAATATATTTTCTGGTTTTAAATCTCTATATATAATTCTATTTTCATGTAAATATTTTAATGCTAAAATTAATTCAACTGCATAAAATCTTGTCCTTTCTTCTGAAAATTATACATTCTTTTTCAAATGTACAAACAAATCTCCACCATTAACAAATTCTGTGCCCAAATATAATTTGTTCATATTTTCAAAAGTAAAATATAGTTTAATTATAAAAGGACTTTGTGTTTACTATAAAATTTAATGTTCTGATTCTATAAAATTGTAATTTTCTAATTGCGCTTTATTGATAATTTTAATTGCAAAATATTACTTTGTTTTAATGTGTTCAGCCAAGAAAACTTTTCCAAAAACACCTTTACCAAGTATCTATGAATAAAATATTAGTATTACATTCTTAAATGTGAAATTTTCAATTTAATAACTTATTTCTTCTTCTTTATCTTATTAAGCAGCTTATTCTTCTATTGGAATAGGATTCTTTTGTTAATCTTTTTAATTGTCTTCATCTAAAATCCCAAAACATATACCCATTTTTAATTAATTAAATATTAAATACATGAATCCAGATCCTAAAAGTCTAAATGTCCCTAAGGGAAGACATTCATTTTAATGTGGAGGTATTTATGAATTAGAATTAATTTAGGTCAAACCTTCGTTGTTGATTAAAAATACGAATATATAAAATAGATTGGACATGGAGCTTATGGAGTTGTATGTTCTGCTTAAAATAAAAGAACTGGATAGAAAGTAGCAATAAAAAAAGTAAATCTATAAATTTATGAAGGTGGCAAATGCATTTGATGATTTGATTGATGGTAAAAGGATAGTTAGAGAAATCAAATTACTAAGTACATTTTAAATTATATAAAGAATTTTTTAAACATGAGAATATCATCTCACTCTTAGATGTTTAAAAGCCTGAAGCAAAAACAGGATTTAATGATATATATATTGTAACTGAATTTATGGAAACAGATTTACATAGAGTTATATATTCTAGGTAAGAACTAACAGATGAACATATCCAATATTTTGTTTACTAGATACTAAGAGGATTACTTTAAATGCATTCTGCAAATGTAATTCATCGAGATCTTAAACCAGGCAATATTTTAGTTAACAAAAATTGTGATTTAAAAATATGCGATTTAGGTTTAGCAAGAGGATATGAAAATGAAGAAGATTTTAAAACAGAGTATATTAAATATCTATTTTAGATATGTTGTTACTCGATGGTATAGAGCTCCTGAAGTAATTTTAAATGCTTCAGAATATAGTAAGGCAGTTGACATTTACTCTGTTGGCTGTATCTTAGCTGAATTATTGGGAAGGACTCCTTTATTTCCTGGAGAAAATTATTTAGATTAAGTTTAAAGAATAATTGCAGTATTAGGAACTCCTACTGCTGAAGATATGAAATATATTGGAAATAATAATGCCATTAAGTATATTAAAAGTCTTCCAAAAAGATCAAAATAGAAGTGGGAAGCTTTATTTCCGAAGGTATTAATTACTTTATCTTTTTAAGGCTAATAATAAAGCTTTAGACTTATTAGGAAAGATGATAACATTTAATCCAGAATAACGTTATACTGTTGAATAATGCTTATAACATCCTTATTTCGATGAATTACATAATCCTGATGAAGAACCTTTAAGTGGTAAACCTTTTGATTGGAGTTGGGATAATTTTGATCCAACTAAAGAAATACTTTAAAATATGATATATTAAGAATCACTCTCCTTTAATGATGAAGTACCTGAAAGAAAAAAAAAATCAAATTAATTCTAATTGAAAGCTTGAATTTATATAGATCTATAAAGAATAACAATAAATAACTTTATTTTATATAAATTTACTTAATTTTATAAGCAAAAATAATAAAATTTTACATAGAACTGTTTATTTTAATTTTTTCATTTTGAATTTTGAGAATTATGCTTATTTTATATAATAAAAATATCAACTTTTTGAGAATTCATCTCACCTTTGATGACACTTTTGAGAATCCATAAAGATTAGTAGACTTTCTCGCTAATACAACGTTATTTTTTTCATTTTTAAAATAATTTAATGTAATTGAGAAAGTTTTCTTTTCATTTGCTTTTGTTGTACTAGAATTCAAAAAATCAAATGCTGATAATCTTCCAGTACTATTTCTACAGCTATTTGCATTTTTTGTATTGATAGTTGGTTTTTCTAAAGCATACAATAATTCTTTATAATTTTAAAGAGTTTACTTTAAGATATATCAAATTAATTTTCACTTTATGGCTTTTCTTATTTAGAAGAGACTTCTTCCACTTTATCAGTGGTTGACTTTAATAAATTCAACAATTATGGTTTTTTAATCATAAATTTATTAAAAAAATAAATAAACATTTTAACGAAAGATTAGTTATAATAAAATTCATTACTAATATAGCATTTATCTTAATCTTTATATTTCATCGTTTTTCTATCTAAGTTAATCTTATGATTCTTATAATTCATCATTCAATAATATATTATGCTCAATTAATAATTTATTTTCTCTTTTATAATTTTCAAGAATTATTTTTGTTTTAGCAAAAACCTTTTTTAGATCAGAAGATGAAAATGTTGATTATTTTTTCTATTAATGGCCTTTCAATAAAGAAGCTAAATTTTATGATTCTTTAATTTTTTAGTTTTATTTATTCATTTATTAAAGTTTTTCAGTCAATCTTTTTGTTTTGCATACAACATCAACTATAAGAATAATTGAATATAATACTAATGAATTTATCTTTAATAGGTTTTTTATCAATCTCATCTGTCAACACACTTTAACCATCTGCTGTTTATGATCTAACTTAACTTGAATCATTCTTATTTGGAAAATATGAATTGTTTGCCTTTTAATTTAAAATGCTATTTGAACTATTTATTGTTGTGAGATATGATTTCAATCCTTTGGAACTACGCATTAATATAAATACATTACACTACCTCTTATCCAAGTTGAAATTATCGAGAGAAAATCTATGTACACCAACTTCATTTTTTTTATTTAAATAATGAAGGGAAGTAGATTGTTGTAAAGGGCTTCGAGCTTCATCCATTTAATGAGATCTTTTCCTTCCCTGACAATTCAAATATTTTTCGTAAAGATTCAAAAAATTATCCTATCGAAGTGGTGTTCTTTATTAATAGGATTCTTTGTATGAATATTTTGAAGCAGCTCTGCATTATCAAATTGAATTTACTTAGGTGTATTTTATTGGCTTACTTAAGTCTTCATTAAATAATTAAATTTATGAAATTTATATTCAATACATTAAGACATCTTATTAAAATATAATATTGCTTTATTTATGTAAAAATAACACAAGATTTGATTATTTTCATAATATAATAACCATATTATATCAATATAATATTTATTATGATGGGAACCAATAATTTAACAGACTTAAATTAAATACTTGATTTAAAAAGTACTATTTATATTGGTACTATATTTACTTAAACTGGTCATTTCAAAATTCCCTCAATTATAAGGATACATTATCAAATACAAGAATATTGTTGCCATTTTTATTGTTTACTACATAATATGAAGAGAGAAATATAACTCAAGACAAACATCAATTATAATTTTGAGTAGAAACTTCCATAATGAGTGTAATTAAAGATCAATTCAAATAAATAGATAAAACTAACTATTAGGATAACTTATGAGAGGAAAAAAAGGATAATTTCTTTACAAAAAATCAATATATCTTATATTTGGATTAAAATGAGACTAATATTTTATAGAACTAATATAAATTTATGATATAATATTTTAGATTATTTTATTTTTTCGAAACAAGTAGCTTAATTTATTGATGTATGTTTATTTTAATTAAGAAGAAATAATCTAATACAATAGCGACAAATACTGATTTCTAGTTATATTTTTTATTTACAATTTAACATTCTTACTTAATTCACAATCTAATATACATAGTATTAAGCAAGATTTTGAAAGAAGATTTTTATTTGAAAACAATATTATTTGAAAAAATATTACTCTCCAAAAATTGTGATTTAAAAAGATATAATAACTTTTATTCTGTACTATTTTATTGTTGAAATGAATATTATATAAATACCAATATAAAAGATGGTTACATTAATTCGATTATAATTACTAATCATGAAAAGAGTTTATATGAATCCTTATAGAATACATGATTCATTTAATAATTAAAATTTTTAACATAATTAAAAATAGATTTAATTAGAGTATCCTTCTGCTGTACTAAATAAAATTTGGGATTTATAAATTTATAATAAAAGCATTTCAGAAATAATAAAAATAGATTTTTATGCTGAAAATAGAAAAGAAATTCTGAAATTACCTAAATATAAATTAAAACTATTGAAATTAGATTATAATTATGTTTCATTCTCAAAAAAATTATAGTAAGGCCTATTTTGATTTTTTTAAGATAAAATTCAGAACAATCAAGAAGTGACATTTTAAGAAACCTTATCTGGAAATATTTATATATTTGAGAATAGAGAAAAAATAAAGATATACTTAGAAAAATGTTGATGTGGAATGCTTAATTAAAAAATAGATATAAAATGTATATTTTCAAATTCGAATGAGTAGTTATTTTAATTTAATGATTATGTTGCTCTAATGAACTGTTAGATAAATATATGAAAATGAATATAAAATGTTTTAGACTTTATATTTCAAAAACTAGATTATAAGCATTTAACAATCTTAATATATTTGATTTATAGAAACCTGTATTAGAGAAATAAATAAGAATATCCCTAAAAGATTATAGAGTTTCTAGCTTAGGTTGATAATCTTTAAATGAAAGGTAATAAAGAATATCGAAGATTTATAAAATTTGTTGAAAATCTTATTTAAAGTGATTATTGTACAGAACTAATAGGTATAACACAAGAATAAATTGTTTATGGAACTTTTCTAGATTAAACAATAGATATATTTATATAATTTAAATAAGGTTTATATTAACTTGTGGTGATTATGATTTGAATTTAATTTTGAAAAAGGCTATTAAAAAAGGAATGGCAATATCAAAAGAACTATAGTGTTACATAAATATTAAACAAAAGTAAAAATTTACAGTATTCATAATTCTAAAAAAATTTAAGAAATATAAAATAGTAAAGGATCCAAATATATTAGATTAATGTGGATTAAACTTGAAATAATTACACTATAGTGGAATTGATGATTTGAAGAATATATTTAGAATTATTGATAAATGAGAAACAATGTAAATTTGATGAGGATATAATTTTGAATACATATAAAATATGAATTTAATCATTTTATATTGTGTATTACACATTAATTATAATTTTAACCATATAGTAGTTATTTTAAAAATAATTAATAATTAATTAAGCAATCAATTACGTAATGCTTGACTTATTTTTATAAAGTTATAGAGAAGAAGAGCCAAAAAGTAACACACTTGATGTTATTAGTAATATAATTGGATGGACATATTTTATATGTTGGTCTATTAGTTTTTATGGATAATTATATGAAAATTTGAGAGTCAAAAAGTATTACAATTTATAATTATGTAGTGTAAGAGGAATAGCATTTGAATTCCTTGGTTTAAATTTGACTGGGTTTCTATTTTTAAGTGCATATAGCTCTGCTGGTTATTTTAAGGGAGGAGATAATGGATGGCCATTTAGTGGTGATATAACAAAATAAGATTTGTTTTTTGCATATCATGCAGTTGCAATAACTATATTAACAATTATATAAACAGTTTATTACTATAAAAAAGGTGATAACGCAGGAGTCAGTTTATGGTGTATTATTGTTCTTATTGTTCTTTGGTCACAAACTATTTTATACGTACTTTTAACTTGGATTTTTGGATGGCAAGTTATTTTCTAAAATGAAAAATTAAATGTTTTATATTGGATGGGATATGAAAAACTTTTTATTTCTTTTATTAAATATGTTCCATAGATGTATTTAAATTATAAAAGAAAATCTACTGTAGGCTGGAGCATTTTTAATATCTTATTAGATTTTATGGGAGGATTTCTATCTTTCTTATAAATGTTACTTGATTCTATTAATGGAAGTAATTTTGTTTATTAATTCTTTAAGAGAGTGCTAATCTAGTTGATGTGAATATTGTTAAATTTATATTAAGTTGGATAGCTATGGGTTTTGATGCTATTTTCATGTTCCAACATTATATTCTTTATAATCCTAAAAAAAAAATAAGGAATGCCCTATTAGACGAATATTCTATTCCAAAAAAATGAAAAATCTAAATATTTAAATTATTTATGCTATTAAAAAAAATATTATTTTATTTAAAAAGAAATGTAGTTAACTCCGGGTGCTATTGATTTTATTAGTACAGGATAATCTATACCATTGTTTGTTTAAATCTTAAATGTTATAGAAATTCAGAGATTTGAATCATTTACATAATAAAAATGTGAAATATATGATGGAATAAAATCTAAAGAAATTTTCTTAATTTCAAAAAATAGTTTAAATTAATAGTTTGTAAAAGAATAAAAGCCTATTATTCAAATTGAAGATTTTAAGCTTGAAAATAGCTTCATTGTTGTTAGAAAATATAAAGAAAGTATTAATAATTATAGAATATTATAGTTTCACATATTTCTTATCTAGAAGTTAACATAAAATATGAAGAAGAACTTCAAGATTAAAATGAACCAAAATTGACCAAATTTTCAGATTTTGTTAAAGATAATTATTATAATATAAAAGCAATTGTTCAAAATATAGAAGAGAAGAAAACTGTTAAAGATATACCTTACCTAATCTTTACATTATCTGATTCTTTTAGTTCAATATCAACCAAATGTTTAATATTTATTAATGAAGCTGGAATAGAGGCATACTTATAATTCAAGAACTAATTAGAATAGGGAATAGAATATATTTTTCAAAATGTGAAAATCGATACATATAAAAATCAAAATAGAATTTATTTCAATTCTAACACCAAAATTTAAATTGCCCCTTTATTAATTTNTAAATGTTTTATATTGGATGGGATATGAAAAACTTTTTATTTCTTTTATTAAATATGTTCCATAGATGTATTTAAATTATAAAAGAAAATCTACTGTAGGCTGGAGCATTTTTAATATCTTATTAGATTTTATGGGAGGATTTCTATCTTTCTTATAAATGTTACTTGATTCTATTAATGGAAGTAATTTTGTTTATTAATTCTTTAAGAGAGTGCTAATCTAGTTGATGTGAATATTGTTAAATTTATATTAAGTTGGATAGCTATGGGTTTTGATGCTATTTTCATGTTCCAACATTATATTCTTTATAATCCTAAAAAAAAAATAAGGAATGCCCTATTAGACGAATATTCTATTCCAAAAAAATGAAAAATCTAAATATTTAAATTATTTATGCTATTAAAAAAAATATTATTTTATTTAAAAAGAAATGTAGTTAACTCCGGGTGCTATTGATTTTATTAGTACAGGATAATCTATACCATTGTTTGTTTAAATCTTAAATGTTATAGAAATTCAGAGATTTGAATCATTTACATAATAAAAATGTGAAATATATGATGGAATAAAATCTAAAGAAATTTTCTTAATTTCAAAAAATAGTTTAAATTAATAGTTTGTAAAAGAATAAAAGCCTATTATTCAAATTGAAGATTTTAAGCTTGAAAATAGCTTCATTGTTGTTAGAAAATATAAAGAAAGTATTAATAATTATAGAATATTATAGTTTCACATATTTCTTATCTAGAAGTTAACATAAAATATGAAGAAGAACTTCAAGATTAAAATGAACCAAAATTGACCAAATTTTCAGATTTTGTTAAAGATAATTATTATAATATAAAAGCAATTGTTCAAAATATAGAAGAGAAGAAAACTGTTAAAGATATACCTTACCTAATCTTTACATTATCTGATTCTTTTAGTTCAATATCAACCAAATGTTTAATATTTATTAATGAAGCTGGAATAGAGGCATACTTATAATTCAAGAACTAATTAGAATAGGGAATAGAATATATTTTTCAAAATGTGAAAATCGATACATATAAAAATCAAAATAGAATTTATTTCAATTCTAACACCAAAATTTAAATTGCCCCTTTATTAATTTAATGGATTAAATTTAATGATATTTAATTTCATATGATTGGGAAAAGCTGTAATATGGTTGGTTATGTCTATTAAATTAAGTAATTGAAATAAGTTTCAGCTAGTTTAATACTTAAAAAAATTTATATTTTTGATATGAATTTTAACAAAGTAAAAATTGTAATTTGGAATTAACTTGCTAAAACCTTGGAATTATCTGAAAATACTATTATTGGATTTTAAAATTTACTAATTAAAGAATATTAAAATAAAATCTATCTTTAGATAAATTATAAAACAAGGATGTTGACCAATTCTAAAAATTTAATTTAAATAAAAAATTTTTATGAATTTTACATTAAATTTTAACAATAATATGATTAAATTGATAAGAGATCCAATTTTTATAAAATGGGATTTACAGATATTTAAAAAGCTATTAGCGAATTTAAATAAATATCTAATCTTTAATTTATAAAATACTATAGGATTAAGGCAACAATAGTTGAATTTTTAGAAATTACTTTAATTCCAATATTAAACAAAGAACTATAATTTAATATTATACTTAGAGACAAATCTAATATTAATATAATTGTAAATGTGAATGGAACCAAATTTGCTAAAAAAATTCTAGGTATTTTTATTTTAATGTTTTTAGACCTTAATGAAGACAAGCATATAGGATAATCAGATTTTTAGTTAAAATTTAATAAAAATGAATTTTAAGAGGCCAAAAATAAGACTTATGATTTTATAATAATTGGATAAAATATAGAAGAAGATAATGAAATAAAATCAATTTTTAAATTAGTGAAGATCATTTCAGATATATAAAGTGAAACTTATAGAGGGGGAATATAAAAATTGATCAAGTTGAATGAGTAATTTGTCTAAGAAGAGAAATTAAATTTATGAATAATTTTGATTTTCTTATGAAAAATAAAATATAAATAATAATAAATTTGATATTAACATAAATGTTTGCTAATAATGAAGAATTTATAGCTCTTTAAAAAATAGAAAAAGAGTTACAAGCTGATCCAGCGCTATTTAGTATATGTAAATAAATAGTATAGTAAAATTAAAGTAAAATATTTTTAAAGTAGATTTACGATTATTGCAATTTTTTTATGAATTTTTCAAATAACTTCTTTCAAATTTACAATTCAATGATTCAATACAAAGGGCAATTAAAATTTTGAATTCTTTTCTTAACAAATAAAAATAGAAAAATAAAGATGCTTAAATTATTGATTTAGGTCATTATATTAATTAAAAGTATTATGATATAATAGGTATGATTTAATATAAATATCAAGCAAATTATTATGAAAAAGCAATATTAGGAGGGATAGAAGAAGCCAACAAACATGTTAATTATATTTATCTGAAAAAAATTGTTAAAGATTATTTTGATAGCTCTTAAAATTCAAATCAATCTGTTTCTAAATCTATTCTAAATTTAATTGAAGAAACCTATAGAAATTTATAAGGTTCTCCGCATTCTGATTTTGAAGTTTCATTGTTTGAAAGCTTAAATCCAGAAGAATGTGAATTATTTACCTAAATAGTTTCTGATGATTAAAATAAGAAACCTAAAAAATCTGAAAGTTTATTTGATAAATTTTTAATCACATTGTCAACAGATTACTAAGAAAGATATAGGAATTAAAACTGTAAAAATGTATAAGAATTTTACACTAACTTAAAAATGTAAAAAGCTGGAGTTGAAAAGATATTAGGTTACATTTTTTATGAAAACTTGAATTAATATGTAAATTAATAATATCTTATAAATTAAACTTAAAAAGTAAAATCAAAAAAGATAGAATTGTAAAATATATTAACAGAATTAGAAAAAGATCTATTAGAATAAAAAAGTAATTATTTTAGTTTTGTGGAAATTTAATATGTAAAATATTTTTACAAAAGTATAAAATCAAAAAAATGTTAATAAAGTCTTTAGTAAAACTTTTCATTTAGAAGAAAATTGTTAGAATTTATAAAACAAGAAATAAATGCTTCAGAAACACCAAAGAATTGGAAAAGATTTCAATAAAATACATGGTAAGAAATTCATTCAGAACTTTATATTAATTTGAATGATATGACTACATAAGAGGATGCTATTTTATAATTTAAAATAATTTAATCAATTCAATAATTAATTATTCATTTTTTCCGCTTTAGATGGAATTATTTATTTTTATTTTGCATAATTATTGTAGAAGCAAACTTTAAAGCAGATCAACTAGATAATATGATTAATATTGCTTATGAGATGATGAGTTCCACTACAAAAACCAACCTTAATATTCCTTTTGGATAAATTTTAAGAATTTATAATTAAAAAGCTTAAACTTCAATATCTTCAATATTTTTAGAAAAATATGGATAAAATCTAGGTTATGATTCATTATTAAATCTTGAAAGCTAATTGAAATCTATTCATAATAAAATAGTTAGGCTTTCTTTAGTTTAACCAAATTTTTAAAATAAAATCAAATTTTATGCAGAATTAAAAAATTTCGAATAGAAGTTGATTAATGATTGTAGAGATTACTTAAAAGTCTAGAGAAGAGTTTTTGATTAATTGACAGATTCTATATTAGATGGAGAAAAGGAGGAAAAAGAATGGAAAACTGTATTTTTTAAAAGTCTAACATTTTATTCTTAAAAATTGACTTCTATTTTTAAAGAAAGACCTTCTAATGACTTCGCTATCAAACAATAATTTTAACATTATACATATAATGTTTATAAATTAAAATAAGATTATGAAAATAAAGCCTTAGAATAGTTTTAAGAATTATTTGCTAGGGAAGAAAAAATTTGTTCTATTTGTATTTAATTTATTTAACGAGATATTGAAAAAATAATTAATTAAAATTAATAAACTCATACTTAATTATAATAACATAAAGAACTTATTTATAATTTTGTAGACATTTTTTATAAAGATAATCCATTTATTTTTTTTTTGCCATCATTACTAAGAGGATTATATTATTTTAAACCGAAATATCCATCTGTTGAAAAAATTGAAAGAGTAAAATTTTTAGCTGTTGCTTTGAAAGATAAAGATTAAAGTGAAATAAATAAATTTTTTGATTGTCTCACACCTACAAGAGATTAAAATAATTTTGAATGGTAATTTAAGATTTCTTAATAAATTTTTAATTTTTATTTAAACTTAAATATTCCATCAAATATGGAATATTAACCTTTGAATGAACAATTTCCTAATTTTAATTAAATGAAAACTATATAAGATTATAATTCAACTTAATTCAATGCAATATGTGTTTTTACATCTAAATTTTTTAGTTAAGATACTAAATTTCATCTTAAAAATGAAGAATCTTTAAGACCAGAATTTTAAAAAAAAATTTACTAATACATGAAGGATAAATCTAATTTTGAAAGTATAAATTAAGACTAATAAATAATGGGATAAATGATATAATATTTTAATGAGCTAAGACATTATAAATAATAATTAATTAAAGAAGCAACCTAAAGTGGTGATCAAAATTTCATTAATAAATGCATTGAATTATTTCAAAAATATTTTTAAAAGAAGTCTATTGTTTCAGAAATGATGGAATTTAAAAAAAATTATAAAATATCTCTTAATGATGTTGAAAATTAATCAATTGCTCAGATTTTTTTAAATACTGTTTAATTCCAGGAATAAAAGTAGTTAGATTAAATAAACAAAAAAAAATTAGAAGATTATCTAAAATAATTAAGCATGCTTCCCGTAATGCAAATATATGAAAAAATGTAAAAAGACTAAACGCAATTATCAGATACATATCTGAGAGAAATAATAAAAAAAAACATCCATAAATTGAAAGATGATTTAGATAAGTATGTATTAAAACCTTAATAATAAATAAAGTAATCAATAATATAGGTAGCAATAATTAATAAATTTCATTCATTAAAATAAGATCCAAAATATAAAGATATATAAACTGATGATTAATCAGTTTTAGTTTACATAAATGATTAATTCAATTTATATATGAAAGGTTTGTTAGGAAAAGTGATTCAATCAGTTTTAACTTAAAAACCTGGTTATGAATTTAAAGTATACTAAAATAAGTATGCTACTTCAGATACACAATCAATAAGATACAAACAATAAATAGAGATGTAAAAAAAATATGGACCAAATAAAAATCAATAAAGTGATTAATCTTTATTAATAAGTACAGAAAATAAACCTTAATTAATTTATGAACTTTGTGATTATACACCTGTATAAAGGTAGGTAGAATTTAGAAATTTTTTAATAGAAATAGAACCTTAATAAGAGGAAAAATTAAAAAACAAGATAAGAAAAAATAAGTGGAAAGAAGAACACCCAGAACTTGAAGAGATTTTAAAAAAGAGAATCAAAAGAGGAGCAGAATTATGGAATCAAGTATAAGATTTTCTTTGTAAAAGAGAAAATAATGATTTTACAGGAGATTCAGACGAAGAATCAGAAAAGGTGAAAGAATAATAATAATAATAAATGGAAAACATAGATGATGATTAGTTAGATATAAAAATATAAGATATATAACGTAATTCAGAGCGCCTTTTAATGGCTGGTAAAACCCATATTAGAACAAGGTAAAGATTGAAATTAAGTTATTTAGATTAAATAATATGGAGGGTGATAATCCTTTGTTGACTTAAAAAGTTATTACAGTAAAAACTGTTTAATTTGTGCTTGAATAGCATCCCTATTTTAGCAAAAGTAAAATATTATACAAATCTTATATCTTATGAGAATATTGATTTGATTTATTATAAAAATAAGATTAATTTTCAATTAATGTAGTAAATATAAGAGTGTTATCTATTAATATATATTAATAAAAAGGCTATTTGATAGTAAACTATTATTATATTTTATTTTAATAAAAATGAATAATGTTACAGCATCTCTAAAGGATATATTACCCTTAAATTAAAAGGCTATCATAAAGTTCAAAATAACTCCTGGTAAGAAAATAGATTCAATCTGTTAATGTAATCAAAAAACTTGTATGATATGCTCTCGTAAAAGATCATCATCTATGCTTTCATTGAAGTCGATAAAAAATTCAGTTGTTGTTGATGAAAACTCACCTGGTCTCAAAAGAACAGATAATAAAAACAATTTTGTAATTTAATCTAGCCTTCTTTCTAAGTAACTATCAAGATAAGTATCTAACCATCAAATCTAAAATTAATTTTACAATGGAAAAATTAATTAAGAATCAAAAGGGAGTACAAATTCAACTACTTGGATAATGACAAATTCTCATTCTCGAAAAATATCAGTAGATAGTCCAATAAAAGATATATAGTAATAAAGTTTCAATCCAATGGGAATAGGAAGACATTCATTTAAATTTTTATATGTAGTAGGTAAGGGAGGTTTTGGAAAAGTTTGGAGAGTAGAAATGAAAGTTAATAGATAGGAGTTTGCTTTAAAAGAAATGTTAAAAACAAAGTATATCTACATAAAAATTAGAATAATATCTAAAAGGTCTGTAAATTCTGTTATGAATGAGAAATTCTTATTAGAACATTTGAAACATCCTTTTATAGTGAATATGCATTATGCATTTTAAGATAGAGAGAATCTTTATTTAGTTTTAGATTTGTTAAGAGGAGGTGATTTAAGATATCATATAGGTAGAATGAAAAAATTTTCAGAAGAATAAACAAGTATTTGGAATAATAAATAATAGAATTTTTTGCATGTTGTATTTTATTGTCTTTACAATATTTACATTAACATGGTATAATACATAGAGATGTAAAACCTGAAAATTTAGTATTTGATAAAGATGGTTTTTTAAGATTAACAGATTTAGGAGTCGCTCGTTTAAATAAAGATAGTGTAGCTAATGATACTTCAGGTACTCCTGGATATATGGCACCTGAAGTAATGTGTAGAATGGAACATTCATTTCCTGTTGATTATTATGCTGTTGGAGTTATTGTTTATGAACTTTTAATTGGCAAAAGACCTTATAATGGAAAAAATAGATAAGAAATTAGAGAATAAATATTAGCCAAATAAATATAAATTAAAGAAAATACTCCTGGTTTAAGTAATAAAGCTATTGATTTTGTTAATAAAGTAAATCAATATTTTATAATACAATAGTTACTCATGAGAAAACCTTAATCAAGACTAGGCTTTAATGGAATTGATGAAATTTTTAGTCATTCTTGGTTGCACAATTTTCCATGGGGAAAACTTTTAAATAAAGAAATTAGATCTCATTATGTTCCTGGAGTAATTTATTAAATTATGTAGAGCATTGATGGCAATTACGATTTTTAAAGTTAAATCTCTGCAGACAGTGAACCTTAAGAAGACAGTTCAATGGTCTTAAGAAGGAAAAGTGTCTAAGGCCTATTTGAAGGATATAAATTCTAATGATCATTTATCCTTCTCCATTTATAATTTTGTAATTGAATATTATTAATTTTTGACTATAACTTATAGCATCTTTAAAATATCTACTTTTTCAAATAAATTCAAAATGAAGTATAAAAATTAATATAAAGTAGATTAATAACCTAATAATAAGTATGTGTATTTGTTTTAGGTTTTTAATTAGAATGATTACCACAATTATCTTAAACTTCTATCAAGACAATAAGTTATTTGATACTTTATGTACTTTTATTCAATACAAAATAATGAATATCATGTTTAAATATTTTACAATCAAACATTAAGGAGTTTTATGATGAAATGATCAAATTCATTGAATATTTTAATATGTTTTATTTTAGAATAATCTTATTATTAAAAAGACAAGATATTTTTTAAGAAATTCCAAAAAGTTCTTTGTCTAAACTTTTTTTTTTCATTTTATTTACTTACTTATTTTGATAAAAGACCCTAAGTTTCTTGTGAAAAGAAAAATAAAATAATTTCAAATATCTATAATAAGTAAAATTTAAATACAAAAATAAAACTAAAAGAACTTTAATCTGAAATTTAAATTTAAACTAAATATAATCAAAGTAGGATAGTCAAATTAATTCTTTTAATTTAAATTTTGTTCTTTTTTTAGTCAATCTCATAGTTTCTTTTTTCATTTATTCTGCACTTCTAAACAAAAAAGATTAATCCCTTTATTTATTAGAGACTTCTTCTTAAAGATTTCCAATAGTTGCAATAACAATATCAGGGCAATAATGTATAAAAGATTAAGATTAGTCATATAATAATCTATTCAAACCTATATCAAATATTCTGTTTTTTTTAGTTACAGCTAATAAATCTTGATATGAACTCACAGTATTTGAAGAACTGCTATTTGAAATAGTTATTTGTGTAATAAAGTAAGATGGATGATGTTGAGTAGTGAAAAAAATACCTGAAGGTTATTCAAAATAATTTGAATTAAGTAAATAAGAAACAAATTAAGTAGCATTATTAACAACAATAACAGTTATAGTTCTATTTTTATTTTGTACAATGATTTTTTTTAATTATTAGGCCTTTTATTTAAAAGATTATAGTTGATCTGATTTAAAATGAATACTCTGTAATAAACTAATGATAGTTTATTAATGATAGTGATTTTTTGTTTAAAGCATAGCATGCTGATATTTTCTTGATGATTATTCTTATTATTATGCAAACAGTAATTCCTCCATTTCTAATGAAGGTAGATCTGTTTAACTGCTTGCATTATTATATTATTTAGATTCATCTTAAATTCTACTGTTTTGATGTTTGTAATATTATGAGTTCATTTTTTTAGGATGTTACTAAAGAGACAGATTATTTAATCTTCCAGTTTTTGGTTGTGAATTTGGTGATAATGATTGCTATGCCTTATTTTAAAATCTATGAGTTAAGGGATCCATTTTTTAACTCCATGGCGAGAAATGTAGCATAATTTTTTATATATCAATAATTTTAAAATTGCAATAAAATGTTTCTCTACTCAAAAAATTGATATTGAAACATATTGATATTTGTTTTATCATATAAACCCAGCATAAACATTTTTCATGAAAACAAAAATAATACAAATTTTAATAATGCATAATTACTCTAAAATTATAAAAAACCTTAAATCAGAAGAAATTGATTAGGAGTATGAAAGAATTAGAAGTCAGTCAAAAAATAGAAGTTATAGTACAAAAAATAGTAATTATGAATCTAGCAAAACATCATTTCAAGAAAATATATCCCTTAAAGTATTTGTTGAATATTATTCCTCTAGAATTAACTCTATATATTATAGGAATAGTTGAATAATGAAAAATAAAGAACAAATTAGTTAGAATCTGTAATAAAAAAATTAAAGTCATCATTATTCGAATAAGATAAGTATGTAATATTAATATTTTTTGGGTATCAAGAGATTTGTTGTCCAAATGCGAATAAAAAATTTAGGTTATTATTGAAAAAGATCAATAAATTAAGTAATTTTAAGAATAAATTAAATCCTTATAAGCTGATAAGGAACATTTCCAAAATACATTATCGGAATTTTAAGAGGTATAAATTAATTATATTTACAGTTAGAATTAACAATAAATTAATTGACTTCTTCCTATAATTCAATAGCTCCTAATATGTTAGATTAATAATCTATACTAGAATAATGTTTGGACTATCTTAATTCTTTAAATAAATTGATAAATCCTATTTTATATGGAGCTTCTCCTTAGCTTTAAGATCTTTTTAAAACAAAGCAAAAATATAAACCAAGAAAAAAGTTCTAAATTACTGAATTATGTGAAAAAAATATGAATCATATTAGGGAAATAGAGAAATAATTAGTCAATATCTTAGAGTTGATTGATTAAAAATTTATAAATGAATTAGCTTAATATATTAAATGAGATACTTCCTTGTTTTAAAAATGAATTTTAACTTAGTTAATTTAATTATATATATTCACATATTAAGAAAACTAAGTTATTTATTTAACACATAAATTTATATGTTAGCTTTAAAAAATATATTATTCTTAGATTATTATATTCTTTACAATTATTATAAATTTAAAAANCATAATTTTTTATATATCAATAATTTTAAAATTGCAATAAAATGTTTCTCTACTCAAAAAATTGATATTGAAACATATTGATATTTGTTTTATCATATAAACCCAGCATAAACATTTTTCATGAAAACAAAAATAATACAAATTTTAATAATGCATAATTACTCTAAAATTATAAAAAACCTTAAATCAGAAGAAATTGATTAGGAGTATGAAAGAATTAGAAGTCAGTCAAAAAATAGAAGTTATAGTACAAAAAATAGTAATTATGAATCTAGCAAAACATCATTTCAAGAAAATATATCCCTTAAAGTATTTGTTGAATATTATTCCTCTAGAATTAACTCTATATATTATAGGAATAGTTGAATAATGAAAAATAAAGAACAAATTAGTTAGAATCTGTAATAAAAAAATTAAAGTCATCATTATTCGAATAAGATAAGTATGTAATATTAATATTTTTTGGGTATCAAGAGATTTGTTGTCCAAATGCGAATAAAAAATTTAGGTTATTATTGAAAAAGATCAATAAATTAAGTAATTTTAAGAATAAATTAAATCCTTATAAGCTGATAAGGAACATTTCCAAAATACATTATCGGAATTTTAAGAGGTATAAATTAATTATATTTACAGTTAGAATTAACAATAAATTAATTGACTTCTTCCTATAATTCAATAGCTCCTAATATGTTAGATTAATAATCTATACTAGAATAATGTTTGGACTATCTTAATTCTTTAAATAAATTGATAAATCCTATTTTATATGGAGCTTCTCCTTAGCTTTAAGATCTTTTTAAAACAAAGCAAAAATATAAACCAAGAAAAAAGTTCTAAATTACTGAATTATGTGAAAAAAATATGAATCATATTAGGGAAATAGAGAAATAATTAGTCAATATCTTAGAGTTGATTGATTAAAAATTTATAAATGAATTAGCTTAATATATTAAATGAGATACTTCCTTGTTTTAAAAATGAATTTTAACTTAGTTAATTTAATTATATATATTCACATATTAAGAAAACTAAGTTATTTATTTAACACATAAATTTATATGTTAGCTTTAAAAAATATATTATTCTTAGATTATTATATTCTTTACAATTATTATAAATTTAAAAATACACCCACAGTTAATAATATATTAAAATAGATCATAAATAATAAGTCAATAAATATTAAAAAAGTGAAATATTTCAAATTATGATTAATTATGAATGTATCAATTTTTAAGCATTAATTATATTATAAATCCATTTATTTTATAAAACTTATCTAATATTTTAATTTAATTCTTAGAAAAAATAACTTCACTTAAACAGGATTTTATTGATGAAATGTATTTTGAATAAGAGGAGATCAATAGAAGGAATGTTGGTTAATTCAAGAATTTTAAATTAATTAAATTGCAAGCTTGTGTTTCATGTTGTAATACAGTTTAGAACTTATAAATATTATATATAAAATAAGAACATTTTTAATTAGAATTAATTTTTATATAAAATTTTCTCGAACTTATAATCGCAAAGGTCAAGATAATTAAAGTTAGATGTTAAATTAATGATCCTTAATACTTTTAAAAGTCTTGAAAAGTTTGGAAATAATAATTTAATTTTGCAAATATTTAGGATAAATTATGTATTTTAACAAATACGATAATTTATGATTAAATTGAAGACATGAGTTCAACAAAATAAAATATAGAATGAGTGGATGAGATTTTTAAATATAAAAATTGTGGTAAAATAAAGTTATTAGATAAAGGGATATTTTATGATTCGAAATTATGTGTTTTTTGAAAGTCCATTAATTTAACTATTTTTCTCTAAAAACGAAGTTAAGTACTAATTTGTTTGGATGTATAATTTTTTTAGTAATTTGAAACAAATTATCTATTTTTGATAGTTATACTAATTTATATATTTTATATTAAAAATAGAAAAAGATATTAGATGAATATCGAAGTTGGTACAATTAGAAAAAAGGAGGAGATTGATAAGGATTGTTAGAATGTTTGGTAAAGGATGGCATTTTTGGATGATTATAGATAAAGTTAATTTATAAATAATTAAGGAAATATTTATTTCCAATATATAATTGCATATTAATTTGAAAGGGTTGAAAAGATGTTATTTAATAGTGAAATAGGGACCAAGTTTTAAAAAGCAATGAAGAGGGCAAGCAAGTCTTTAATGATTATCCGAAATTAAAAGGTAGAGCCAATCAAATTTGAGTTTATCGATTCTTAAACAGAGTATATATTAGTTTTTAAAGGTTAAAATAAATTAGCATCAAAATGGTAATATATGCATAATATAGTATAGAGTGGCATAGCAAAGAGCGCAAAAGGAGGAAAAGGTGGAAAAGGCGGAAAAGGAGGAAAATTTGGTCAAGGAAAGAATAAGAAAGCCCCATAATCAAGGTCATTAAAAGCAGGGCTTTAAGTAGTGAATTTTACAATAATAAGTTTCCTGTTGGACGTATTCATAGATATTTGAAGTAAAGAGTATCAGCCAAGAATAGAGTAGGAACAACATCAGCTGTATACACATCAGCAATTTTAGAGTACTTGACAGCAGAAGTACTTGAATTAGCAGGAAATGCTTCAAAAGACTTCAAAGGTATAGTAAATAAATTAATTCTTGTTTAGTGAGAAGAATCACACCAAGACATCTTTAATTAGCAATTAGAGGTGATGAGGAACTAGATATTCTTATTAGAGCTACTATTGCAGGAGGTGGTGTTATTCCACATATTCACAAGGCCTTATTAGGAAAATAAACACCAGAAGGAGGAATTCCAAAGGAATGATTATCTATATTATATTAATTCATAGAAAATATTAATGTTATAGAGCTTCACTCATAGTAATTCTTCTTGAAGGCTCTAACTAAATCATTCTATCAATTAAATCAGCTCCTTCATATCCAATCTTAGAGAGCAACTCTTACTAATATAAATACTTAGTTGGATAAAATCTAGGAAATGCTGCATTCTCCTAAATCATTTAATTAAATTACATTGAATAAAGGCAAATTACAAAGAGAAGGTGCAATAAAAGCACTAGGAGTACCTAACTTTGAAAATATCTTAAAAAGCATCTCAATTTAACAATCACCATAAAACAAAATTTCTCTCATTACTATTTAATAGAACACACAACCTAATGACCATACATCAACAGATACATGATACTTTTAAAATTTAAATGCACTTTACATTATCTCAACCCAATATATTTTCAGGTGGCCTAAAATGCAATGTTATTACTTCATAAGAATGTTTTTCACAAATAGAATTAAAGTTTCGACATTGTCCAAAATTCATCCTTGCTATACCAAAATCACTTATATAAACATTTTGGTTTTCATCAACAAGAATGTTCAATGGTTTCAAATCTCTATGCATGAAACCTTATTTGTGAATGTTATAAACTCCAAGTAAAAGCTACTTGAAAACCTTTTTATAATTAATTTCACTGTTCCTTTTTATGTGTTCATAAAGATTATATGGATAAAATGGTAATACTATATAAACACACCCTTTTTCGAAAATTACTTTTTATAAAGGAACTATATGATTTTATCCCTTTAAAGAACTAAGAGCTGCTATTTCCCTATAAATAAATAGTCTATCATTACCTGATAGTAGATTAATCAATCTATTAAGACCTTCCAGAAAAAATTCTTTTGATAGCGAAAATTTCACCTAAAGATGCCAATAATTATAGGCTTACCTGTGTTCTCATCTACTGCCTTATAAACATCGCCAAATGCTCCATAACCTACTTTCTCTTAAAGAATAAATTATTGGACTTTTTTATTATCCTACATTATCAAACAAATTTACAAAAAGAGCAAATTAAATATTGAAAATTAACTCTTAATCCTCGCTTTAATAATAAAATATATAAGTATTTATAAGCTTAAATATTTTTTTGAATTATTTTCTAATAATTATGCTATAATTTAAAACAGTTTTATTATGCTTTGCTTCAATTAGCAGAAATGAATAGATTATTGATCAAATTAAAATTATTGTAGAAAAAAGAAAAAGGAATGGAATTACATCTTGAAGATTAAGATATTTTCCTTTATGAAAGGTTAACTAATTTTATGATTGAAATTAATCTAGAAATTATATGCAAAGGCATGAAATAAATGATTTTATCATTCTAATATAATGACTAACTAATTTAAAATTACTATCCTTTGAAATTAATGATTAAGCGATCATATTTACATATTTTTACAGGCAATAACTTCAAATTAAAATTAATTCTACAAATACTCCTCCAGTATTTTATTTCTATAATTATGAAAGATTAGAAAAATATTTTATCTTTTTGATATTTACCTCAAATATATCGTGGAGATTCATCAATAAGTTAATAAAATCTCTAATTAGTATTTTGATAATTTAAGTCTTCAAAGAATTTCGCTAATTCTTTATTATTAAATTTAGGAAAAATTATTTTCTTCTATTTCTAATTTAGACAGTAAGCCATGATGGATCAATAAAAATATATATATTCTTCAAAATCTATTTCTTTTGAAAATTCTACTATTTTTATAAAAATATTGGTATTATTTAATTTTACGAAAAATTAATTTCTTTTTATGAAATATCAGACTCATTTTAGTTTTTGCTATTTAATGTGCTATTATAGTAAACAGGAACAATAGTTCATACCACCATACTTTATTTAGTTGTTCCCCTTGGAAAATACAGGAATCAGCAATCTAAATTCAGTACTTGATCCGTGTTTATTTAATTCCTTATATAATGATTGCCTTTTTATTATTTTAATAGAATCATTTGACTTTTATTCATAATTTCTGAGCTTCTTTCCTAATTTCTTTAACATTATGAAATACATTCTATCATTAATGGTAGTCAAATTGAATACCTTTTCTTTTTGTTAATTTTTGTATTATTTTGTGTATTTGATATAATTAATAAAACAATTTTGATAGATCAGGAAAAAGTAAAATTATCAAAATCTTTTGTTTGATTTAGCTTCTCAAGTTCTAAATATAGACGAAATTCTTAGATTGAAACATGATTAATTAACATTTTCAATAATATTAATAATTCTATAATCATAAAAAATTATAGAATAGAAGGGAATGAAATAAAATTTTTTAGAGAAATTTAATATAGAATTTTTAAGAAAATCTAAATAAAGACAAGTAAATATTTAATCTAAAATATATCAACTTTTAAGATCATTCTATTATTCAACTGATTTCATAAATTAAGTGTATGCATAAATCATTTGTAAAACGGAAAGTTATTCGAATGGGTATTATTAATTTATAACTTAAATATCTGGCTCTTCTTCTTTTGGAATAATCTTAAATTAATTTGTCAAATTTGGAGTTACGGTAGCTTACCTTTGGTTTAAGACTTTTTAAACAATTGAATCAACAATTTATTGAATAATTCTTCTTTTATTTGATAATTTCTTATTTTCAGGGATTAAATTTTGAAATTCTGATGAATTAGAAGCTAATTGTTCTTTAATTAATCTGTTCACAGTTTTAGTTAACCTTCTTGTATTTTCAAACTATATTAAATAGAAATTAAGATTACATCTAAATTTTAATTTTGAATTACCCAATCATAACCAAAATTTATTAAGGCTTTCTTTAATTCACAATATCCAGACCTTTTTTCTATTGATTTAATTGACTATACAGTTTTTAAGTTTTTTTTTAATGTTTCACTTATTTCCCTGCATGTAGCCCCCTTTTTCTTCATATTAATAATCTAAGCTCTTTCTTCAGAAGTTGTTATTTCATATCTTTTGCTCCTTTTTGTTTTTTAATATTTTTTTTCCATAAATTGATTGTTCATAAATTTAGATTATATTAATAAGAATATAAAATGTAAAAATAGAAAACCTGAAAGAATTAATTATGATATGATTACAATAAATATATTCACATTTTCTTATGATCTGTACAAAACTTTTTAATTCTCTTACAAGCTTCTTCAATAATTTCTAGATCACAACAAATGACTAATCTAACAAACTTATCACCATAGAATAGTTCTCCAGGGAAGACTAGTACATTCTATTCTTATTGTAGTTTCTTGGCAAAATCAATAGATGAATGAATATCTTAAAATTCTTCTGTATTAATAATCAAAGTTGAATACATAGCTCCCTTTGTTTCTCCAACACTTATTCCATAAGCATCATGAAGACCATGATGTAATGCCTTATATCTAGCATGAAGTTCTTCCATTTTTTAAGGGATAATTTCTAAACTCTTTTTATACACATCACAAAGTGCTGCTTAACATATAGTATTTGGCATTAATAAAATATTTGTAATATTTCTTAAAGCTTATTTAACTTATTTAAAAGTGTCTCCTTCTCCATATAATGCTAACCATCCTAATCTCCAACCTGGAACAAGACATTTTTTAGTTAGACCTGAACATCTTAAAACAGGAACAGTTTTTGTATAATCAGAAATAAATTTAAATTCTCTTTTCTCAAAAATCATATTTTCATATATTTCATCACTAACTATAGGAAGATTATTATGTCTTTCGCAAACTAAAATAATTTAAAAATATATTTTTACAATTAACAATTTCTATTAAAGCTTATGGACTTAATTCACTTCCCATAGGATTACTTGGAGAATTGACTAAAATAAATTTAATATCTGGATTCTACTCATAAATATATTCCAATTCTAAGATATTTACTTACCAAGTTCCTGGATTTAAGTCATAAAATACAACTTAAATTCCATAGAAATCTGCAAATGCTTTTACCAATGGAAATGTTGGTCTAGGCATTAAAATCTTATCTCCAGGTTTTGCTAATGCCAAAGTGGCATAAAAGAGAGCTCCACTACCACCACTAGCTAAAATTATATCGTCTGCTTCTAATTTTCTATGATGTGACGATAGCACTTCTGCCAATTAAGTTCTCACTTTAATATCACCAAAAAAATCTGTATAACCATCTATTTTTCCTACAGAATTTGCTACCATCTCCTTATATTCATTTGGAGTTTAGAATTTTGGATAAGCTGTTGGATCACCAAGAAGGAACACTATCTTTTTTTCTGGTCTTCCTTCCTATTTTCCTTCTCTTTCTACTTAAGGTACTACATGTTCAACCCAATTTCTTATTGGATTTAATGATACTTATGCTCTTGCAGAAGGTTTTAGCATATCCCATGATCTTTCTACTTATTACATATTATTTTATTAATGTGATGCAATAAATGATCAAATATTTTTATATCCAGATTTAAGAAATTTATATTACTTATTCTCTATGTTCTAGTGCTTCAATTAAAAAATTTAATCACAAAACTCATCTTATTAATATTATTATAAACTAAATTCATGAGGTCTTTTGAAGATCAAAATTAAAACGCATACCAAGAATACAAATTGTATGAATATTAAACTATAACCTAAAATTGGATTACCACGATCCTTTTTATTAGCTGTTTAAATATATTTATTGCTGGTATTTTATTGTCATATCTTTTTGAACCTCAAATACAAGATTGTAAATCATTCCATTAATATAGCATCTTAATGTATTAATTTTAAGGATTAGCTATTTTATTATTCCATCTTTCTCATTTTTATTAGCATTTGTGAATTGTATTTCAGCTATTTATTTTTAGAATATACTTTTTATTTGGCTTCGGAATGTCAAATGTTGATTAAATAAAGTTTTTTGGATAAATTTAAAAATATTAAAGAATTGAATAAATAGTTATCCTTATTTCATTTGTTATCATAGAGGCTTATATCTATTAAAATAGAAAAATATGCAAAATTAATAAAACATATTATTGCTTATATGCTTTTTACTTTTGGCAATTGTTTTGGGCCGCATTTATGTATAATTTTGAAAACCTTTCATGATATAAATTATAGTTATCAAATAATGATTTCATCATCATCTTTATTCTCCTTCTAATTTTAATCTTGATCATTTTCTTTTTCATAAACTTCCTATGCCTTATTTTCTATCTATCCAACGTATTAATTCTCTTTTTCTTATTAGCTATTTTTTCTTTAGTTTTGTTCTACCTCTTATTCCAATTCAATAGGTTTCGAAACATATTTTTACTCTTATATCTAGGTCAATATATCATTCTCTTCAAACAATTGCAATTTAATATTCAAACTCATTATCTAACATGTATTCAATAACTATTTTATCATCTAGTAACCTTCATAAGATTTTTAGTCTTAATTTAACTTATCAGAATCAAACAGATTATTAGTTTCATTTCCTCTTAGATAAACCAAATCAATATAGAAATCGTCATCAAATTATTATTATAAATCTAAATCACTTCCTTTAAAACGAATAAAATTCTTAAATAAAAATCCTGTATGGATTTAAAATCTAAATATATGAATCAATTCATCTTGAGGCGTTATATGTTTACATCTAAACACAATATCATTGCTGATTTATAAATTTGGCAGAATAAATATACATTGATGATTTTTTTCTATTATTTGATTTTTCTCTTCATACAACAATGCTTTTCTATCTAATATTTAAAATAATGGCTTGAAATTTTGGAACTATTTTGGTATTCCACTTAAGATAACTGACTTTACTTTTATTGTTTGTGTATTTAATTCTTCATTAGAAAACAAATGTGATAAATATTTATGTATATACATAAGCTAAGATTTTAAAGGAGAAGTTAGACCTAAAGCTTTTGCGATAATGTAAAAACTCTCTTAAATACTCGTTTAAAAAACAAAAGTCCAAAAAATTGTTAGAAGTATTGCACTTCTTCCTTTATTTTGCTAACAATGAACTATTGCTATGTTGCCTTTATGTTGTACCCATTCTAAAATGCATTTACAAATTAATAGTAATTCATAAAGAGGGGGACAAGCAAATCCAATGTAAGAATGCATTGAAACCTAATTCTAAAATAACTCTCTCTCATAATCATGTTCACTTAAATTCCAAATATAATAATGATGACCATATTTTTTATTTAAATACTAAGAGACCTATTGAATGTATTCTTGCTTTGGGAAAGGCATCCAAAAAACATTATCTGTAATTTATTANTATGTATAATTTTGAAAACCTTTCATGATATAAATTATAGTTATCAAATAATGATTTCATCATCATCTTTATTCTCCTTCTAATTTTAATCTTGATCATTTTCTTTTTCATAAACTTCCTATGCCTTATTTTCTATCTATCCAACGTATTAATTCTCTTTTTCTTATTAGCTATTTTTTCTTTAGTTTTGTTCTACCTCTTATTCCAATTCAATAGGTTTCGAAACATATTTTTACTCTTATATCTAGGTCAATATATCATTCTCTTCAAACAATTGCAATTTAATATTCAAACTCATTATCTAACATGTATTCAATAACTATTTTATCATCTAGTAACCTTCATAAGATTTTTAGTCTTAATTTAACTTATCAGAATCAAACAGATTATTAGTTTCATTTCCTCTTAGATAAACCAAATCAATATAGAAATCGTCATCAAATTATTATTATAAATCTAAATCACTTCCTTTAAAACGAATAAAATTCTTAAATAAAAATCCTGTATGGATTTAAAATCTAAATATATGAATCAATTCATCTTGAGGCGTTATATGTTTACATCTAAACACAATATCATTGCTGATTTATAAATTTGGCAGAATAAATATACATTGATGATTTTTTTCTATTATTTGATTTTTCTCTTCATACAACAATGCTTTTCTATCTAATATTTAAAATAATGGCTTGAAATTTTGGAACTATTTTGGTATTCCACTTAAGATAACTGACTTTACTTTTATTGTTTGTGTATTTAATTCTTCATTAGAAAACAAATGTGATAAATATTTATGTATATACATAAGCTAAGATTTTAAAGGAGAAGTTAGACCTAAAGCTTTTGCGATAATGTAAAAACTCTCTTAAATACTCGTTTAAAAAACAAAAGTCCAAAAAATTGTTAGAAGTATTGCACTTCTTCCTTTATTTTGCTAACAATGAACTATTGCTATGTTGCCTTTATGTTGTACCCATTCTAAAATGCATTTACAAATTAATAGTAATTCATAAAGAGGGGGACAAGCAAATCCAATGTAAGAATGCATTGAAACCTAATTCTAAAATAACTCTCTCTCATAATCATGTTCACTTAAATTCCAAATATAATAATGATGACCATATTTTTTATTTAAATACTAAGAGACCTATTGAATGTATTCTTGCTTTGGGAAAGGCATCCAAAAAACATTATCTGTAATTTATTATAAAGTTTTCATAAAATAATAATTTATGGATTATTAGAAGCACCTAAAGATACTGAATGAAACCTTGGAGTTATATAAAATAACACCAGAAAATTTAAGAGAAAAGAGAAAATCTTTTGAAGGGTTTCCAAAGTAAATAAATAACAGATTAGTTGATGCATTCTCATCATTTGTTCCTTTAGATAGAGCACCGGTTTGGATGATGAGGTAAAATAATATAATAGATAAAATATAGATAAGCAGGAAGATATTTACCAGAATACAGAGAAATAAAAGCTGACATGGATTTTTTTGCTACTTGTCAAAATCCATTTATAGCTGCTGAAATTACATTGTAACCAACGAAACAATTCGATATTGATGCAGCTATTATATTTTCAGATATTTTAGTTTTACCTAAAATGATGGGAATGGAAGTAAGAATAATCTTAAAAATAAGATTACAATTGAAGAAAAGAAAGGACCAGTAATTGCAAATCCTTTGATAACTCCAGAAGATATTCAGAAACTTCATCCACCAAATCCAGAACATTTAGAACATGTTTATGATGCTTTATTTCTAACTAGATTAGCATTACAAGGAAAATGTAATTTAATAGGATTTTGTGGTGCTCCTTGGACAGTCTTTGCATATATGGTAGAAGGAGGTTCTAGTAAATTATTTTCAAAAGTTAAGAAATGGCTCTATTTATATACAGAAGGATCATAATAAGTTTTAGAATTACTTGCCAAAGAAAGTGCTAAATATTTAATTAATTAAGTTAAATAGGGTGGGGCTTAAGTTGTTTAAATATTTGACTCTTGGGCAGGGTATATTCTATTTTAATATGTAGTTAAATTCCTGCTTCGGATTATATAGAATTTATTATTCCATCTTTAAGAATTCTGTTTGAAGATTTTAAAAAAGAATGTCCTGATACCCCTTTAATTATGTTTCCAAAAGATTAAAATGATAAAAAAGTTATTGTTGAATTTTTAAAATTGACACTTAATGAAAAACCATTAGTCGATGGATTTTAATTAGATTCTAATATTAGTGATGAAACACTTGCTAAAATTATTGAAGCTAATAGAACTATTCAAGGAAATTTAGAACCAGGAGTAAATCTTATTTTTAATTTTAAGGTCCTTTATGGAACTCCTGATATTATAAAAAAAAGAATTTCTCAAATGATTGAAAAATTATAAACTACAAGAAAATATATTGTCAATTTAGCACATGGATTAACTCCAGATCATGAAGTTGAAAAAGTTAGATTGTTTGTTTAAGAATCTTAACAACAATCAAAATTATATAAAGCCAAGGAAATTTTAGAATGAATTTTCAATTCGTACAATAGTCTATTCAAATTATATTTTTCAAACAATCTATTTTTTTATAGCTAAATATTCTTTGATAACAATCTTCCCCCCCCCCCCTTCAAATTCACAATTGATAAAGCTTTAAAACAAAAATTTATCATTAAAAAGACAAACAAATTCAACAAGTTACATTTTATCACTTCAAAATTACAACTATTTCTCAAAAGCCATGAAACCCTGTAGTAAAAGAAAGATCAAGAAAAAAATAACAAAAAAAATTCTCCATATCACCATTTTCAAAGAAAAGAATCTAAGTTCTCCAAAAAATACAAATCAATATCTCCTAACCAAACATGTGCACTAAGAAATTAACCAAAATATTGAAACTAAAGAACCTGACAGTATTTTATCCTTTTTATTAAATGAATAAAGTCCATTATCCATAGATCGATTATTTTAACTTTAAAACCCAGAAATACTAATTAAAGAGTCCCCTGATATGCTTAAAAGCTATACCTGAACATACTCAATCACTACTGTTAAATTTTATTGTTTATTCCTTATATTTAGTTTTTTAATATAATTTTATTAATGATGGCTCCTCTGCAAGTTAAACTAAATCAATTAGTATCTTTTATAATGACTATAATCATAAATGAATCAGAGTTGATGATAATTAAGCTATAAAAATTTCGAAATTGTTTATGAAACTTGTTTTATATTTTTAATTTTTATTAAGTCAATTTTTAAATACAGTGCAATAATTTCCTTAGTACAAAATAAGTATAATCGCTCTTAAATGATTAACCATTAATCATCTCTTCTATAACTTGCTTGCCTATATTTATAAGATGCAAAAATTGTAATTAATAAATTGAATAAATGTTTAATGGTTAAAGAAATACTTTTATAGAAAATACTTGTAAATTAAAAAATTCAGTGCAAATATTGATTTTTTTAAAGTAACAAAAATTAATAATTTGTTTGCAAAATTATATATGGGTTGTAGTTCTACTAAAGGAAAAAGGAAGGGTTCACTATCTATTCCATAGACTAGTATTTTGAAAAAGTCGATTCCATAACAATAATTTAAATATGAAATCGTGAATACTAAAAAGAAGACTCTTAGTTTTTAAATGTTATCAATAAATTCATTAGAAGTAAATAGAAGAAGTATTCTTACAAGACAGATAATTTCGGATTGATTCACTAATAAACATGATTAAATTTTGTCTATATGTTTTATATAATTTGAGATGAATAAACAATTTTTATATCTAAAGCATTTTATCTAGAAAAAGGGTTACCTTTTGATTAGGACTTCATAATTCTCAAATGAGTAATTTTCTCTATGCATACAAACAGTATTGTTTGAGACATAATTAAGAAGAAAAAGTTTCACATTTTACAAAAATTTTAAGCTTTTTTTTGGAAAAAAAGAATAACTTAAGAATTTTATATCAATTTGGAAGGATAAAAAGATTTAGTTAATGTCTTTTATAATCAATAAATAAAAAAAAAGAATATAGTATTAATAGTAAAATATATCAGCATAAATTAAAATTTTAATTTTTATAATAAAATTCCACTTCATAAAATGAACTACAAAGCAATATAATTTTTGAAGGAATTAGAATAATAAATAATTTAGAATTGATGAGTTGGGGATAGCCAGAAGAAGTGCCTTAACAAAATTAATAATGGGGTAATAATAATTAACAATCAACATGGGGGAATACGGAAACAACATTAGGAAATAATGGTGATTAAGGATAAGATAATAAGGCTGCTTGGGGAGATTCAAATAATGGTTAAGAGAATAAAGGATTTCGAGGAAGAGGCGGAAGAGGTGGGAGAGGAGATAGAGGTGGAAGAGGAAGAGGAGGTGATAGAGGAGGTAGAGGAGGTAGAGGTAGAGGAAGAGGTAATAATGATAACAAGGAGGAAGGAGAGATTAAAACTTAAAATGATGTTGGAGGAGGATGGGGTTAATAAACATAAGAAGGATGGGGTTAAAATTAATAAGAAAATAAAGAACCAACATAATAATAATAATGGGGTAATGGTGGAGATACTTGGGGTGGAAAAGGAGAAGTAGCTACTGAAAATGGCGGAGGTTGGGGATAATAGAATACAGAAACATAAGGTTGGGGAGGAAATTAAGAAACAAATAATTAAGATGGTTAATAAGATGAATCAAGAGGTAAAGGAAAGGGTAAGAAAAGAGATTCTCCTCCTCCTGCTAAAAGAGTTAGACCTAATCCTATTGTTATTACAGTTGAAGACGATGAAGATAGTGAAACCTAAAATATTATTATTAATGAATACCCGGGATTATAAAATAAAAAGAAAGGATTAATCAAAACTGAAGAGTAATAAGTTTGCTATGAAGGCAATATTAAAATAGAAGAAAATGTTATAAGTACTTAATTTGTTAGTTTTGATACAGAACTAAAGGTTAAAATTGAGTAAATTGAAGATTACACTATTGAAAATGCTAAAGACTTGCTTAAAAGTATAGGAGATTAAATTATTGTGGGAATTGTTTTAGGAGTTGATAAAGATAATTAAAAGGCAATTAATAAATTAGCAGATAATTTGTTAGACAAGTAGCAATCATTTCATTTCAAAGATGTCAGTCTATTTAGCATCAAATAATTCTATAAAGGATAAAGCACCTCAAGATTGGCTTTTGTTAAGCAGATTTAAGCTTGAAAATTATGGATATTATTAAAATATATATATATATGTATGCTTCATTATTTTGTAGGATGTTCATGATTCCACTCTTCATAAGATCCATCAAATAAAAGTAATCTAATTATATTATTTTTTATATACTCTTTTTTCTTCATAATTTCTTATGCCAGAAGTGCAATGCAACTTAATTTTCCTGTTTGACAAGTATTAACAATCTTTTTGCTTATATCAATTTAATGATTTCTGTATAATTTATGTAAATTTTCTGTAGATTTCATAGTGTGATCATCATTCAAATATTCTGAAAAAGGCAGATTGTATGATCCAGGTATAGATCCCTTTTTAAACCTAGGTGAATCTCTTGCATCTAAAAGCAGCCAATCATCACCTTTTGGGTCTTTATGTTATTTAAGATAAGATATCACAGACACATCCTTTGTTGTCAATTAAGTAACTTAATCCTTTGGTTAATCCTCTTTAAATAAACACTAATCATACACAAATTCAAATCCTCAAAAATTTTGCAATCATTTTTATCAATGTCATGTTAATGATGCCATTTATTAAATCCACCATCTAACACATAAACTCTTTTGAATCCAAAATATCTAAATGTAAACCAAGCTCTAGCAGCAAAGTGAATATGTTCATCAAAAAATACAATAGGAGTCAAATGATCATACTAATTATCCTATATATATTTCTCAAAAGTCTTTTGAGTTGGCAATTTACGAGGTACTGGAACTGGAGTTGCTGTAATATCGATTAAATTAAGAGTTTATTAATCTAAGGTAATTCTATGAGCATGAACAAATTTATTGTTTTCTTCTTTATTATGATGATGATCTGTCATGATTACATTAACAATTTTTATTTTGGATTTATTTTTCACTAAATAATGCAAATAGGGTGCAGATATTAATGATCCACGCATTTTTAATATAAAATTGATTAATAATTAAGAATTTATATTATTAAATATTGTGTCACATAAAATATATTCACAAAATTTGATATCTAATTAGATTGTTGGGTTGAATACATTTAGTAAATTTTATTAGTAATTATAATTATGAAATTACTTTTGTTAATTACTTTGTTAATTACCTACTATACTCAAGAAGTGTAAAAATATCTGAAAATTGGATGTACAGATATTTAAAATGGGGATTGTAAAAAGTTGTGTGATCTTGGTTAATTTGAATGCGATGACTTTCTAAATCTCATTTGTGAATATGGTTATTTCAACTACTAGAATACATGTGTTCAATGTCCTAAATAAAATCTGCATGATATAGCAGTAATATATTGTGGCGATTGTATTGATAATTCAAAGACATGGGGAAAATACAGATTATGCACTTATGATTTTGTAATAGAAGGAGATGATAAAAATAATGGTGCTTACATTAAAAGAATCAATTAATACAAAGAATTATACGTTGTTGGAAATGCTACTACTTAATTAACCTGGAATAAATCTATTTTGCGTGACACAAGACGTTAATATGAAACCATAATTTGTAGTGGATGTGACACTATATGTACATCAGCATCCAATCCCTTTTGCAATTCCTTCTCAAATGAGATAGATATTTTAGTTTAAGGAATTACTTGTTTGGATGGATATTTTTTCTTAAATGGTGTATGTATAGCTTGTGGAACAAATTGTTTAGATTGTTCAGATAGAAATAAATGTGATTAATGCTTTTCTGGATATTATTTAAATGGCTATGTTTGCAATTAATGTTAATCTAATTGTTTAGATTGCATTCAATCAGACTCACTTATTAAATGTTATTCATGTATTAGTCCATATATCATCTCAATTAATAGGTAAGTTTGTGAAAGCTGTGGTGATTCATGTTTAAGATGTGAGTATGTAAGTTATGATTAGTTAACAAAATATAAATATATCACAAGAGACAATGTAGATCCTGCTTAAGATGACATTAATAGATATATTAAAAGATGCAGATAATGTGAAGGAAATTATTTGGTTGACTACAAAGGTTAAGATTGTGTACAATGTTAAATCAAAGGTTGTTTAAAATGTTATTATACAATCACCGTTTCTGGAGAAACAAGATCTACTCTTGATCTTGACTTTAAACCTATGTAACCATAAGAACAAGCCTCGAAGTAGCTATGTTATACATGTTTATCTGGATATGTTTTAAATGCTGATAAGACCTCCTGTTTACCATAAGCACCTTCCTTACCTGTCTCAGATTGTCATTTTTATGGAGGTATCAATAACAAATGTTAATAATGTTAAAATAACAAGATTTTAGATCTCGATAATAATGCTTGTCAACCTGATTAATGCTATACATAAATCAAAAATTGCTAGAATTGTTATCAATTTAAAATCATTAATATTGCTCAATATAAAACATTTTATCATTGTATTAAATGTGATGAAGCATATTATCCTGATTTTTTTACAGGAACATGTTTATAATGTCCTAATCATTGTTCTTCCTGTTGGTAATACTCTTAAACATATAATTTCACTCTCTATAACGAAATTCCAAAGATAATTCCAGACAGAAAAATCTATTATACAGATGGTGCAATCAATATATATTGTTCAGAATGTGAAGATGGATTTTAATTATATAACAATAAATGTTTAGGATGTACTATTAATTGTATCATACCTACAACTGGATTAGTTACTTAAAAATCCTCTTGTCTATATAAATCTACTAATGCATTATGTTCTTAATGTTATGAACCTTTGTATCAAAAATCATTAGTTTCTGATTTCTCAGAATGTTAAGAATGTCCTAATTACTGTTTGGCTTGTCATGATCGATAATAATCTGAATTTCCTAATAAATACTTTAATCCAAGTAGTGAAATTTTACTAAAATTTAGTAGATCATGTTATAAATTGTAATCAATAGTTGGTAATCCACTAGTAATTCATTATAATTCTTTTTTAAATATGCCTATTGGTTGCAATACTGATTGGCCTTGTAGATATTAATATGATATTGATGTAACGTTGTTCTGTGATGTAAATGATTATCTTTCAAAATTAACAAATTCTAGATCAAATGCTAAATATTATTATGATCTTACTACATTCTATACAACAAAGAGTGAAGATGTTGCCACTATAAAGTTTTCTAATTTAGAAACATTAGTATTTTATGAAACTTTAAATACTTTACCACTTGAAATCCTTAATCTTAATTTAAAAATTAAAGGAGATAGTTAAAATAAATGTATTTTCTCAAAATCTACTACAATCCTAACTTAATTTCACTAGAATGTTTTCTCATTAACAGATTTCACATTCACCATTATGAGTGACTCCTAACTACCTTTAAATTTATATATTAATGGAAATTTTACTCTATTTAATTATCCTAAGATTGTTCTCCAAAATATTAATATATATACATAAGAATCTAAATTCATTTTCAAATTAGACTTATGTTCAATATTATATCTTTAAAATATTTAATTTTAGAAATCTTCAGGCACATCAGTTTAAATTCTATTTGAATATTTAGATGAACTTTAAATGGATGAGGTAACTTTTGATAATTTTACAGGTTTTGATGATTTAATTTCTTTTTCTCCAACCAAATAAATAAAAATGAAAAATGTTATCCTTAATTAATTAAAATTAAGTTAACTTCATTTAATTGAAATGTATCCTTAAACTTATATAAATATGGAAAATATTTTGATAAAAAACTCAATGTTTTTTGAGTTCTTTTTTATTGGTGATTTAGAACCTAATGATGAATTAATTGGTTCTACAACTATAAATAATCTTTAAATAATTAATAATACATTTAATAATTCATTTATTTTTAAGACTTCAAATAGTGAGAAATTCGTTATGAATAAATTTATATTTAAAGATAATTTAATCTATGAATCTGAATTGATTATATCTAATCATTTTAATTTTAAAGATGCTTTAATTTTAAACAATTTATTTGGGAAAGGAGCTACCTTGCTTGGAACTAGTGATGAAATAGATGAAAATTAATTATATACTTTAACTTTGTCTAACTTTTCATAAATTCAAATTATAAACAACACTTGTTATCGATCTTTAATATATCTAAAATCTCCTTTTAATCAAAAATATCAAGTAATGAACATAAAAATAGATTCTTTATATATTAATTAAATTTAAACTTCAATTGATGGTACTTCATTTATATAAATATTAAAAGTAGGATCTGTTGTAATAAATAATTTAATAATAAAAAATCTCTTAAAAGTAAGAGGAATAGAAATTTAATAAATAAGTTGGGTATAGATTAATCAATTTTAATGTGATTCATCTGAATAAAATACATAGATGCCTGTTTAAGAAGATTGCTTTATTGAAAAAGAATTCAATTTATATTGCTTACATATTGAGGAATTTGATAGAGGAGTTTACTTATAGGATGGAATGATAAAAAATTAATTAAATGTTGATTCATCTTTGATATACATTAAATCCTATGATTATTTAACTAAAAATACTGAGAATGATAAAGAGTTAGATGAGACTAAATTTTTTTTTGGTTTAACAAATGAATTAATAAGTTTGAAAAATATTAAATTTTATAACAATACTTTGGCTGTTAGAGATCCATAGATAAAAATGGCATCATTAGTAATAGATTCAACCTAAAGATAAAGTGTAATTTTAGAGGATTTAACATTTATTGGGAATCATTTACATCAACTTCCTCCTTCAGTTAATGTAGATGTAGTTACTTGTATAATGATAGATTCTCCTTTGGCTAATGTGAGTATAAGTAATTGTGAGTTTCTTGATAATAGAGCTACAAAATCTATTTTAGGGATTATAAAATTTATAACAAATAGTGTGTAAATGTAAAATATAAATATGTAAAACACTAATGTAATTTAGATATATTATGCTGATATATTGGAATAACATTAACTTTTTTCGTAAGATGAAAAAGTAGAATAAAAAAACATATAAAATTACTTTGAAATTTAATCTATTGGATCAAATATACATTTTGATTGTGATAACATAAGAATTTAAAGTTTAACAATTAATAATTCAGTAGGTTTAGATGGTGCTGGTATGTATATAGTAGGAAGTGATAGTTTAAATATTTCATTGTCTGATGTGACAATGAAGAATTTGATTTGTTCTTTGAAATATGATTCATCTGGTTGTGGTATCTACATAAACACATAGGTCTCAGAACTTAAAATATAGATCTAAAATTTATATATGGATAAGATAATTGCATATTAAGGAGCTGGTATTTATATCTTAAGTTCATAATTAAATATAAATGTAAGTATTTAAGATTCAATTTTTCATCAGTGTTAATCGCTGGAGTCTTAAGTATTTTATTTTAAGTAATAGACATTAACTTCTAATGTTCCTATAATAACATTCGATAATTGTACAGTATATAATAACCATTATGACAATTATTTAATGAATATCATAGCACTTAGACAATAAATAGAATATGAAGCAAGAATATATGACTAAAATCAATTAATTTATATTGATTATGCAACAGTCACAATTATAAATTGTATTTTTACAAATATTTCATTTACCACAATATTGAAATTGCAAAATATCATTTTATTAAATATTTTGGACACTCATATTAACAACATTTAAATTGGATTTTCTAAATTAATCAATTTAGAATTAAATACTTAAATTGGACATATTTCAATATCTGGATTGATAATAGAGAAAGTTAAACCTTATCCTTAATGGTATGAGTAACAACTTTAAAATGAGAAATATCCTGAATAAAATGAAACCTTATCAGAGACTGAAATGGAAAGGTAATAATGCATTTAAGAAAGTAATTTTGAGTACATTGTCAATCTTGATACTGTTTCGTATCAAATTGATACTACATTTATACCAAGAAATCCGATTGAATACAGTAAATTTAATACGACATAATATAATTACTATATTCAAAATGAAAATATTTCAATAATCATCTACTTATACTCATTATTTATTTTTTAGATGGGAATTTAATCATATCCTGCATTGTTTTATTTACCATCAGTGAATATTCAAGCTGATGACAATTAAATTCTATCTCATTCACTTTATGTAAGCAAACTATTCATTTAATCAATAGTTTGTAATAATTGTTATTATGGTTTATTTTACGTCAAAGGCATTAATGGTAGAGCTAATAAAAGCATTTAATTTAATGAAATTAATTGTCTCAATAATTAAATAGATTAATATGGATGCATTAATTTATAAGGTTCATCTTTAGACTCTTTAAATAACAAAAGCATTTATACAATTATAATTTTAAATAGCATATTTATTAATAATAAAGCTAATTTAGGAGCTGGTTTGAGTGTAAAAAATGTATCTCTATATCTTATAAATACATCATTTTATGACAACTAAGCTATTAGTATTGGTGGAGCCATCTTATTCTAGTAATAAGGATAATAGATTTATTTATAAGATGTAGTAATTTAAGGAAACACAGCAGATATTGCTGGTGGAATCTATATGAATGGATAGAGTTTGCCTAATTATGATGTCTAAATTTCAGGTAATTCAGGTAGGAGTTTAATAGAAGAAATACCATAACATTTGAGTATCTCAATGATTTAAGGAATTATTCTACCAATTTCTATATTTGATATTAATATTGATGCAGTCTAAATGATTTTAAATTTACCTTCTGGTCAAAGTATATCAACATACAAATTTTACTATCATCCAACTTAAGAGTTAGTCCCATATGATTGGATTTTCAGAATTATTAATTTAGATAGAAATTTTAATCCTGTCTTAACAGCCTCAATTACTGATACTTGTAATATTACTGCTAGAATGTTAGATTCTTAAAACTTTGATAAAACTACTAAATTCCTTAGTAATTATACATTGCCTTCACTTATTTCATTTGGTAATGAATCCTTCAATCTAGATGACTTAATTATTATATTTGATCCTTACTTACCAGAATAATATTATCTGTAATTAAAATTTTAATGTTCTACGATCAAATTGCCTATAGATCCTTATCCTTATTAATATTATGATACAAATTATGCATTATATGTAAATCTTAAGACATTGCCATGCTAATTAGGAGAAGCATATACATAATAAAAATGTTAAGTATGCGGTAAAGGTTAATATGCTTTAACAAAAGATCAATTAATATGTTCTAATATGGATGTTAAATCAATGTAGGAGGTGACTCCAATTAGAATAAAGTTATATTCTGGATATTGGAGATATGATAATAATAAAGTAGAGTATTGTTATAATTTGTAAGAAAATTGTAATGGAGGATGGATTCCAGGAAATCCTTCATGTTATACAGGACACATGGGAGCATTGTGTGAATCTTGTGATATATATGGAATTAGAGGAGAATAATTTAGCGTTAGTACAAAATACAAATGTGGATAATGTTCAGAGACATAATCTAACAATTCTCTAACTATAGCAGCAATATGTTTATTCACTTTAGTATAAATGGTTTTGTCTGTAAGAGGGAATTATTAAATGATAGAAAATTTTATTAAAGAATAAGTTTTGCAATCGATAGGAGTAAGAGTAAATACAACTTAAGCAAATTTATCAATATTACTAAAAATAATGATAAACTATTTTTAGATCATCAGCTCTTTGGGAACATTTAGAATATCAATTCCTACTGATTTAATATCTTCTGTTGATATAGTTGCTAATCCAACTCAATCTATGGCTTATTCTTTAGATTGTTTTTTAATAGAGATTGCATTTACTGAGATTTTATATTTCAGAATGATTTGGGGTTTAATGATGCCTCTAATTTATTTATTAATCTTTTTTTTTGGATATTTATTTGGAATTTTAATAACAGTATTACCTGCAAGAATGAATGTAGTATATACAACTTTCATCTATATGTTTATTTATCTATAACCAACATTCATAGGAGGTTTTATTGCATTATTATCTTCAAGAACACTAGGTGGTGTAGAATTTGTATAATCTGATGTATAATATCTTTATGAAAGTAATTTACATTATTTTTGGATGGTAATATTCGCAGGCCCTAACATATTTTGTTGGGGTGGTATATTTCCATATGTCTTTATGCATTTAATCAGAAGAAACAGAGGAACTTTAATGAAAATCGAAACTCGTAGAAAATATGGTTACTTTTACAATGAATATACATAACATGCTTATTTATGGGAATTCGTTAAAATCTTTGAAAAATAATTTGTTTTAATGGCTCTTACTTATTACGAAGATACTGTTATTATCAAAGGTCTTATGGTATTTATAATAGTATTTATTTATGGGATTCTTTCTTATGAATTTCAACCTTACTAGAGTAAAAGACTTAATTATATTGATCAAATGTCTTCCGCAGTATGTGTTTTATCTCTCTGTTTAGGAGTTCTGATAAAGGCTTCTTAGAGTGAAAACATGGAATACTTGTAATTTATTATGTTTTCCATTATTGGTATTCTAAATTTACAGTTCATATTTATACTACTTTATGAAGTTCTTCGTGGTTACATTGATAAATTTGAAAGCCACATTGACAAATTAAGAGATAAAATCAATTAGAAATATCCGAATTTATAAAAATATAATTGGATTCGTAAACTTCTTATCAATAGAGGAGAATTAAAATCAAAAATTAAAATGCTCTGGTCTTAGCTCCGTTATTAAACTCATAAGAGAATTATTAAAAGAAGGTAGGATAAGAGTATACCATTATTTGAACCAAGATACCAGCATGCATACAATGAAGAGAAAGATATCGATTCTAGAATAGATTCTAAAGCTAATTCAAGATTATCTGTTATTGATATAAACCAAGAGGAACTATAGTAATTAAATAATTTAAATGCTTCAAAAGTTAAAGCAAATTAAATATAAAAAGTTTACCCCTTAGAAAAATAAAATAGCATTATGTAATTGACAAAAAAGAGAATATGAGTTAGCTAATACTTATAATATGCATCAGATTTTAGGTAATGGTGCTGTATAAATTATGTATAATATACTTTAATTATGCTTTTTGATGCTTATATCAACAGTTCTTGATTGAGCAGGTGTTTCTGAGCGGAAATGTTGTGGTAAAAAGCAATTGTATATTCTTCTTGAATTCTAAGTGATGTTCTTTAGATATTTCTTGCTTTATTTGTATTCTTTTTTAATTTTATCAAAGGATATGACTGAACTAGTTTATCTTAATCGTCTTTCAATGGACTAATCTGTCTTCTTACTAATATACTTCATTATCTTAAATTAATCTCTTCATGTCAATAATTTTCTATCCTAAATTCGATGGACGTGGGACATCAGATGTGTCTAATTTTCCATAATAGGAAGGACAATGATTGATTTCTAGAATACGTGTTACAAGGGCTTTCTTTATGGTAGTGTCTTCTTTTATTTTCTTTGAGTTACACACTTATTTCTTTTGCATGTATGGTTAATCAACTTAAATTGGAGTTGCCTTGATTTTAATAATCTAATGAAGATGTTTCTAGTATGACTTATTTATAGAAACAACAAAATACTTTCATTAATTAATACTCTGAAACTGGAGTTATGATTTCATTTTTATTCCAAATATTCATTAAATTATATATAAAATCAACAAGAATAATCTTTATGTTTATCCCTTAATCTTACACAATTCAACTGTTTTCTTTATATTTGAAATTTAATGTTAAAAAAATAAATCATTTTACTTATTGAAAACAGCTCCATTATTTCTATAAAAGGAAAAGAAGCTTTTGAAATTTTACAGTTAATTACAATTAATGAAATTTGTCAAATATAATAAGCTCCAACCAAATTTTTACTCAGTACAAATCGAAGAGTCATTTTTGAAGCTATCTTACATAGACCATAAATGTAAGATATTATTTTTATTAATCAAAAGAAAAGTATATGGTAATATTCTTATGATGAGATAAGTTTAGATATTGATAGAGATTTTTAAAGTTCTATAGTTAACCATAACAAAAAATTCTTAATCAGAAAAAAATTTAAATTACAGACTATGAAAATTACTTTCATATCTTCTAAGTATATGTAGTCTATCTTTTTTTAATATTTAAGGTTTCAAATTTATTCTAAACAATCTGAAAGGAGAATCTATTATTGATCTGGATAATAATCTATCTAATGTAGATTATTTTAGAAACATAGTTACTTAGATCCAAGATCTTCTTCTTTAGGAATTATAATGATTACTAATAATGTGCCATAACTTCTATAAAATGATTTATAAGTTGAAAATTTAGATCATTCTGAATCTCAAGATTAAGCCTAGCTACTTTAAAAGGATAAGAAGTGGCTCAGTTTATTTTGATTTCTGATGTTGGATAAGAAATATCCAATGATATTACTGATAATTTAATAGATTTGATAATCTCTCATGATTAGTAAGAAATTGGTAAAGTTATTAATAATTCTAATAATTTTGGAATTGCTAATATTAATTACTTTCGATATTAATTTAGAAAGAGAGTATTAAGTTAGAAATAAAATACTTTTTCCATTATTTTATAAGTAGTAATTAAGTACATTGAATTAATCAAATCGAAAAAATTATGATTATTAATTAAGTTACATATATTGAAATTATTTAATTTAAATAATTAGAAAGTACCTGAAATGTATAAAGATGGGAATACACCTAATAAATGCTAAATAAAAAAATCAGACCTAAATTGATTTTTTCTGTAGAGAAGGAAAAGGATCATTTTTTTTAATTATCAGACTAGTCTCAGGGAGGAACTTAAAGAAAAGAAGAAGAACAACAACAAGGAGAGAACTTTTTATTGAACATTTAGAAGATTCCACAAACTAATTATGAATATTAATTCATGCTAATTTAACAATAATATTAATTATAATAATAATGTAGACTGAAATTAAAATAATATCGCAGCCTCCAAAAAAAAGCGCAAAAGAAATATATTTGGAATTCAAAAAGTGGTTATAGAAAAATGATATTAATTTGAACATTTATTGTATTAAGTTTAAACCAGACATTAAAGATGATAATGTAGAAAATTAAATAAAGAGGTCTCAATTTTGGAACTCAAAAATATAATCTTCTATCTCAGAAAATTCCTTATTTCAATTAATCTAAAAAATTGAACCTAAACTATTAAATGAATCTAAATTCATTCTAGGTAAATAATTAGATTATTGTGAAATGATTGATGACATTCTTATTAAAACTTAAGAAGAGTTATTTGGTGTTCCAAAATGGCATCCAACTATAAGAACTTAATCTAATTAATAAATGTCACAGGCAAGTACATAATGTTATGTATATTTTTATGGATAAGATATATAAAAACTCAAATATTATGAAGATGAAAAAAACTAAAAACAGATAACTCTCTTTGGAAAATAATGTACTTTTAAAGGATCATCATGGAAAAAAGATATACAAATTTCAAAAGAAAATTATGTATCTATTCCAGGAACAGAATGCTCTTTTGGAATTTTAAATAATAAAAAATTTTATTAATATTGGTCAACATTATAAGTTGTTAAATATTACTAAGAGAATTCTATATTATTATAAGATATTAATTTAGAACTTTAGAATACTCAAGTAAGTGTCTATTTTAGTTTACAAATTGATACATCTAGAAGAATAAATTGTTTAATTTAATTTTAAACCAGAAAAGATGGGAATGTTAAAGAAATAGAATACAATAAAACTTACTCTAATGGAGGTATTATTGTTGACATATCAAAAGATGGAACTCAAATTCATTTTTATGTTAAAATAGTTGAAACACCTAGATGTTATATTTAAGAAAATTATGATTTTGATAAATACTAAAATTAAAGGGATATCAAATATTGGAGATGTTAAAACTTTTTGTAAAATGATATCTTTAATATTGTATAATAAGGAATAATAAGATAATAATCTTATTTAAAATTCACAGTAAATCATAATTAAACCACAAATGAAAACTTTTATAATTTTTGTCAGGAAATAGAAAATCAAGGATATTTAGAAAAGTTTGTGGCAGATTAACATATTTAATAAAAAAGAATTTCAGAATTTTAATAAATTGAGTATATTTTCTAAGTTAAACTTTGTTTAAATTGGATGTTATTATCAGCTGCTTATGGTCGATTCAAAATCATTTAACCTAATTAAAATTTTTAAAATTTCATAGATTAAGTAAAAGAGTTTTCTCCATTAACTATTGCATATTAAATAAAATTATTAAAATAGAGGAAATAAGAAAAAAAAGATAAAGACACTTTCTAAATCGATAAGTTTTTAGATATGTAAAAATTTATTCTTATTATTAGTGTTAAAACTAATGCATAAAGACATAATGATGATAAGTTAGATGAAATTCTTTTAGCAGATTTTACACCTTCTGGCATACTTCCTAATTATTCATTATATGAAATACTTCCATTATAAGATTTAGAGATTTGTTCCAAAAAGTAGGTTAAAGGTAAAGCATAATACAAATAAAACAGTCTTCAAGAAGAAATAATCAAAATTAGGGTGAGAGATGAAAACTTTGAAATTTTAAGATAAAAATAGTTTGATAAATAGAAATAAAAATAGATTTTATTTTCAGGCTATTTTCGAGAGTTATTTAAAGAAAATATTAAGATTCTTGATAGAAATTATACTTTTTTTGCTTATGATAGTAGAGCTCTTAGAAAAGGAGAATTCTATGCTATAAATTAAATTTATTTCTAAACTACATATCAATATATGTTTTAATAATTAATGAAATCATATAAAAATAACTAAAGAATAGTAAAATGTTCTTAGATTTAAAAAATATTTAATGAGCATTTAAATTCAATTTATTCATCAGTTTCATTAAGTTAAATATAAGATAAATTATTAGAGATAAGATTTGAGTAAGATTTTTAGAAAAATTACTTACCATAAGGATAACTACTTTATATAAAAGCAGATACTAAATAAATGAATAGAAAAAGGAATTCATAAAACAATTTCAATTATAAAATATTGATGCCTTAAGGAAAAGCCTCAAGTGATGTAATAAAACTGATAAATGAAATAGCATTTGAAGGATAAAATACAGATTTTTGTTGTTTTATAATACGTTATCAAAATTTTAAAGGAATTATAACAAATATGGCTAATTAAAATAAACATGGGTTAATAAGATTGTATGAAAATATGATCTAAAAGCATTCTCCAGCTAATGAATAACTGGAATTATTAAATAAAAAAATATGGGTAGAAAAAAAGAAACTTGATGAAATATAGATATTGGGAATACCTGATTTTAAACCTTGTGTATTGAGGTTATTTTAGATTTTAAACATTATAAATCTTGATAATCCAGGAGGATAAATATTCGAAAAATTTTAGAAATAATATTAAAAATTAAAACAATAAAAATTTATTAATTAAAATGATCCTAATTATGATCCTTTTTATTAAAAAGTTTTAAAAAAATACGAGAGAAAATAGGAATTTTTGTTACCTGTTAAAAAGGGCGCTTATTTAATGGGTGTGTATGATAAATTATTGAATCCTGATGAAGTTTTTATTAATGTTTAAGGTGAGAATGAGAAAAATTGTCAAGTTGTAAAAGATAATCATATCATGATATTTAAAAAGAATTATTTGATAGAAGATGGAATCTGTGTATTTTAGAATACAAGTTAAGAAAATTAAGAAAAATTGAAAAAGCTTTATAAAAATGTTATCGTATTTTCTGTTCATATGTTAGGAGAAAAGTTTCCATAAGATGAATTTGATGATAAATAAAAATTTGTAGCTATTTGGGACCAAAGTTTAATACCAAATGTAGGAATAACTTAATTTGATGGTAGAAATCACTGCAGAAGTTTCAAAAATAATAATAAAGAATAAGATTCAAATATATAAAGTTCTATTAATTAAAGTTTTGACGAAAAAGATTGGATTTCAGGTTTACAAGAATAAGCTATTGATTTTTTTTGTATTTTTCAATAGTCATGCAATTTTAACGAACTTAAAAATATTTACACTAAAGTTTTGTTGAAATATAAATTATATCAAGGTGATAAAAATTTTTCATAAATTTTTGATAAAATAAAAAACTAAATAAAAATTATAAATTTAATAGGAATGAAATTCCCAAGCACCTAAGCTTAAAAAACAAATGTAATATATTTTAATTAAAATAGTATTGTGAGATCTTAGGATGTTTGAAAAGTGTTCATAAAGATATCATAAACGCAGATCTAGCTATTGAATAATATTTTCTAAAATGAACTTATCAAATATTAAAATTTTAAAATAAAAAGAATATTCCGTTATAAGAAGATTCCCATGATTGAATAAAAATCATGTTTAAACTCTCTCCCATTTTGAGAACTTCGATTATATTCCAATAAAAACTTTGAATATCTTAAAAATTGTCTTAAATATTGTAATTGATTAAGAATAAGCTAAATAAATTATACTTATAACGTACATTAAATAAAGAAAAAGAAGTAATCTTAAAATCCAATTATTTTAAAATCAATTAATAGAAATTCTATATTTTAAGTAAATGTAAAATTGAGTCCAAAAAATAATATAAACAGTAATCTAATAATTTATTCATTTAGGGTTGATTTAGAAATGGAGATTAGAAATGGAGATGTTGGAATATGGAAGATCAATATTTCTCTTTAAAATAAAATAAAATCTTTGGAATCAATGCTTATAATTCAATTATAAATTTTTGAATTGTTTATATTAGTTTCTATAAAAAAGCTCATCACTCCGAAGGTTTATATTTAGTTTTTGTTAACTTAGGTTTTTCATCAGAATTTATATCCTAATTTAAATAATTTAAGTACTTTTAAAATAGATGAATAAAATATTGTATTCGTATTCTAATTGCTATTTACTTTTTACAATAATTAAATAAATTTTGTATTGTTGTTAACTAATATTATTTAAATTATTAATTACCTTAATCAGATAATTAGTTTGTTTTTTATGTTGAATTTTCTAATAATTCATTAAATAGTTTCGATAATTTCTTTTAAAAATTTAAATCTCTCATCTTTTTTAAAAAAGTATTATTTTCTACTTATTGTGGCAGTTATTTATCTTTTTTAAGTTAAAAAAGTTACATTATTCTTAAATTTCAAATAAAGTGATTTCAAAGGCTTTTAATTTTTCACTATATTTATTTATTATAATTTTGAAAGGAGCTACATCCATTTAAGTAATTATATTATCAACATTCTCCATAATATCTTTTTTGATATTTTAGAGATCATTTATCTATTAGGTAACAATTGATTTAAAGCTATTAAGATTGATCTATTGAGGAAGATCATTAGAAATACTCAAAGAACCTTGACTTTTAGATTATTATTTATCAAATAAATCATTAAGAAGAGCCTTACTCATAATTTATAATTCATCTAAAATTTTATTTACTTATTGTTTTGGATTTTCAGGATTCAGAGATTATTGTTGAATTACTTTTAGAAATTACATATTTTAACTGATAACATCTCCAACCTTGACAATAAAATCTTTTAACTCTTTTTTTTTAATGATTCCATCAGATTAACTCTGTATGTTAGTAATATATTGAAGTTCTTTTGAGGTATTTTAAGTAAAAGTTTGAAATTCTTCATGTTCATCATCTTATCCAAAAGTGAGCATTTTTCTGTCTAAATCATGATATCTAATTGGCACTCCAGATTGAATAGCATAATCAATAGCACATCTACTACACATTTATTAATAATTGATTTCATATTTCAATTTCTTTTTGTGCATTTAGCAAAAATTCAATTTAATTTCAGTTTATTGTTCTTCTTATTTTTATTTAAGAAACAAGCTTATAACACTGCCTTTGGCAACATTTGGAGTGATATTTCTATCTTATTTGATTAAATGATTTTAGAGTGTAGCTTTTAGATAAGATGGTTTAACAATATTTTCTTTATTTCCTCTATTAGGTGAAGGGTCAGTTGTATATCTTAAATCTTTAATCTAAGATGAACAACTGAACTCTGTTTTTAAATAACTATTAGAAGGTTTACGAGTACTAGTATTTTGAATTTGATTCTTATGCATATATGTTAAAAATTAATTTATAGAGAAAATATGTTTTTAATCTACCAACAATGAAAAATACATATATATACATTTAAGTTTCACTTTTTCTTTTATTTAATTCTTCTTCCACTCTTAAGTTATGTTTATTAATCATCATTATCATCAGATTCTTATTTCTTTTCTTTTTTATTTTTATTAGGATTATTAACTTCTAAATCATGTAATAATTTATCAACTTCTCCCTAATTTAATCTTGTCTAATTGAAATCAACGAGTTCATATTTTCCTTTTGAATTCATTTTAATATTTATTTATTAGAATTCTTCAGCAATCTTTTTCATTTCATCAAATGATTTATATTTAAATTCTTCTGGTAATTCATTTTTACTTCCATCTTATTTTACAACATAACGAAAACATTCATCTAATTCATCATCAGTAAATTCATCTTATTTTGATTCTTTTTTTGGTAATTAAGCAAATTGTAAATTCTTAGTTAAAGATTTAAAAGTTAATCCTGAAGTAATCTTAGCTGTTTTTTCAACCTATAAATTTTAAATATAATCAAGCATCAAATCTTTTAAATTACCTGGAAATTTTAATGGATATCCTAATAATGCATTTGCTTCTAATAAAATTTTTAAATAATTTCTCAAATCTTACTTTGTATATATTTCTCTTCCTATATTTTACATAGATCTTATTATATCCTTTTAATTTATCCCTTACATCATTCTAGTTTATATTATTTTACTTATCTATTTTTTAAAAAGTTCTTACATCACCAAACCTTATTTAACTTAAGAATTTTGCATAATCTCAAACTAATATTTAAAGTTTTCAGATTTTTACTTAAACCTTTATACTGTTTCTTCAAATGTTAGATAATTACTTTATTAAGAATCTTTAAATAAGGATGCTTAAATTGAAAAATTCTAAAAATTATAAAGTTAATCAGCATAAAAGTTGTGAAGTTCTAAATATTTTGTAATATCATCTTAATTCAAATATTTATTAAATTTAGTATTTTCAAAAGGATTTTATCCATTCATTGCTCTTACTCTTAATACATAATCAATTATATAACCTGCTATAACAATCTTTTCCAAAAGTTCATCTTTATTTTTTTAATCGAATTCTTCTTCTTTATAAAATTAAGAATAATCATAATATTTTTCTTAACTTATCTTTGTAATTTGATCTACTAGAAATTGATTTGTAAATAAGAAACATTTATCCATAACTCTTGAAGATTTTTATAAAAGAGCTGCTTAATAATTCACATAATTCTCAAATAAATATTAATGATTTTTCAAAACAGTGTTTCTAAATAAAAAGATAATATCAACAAAAGAATCAGATGGATCTGCTTCAGGTTTCAATATTGCAATTTTCATTTTTTCTAAAGAATCCATAAATACATTTTTTAATTCTTCCAAAGTAAAATTATATACTATATCCTCAATTTATAAAATTTCATCTGGTTTTGATATCATAATCATCATTTTTGGATCATTGCAAGCATAATATGCAATAGACAATTAATCCTAAAATTCTATTTACCTATTTTTAACATAATAAACATATGTTCCATTATCATATTTTGTAAAGAATTCCCTTTACTTTGGAAATACTTTAAGAAATAAATTAGTATATTTATTTTTGCCTAATAATTATTGTTCTGATGTTTCAACAGTTGTATCATTTATCCATTATTTTAAGACTCTATTAGATAGAGTATCAAGTAAAACACACTATCTAGATCAATATTTAGATTTACTTTAGGAGTAAATTATTCTACTAAGGCTAAATTCTATTGTAAAGCCTGAAATGATTTATTTGAAGATGATGCTACATACACTTGATTGCCATTCAAAATATATTTGGACATTTTATTTTAAAAAGGGGCATTTTAAACTCTTTAAAATAGATTCAATTCATTACTTATAAGAGTTATGTACTTTCATANTTTACTTATCTATTTTTTAAAAAGTTCTTACATCACCAAACCTTATTTAACTTAAGAATTTTGCATAATCTCAAACTAATATTTAAAGTTTTCAGATTTTTACTTAAACCTTTATACTGTTTCTTCAAATGTTAGATAATTACTTTATTAAGAATCTTTAAATAAGGATGCTTAAATTGAAAAATTCTAAAAATTATAAAGTTAATCAGCATAAAAGTTGTGAAGTTCTAAATATTTTGTAATATCATCTTAATTCAAATATTTATTAAATTTAGTATTTTCAAAAGGATTTTATCCATTCATTGCTCTTACTCTTAATACATAATCAATTATATAACCTGCTATAACAATCTTTTCCAAAAGTTCATCTTTATTTTTTTAATCGAATTCTTCTTCTTTATAAAATTAAGAATAATCATAATATTTTTCTTAACTTATCTTTGTAATTTGATCTACTAGAAATTGATTTGTAAATAAGAAACATTTATCCATAACTCTTGAAGATTTTTATAAAAGAGCTGCTTAATAATTCACATAATTCTCAAATAAATATTAATGATTTTTCAAAACAGTGTTTCTAAATAAAAAGATAATATCAACAAAAGAATCAGATGGATCTGCTTCAGGTTTCAATATTGCAATTTTCATTTTTTCTAAAGAATCCATAAATACATTTTTTAATTCTTCCAAAGTAAAATTATATACTATATCCTCAATTTATAAAATTTCATCTGGTTTTGATATCATAATCATCATTTTTGGATCATTGCAAGCATAATATGCAATAGACAATTAATCCTAAAATTCTATTTACCTATTTTTAACATAATAAACATATGTTCCATTATCATATTTTGTAAAGAATTCCCTTTACTTTGGAAATACTTTAAGAAATAAATTAGTATATTTATTTTTGCCTAATAATTATTGTTCTGATGTTTCAACAGTTGTATCATTTATCCATTATTTTAAGACTCTATTAGATAGAGTATCAAGTAAAACACACTATCTAGATCAATATTTAGATTTACTTTAGGAGTAAATTATTCTACTAAGGCTAAATTCTATTGTAAAGCCTGAAATGATTTATTTGAAGATGATGCTACATACACTTGATTGCCATTCAAAATATATTTGGACATTTTATTTTAAAAAGGGGCATTTTAAACTCTTTAAAATAGATTCAATTCATTACTTATAAGAGTTATGTACTTTCATATCTCTTTATATAATAAGAGCTAAACTTCCTTTTTTTTTAATTGCCTATTAAACAGTTTTCATAAATTTAATTATGTATCAGAATTTAATTTATAAAAATTTGATGAATATTTAGAAAAAATAATTGATAAATTCATTGCAACATTGTTTCAAGGTTTGTTATGGACATTTTAGGTAAACTAATCGTTTTTTATTGAAATATAATTTTTGATTATATATCTTTGAATTCAATTTATAAAATTCAGTATATGTATGGATATATAGGAAAGATTAAAAATGGATAGATTAAGTAATTTTATAGAGCTTTATAAAATGATTGTATTTTATGATTATTTTTCATAATCAATTTGTAATTTTAGATTAAACGTCTCTCTTGTATTAGGTACTTTAAGAACCTACCTGGCTTGAGTAAATTCTATAGACATCATCAAAAGTGTTTAATTCTTCTTAGAGAGTTTCACTAACTGATTTAAAGTGAGTTTCAGCATTAGATAAATCCTAAAATAAAATATATATTTATATAATACTTCATTAGCTAAATCAATTGAATTTTAGATTTTCTTCAATCTTTCTTTACATGCAGCAGTGGCTTATAAAATAGTGATCAATTAATTTTACAATTTTTCCTATTTTATAAATTGAATGTATTACTAGATTAACATCTTCAGCAACTAAATGTCCTTTAAAAGTTTCATTTTCTTTATTAATTAGTCCTTTAAAATCACTATATCCCATAGCTGAATTGACTTGATTATCTTATTTTTTAGCAAATGTTCCTCTAACTTCATCTTCTAAGATGTCTAAGAAATTTAATAACTCTTATTAAGCTACAGTAAATTAAGAATAATCTTTTCCAGATCCTCCTTAAACGGGAGCCTTTTATCCTTTTTCAATAATTTTATTAAATGCTGCAGCTTCTTTTGCTAATTACTCATTTGTAGCTTTTTCTTCAGCTTCAAATGGATGTTCAGGAACAGGACTTTCTGGTTCATCTACTGATAATGTTTCTTCAATTTCATGATCTATTGCTTCTACTCCTTCTTCTGGAGTTGCAGAAGTTTCTACATCTTATTCAGAATCTTCAATTTCAGTAACAGATGTCTCTTCTGGAGTTTCTGTTACTTCATCATAAACATGAGGTGGTTCATTATCTTCAACTGTCAATTCTGGTTCTTCTCCATCATCACTTAAAAAGGATTTCAATTAAATAAATTAAGCAGATTACAATAGTGTTGGTAAATCAGTCTTATAATTGCATATAATATATGATGTACTTCTTTAGCATTCTTTACAGCTCTTCTTAAGAAAGCTATTAAATTTAATGTTTTCTTTGAATTCTTTATATCATTTATAAAATTAGCATTTGATTCACATCTATTCACATCCAATCTTTATAGTCTCTAATTATTCTCTTTTATTCTCTTCTCTAACCAATTAATATAGCTAAGTGTTATTCTAATATCACGTTCTTTATTTGCCCATTCTTAATCTCTTCTATTACATTCACCTCTTTATGTTGATGCTGAACGTTATAAATCTTTAACAATGTCTTCTTTTTACTTATCGAAAGTCATATTATATACAATACATATCTTGTCTATGCCCAATCACTCTCTAATTCTTATAATTGCTTTGTTGTTCCATTTTTTAAATCACCAAGCATCTTTAATACAACATCTATTTCATTTGATTGACAGTATGTTCCTATCAGCAACAATGCCATTATTCCAAAAACCTTCATTTTATTAAATTATCACACAAAAACGGTACATTTGTTTAGTTTTAATTTATATTATATAAAAATTTATCATCTTTCTCTCTTCCCTTTTTCATGCTACTCACTTAAAATTTAGAAATTATTCATTTTTATCTTTTATAAATACAAATAATTATCTCTTCAAAATTATTATATACTGGATATATTTTACAAGATTAAAACTTTCATAATTTGTAATATTCACTATTATAAAATTTTAATTTTTTTCTCCATTTGAATCTGCCTTAATTATAAGTCTTATATTCTTTACAATTTCTCTATAAATCATGCACAATAACTTTTTTTTTAATTGTTTAATAATTTTATTCGATTTAAACATATTTATTAGTCATGATTTTTAAAATCTGCCTTATTCATTATTTCTTATACTATTAATATTGATGTATTATTTTGATACTTTGACATACATCACTATCTGAACTATTTTTTTTGTTTTAATCTTTAAACTTAGATAAAATTATCAATTTCAGTTAATGTTCCTTATTTTGCTAATTTTATACAGTATAATGTCCTTTATTTGTTTAAATTTACTTCTATATTGAAAGACTTCCAAAAAATATTGATCTTGATTTTTTTCATTATTCTTAGACCTAAATAGCAAAAGAGGAAAAATAAAGTTAAGGTCTTATTTAGAAATTGTAATATATAATTATAAAATAGATAATTGCTCATAATCCCCGAGAAGCAATTCTTGATTTTTATGAAAGTTGGTTAGATATTTCTAAAGTTGTTTCACATTTCATTTTTCTTCTTAGCAATAGGGTACTCTTTGAAATATCTTCCAGTTTAAAAGAAAATCTATAAAAATAATTCTTTCTTAGATGAGACTTATTCTAAATTCTGCATTCATTTGATTCTTTATCATTAGCCCTCTTTTATTTTATCACAGAACACCCCATTTATTGATTAAATTATTCAGATTTAATAATTTTGGAAATATAGGCTTTATACTGAATAATATTGAGCAAGTCATATTATCAAATTTATTATGGTGAAATTCAAGACTAAGAAGATAAGGAATTGATATTCAAAGTCTCATTGAATTTATTAATAGTTTGTCTCGAATCTTTTTAATTTATAATCGATATATTTTATATATTGTAAAAGAAGGAAGAAATAAATTTACATCGTCTGAAAACATTTATAATAAATACTAGATTGTGCTTTATCAACTATTTAAACATTCATTGATTCCTTTGTTTTAAATCTGGAATCTTTGTGAGAAAATAATTCTTAACAAAGGTTGCTTGCTTATTAATATAATTAATTAAGTTTATTAAAAAAACAAACTTCACTTGTTTTTCTTGACTTAATTGAATCTATGATAAAGTTTTTCTGTATACTACCTAATTTAAATATGTCTATGGTTTAAATATTTACTTTCTTATTTAAATATAATTCAGATAAAAAAATTAACTTGAATAAAATAAAAACAATTAGGTTCAAGATTCTAAAAAAATTATGGTAAATTAAGAAATCATTTGCAATTGATCTGAAAGTTAAATTAAAAAAATGATTTTGTAAAAATTGTAATTTGGCTTTTAAACATATAATTCTAGTTAACTTAGGCTAAAAATTTACAGTTAATAAACTAAATAAACCGATTGTTAAAATGAAAATACGATATAATTATCATATCATTATTTAGAGTATAAAATTCATTAATATATGAATCAACTCTCGTTAATGTTACAAATTAGGTTTGAATATTTTATTGAAAGAAAGTGATAATAAATAACAGCATATAGCTAACTTCAATTATATTCGTAAATGTTACTAAATTAGCATAAAATAAAATGTTTAGACAAATGAAAATTTTCATAAGAATGATTAAACTCAGTTTTTGCAATATTAAAAAAATTCTAAGTTTTATTAACTTATAGACTCTAATCAATATCTTTAATAAATTTTAAGTTTTAGTATTATTTAAAGATAACATTATTGAAAGTAATATACTTTCAATTATTTATATTCGATCTGAAATGAATCTTACTTGAATATCATTTTTAGATAGATTTATGATAGAAATAAAGAGTTGTATATTAAATAGTTAGAAAGAGAAGAATATGGAATAAAAATATTTTAATAATATTTCAATGCTTAAATAACTTTAACAAGGAACAAGGAAACAAGATATCACTATCCAAATAGGCTTGACCCAAATAAAAAGCGTTAAAGTAAAAGTTTATATGTTGTCTGTATCTAATCATTTAGCATTCCCATAAAACATAACATAATATTAAAAAATACACCGAGAACCAAGTAAAGACTTCTTACCAAGTATAAACAGCATAAACTGTATTAACTGATATTTCCTAAATCATAAATATAATTAAAGCTCTTAAAAATCAATGAATTCTTACCTCCACCAATAATCCTTTGCTAAAAAACATTAGATTTTATTTTTTCTATCGATTTGGAATAATAAATAGATAATTATAAAATCAAAAGTTAGCATTACATGTACTATTTCAAGGTGAATATATGGAAATCGGAAGATTATGTAGATTGATAAAAATGTTCTTGTAAAAGAATGAATCATCTATAAACTTAGATTATATATCAAAATGTACATATAACAAATAATTATATGGAGGTATTTTCCAATCATCCTGCTTAAATTGAATTTGAACAAGACAATATAAATAAAGAAATATCAATAAAATATCATAAGGATATCTAATCAGATCAGCTATATCTTTTCCAAACTTCAAAAAATAAAGTAATACTAAAATCCAAAGTGAAAATATATTTTATAAAGCAAGCATAATTATATACATTCCTTAGATATTTTTGATCTTCATATAAATAAATTTCTACTTTCTCCCAATCTATATCTGATTCCTACAAAATCTAATCTAATTATTTTATTATTTTTGCTTCTTTTTTGTCTAATTTTATTTCTTCAATAGCCTAAGATTATAAAGGCTAAACTTCAATCATACTTTCTTCTTATTCTTCACTTCTATCCATATAATATTTAAACAACTAAAATAATTAATTAATCAAATTATAAAAAAGCTGAATTTTTTAAGTGACATAAAACTAATGAAAAAAATATTTAAATATCACTACAAGTAGAAATATTCTATATTGAAAGAGAAGATAAATAATGTTATTAAGTTTTCAACATAATATTGAAATTTATAATCATCAGATTATACTATTTTTACCTTTTATGAAAACAAATTGTTATTTAATTTTAAGCAAATTGATGTAATTTACATCTGAAGAATAAATAGTCCTTACCTTATAGATATAAATAAATCTTTTAGTCTTGCTTAATTTATAAAGTAGTGTTTAAATTATTCAATAACAAATATATTTATAAATTAAAATATTATAAGAGATCTTCAATGTTATAAGGTTTCTTTAGAACATGAAAAACTCAATAATTTACTCTAAAAATATGAAAAATAAAATTAATTACATTTGATAGATATTAATAATCTAGCAAACTAGAATACAAACCTGCAGTATATATTGTAGACTAATTGATTTTCTTATAAATCTATTGTAATTATTATTTGCTCTTTAAATTGGTTATTGATGATTTTATACTTGGTCCAGCCTGATTATAATAATTTTTTTACTTCAAATTCATCTGATTATCTGGTACGATGAAGTTAAGAATCAGGTTTTTGTTATTCTTCAATTAAATTTAAAAGATTTTTATTACTCATTATTTAACTTTCATTACTTATTTAAACTTTTTAAATTGGTGTTTAACGTGGGCTTGATTAAAATAATGTTCTAAGACCTTTATTATGTTATTTTTATTATTTTTTTGGAGATTTTGCCATTAATTGTCGTTAAAATTCAGTTAAATTTTTAACTTATTATTGCAAATCTGCTATCAATTAATTTTTTTCTGTTAACTCTTTTTAATATTGAAGTATTTAATTTTAGTATTTCGAAATATTTTCATTAGTAATAGAAGAATTAATTTACAAATTTGAAATTATTTAAGAATTTTATCGAGAATTTTAAGATTATCTTGACTCACTTAAATTGAATTCATTTTATTAATTCAGGTCTCTTCTACTAGATAGTCCTTTATCCAATAGAAAACTCTAAGTTTCTGTTGCATTCAATTAATCTTTATATTAAACATTTTCATCATTTAATTTAGTCAATGTAGAATTAAGCTTTAGTATATAAGTTAACAAAAAATACTTTTTGAATTGAAATTTTTAATTAAGCAATTTCTTTCATATATTAAGCTCCATTCTCTTAAGCCTACTTTAATTCATTTTCTCTTAATGATATTCTATTTTATAATAATTTTAATTCATTTTATAATTTTTTATTTTCCATCTCTGATCTGTTATAAAGACTTTATAGATCAACATTATTCTAAAGTAACTATTAATGTTAACGATTTAAATATTGATTGTTTTACTCAGAATATTGAATAGATTATTAAAATTGCAAATTAGATTAATAAGCATTATTTTATTAATGCTAATTTTGGAGTTTTTCAACATTATAAATCTTTTCAAATTAATCAAAATTGTTTGTAGAAGCAACTTTTTTCATCTATAAATTTTCAACTTAGGTTTGTGATGATCTTCAATTTATAAGAACATTTTTATTACCTATGAGAATTTGGAATTATGTAATAATTATTAGGATGAATGACTTCTGATGGAATTTTGTTATGAGATTATCTCTTTTACATTATTATTTATTTATTTTTATAAAAAAAACTATAAAATAAATCAAACTAATAGATGATCAAATTATTTATTATTTTAAATAAAAGTTCTTACTTCATGTAATTCATGAAATTACTGTTTCTTTAAAAGGGATTTTGCTAAATCCATAAAATTTTTATATAAAAAAAAAGAAAATTCTTTATGTCTATTTTTTACAGATTTTTAAGCCCATTTATCAAACTCACATAAAGAATCTTCAATATCGTAATTTGAAAATTTGGTTACATAATTATTCCTTAATGTTGGTTCACCTGGGAATGTGAGAATAAGATGCATTAGTACTACACCTAAAGCTTAAAGACATTATTATTTATATTATGTTAAATCCTGTTTGAATTATTTTTACATATCTTAAAAATCTGAGTATTAATGATTTAGGTCTGCCAACATTACCTCATTTATATAAGATAAGATTTACTTAAATTTCTCCAGTGATACTTTTAGTAACCATTATGCTTTCAGGTTTTAAATCTCCATGAATAATTTATTTTTGTTATAAATATTCTAACCCTCCAATAATTTACAATATTATTTCAATAATTAATTTGCTTTTCTATTCTAATGGCATAGGATTCATATAAAAATAAGAATAACTCAAAAGGTTTTTAGTTTGTGAAATATATCCTGGATAGATGCAATATTCAATTTATGTGTAAAGGTAGAGTTGTTAATTTTTTGATTCAAGCCACCAGTCATAAAGTCTGATAATGTTTGGATGTGAGACACGTTAAAGTATACGTGCTTCTTGAATTGTTAAGTAATCTTAATTAGAACTTTTTGTATTAAATATATCTTAAAATGTAACATTTATAGGAATGTCTTACAATTAAATCTATAATTAGGTTGTTTTTTACTCGTTTAACAAAATATATTTAATCATCCATTGGCTTATAGACATGATAAGTTGTGCTTTATTTCTGTTTATCAAATTCTTCATTTATAACAATAAACTCATTTTTGAATTTATTGTTTCGTAAAAATTAGTTTTTAAAATCTTACTACACATTTAATTCTTTCTAAATATCAATATTGAAAAAAGATAAAGTTAATCTAGCACGCTCATTTTTTTGTTCAATTGATATTTTCTTATTCAAAAAGCATTCTACTATTGCTTTATTGATAAATATGAATGCTGTAGATTTTATTTATAAAGTCGATGTGATGAATCCAATATTTATATCTTAATAAAAGATTTTAAAGAGAGTTGATTATTAATTCTCTATTAGAAAAGATTAATTTTACTTTATATTCTTGAACTGATTAAAAGTAATTAGTATCTTGAACTAGTCTTTTTTTAATAGCTTTCTTAATAGCTTTAACTACCATTGTAATATGTCTAAAAAATGGATCATCGCTAGAAAAATTAATTGTAATCAATGAAATAACAAGCAATTGTTGAAATTAATTAAATTCTTCTGAAAGTAGGAAATCATTTTTTTCTTTTAGATTTTCTTCCTTTTTATCTAGAAGATATACATTACAAGTGTTAACATGATTTTATTCTTATCTGTATTTGGAATTTCCACTTTTTCATTTTGTATTTCATCAAAAACTTCTTCAATATAAAAATTACTAGTCATCAATTCATCTAATTGCTAAATATAATCCTAAATATTAATTTACTTCTATGCTTTTATACTATTACATTTTATATTATAAATAATATTTAAAAATATATAAAATACATAAATTAAATTCAAATGCTCATTAAACTTCTTCTACTATTATTATTATTCATGTTATCATTTGAAAATTAATCTGGAATCCAAAGAACTAAATTTCTACAGCCACTGGCCATTAAAAAATGAGTAGGACAAAACTTAACAACTTTACATCTTTTTTAATGTCCTTCTAATCTAGCTATTTAGGTTCCTAAAGGAAAACTCCAAATATGTATAGTTCCTGTTTCACTTCCACTTATTACATAATTGCAATCAGGAGTAAAACCAGCCTCTATCATTGATCCTTGATTACTGAAATCACTTAATTCACAAATCTAATTATATAAATTAAATTATTTTACTGTATCTAAAGTATAAGCATCTAAAATTAGTATTGTGCCATCTCCTGTAGAACATAAAATATATTTGTTGTTATTACTAAATTTAATACATTTCACTTAACTAATATTAATCTTTTTAGATTAAAATGATCCAGAATGATATTTTTTAAAATCATATAAGTATAACCAATTATTTGATATACAATAATATTATTCCAAAAACACTACCGCAAAAACATATCCTGATGGATCAAATGCAGCTACACAAAATGTTTTTTTAGCAGATAAATCTAATAAACCGTCACATGTTTAGTATTCAGATGCTAAATTCCATAATCTTAATGTTCCATCCATACTACAACTTAAAAAATCATCTGAGACAGGTGATAAATCTAGCCAATGTATTCTATCAGATAAGTAATTCAATTAAATTTTACATGTTTGTATGTCCAGTGAACTTTTTCAATATTTAATTATCATGTAATGACCAATAATAGATATCATAAGGCTCTTTTTTTGTAACACATAATACACATGAATTATGATGTGTAAATTTGACAAGATCTATTTCCTTTACCTTATTGTAAAGTGTTCTCATTTTCCTATTAATCAAAAACTAATTTACTTTCCCTAATGAACATCATAGACATTTAAAGCTTAATCATCACAAGAGACTAAATATTACCCGTCTTTTGAAAAATCAATGGCATTTATATCTTTTTGCTAAATTTTAGAATTCTAATCTTACATGGTCTTTGAAAATCTTGCACATTTTCATTGATTACAATTAATCAGAAGTAATCTATACTTCCTATTCTTCATGCATCATTTTAATAATATAAATTTATTATCATAATGATGATATATATTTTCAGATATAGAAGTTTTTAATCATTAATCTCATATAATGAGATTCCATAATTCATCAACTTGATTATTCATATTAATATATATATATATCAGATATTGCCACATTAGCATCAAACAACAATCAGACGGTAATTCCATCTACATTTATTTTCATCACAAAATAAAAAGTTAATTAAATAAATATCTGAAAATATCAATCCATTAATTAGCTTTTAAATATAAAAAATAATTAAAAAAACAAAAAGAAATAAATAATTACATCAACAACACCCTCGACTATTTTACGGTTAATTCTATTATTGTTAATTTAAATTGTTGTTCTAATTATAAGGCTATTATTGTTTCATATTCATGACTTGCTCACAAATTGAAATAAATAATCTATCTACATTTTCAGATGTTTTAGCTGAAGTTTCCAAAAATTATGCATTAAACGATCTCGCTTTCTCTTGACCTTCCTATTTGCTAATTTTTCTTTTATTTGGTATATCTGCCTTATTTCCAACAATTAATTTTTATACTGTTTTTCTTCCATACCTTTAAAAAAATGCTTAAATATTCAATACTTATCAATATCCTCAATCCAACTATCCACTGCATCGAATGTAGATCTTTCAGTCACATCATACACAATTACTACCCCATGAGCATCTCTATAATAATTATTTGTTAAAGCTTTAAATCTTTCCTAACCTGCAGTGTCCCACTTTAATAATTTTATAAAATACAATCTGTAATTTCACATCTTAATTTCCTATTTTAATCACTCTAGTTTTCTCTAAATAAAATTTATTTATACGAAATCTACACCAATAGTGTTGTAATATTGTGATGTAAAATAATTTTCAGAATATCTCATTAAAATACAGGATTTTCCAACGTTGCAGTTTCCAACTATCACAACTTTTATAAGGGTATCACTATAATCTCAATAAATATTACTAAGTATTAGGGTTTTTATTCATATAAGGAAATATGAAAATTAAATAAAATATTAACTTTACACATTAGAAACATTTATTTATTATTAAAAAACTTCTTATTTATTTTAATTATAAACCAAAAATAAACCTTTTAGATCATATTTTGAGTGAAGAATTTATAATTTAAAATATATATGCATTTCTTAACATTTTTAAATATATTCAAAATTTTTAGACTAAATACTTACTGAAGAGTTCATAAACAAGAAAAGTAATGCTATTAGAAGGTAATACTCTGATTAAATCAGGTATGAGACCTTTATAGAAGCCTTTAATTGAGTCTTACTCATAAATAGCTTTACAAATATCAATAATTCTAATTCTAGAGCCTAATCCATTTTTATATATAGTTTTATTATCATGTAATCTTGTTCGAATAACTACATGAGGATATGTTGCAATTACTGCAATAGCTAAATTAAATATTCAAATTATGTGTTTTACATTTGGATAATATTGAAGCTTTTAGAATATCAATTGGTGATAACTATCCATACTCATCAATATAATCTGCTTTAAGTTTTTCATAAATTGGAAATTAAACAGCTACATGAGATAATCCTATAACTGTAGCACCTAAACCTTTATATAATGCAAAAAATCCTTCCTATGATTAAGAATTTTAATATACTTCTTTATACATTGTAAATAGTCCACCAAATACTGATTTATATTTAATATGATTATGGTCATGTAAATATTCTGTTTGCATTCTAGTTCTAATTAGCTAAAATAGTAAAAACTAAAAATATACCCAAAGTGGATTAGTTATTAAATCACACAAAAATCCTGTTAGAACAGTTGCAATTGCATGATTATAAAAACCAGAGATTTAATATTTGATTTCCAATATTTCCTTATTCCATTTATATATAGGAAAGAATAGAGAATGAAATAAAGGATTTGCTATGGCAGTTGCTCGATAACCTATTTTAAAATTTAACAAGCTTTTATTACCTTTATAATAACCATAAAATCCTTCTTCCTTAAATATTACGTAAAGTGTATTAAGAAATCCACTATATTTGTTAACAGATTTAGTTGCATTCTTAAAGTGTATATTTATGATACCTATAAATTTAATCGACTTCTAGCAACTTCTAAAGGATGGCACACAGTTACACTAATAAATCCACCTACTAAACCAGCAATAAAATGATTCCAATATAGATTTCTTTATTTATCCTAATTCATTTTATTTTAATATTATTTAAATTCAAAATATGAATATGAATGACAGTTTCTTTGACAATATAGAAGTTGTGAATTAAAATGTATCTACTTACAGCAAACCATAAACCATTTGTAAATCTTTGGAACGTTCTTTTGCTATTTGCAGTAATCCACCTAAGTATGTATGCCTTTTAAATTTATAATTTCAGCAAAATTATTCAGCAACAAACTTAATTTCAAAAAGATACTGCTATTCAAAGACATCAATCATATAAATTAGATTATTTCTTAAAGTAATAAACTAAAAGCTCATAAAATAATACTTAATCAAAAAGTTATCATAGTATTAAATAATAAGATTACAATTCTAATAATTTAATTCAGAATCCATAAAGTATAAGAGTAATATTAATTTAGAATCCTATTTAAAGTAGTAAATGAGATTAAAAATTAACTTAGAAAATGATGCTTATTAATCTAATTTAAGACATAAAACATCCTCTTCACATAATACAACTAACCCTTATTAGTCATCTTTAGCAACATTAATGAAATGACAGGTAATTTATAAACTAAATCAAATAAGATGCAAAAATAATAATAAAGTCTAGCTAATATTTGTAAGACTTTTAACGATGACTCTAAGCCAAGAATTTCATCCACACATAGATAATCTATAATTCCTTCAAAATTAACACAGAGATAAGATTCCTTAAATATAAGAAAGAGTAATTCATTCTATATGCAGGAATTTAGAAAGGTTTTTAGTAAAACTAAATACAGTGTCCACAACAATATTTGAATTAAATATATCTCTATTTCAATTATAAAGTTTAAATTAAAATCAATACTATTGTTAAATTTTATTATTTTTATCTGTCTTATAATTTAAGATAAAAAAATTATTCACTCATTTTTTATATTATCGTAGATAAATTTTACAAAAATTATAGAATTATTATAATAATGTTGAAACATATAAATTGACTCATATTTCGTTGATCTCCCACAAAAATTCTTATTTCTTCATCATTTCAATTTACTATTTTTATATCACCTAATTTATTTGATAACTCATATTTTTTCGAGAGTCTACAATTTATTTTTAAAGTAGGTTTTCAATCAAATTCATTATTCACTAAAATACTTTCCTTATTTAAGTAGCAATATCTTCTCTTTCAAAAGAAAAGTTAAATTTATAATTATTTCATCCTTTGATAATCAACTCATTCCAATTTTGAAGTCTTCTAAGCTTCTTAGTTCTTGAAATAATCTATAATCATAGATTAAACAGAAGATGCTATTAAAATAAGTTAATATCCACTAAAAATAATTAAAACCTTTTTTAAGCCTTAATCATAACATTAGCTTCACTCTCTAATTTCAAAAATATTATCTACTATTTTAATTCTTATTTTTTAATTCTTCAAAAAATAATCTTGTTTTTTAATAGGCAATTTTAATATTTATGTACAATTTTTCAAAAATTAATTTAATTTAGAAATATTATTAGAATTTAGAAAGAAGAATATTATTATTAATAATTTTATTTTATCTTTTAGTAATAAAACAAAGATGGCTTTGATATCGGTTTTTCAGTGATTCAGTTTTGGATTAATTTCTAAAATTCATCAAAATTTTCATTTTTTTATATCATTAATTTAAATTAAATTAATTATATAAAACATTTATTTTTTCAAATATAGGTTCCTAAATCAAGTTTTTCTAGATTGATAAAATTAAATCTTAAGAATGGAAATAGTATATAATTTTTAAAAGATAGTGATTTTTATGATATGAAATTTAATGTAAAACTAACAAATAAATAATTTTATATTAATATCAATTAAATAATGAAGAGATAAAAAAAATCGACGACAACAGTAGATATATATTATTTGGAATGCCTTATTAATAAACTTATAAGATCGAATACAAATAATTAGCTTAATCCTTAATCTCTAAGAAATCATATTGATAATCAATTAAACATATCTAAACGAGCTACTTTACGTAAGTATGATAATGAATAAATTTAGATAAATAAAATCCATAATAAATTGAAAACAAAATATAGGCGAGTTCTTTATATTAACAAAAAAAATTGCATATTCATTCTAGGCCTTTTTCAGAAGGCTAAAGCAGAAAATTTCATCAATTTAATTTAGAGGATTAACCTACATTACCAATGAAAAATAATTTATTAAAGTAGATAAAGAATTAAATGATGTTTACTCGATAATAATTATGGAGTAAACAAGAGAATAGAGAAAACAAACAACAATCTGAGATAGTTAATCCATTAACAGTTTCAAAAAAGCCAATAAAAATATTTTCTATAAATCTTAAGGCATCTTTTAAACAAGTTTCAAACACAAGTAGATTGAATACTGGGTTGAATCTCAGTAACTAAAGAAATTTCTCTCCAATTAGAACATTTACAGATAGGCCTTAAGTTGATCTAACTGGTTGGTAAACGAAAGAGGATGTAGAATGGATATGAATTTCTTATAATCATTTTGGTTTTAAATAATAATAAATTATTTTATAATGGGAAATTAATGGATTAAAAATTATGATATAGATAAAAAGCCATACATAACAGGAGGTTAAAACTCAGTATGGTAAAGTAATGAAAAATAGAATTAATATAGTTCATAATGCTAAAAAACATAAAGAAGAATTTTCTGTTTTTATATTTGATAAAAGAAGTGTTCTTAAACTTGTGAAAAATGAAAAAGAAAGAGAAATGATATATGGCACATTAAGAAGAGAAGGAGAAAAGCTTGCTTCTATTAGACATCCATGTATCCTTTCAGTTATTGAAACACCTGGAGAGGATCAAAAAAGAATTGTTTGTGTTACAGAAAAAGTTATTGGTACTTTAAATTCTATTGTGAAAAGTAATATTCTAGTATATTTATGTTTAGATGATAAATTAAATTCATGCAGCATAATGGATGTGAAATTAATTTTGTTATAAATCATAGAAGGATTAAGTTTTCTACATAATGATGTAAAATTAAATCATTTCAATCTTTCGCCAGATAATATATATGTAACTACTGAAGGAAAAGTCAAAGTAGCTATTCTATTGAAATTTAGATTGGAGGATTTATTTTCAGTTAACCAAATCCTATGGGAAATTCAATTAATGTGGATATTGATTTAATTCCAAAGCCATATGATAAATAATTATAACTCTATCCAGATTTAGCTTATATGGCTCCAGAATTAACTTTAAATCCATCATTAGGATCTTATCAATCAGATATATTTTCATTAGGATTGATGTAAAAATATATTAAATTAATTTAGATTAGCTGGTTTATTAAGATTACAATTATCAGGAATGAAAGACCTTACTTTATTCTAAATTTCACATATCACCTAATATTAATCTAGTTTTGATTGTCTCTTACCATTTATATAAAAAAGCCCTTTTTTTATTTAAATTTAAGATCAATCATTAAAAGATCTTATTATTAAGATGTTGAGTAAAGAATTAAGTTAAAGACCTACTATATTGGAAATATATCATCATGAATTTTTTTTAGATCCTTTAATTAGATTGATGCATTCACTTAAATAGTTTTAATAATTTGATTCTGAGCAATAAGCAGCATTACTAAAATAAATATCAAAAAGCATTTATAAAGTATATATTTATAATATTTATGAGTTTGAAAGATAAGTAATTATTAGAAATATCTTACCAAATATTATGCCATTAATAACTAATGAAAAATTGATGCAACATGTAATCTTCATAGCAATTGATGTTTCTAAAATGCCTGATTAAACTATTCAAGATAAATATGTTAATTTATGTTGGAATTACATTAAAAAGGTATCTGGATTACCAAGTATGCCTGCTCAAGCTCTTTATTGTTTAGTATAAAACATAAAATAGTTTTATGAAATTAAAATACCTGATAATGAAATTTAATCTCATCTTATTCCTCTATTTGTCAAATGTTTTGAATCTGATGTGGCTAAGCTTTAAGAAGTTGCATTAAGCTAAACTTAAATGATCATGGAAAAAATTGAATATTAATACACAAAAAATAAAGTATCAAAAATATATAATTAAAGATATTGCCTAGATTGTTATAATTATGTTTGGATTCATCCAACAAGGAAGTTAATTTATTAGCATTATAAGTATTGAGCAAAACCTAGCATATATTTGATAAAGTTTCTATTTCTGATACTATTTTACCATCTTTGGAAAAATTTAGAAAAATCACTGCTCCTAATAAAATATAAGCTTAATTATTATTAGAGATCTATAAATCATTTTTGCAGCATCTAAATTATGAAGTAATTATTAATAATAATAAAGCAAATTGTAACTAGATTACTTCCTTAATTATTACCTTATATAATCGAATTAAATATTGGGAAATCATTAATATAAAAATATTCAGAATTACTTTAAAGTTTAATTTAGAAAATAGCTGTTGAGAGAATGTCATGTTTACCTGAAGATATTGATGAATAATAGTAATCACAATCATAATAATCATAATCATAATCATAATAATAATAATAATAATAATAACAATAATAATAATAATAACAATAATAATAATAATAACAATAATAATAATAATAACAATAATAATAATAATAATAGTCAAATCTAAATCTAACTTTTTAACAATAAAATTAATTTGAAAGATCAAATAATAGCTATTAAAATATTGGTGATTTTAATTTTAATCAACTTTAACCTCAATCTTTATAATTAAATCAATCAAATAGCAGTATTTCTCCAACCGTAATAGGCATTCCTTAAAATGAAATTCTTGAAATAAATTAATTAAATATTGCACTTAATCCAATTTCATAAGGATTAATATAATAATCAACTTAAAATAACACTTAAGTTTATACTTCCCCTATCATTGGGATTCCATAAGAAATTATTTAATAATAACCTCTTAATTTTGATTTTGCAAAACCATTCGATCAATCTTATTCTTAATAATTTAATATTTAATCAAACTTGAATTTATTGAATTAAGATGATACTAAATGGAAAAGTTTATAAAATTAAGAACCAAGCAATCCTCTTCAAACTAATAATTAATTACTTAATTTCGATAATCCATTCTAAAAAAATCAAGAATAACAACAAAAGGTAGTTATGAATAAATACAAAGAATTTGATAACATCAATCTTTTAGATGAATAATCTCCATAAATATCATAACAACCTTAACTAGTAAATAACCTTCAATTATCAGTTGATCAATAGTAAAACTAAGAATAAAATAATAATACTAGTTAGGATAAACAAATGAATATTAATATTAATTTTGATCCATTTTAGAGTTGGGGGAAATTCTGATTTTAATCTAAAAAATCAAAAATATATATATTATAAAATTAATTTTATAAATTTTATTTAAATTTACAATTCCATATTTTTTGTAAAATCATGGATAATCTTAGCAAAAGTAATTTAAATATTAAAAAGTGATTTTATTAATTGAAGAACAATTATTTGATAATAATTATTAATAAAAAAAAGTAATTTAAAAAATTAATATTAAAAATCTTAAATTGAAAAAAATAACTTGTTAGATGAAGATAAGTCAGAAATTAAATTAAATTAAATTAAAAAATAATAAATCAGAATCTTTATTCAAGAAATAATTAAAATAGTTTATTCAATCTAATCTAATTACTTAAGAAATAAATATGATATCCCATATTCTACTGTATTTATACTGGTTGAAGACACTGATGGAATAATAATTTATATTACAGTTATCGAGAAAATTCTAGGTATCTTGAAATATATACATCCAATCATAAAGAGGATAATCGTTTTAATGTGCTTGTTAGATTATAGTTTACCCTTCAGTCAAAATTAAAATATTTTTTGATTAAATAGCCTAATGGCTAAGCATCTCAAGAGATATTTAATATCTTTTAAAAGGAATAAAAACTTTCTCTATTTAAGGAGAAATAAAAATTAATTTATTAGGCAATATGAAATTTGATTTAAAAACAATTTTATATTTTATATGCAAGTTTAATGTTTGAACAAGCAAAAATAATAATACTATGACATAACCTAATAATATTAAAACCTACTGGAAATGTTTTAAGTTCGTAGCTTTTAACTATATTTGATATCTATATGATTAAGAGTAATAAATCTTATTCTAAATATTAATTCTAAACTTTTAGTAAAAAACTTTTTTTTTGTCAGCATATTAAAATAAATAAATATTAACAAAATTTTAGAAATTTATAAATTTAGGTTAAAACTTTATTTTATTAATGTATTGAGTCTGAAAATAACTCAATATTATATTTTTATTATAATTTAATTAATCTTTGGATGAAGAGAGAGTAATTTAGAAAAAACTGGTTTCCAAACTGGGTTTTAAAATAACATGATTAATTTATTCATTATTAAATGATAAATTAATTCAATTTTAATACTCTTCGTAGATTAGAATTCCTAATATTAATCTGTCAAATATTTGAATTTTAAAGAAAACAAATTTAAAAATTGCAAAATTTAACGTCATTATTACTTATCAAGGGAAGTTCAATTTTTAATTTAATTCAACAAAAATATTGAAAAAATCACCCCTTGAATACAAAAAATTAAATTATGATAGTATTAAATCACATTTAATATATTACACATTTTTAAGAGATTAAGAAAAAATCCATTTGAATTCTTTATATATAAAATTTATTATAAATAAATAAATTAAGAATGGATCTTTGTGTATTTGGAGTGGATGATGGATATGCAGAAGCAATAATAAGAGGTCTTAGAGCTAGTTTTTTAACTGAAGCTCAATATTAATAAATGAAGAATTGTGCTTCAATTCCTGAATTAAAATCATTTTTAGAGGAAACAGATTATCAAGTATTTAGAAATATGAAATATAGAATTGTTTATAAGCTGACAATCCATAGATTCCAACTTCAATACTGAGATAAAGGTTAAAGAAGAAATTGGCTGATGAATTTGAGTATATAGAAGCATAATCTACAGGAACACTTACAAAGTATTTGTTCCATTTGAGGTAATTAATTTAATTAGTAGAACAGATGTCGTTTTATGATAGATAATGTAGTTAATATGATAGAAGGATTGAAGAATAAAATTGATATTGAAATATTATTGAGTAATATTGATCCATTAGGTTGGTTTCCTGAAATAAAAAATATTAAAGTGTTGGAAGGAGATGATTATAGTAGTTTATATAGAGATGTTTTAATTGATACACCAATAGGAGTGTATTTTATGAAATTTTTGGAAGAATCTATAGAAAACTTGCATGAAAATAGGACATTGAATGATATTTAGAACTTATTTAGAGAAATGAAACCAGAATATATTAGAACATCACTTAAGAAGATGTGGTTAGAAGATTTTTATTCTTTTTGTGAATCTGAAGTATAATGAAAGAATATTAATAAATAGTTGATGCCCACTTCTTAAGAAGCATTATTAGAATTGTTAAAATTTGAAGCAGATTTTAAAACAGTTTAAGTGATTTACAATTCAATAGGAAATAGAGATTTGAATACAGCTGCTAAGATTATTACAACAAGGAAATAATTATGTCCAACAATTGGAAATTTATATCCAGATTGTGAAAAAGTATATTTATAGGCAATGACATTGGATGCTTTAAGAGAAGCAGTGAAAGGTTGTGATAATTATAGAGATTTATTGAAGGATGCACCTGATCCTTTAAAAAGAGAAGAGTTTAATGTATAAACAAAGTAATTAGAATATTATATAATTAAATTAGAACTCTTGATGATATTATGTATGATGATGAATGTAGACGCTATGCACTTTCTTTTGATGGATAAGGATCATATGGAGTATTTTAATATATAATTTTTAGGTGTTTTATGCATATTTAAAATTGAAAGAATAGGAAATCAGAAATATTATTTGGTTAGCTGAAATGATTTCGAGAAAACTAGCCAAAAACCATCCTGGATGGAAAAAAATAATTATACCTTTTAGTCATTTAGGAAAATGAGAATTTATAGATTATATATATTTAAATATATAAAGTGTCATTTGATATAAAAAGGATTATCATATATAAGAATTATTTTATTAAGGAATTGTAAGAATTATTAAGAGACTTCTAAGGAAATTAACAGATAGACTTTCAGAATACACGTGTATATTAGAGAGTTTCAAAATATTCTAGAATATTTATTGATTTTATTAATGATAAAATACTTAATCCTTTGTCTCTTAGCCATCATTGCTAATGGTGCAGTATTAGGAATTGATTTTGGATCTGAATTCATTAAAGCAGTTTTAATAAGTCCAGGCAAATCTTTTACAATCATTGAGAATACTACAAGTAAACGTAAAACAGAAAATGCTGTATGATCAATAAATATGCTTTAGATTGCATTTTATAACAAGGAGCGTTTATATGAGAGTGATGGTGCTTCCAAAAAAACAAAATCACCTAAAAATACATTTACATTCTTAAACAAATTTTTAGGAGCATTAGCCAATGATTAAAAAATCGTAGAAATTTCTAAAGAGTCTTATGAAGATTTTAAAATAGAGATTGAAGAGGTAAAGTTATAAAAAACTTAATTTTAGAGAGAAGGAACTTTTGCCTTTTAAGTTGATGGAGTATAAGTAGAAGGAAAAGATACTATGATTGTTAAAGTAGAAGAATTAGCTGGAATGGTTCTTAAATTTATAGCTAAATTAGTTGATTTCAATCATTAAATATAAATCAAAGATGTTGTATTGACAGTCCCAAGTGAATGGAATATAAGTTAAAGATCGTAATTTAAAATTTATAATATTTTTTTAGAGCATTAAAATCAGCTGCATAATTAGCAGAGTTAGAAGTCTTAGGAATTATTAATGAAAATACAGCCGCTGCTTTATATTATGCTCTTGAACGTTAAGATGAGAATAAACACACTGCTTTATTTTATAATATAGGCTCATATAATATTTAAGTTTCTTTAGTAGAATTTTAAGCTATTGATACTCAAAAGAAGAAGGTTGAAACTTTAAGAGTTCTTGCTGATTATTCCATTTCTAATGCAGGTGGATAATCTTTAGATCTTTTGCTAGCAAATCATTTTGCGAAAGAATTTGATAATTAACCATCAAGAAAAGGAAAAAAATCAATTTTTACTAATTCTAAAGCAATGAATAAATTGTTGAGAGCAGCTAATAAATACAAAGAAATTTTATCAGCAAACAAAGATACTTAAGTTTATTTGGAAGGTTTAATTGATGGAGAAGATTATAGTACATCAATTTAAAGATCAACATTTGAGACATTATTTGAAGATAGACTTAATTAATTAATTGATCCAATAAATTATGTTTTAGAAAAATGCAATAAAACAAAGGAGGATATTAATATTGTTGAATTAATAGGTGGAGGCATAAGAGTTCCAAAAATCTAATAAGTTTTATCAAATTATTTTGGAAGTGTAGAAGTAGGAACACATTTAAATGGAGATGAATCTATGGCTTTTGGTGCTGCTTTTCATGCTGCCAATTTATCTCATTCATTCAAAGTTAGACCAGTTTAATTAACAGATGGTTTTAGTTTTAGTAGCTCAATTGAAATTAATGGTGTTAATGAAGATGATTATCATAAAGAATTCTCATTATTTGGATATAAAAAGAAATATGGAAGTACTCGTTCTTTAGAATTCTCATATGATAAAAATTTAAGATTAGATATCTTTGTTGAAAAAGATGGTTAGAAATCTCAATTAATTTCATATCATTTAAATAATATTACTAATGCAACAGAACTTAATTTCAGTAAACCAGATATATCACTTACATTTAAAGCTACTTCAAATGAATTTATTAAATTAGAAAGTGCTGAAATGAAAGTTGAAGAAATTAAACTTATTGAAATTAAACCTAATGTTACCACAACTAATACAACCTCATCATCGGAAAAAAATAAATCTACAAATTAAACTGAAACCTAAGAAAATGAATAAAGCGAAGAAGGTGATACATCTGAAGAGTAAGTTTAATAAGTTGAGACTACTTAAAATATTGAAGAACCAAAAGAACCTATTGTTGAAGAACCGAAATTCAAAAAATAAAAAATTATACATACTTTTCCAATTAATTATACTATTACACATCATGTTGTATTAGGTTTAAATTAATAAGAAATTGATGATTCAAAAAAAATTATTAAATAATTCGAAACAGCAGAAGAAAATAGTAGAAAATTAAGTGAAATTAAAAATAAATTAGAATCACTTATTTATACAGTTAGAGAAGTTAAAGATGCTGAATATTTCTAAAAGGCATCAACTGAAACAGAAAGAACTGAAATCTTAAAGACAATTGAAGAACATGCTGAATATCTTGATAGTGAAGATGCTTGGACAGCTGATTTTGATAAATTCAATACTAAGTTTACTTAATTAAATAATTTGTAATTATTATTTTAATCAAAATAGATTAAAACCTATTTAAGTTAGATTAGATGAAGCTAAAGCTAGACCTTAAGCAGTTAATGAAACTATTACAAAGTTAACTGATTTCCATAAAAAGGCAAATGCTCTTAATTCTACTATGCCTTGGATTCCTGAAGAAAAAAAAGTTAAGTTTTTAGGACATCTTACTAATACAACTGAATGGTTGAAAACTAAATTAGATGAATAAGACAAGAGAGAATTACATTAAGATCCAGCATTCTTAATTGAAGATTTGAAGAAAAAAATGGAAAAGGTCAGTGAAGAATACACTAAATTAAAGGCTATTCCTAAACCAAAAAAAGTATTTATTATTAAATTATTGTTAGACTCAAGAATAAAAGGATGAAGAGAAAAAAAAGAAGGAAGAAAAGAAATAACAAAATAAAAAAGAGTCAGAATCAGATTCAACTAATAATTCAAAATAAGAACAATAAAATTAACAAGATGATAAAGAATAATAGCAATAGGAATAATAATACGAAGATAATTTTTAAGATTAATAAGATAGTCAAACCTAAGGAGATGGAGAACAAAAAATTGAAGATTTGTGATATAGATAATTCAAATAAATTATAAATTGTTATAAATTTTTAATTCGTTGTTATCTAAACTTAAATGATATTTTCAACTTACTCTATGATTATTTTAAAATTTATGATTTATATAACTTAGTTAAATCATATTGCTATTAAGATTTTCTATGAGGAATTATTATCAAAATTGAGAATTAAGTATTTAATTAGAAAAACTATTTAAAAACAAAATCAAGCTTCTTAATAAAATTTTCAATTATTGATTATACAAAATTTATATAGTTAATTAAACTTCTATTAAACTCATTTATTTTTTTTAGGTTATTGTTTTTTTAATTATTTCTCTTTTTATTTCATTTAAAGCATTCCAACTCCTGTTAATTTAACACCAGATAGCATAGTTTGAACAATTTCTTCATCAGTAATCATTTTTAATAATTATCTTTCTTGATTAGTGACGTCCTTGTGAGCCAAAAAGAAATTTAATATTTCTTTACCAGCTAAAATATTTGTAACAACATTTACCTTTTCCTTTTTTTAAAGAACCTGGTGCCATTTTAATTTTAAACTTATTATTACCTATCACTTAATATGGAGCAACCATAGGTATAAGACTCAAATATTTATCTAAAAATAATTATGAATATTTTTACCATCAGCATATAAATAGGAGACAAGTTTTTACATTTCAGTATATTCAATGTTTTCTTCTTCTTATTCAGGTTGTTTTTCTTATTTTTAATCATCGCTATCTAAGTCTTCTTATTTACTAACTGGAATTTCTGGTTCTTATTATTAAATAATTTCTTATTATTGTATTTAGAGTTCTTATTATTATGATTATAATTCTTCCTTTTATACAACTGTTTATTAAAGTTATTAATCGGTATTATTTTCTGGTTTTGTAACTTCAATTCCCTATTATTTAAGCAACTTTTCTGTAATAGATTCTTATTGATATTATTTTTTATAGTATTCTTTATCTTTATTTTAAGGTTGTTTTGATTATTATTGCTAAGTTTAATCTTATTCTTAGTTTTATTTGATTAACTCATTTTTCTCTTTATCTTTCTTTTTTTTATCTGGTTTGACTTCATTTTTCATATATGTTGCTCCCATAAGCTTTTGTCTTAACTCTCTCTCTTCATCTGATTGATCAGCATATTTTTCTTTAATTTTTTTTATTTTATTTTTTTTGCCTCTAACTTATTAAGTCTTAGGATTTTTTTAATTTTTTTTATCATCATCAGAACTATCATTATCAGATTATTTTACATTTTATTTTTGTTATTATTATTATTATTATTATTATTATTATGATTGTTTAGATTGTTATTATTATTTAGATTACTATTATTATTATTATTATTTAGATTATGATTATTAAATCTATTAATTTTATTAGGAATCTTTTTCTTTTTATTTTTTATCGTTTCTTTATTATATTATTCTTGCATTAGGATTGACTTCAACAATAGTATATTCTTTATCACCTTATTGAATAGTTTAAACAGAATTAGTTTTTGAAAGATCAATTAATTCATCTTTATTGTCATTAGGATTCTCATCGTTATCATCATTGTCAGAATCAAGAATATTTTTTTCATTAATTTCAGATTCTTGTTATTCAGATTCATCAACTTAAGATTATTCTTCTCTTAATTTTTTTTTTCTTTCTTCTTCATGTCTTTTAATACTTTCTTAATCCAATTGATATAAAATAGTACAACCCATTTCTAATCTAGGAGGATAAATAAAATTCTTTTTTCCATAAATCATAAAAGAACCAGCTGGTATATTCATACCTGTTGGTGCACCTTTACTAACTTGAGATGCATGTACCCACCATGCAGAAACAACAATTTTAGCATCCCAAGATTTAGATCTGCAAATTGTAGCAGTAGCTGCTTACATAATTGTTGATTCAGGAATAGGAACTTCATTAGGATTCTTTACTATTGTTGAAGCTGATCCATAAATATCAGCATGCATATAAATATCATCTTTATTCATATATTTCTTAACTATCATTTCATTCTATTATACATCCTTTCCACTTATTACTAAATATCCATCAGATGAAATAAACCAATAAAATTTTTCAAACCAATACTTTTTTCTTTGATTTTACACTTTCTATATCTTGTTTTTTTCTCTCTCTATTTCTTTCAAAGCAGTTTTCTCAGCTTATTTTAATGCTTATTCTACAGCCTCCTTAGTTTTTAATTCTTTGTCTCTATTTTTCTTTTTACTTTCGTAATATCTTCTGGCATTTTAATAAGCTGATTAAGTAATATCAATTTCTATTTATATCAACTCAGAATATTCGTCATCTTTATTCCCTAACAATATTGTCACTTTATTTTATTTCTTTTAAAATAATATAATATTAATACCAAATTCATTCCTCCAATCATATTTGAAAGAGGATTTCCTTCTTTTTTGCTATCATTTATCATCCTTTAAATCTTGTCCCAAGGAATACCATTATCCATCATCTTTTGAATAATATCTATAATAGCTTACACATCATCAATATTTTCTTAGATAAGTCCTGCTTTTATTATATATTCATCCTATTCTGCCTACAATTTTTAAATTCTACTCATTTAATCCTACTTAATATTTTCAAATTTCCTCCATGCTATATCTTCAATTGATTATTTATTTTCTTCTTGTCTATCTACTACTAAAAAGTATTAATGAACCGCCTCATTAAAAGTTGATGTCTCTACAATATATTTCCCTTCATGATAAGTAGCTTTGTCAGCAGCAAAATCAAAAAACTTTGGTTTCTATTCTGCCTCTTTAGGTGCTTCCTTTGCGCATAAGTAACCTTTATATTATGTCTATGCTCGATATGTATTTATATAATCCATTGCGTAATCCACTACTTTCTTTACACTTTCATATTGATTCACTATTTTTTCATTCTAATTCATTTTCAACTATTAAATTATATCATCTGTCAATGACTAATGTAAACAAGGCACCAATTTAAATACTACTTCTTTTAACTTCTAACCTGGTTTCTCACATATCACTTTTACTATTCTCTCCATTGATGTATCAAATTTCTCTAAATAATTTGTTGCTGTATATTCAAATGGATAAATCTCATTAGGAGTAACCCTAATTATCTTTATACTCTATACTTCACATTCTCTGAAAACTCATGTTATCTTGTTAATTAAATTATTCTATAATCTTTATCTGCTAAAATGATATTTCCTTATGAATATAATTCCAATATTAAATAGTAAGTATGATCTTCCCTTCCAAATGTAAATACTACTACTCTTTCTACTCCAATCTACTCTATGCTCTCTAATCTTCTGCTCCTTAAAAACTTTCTAAATTTCATTGTGAATCCTGAAGGTACTTTATTTTTCTCTATCGTATCTGAAAGGTTAAATCTCAAACCATTTTCAATTATTAAATAAGATTTCGATTCCTGGACAGAAAACTTAAAAACATATGTCTTAGCATCAATATTATAAATATTTGAAAGCCTTTTTATTATTCAATTTCCCTACCTTGTCCCTATCAATTTTTACTTTAGTTCTGTCACTAATGCCATTATATCAAGAGCTGTAAGTCTTATTTTGTTTTTCATCATAATTATAAATAAATTATTAAAGAATTCTTAACAAAATAGATTTCAAAAATATTTGCTTATTGAATATTTCACAAATATATTTTTAAATGCAAATGCATTTATTTTTGAAATTTTTTATCAAAAACTATCATCAAATTAAACTTAAGACTAATCAACTTATAATTTTGAAAAAAAACTAAAATCATTCATGATTATTACAGAATAGAAAGATTTGAATTTCTTATTTATCAAATTCACTTTCTGTAGAAATTCTTTCTATATTATCATTTAATAAATTCTATTATTTTTTTAAATTATTAATCTATCTTGATAAATGTTAACAACTTTTTTTTAACATAAAATTAATACTAAATCTGTAAATCATTTCTTTTGTTTTAACCAGAAACTTGAAGTGCTATAAAGATAAAGGATAGAATGCTTTTAAATCTAGATATCAAATGATTCTATTTTCAAATAGAATCATTTATCACAAGAATTACTTTAATAATTAAATAAAAAAGCAATCTATCAATTCCACTACATAAACTCATACTATACATTAATAAGATTTATTTTAAAAAACCTTTTTAAGATATATAGAGTATTAAAAATTCTAATTAGGAAAAATATTATATATATTTTTTTCTACAATTGATTATACAGAAAAACTATAAGTAAGACATAATACTAAAGAATTATGTTTTATTAAGATAGTTTCTTTGATATCTAAATAATAAATAAAATATTTATACAATATTTAACTGATTTATGATATGATAATGTGTTTGTTCATCAAAAATTTCAATGAGTTTGGTTTAAATATCTAATCTTAAGTTGAAGCAGCATCAATTTAAGAAACAACTTAATTATAGAATTTTTATTTATTAAAAGAGCTTTCTCTATCTTTTAATAAATTTCTGGATGAGATTCATATTTTCTGAATGTGGAACCTGGTTACTTTGAATTAATTCATATTTTTATATTAGTTTTAAATGGAATGTATGGTAAAATTATAATCAGGATAATAAATATTGAAGTTATTTTAGCGCAAAATTATGATTGAAAATTTAAAAAATAATTTTTTAAAAATTAGTTCGTGAATGTAAACCTAAGACTTAGGATTTTTGATCAATGCCTTATAGTTAACTTATGGAACTTCTTAAGAGAGTGTAAATAATGGAGAGGCTCTATTAAAATAAGCATCTTTGCAACCATTGTAATAAAATAATTAAATTTTTAGATATGCAATTTCATTATTAAGGATAGTAGATGATTAAACATAGTCAGAATTATTAAGATAAAGTGCAGTAGTGAACTTAAAAACATTCTTAGAAAAACATTGGGCTGATAAAAAAGAACCAGGACATTTTGTAATAAATTAAGATGAGAAAAATGTAATAAGAGCAACAATAATTGATGCTTTAGCAAGGTTGTTAATTAAATAAATTTAGGTGTATTTAAGTGAAGAAGTTAAGATCATAATATGAAGATTTAATTTACAAATTAGTAGCAATAGACTTTCCTAATGATTGGCCATAATTAGTATAATAATTAGTGATTAAATTATAAAACTTCACATCATATGAAGATTTATGGAGTGCATTGCTTACATTAAGACGTACATGTGAAGTCCATTAATTTTTATTGGATAATGATCGTAAACCAATAGAACCATTAGTTGCTTCAACATTTCCAATTTTAGAGACTTTATTTCAAAAATTTTTAGAAGGCTATAATGAATAAAGTGGATAATTAGTAAAAGTGATATTAAAAATATTCCATCATGCTACCCATTTAATTATGCCTATATATATGTAAGATTACAATACTTTAGCTAAATGGATGCTTTATTTTAAAACTATAATTTAAGCCCCACCTCCTCCTGAATTATCTACACTGACTATAGATTCTTAAGAAGAAACTAGAAGAGAAAAAACATTTATTTGGACTAACAAAAAATGGGCTAGCAGAATTGTATTTAGATTCATCTAAAAGTTTGCAAATAAAAAATTGGTTGAACCACATATGGCTGATTATGCAGAACATATAAAATAAACTTATGCTATTGGATTTATGGAAATCTTTTATAAGATTTTGACTGATAATTCATAATTCTAAGGTCCTAGAACTTGTTTATTTGCTTTAAAATATTTATTCTACTCATTAAAATTAGACAATACAAAGGAATTATTAAAACCTCATTATGATAAACTTATATACCATATTGCTATTCCAAAAATGTAACTTACTCATAGAGATGATTAATTATGGAAGAATGATCCTGAAGAATATATTAAAAGATTAGATGACTACTCTCTTTCAACTTATAATATCAAAAATCCAGCTAATGATATACTTTAAGAAGTTTGTTAATAAAAGGATATAAATGGAAATTTAATGTTGATTTCGTTTCTTAATTATTGTTAAACAGCATTTAGTACAAATATAGATCCATTAACTAATTAACCTTTAGATCTTCTTAAAAAAGAAGCCTTATTATGGGGTATTGAAAGTTTGGTTCATTAGATTTCAAAAATCAATTCCATTTAAGATGGTTTGGAATAAATCTTAGAGAAATATATTCTATAAGAATTTCAAAACCCAGTTGGATTTTTAAGAGCTCGAGCATGTCATTTATTTCATGAATATGGAACTATCTAATTCAAGAATAAACAAAATATTTAATTAGCTGTTTAAGGAATATCAAAATGTATCTTAGATAAAGAATTGCCAGTAAGAGTATCAGCAGCAATATCATTTAGTTAAATACTTCAACATAAAGAAGCCTAAGATTTAATAAGACCATAATTAAGTTAGGTTTTGGAAATATATATAAAATTGATGGAATTAATTGATAATGAAAAAATTGTAAAATCATTAGAAGAAATTGTTAAATATTTTACAAGTGAAATAACTCCATATGCTCATTAATTATCTGCACATATTGCCAACATTTTTTAAAAATATTGCAAAAAATAGAATTAAGGAGATGGGGATTCTGATGATGATGGTGAAGCTGAATTAGCTGCATCTGGATGTTTAGAAGCAATTAAAAGAATACTAAATGCTCCACTATAATAAGATTCTTATACCTAATTAGAATCAGTCATTTTTCCTATTATTAATTTTGCACTTACAGAAACAGGATGCGATTTTATCAATGAAGCTTTAGAGATATTGAATATAATGTTGTACAAAAGAAAATAATTAACTCCTGGATTATGGTTCTATTATCCAGTCTTATGTTATATTATTTTAGGAATACCTTAAGAAACAAATGTATTTAGTATATAAGGTTTAACAGAAGAATAATATATTTTATTAGAAGGATGTAAAAAAGATTGGGGAAGCGAATTTGTTTCTTAAATGTTAGGATCCTTTAGAAACTATATTTAAAAAGGAGGAGTTACATTTTTAACACAAAATGACTTTTTTGGCAATTCTTTCATTTCACTAATCTTTAGATTCCTTTAAAAAATTTATGTAGTAGCTGATAATGGAACAGATGAAACTGATCAAAATTAAGTTACCACTATTTTAATTGCTTTAATAGAAAACTATCCTGGTTAAATTGATAATCTTATTCCATAAATCATTGACTTTACTTTACTTAACTTATAAGTAATTATTTTTATTTATTAAATTTTAGAAAGATAAAAAAACTAATAGATTCAAAATTGTTAATATTGGAGTTTTATGTATGTGTATTTGGTACAATCCAAATCTTGCTGTTAATTATTTGAACAGCAAAGGATTGACTGATTAAATCCTTTAAACTATACTCACTATGGAAAAATTCTTTAAATATGAATAGGATATTAATAGATTGATCTTTGCTCTATGTTAATTATATTCACTACCATAAATTCCTAACTATTTATTACAAGTATCATCAGAAATTGGAAAATTGTTTGTGAGACTATCAACTAAAATCTTGGAACTTCGAGAAGAAGAAGAATCTTGTGATGAAGATGATCAAGCAGAAGAAGAAGAAGATCTAAAAAAAACTATAGAAAAAATATAAAATTCAGAAATAGATGACGATGAAGACGATGAAGATTATGATGAAGGCGATGATGAATATGCTGAACTCTATGATAGTCCTTTAGAAGATTATGATTCCATTTTGTTAATGGAAAAATTAGTCTTGACTCTTCAATAAAATAATTCATAATTATATGCTGCCTTGTTCTCTTAATTAACTCAATAAGAATAGGAGTAAATGACAAAAAATATTAAAGAGGCTAAAGAATAATATGAAGAATGGCTCAAGTAGAAATAACAATAAAATAAGTGATATTTGTTTATATGTATCATTATATCGAAAATGATTTTAATTTATCATAATGAATTAATGAATTCTAACAAATTATTTAGATATAGATATTCTCATTTTTGAGCACTACTATTTCGAAAATGATCAAACAAATTACATTGATATATATTTTACATTTTTTCTCAGACTATATCATATCAAATGAATTAAATACTTATTTTAATTAAGTTTGTTTTATAATTTAAGTGAATTTTTTCAGCAGTATATTCGCTAATTAATTTATCCTCATATAAAAATTAAAATTTAAAATCTTTTCCGAACTTTGACTTATTTCGGTTCAAATAATATTATCGTTTTAATCCCTTTGGATTTTCTATTTTTAAATAACATAAATTTGACAGAAGAATAATTAATTGATAATAGGATACCTATCTTGTTAAAAATAGTTTATATCTCCTATAGTTTGACCTTATTTTAGTTGTTCAGTTATCTTTATGGTGAGTTTTTCAATTAATTTTTCAAAAATCTTCTTCATTTCTATTTCAACTAAATATTGAATTTGCTTATTTATAGTCATAATTTAATATGATTTCAATTCATTATGTAGCATTTCTATAAAATTTATACTTAAATGTAAATAAAGTGTATGAAATTTTAAATAATTTTCTCTTGAAATCAAATATCTGAATTATTAGTTAATTTTGTATAATAGAATTGAGAATGCATCATCAAAAATTAAATGCTAATTTTTATAATTATATTATATAAATTATGGATCAATTAACCCAATTTGAATTATTTTTGTTAATATTTCAAGTTGTCAATAGTCTATGGATCATTTATTAGACAACAATTATAAAGTACTCTTAGATTATGATAAATTATTTAGGAAATTGAAATAATAATATTCCGCTAAAAACACATCATATCAATATTCGGCCCTAGGTATTAATATTAAAATATTTTAAATTAGAAACAGTAGAATAAGGACAAGATGAAGAGTCATTGTTATAATTTAATAACATAGGAAATGTTAGTTCTGATGACCAAAATTTTTAAGGCCTTTAACATGTAATTTGATTTAATATTTAAAGCTTAATGGAAAGTTAATTTAAAAGAAGGTAAATTCAAACAGTTTTGAAGCAGAGCAAGAAAATGAAACAAAATAGTTGTCTAATAATTTAAAAGAACTAGAATAAAATTACAATCTCTAAATTTAAAATTTAGTTTAAGAGTAAAAGAACATATAAACATAATTCTCAGATGTAAAATAATTATATATTATTATAGCTACAAACTTAATTCTAATAACTTAGAATGTTTTTTGAAGGCAAGATTACAGAATAAATATAAATATATTCATAAACTTCATCTAAACTAGAATAACTAGATGATTTATCATAACATTTTCAAACTTAAATAAGTCTAGTAAAATAGGAGTAAACTAAAGAGATAATCAATTTAAATGAAAAACTGGCTGAATTTACTTTAACCATATAAAAAAGTGTAAATGATAATGCTGATTAGATTAATGTTCTACAAGAAAATATATAAGCATAACAACAATAATTATTATTATAATAGTAATAATAATAATCATCTTAATCATAAAACTTATTAGAAACTGAGAAATAATAATAACAATAATAATAACAATAATAATAACAAATTGAAATAAATTCTGTTAATACCCCAACAATATCTGGACATAATGGTTCTTCAAAAGCAGGATTAACAAGACAGAATTAGGAAATAGGATAATTAAAGAAATAGTCCACATATAAAAAGGTATTAAAAACTTTATATTTTTAAAAAGATAACCAAACCATGATGATAAATAAATTTATGTTTATAGATTGCTATGATTAATTAATTTAAATATGTAATATAAATATTATATATTTGAAGCTGATTAAAATTTGTTTTTTCTCTAATGAGTAGCAAACCTTATTATTTAAGAGCAGAAGGGATTTTTCGATTATTAAAATACAACCTAAATCATTTTATTTTGATTTAATTATATAATATTAAATTTAAATAGAATGCAATAGTAATAATAAACAAACTAGTAGGAACTAAGATAGATATTTTAGTTATTTTCTTAAGAAGGAGGAGAAGATATTAATATAGCTCAAATAAATTAATTAATTAAAGAATTAGAAACAATAAACATGGATTCTTAAACAATAAATGTACCTTTTTAACCAGGAAGAAGATTAGCCAAAAAAGTAAATTCAAATGACAACTTAGAAGATGCATAAAAAGATAGTTCCCCTAAGTCACCAACTTATGTATCTGTAACAGAACTCAAGTATGAAATAATTTTCGACATAGATATTTTCCTAATAATAAGACAACAATGCAATTTTAAGATTTTTCTGAGCTCTTTAATGAATGTATGTCAAATAAAGATCAACATGATGAGTTGTTGGAAAGTGCATTTGCTATTTTTGATTACGATAAATCTGGTCACATAGATTCAAAAAAAATAAGGAAGGTATTTTAAAAATTTAAAGATAATACAAGTGAAGAAGAAATTCAAAGTATTAATAAAATTAAATTTAGATGTTCTAAAGTTTTGTGGAGTGTTGCATGATTAAATGTCATTGTAGGAGTTTAAGGAATTTTTTAAGAAGAATTTGTGATCATATAAAATATGATAAAAATTATTCAAACTCTACCGAATGTTTCCACAAAACTATTGTAAATGGAATTTTAACTAAGAGTTCAACATAACATAATGCTGTGACGAATTAGTTTATGTGTTTTTCTCCCTTGGTTATACCGTAGTTCTATTATAATAATAATAATTACTCCTCCACATATGTATAGCCAGAGTAAATCATAAAGAAACAAGATCGCAAATAGATATGTAAATACTCTCATCCATTTTTAATTAATTTCTCTAAGGATTAATAATAATATCAAATATGCTAATAGAGTTAACTAATATTGATAAATTAGTTTGGTACCTCTATAAATTAACATCGGTATAAACTAATCAAAACAGATAATGCCACAACCAATCCAGTTAGTTTATAAAATAAAGGAACCCAATCTTATATTCTTTCTTATAATGCGTCATTTAAAGTATCTAAACATTTCAATTCAAATTCTTTAATTTCTAAAATTGGAGGTAATTATCTAATTTTTATACAACCTCCACTAAATACTTTAGCTAGACAGTTTAAGGCTTGTTGAGTTTCTTTCATTTCAAGATTATTCTGATTAATCTCATGATTTAATTTTTATTATTCTTATTTGTATAGGCTTTCCTAAATTAGAAGAAACTTACTTTTGAATGATTGAATTTTAATATAACATGCAATTTAGTTTTAATTTTCATATTATCTTATCGTTATAAATTAACACTAATATCCTTTAATTTTTATTCTCTTAATTCAGAAATCAAAAATTGAGTATAACCAATCATATTATCATCCATCTAAAGTAGATTAATTTTTTACACTATCAAAAAGTGTTATTATAACATCTTAACAACCAGAATCTATGGGAAATTCAAATTACTCTTAAAATTATGGATTAATTCCTTTCATAGTTCTAGTTTTGTGTGTTTTAGGACCACAACAAATTTAGAGATAAACACTAGGATTTTTAATTTCAATGTTTTGACAATCCATAATTTAAAGTGTTAAAGAGTTCTATTATAAAGCATCTGAATTTAACTAATCACTTAATTATTAATGCAACACTCTTAATTCTTTAATCTTATTATTTAATATTTCTGAACGATATTGTAAAGTATCCACTGTTTCATTGTATTAATTAATAAAACATTCTAAATCTATTACTCCATTATTTAAAGATAATTCAATCAATTATTGAAATAAGTGCTCATCGTAAAAATGGCCACACTTAATAAAATCAATTAAAATACTTTTTACTTTATGTAAATATCAAATTATTCAACTAAGATCTTATTTGTCTAGAAGGTTGTAAACATTTCATTATATTATTGCTAATTCATTTCAAATTCAAAATATTAAAGGGAATTATTAAATTTTCAACATATTAAATTTCTAAAGACATGCTCAATATTAAGATTAATGAAAAACGAAAGTGAAAGTCGAGTTTCAATAGACAATTTATCAATCAATAAGGCTACAGCTCCTTTAGTTACTAATTATAAATAGTTGGTTTGTTGTTTTGTGAAATAAATGCTCTTTGATGTTGTAATCCCAGGATAAAAGATGTTTACTGAAGATAAGAAATAAAACCTAAGAAATTAAATTTTATTCTATCAATAAGGCTTTGCAAGAAACATGAATGATGAATAAGCATATTAAGAATTAATAATGTTAACAACATCATCTCCTCATTTTATAGAATTGCTTAAAAAGACATGTTATAATTTAATTGGATAAAACTAAGAGACTGAAGCCTAGGTTAATAAAGAACTAAATAGAAGTATATCATCTATAGAAACATTTTCTGGAAACATTAAGATGATAGATAAAAATATTCTTGTAAATTGGTCAACCACTAGATAAAAACTGTACAGTAAAACCATTATTGATATAATCATGAGAGGATTGTTGTTAAGTTATTTCTTAGAAATAATCATTCGATCATCATTGAAACAAGATTTTACATTCAACTTTTTTATTACAATAGAGTATAATTAATGTTGCTTAGAGAAAGAAGTTTAGTCCATATTCAAGATTAGTGATTAAACAACCTAATACGAATTTAAATTTTATAAACAATGAACAATTAAAAATCTATTTTTTTTAAAAGATCTTAATATTATATTTATCTTATATAATTTAATATAACTATTACTATTTGATAAAATTTACACATTCTTTTTAATTTTAAAACAATACTTTTAATTCATTTGTGAATATGTGAATTATAATCTTTTAATTGGTAATGATTGTTTTATTAAATCTATCTGCTTAAGAATTTATTGAGAATATCATAATTTTAATAGATAAATAGAGAGTATATGTATATTTATTTTAAAAGATATCTTATTAGATTAAAAACATCTTATGAAAAATATAATAATAATTGTTTATAAAAAATAATGAAGGATTACAGTGAAACTCGTCCTCTAAACAAAAAAAGAGTAGTGAGATCAGAATCACCTCCTCCACTTCGAATTAGATACAATAGGCCTTACAAAACAATAGTTTTATCATTTTTTCTATTGAGTGCAGGAATCTTATTTACAGAATAAGGAATATTGCAATATCAAGAGAAAGGGTTAGGAGAGACATATCCAATATTTATTTTGGCAATAATGTTATTGATACCAGGTGTATTCTATTCTGGAATGTTTATATTGATAGTTTTAGGAATAGGAGGATTCACTTATGACATGTTACCATCAGTGAATAATTGAATAAAATATATTTAATTGTTAAATCATAAAAAGTACTCTGGTACTCTTCTGGTTGTTTAAGGTTCATTATCTCTTGGAGCAGGTTCATATTATGAGCTATAATTATAAAGGATTAATTTACAAACTCATTTTTAATTGATCATCTACCTCTACTATGCAAGCTTAATTACCACATCTGTAACAATAATTAGGAGCTGAGAATATTGTAACAGTTTTCCGTTAATGTACATGTTAAAATCCTTCCATTACTAATTAATGTGCTCTAGCAATCAATTTCAATTTATTTTAATGTAGAAATTTGTCTGTTATATCTTAACCCCATGTCCATCCTGCTCCTCTAGGAGATACACCCCATCCTAGTTTAGTTTCTTCTGGATCACTCCATAATAAATCACAAATTGCACCATCATGAGGAATATCTTAAATTCTATTTAATTATTTTATCTAATCAACTGTCTCTATCGCTGGTGATAAACCTCCATGGGTACAAAATATCTAATCATAATTTCACTTATTTACACTATTCTCAACTATTGCCACCAATGGTAAATAACCAAAAACATCTGTAAAGTGCTTCCATACTATCTCATTTCCATATTTTCTTTAACATTCATCATAAAAACCATAAATTTTATTTATTTCTCTATTCTCATGATTCCCTATTTTTATTTTACTATTTACCTCTCAATACAGTCAACCTGTCTTTGTATCGTATTTTTAAGCAAAGTATAAGACTAAAGGTTTCAACACTTTAAGAACCACGGTCTACATAATCTCCAAGAAACAGATAATTAGTTTCCTTTATATTTTTTCTTAAAATACTGGCAATCTGCCTCCAATTCGAAACAATTCAATTAGATCATGAAATTAACCATGTATATCTCCACATATTGTTAATGGTGCTCTCACAGCTACAATATTTGGTTCATCTACTAGTATCTCTTTTGCCTGATCAATAATGCAAATATTAACACTTTTTAACACACCAACTTTAAATCATTTTCACTTAGTAATTAACCATTATATAGATCTTCTATATATTTATCAAAATTTCCCAATTCAGAATTACTTAATTTTGATGGATTCATAAAATATTATATAAAATAAAAATTGATTTCTTTTTCTTTGTTATTTTTCACATTCTAATTGTGTTTAATAAACAATTAACTCTTAAAATTTCACTTTCTATTTTTGGCAATTCAATTATTATTTTCATAATAATCTATTAAGGAAGAAAATTTAATTCTTATTTATCTATATATGTTACAAATAAATAAATTTAAATATTAAACTCATAATTTTTGAGAGTATTTAATATATAAATAATAATCAATATATAGAAGCAATTCTAACTATATAAAATTTATATTTGTTATATAGGATTTAGTTTTAATTCATATAACAGAATAAGTTTAAAAATATCAGCCTGGACCAACTTTTGGAATATCATAATGTTCAGGCATCTTTTAAATTTTCTTATTGAAAGTTTCTATTTTTTATCTGTAGGTTAATTCCATTTTCTATAAATATTTAAAGTGCATTTACTTTTTCAATTTTCTCACCTAATCTCTTTAATCTAACTAAATCATATTATATTTCTGCTAATGTCTTTCCTGTTCTACCTTACTAAGCCAATTCAACTGGATTGAATTATTATTTTTAAAATTTATCATTATCAATATCTAACTCTTATAAATTAATGATATATTATAACTATCTATTGGCTCTTGTTAATTTTATGTTTTTTTTTCAGTTGGATTTGTTTTTTGTATTTTCTTTTTTATTTAAAGAGGACCAAATTTTTATGACATTAATTATAATATATTTCATTAACCAAAGGACAACAGAATCCAAGAACAAAATGGCTGTAATAATGATAATAATAATGTTATATTGGAGCCAAAACTACTCAGTTCTAAATGATGATATATAAATACCAAGTGCACTCTAATTATGTGAGGGACTATATCTTTATAAAGTTTTATATACAAAGATAGCTTAACAAATTAGTACATAAACAGTGCAAATTGACGAAAAAAAATTGTTATTTATTAGAATATTAAACACCATGAGAGCACATAAGCTAATAATTACAATTAGGAATACCTGCAATATCTATAATTTAAATGTGAAATAAGATCAACAGTGTTGACTCTAATACCATCCAGAAAGCAAAAAACAATTTTGATAATAATTACTTCCAAAAAAGAAATAACCAAGCATTTCCAGAATGAATCCACAATATACCCTGGATTAAATTCTTACTTATCAGTAATTCCTAAATTTAAACATCTAAGTAAAACAAAAGTTATTAGACTCATTAAAGGTAAATAAAGATCAGGAGCATGAACATTTTCAGTTGGTGAAATTGCTTAAAACTCACTGCCTTATAATATTATAGAATATACTACTTAGAGCCCAATTTCCTCTATAGAGGTAAGGTGCTATTGTCATTATGGATTTCTTAACAACATACATATTATCCACATCAAAATAATATCTGTATTGACTGCTGAATATTTAATTAAGTAATGAATCATATTTGTCTCCAATACCAGAAAATTTTCTTAATTATTAATTTCATTTACTTTCCAAAATTTGCATAAGCCATCCCAAATAAAGGATTATTCAATGTATTCTTAGCATTATTGACTGTATTTTCAATATTTTGAGGATTAAAAGCAAATGCAAATGGATCTGTAGACGTGTCTTATTATGTTTTCATTAATTAAGTTAATTCAGGAAATCTTTTATAATAAAAATATTTAACGAACAATGTTACAATAATATAGAGGAAATAGTTAACCATCTAGATCAAATCAAATTTAAATATATGTAAGAAAGTAAAGCAAATAATAGTCTCGCTAGAACAATTAACTGATGAATCAATTTACAATGTTTTAAGAATTTGACTCTATGTCTAATAGGATGATGCAATAAATGGATAATTAAATGGCTAATCTAGGATTTGGATCAATTTTTAGAGGATTTGATGATTTAGAAAATGAAATGATGGAATTCTCAAATCTTCATAAACATATGAAAAATCTAAATTAAATGGATGTTAATGCTCATGCTAAAAATGGAGTATTCTAAGTTTATTCATCCAGTTATGTCCAATCTACTAAACTAGGTCCTGATGGAAAAGTTATATAAGAAAAATATTTTGATAATAATGCAGTCGCAAGAGGAGTAAACGGACATACTGTATTATATATTACTAAGATTAAAATAGATAAGTGAAAGATAACAAGGATATAAAAATAGTGATGGAATTGATAAATTTGCACATGAAAGACTCATGAATGAAAAAGGAAAAAAACATATAAGAGAAAGAGATAAAACCGGTTAGATAACTACAACTAATCACTATTAAAATATAGAAGAAGATTAAGTAGAATAGTTTGAAAATGAATGGATGGGAATTGGAAAGACTTTATGCATTAATTAATCATCAAATGGAGGATTTAAAGCATTAAAGGAACAATCAAACCTAAAAGATTTCAACAATCGTCAATTATGTAAAAATTAATTAACTTATGGAACTCCATCTAAATAGAAAAAAAGTAATTTAATATAAATTAAATTCTAGATGAAATTTAATCGGTTCCTCTTGGTAAACACTCTTCTAGTTTTAATAACAATCCAACTAAGTTGGCATTACAATAATCAAATTAATAATCTACAGTCCATACTAGACCTCCATAACCTCATCAGCCAATGAGAGTACTTCCTTCTGGTAAATAAGAATTTACAGGAGTTTACTAAAATAAGAATATTAAAAATTTATATCCTTAAGCTGGATGATACATATATATATATATATTACATATAAATAAGTATTAAAAAAATTTGACGATATTGGAATTTGAACCCCAAACCCTTAAATTAAAAATCTGGTACTAGACATTCAGCATAAATATAGATAAAGCTATAAATTAAATGAAATATAAATGCAAATTTTCTCACAAAGAATCTGGATATTGTTCTAGTCTTCTATATTAATTTTAAGGAGGTGGAAGTTTCTACTTACAAGATTTTGAATATGTTTATATAATCTATGAACATCCACAGCATGCAGCAATAGTTAAAATTGATATTATTGAAGCCACTGCTAACCTTTTCATTTGTCTATCTTAAGCTTCAATTCCTATTATTATAATAAATTAGTATAAATACCCAATACTTAAAATAAATGATATTACTCAAGTTCATTAGCAATGTCTAAAAGTGTTAGATTTTCTTCTTTTTCTTTTTGTGAATCCACAGTATCTTCCAGAAGATTTTGCTCTTAGGAAATACACAGAGAATGCTCTGACTTAATACAAATTATTTACATTCACTAAAATGATTAAGAAAAGCATTAATATTTTCATGATAATAATAATATAAAACGAATTCAGAATATTTTCATAACTTTATATAACTTGATAATCCTTAAGAAGAATTTTCATTCTAATTTGACATCTATTTTTAATATATAAAATACTGTTGATTGTATATTACTTGAAGAACTAAAAATATCAGCATCTATACTCTTTTTGTTAAAATATTCAGCTCCTCTAAATAAAAATTTAGATTTATTATTATTTGCTCTAAATTTTATGAATATCATAAATACTGTTATTTCTCTAACTGTAATTCATACTAAAGTATTTTACTCTCTTACTCATGCAACTTTTTAGTCAGATCTTGTACTTAATTAATCAAATCTTAACATGAGGGAGTATTAATAAGTTTCTTAGTAACACTTAAATTAAATAAAATAATTTACTAATCTAACTATAAATTCTTTGTATCCAATTCATTTAAGAGTTGTTTACATTTGTCTTTATACTCTTATAATTCAATCAAGATGGCTTTTTAATTAACCTCATTAACTAAATGTCCAAGAACTATAAAATTATTATAACTCTATATTTACTTCCATTCTCATGTAAGTCTATTTAAGATTTACTACGTTATTCTAATTATTTCTTTAATAGTTGTATTTCAGATAAAAGTTATTGTTTTTCATGATTACGCTTTTAATTGTTGCGTTCAATGATCATCTAGTACTTTTAAATTTCTTAAATAGATAGTTCATATTTTAAGGCTAACTCCTTGTATTGTTGATTTTGCACTTGTAATTGTTTTTTCAATTCGATCTCTGCATTCATAGTTGTTTTACTTTTCTTTTTGTAACAAACAGTATTCTCTGCTTATGAAGTTATTGTTCTATTTGTTTATTTGAGTACTAATTATGTCTTCTATTATGGGGATGAACTCTAACCTGGAGTGGCAGAAGGAGATTATTGATGAGAATAGTGAATTTTGTGCATTAACGAATATATATATATTTTTAATTAATTTCAACTATGGCTTTGTTCGTAGGCAAATACATCTAATTATTGTTACCATTAAGAATTCTCTTCTACTTTATAAGATTTTATTTCATCATCATCAATAGCTACAATCTTTTCTACTTTTACTTTTGGTAGATCTGCCATTAATTCGTTTGTATTTTAAAATAGATTTTCTAATCTTGATTTTACTAATTCAACTCTTGGTTAATATAGAAAGGTTTGAGAAGCTATAGGATTTTAATTAGTACAACGTGATTAATCTGGCATCTATAAATTTGTACATCTAGATTAATCTGGAATTTATTGATTTGTAAATCTTGATTATTCTTATATTAAAGGAATTTAATTTTAAGATTATGGATTTGAATTTCTTGGTTACTCATTCTTAAAAATATCAACTGTTTTAGGTTTTTAATATTTTCTACTTGAATTTTTTAATGTTTTTTATGATATAGATGGTTATGAAGGTTCTTCATCTTCTGGTATTGCCATAGATTATTAATATACTGAAAATTAAGCATGACTCATTTGAACTTCTTCAACATCTCCTTATTTATCATTTTAACATTTTAATTAACTTTCAACTATCTCACTTTGATCACACATACTAGATTATTATATAGTATCATTATTTAATTTTAAAGTATTTTATTAAAGTAATTTTGTTGGAAATTTTAATTCTTACTATCTTGATTAAGGTTTTATATTCTCAACAAACATAGCATAATATTCTTATGTCTTTAACATATTTAAATCATAATTTTATGGATTTGGTATTTCAATATCATATTATTCCTTATCTGAATTTTCATCTTCATCATTTTACTAATCTTATTAATCAAATGGATTATCATCTCCTTATTCATTTGCTTCCTCTTCTTCACTTTCAAAATCCTTTTATTCATAAACCTCTTCATCTGAATTCTTATTTGATTCCTCCATCGCTTCATCTTCAAAATTATCTTATCCATTCTGACTTGCTTAAATTCTACTTAACTAAGGAGGAATAGATTTCTAAACTGCATTTGTTGGCAATTCACAACTTTCATCAGTGATAGATGATTTTTATTATTAATTTAATTAAGAGTCATTATTTGAAAAATTTTAAGATTAAAGTGTCTTAAATTATTAAGATTATTATGTTTTTACATTTTCTGTTTATTTAAAATTTTAAGATTATTAAGTCTTTTATTTTAATTCCCTTAGTTCTGGCATAAAACTTTTTCCTAATTATTCTTCAGTATAATTTACATATTCAGATTCTCCTGGTAATTCGACATCATTATCAATCATTGATTCTGTTATACCCTTAGGTTTATAAATTTATAACTATTATTACTATTATTATTATTATTACTATTATTATTACTATTATTATTATTATTATTATTATTATTATTATTATTATTATTATTATTATTATTATTATTATTATTATTATTATTATTAGTATTATTATTATTAATATGGTTATTAATGTTTTTCAAGAATTAATTAATTTGCTTCTTAATATTAATGAGAATATTAAGATGACACATCTGATTATTTAATTTATTTTTAAAATTAATGAGCTTATGAGTTAGCTGTTGGTGATTAAAATGGAGATATTTTTAATGGTTAAATGTTAGCTATCTATTATTAATGAGGTGATAAATTCTAATTATCTTTTTTCCCTAAAGCATTAAAAAATACACTAGATGCAAAAACTGTTGGATCTAAGGGGCGTTTTTATTTACCTTAAATAAAGTCTTACAATTTGATTATTTCTTACTCAAATAATTTTTACTCTCTTTAAATATCCATGACCTTCCTTTAATATTAATCTATTAATAATTAGTTCTACATTTCTATTTATTATAATCTCAATTTTTCTTCTAATATTTATCTAACTAAATCAATTTCTTATCTATTTTATTAAAGTTGCATCAAATATTATTAATGAACCATAATAGTTTAAGGATGTTGAGTATTTTGATCATTAAAAAGCACTTGCTAATATTATTATAAATTATCTTATAAATGAAATTGATTATAAACATTTTATAATGGAGACATAGGTGGATGATATTAATTTTATTAATATGGTGTTTGTTGAATAGGCTATTATGGTTGAGAATATTATTAATACTGATGCTATTACTATTACTATTACTATTGCTATTGTTATTGCTGTAAATATTATTATTATGGCTATTAATGTCTTTGATCTTACATAGATGATAATTATTCTCTTTGTAAATCACTTTCTGGAGAAAGTATTTATAAAGCCGATTTCTTAATTATATCTTATTAAGGTAGCTCATTTTACATATTTTATTTTTATTTGTTTCTTTTTCCTATCTCTTTTGGTTAAATATTTTAAGCAGGCTGATCAATTTATACAGCATATTTTTATTTTGTTTATTCCTCCTATCTCTTTTTCTCTAATAATAACTATTACTAAAATTATTGTTATTCTAATTCATCCCTTCTTCTATTTTCCTCTTCCTCTTATTTTTTCTTTCTTTTTTTTTCCTCCATTTATCTTTTTAATTCTTCTGCATATTACTCTTTTTAGGCTTATTTTTATGGATCTTCTGGTTAACCACTAGTAAATCTTCTTTAAAGAAATCTACCTTTTGATTAGTCATCAGTTGGTGCAGATTGTGGTGGTTAATAATAATTAGGAGATTAAGGAGGTTGATTATTTCTATAATCAGACTCTTAAGGATAATCAAAAACATTTGTTGGATTACTAACTGGTCTTCTACCAATGTCTTATTAATTTTTTATTTATTATTAGTCCATTTCTCTATTCTTTTTTTCTAATATTTAACGATCAAGTTCTTCTCTGTATTTCATTCTTTGAATTGCCACATTATCTTAATTCTATTATTATTATTATTATCTCCAACCTTACTAAGATTAAGGCTATCCAAATTTTGAAAAGAAATCTACTTCAACTTAAGGTTATCTTTAACTTTATTGTGAATGTGGTTTATATGATTATTGTTATTGTTATTATTATTATTGATATTATTATTATTATTATTATTATTATTATTATTGATATTATTATTGTTATTGTTATTATTAATATTATTATTATTAGTTCTATTATTATTACTAGTTATATTTTTACTGTTATTAGAAATATTACGATTATTATTAGTTTTGTATTTATGGTTAATTTTATTAGCCCTTTTAACTTATTTATATGTCCAATTATTCCTTATATTTTCTTTTTTTTTCTCTTTCTTACTCTGCTGCATCATTAATTTTGTTTTTTTAATAATTACTATTATTATTCATTTATGGAGGTTAGTAACGTTATTCATAATTTTGTTTTTCTGGTTATTTATATGAATCATTTTTAATTTAATTATTAAGTTAAGATTACTATATTTATCTTGCCCCATTGAGTTGATCAGGATAATAATTGACAATAGGTTATTGCTATTAATGATAATTTAAATGATGTTAATTTTAATTTGAAACAACTTATTATTTATCTAACCAATCTGCATTTTAATTATTATTATTGATTTGATTCAAATTTTGTAAGAGTTTTTATTCTAACTAGACAGGCAATCTTTCTTTTTCTTATTCATAAGCACTTCCTAAACCATTCTTTCTTCTTAATCTTTCTTCTTCTCTTAATTTAATTCGAGCAGCTCGTTCTTGTTCAGCTTTTGATGATTGTGGAATGACATCCTGATATTCTGCATACACCTTATTTCTAAATGACTCAACATCTTATCCTGCATACTCTAATTATTTTAAATTTTCTTCTTTCTCTTAAAGTTACTACATTCTTTATTCTTTCTTTTTATTTTCTGCTTACATCTATAAATCCATTTTCAATTAATCTTCAGTTATTTAAGGGTTTTGCTATCTTTCATTTCTAGATCTAGGAGGTCTTCCAATCATAATCGTTAATAATATAAAAAAATAGTTAAATTATTCTAAATAATGTGAAATTATTTGATATCAAGCAAAACCAAAACCTTCCTTTCCTTCCATGATTGCCAGTTCTAATTTTTCCTTTAAAATTTATCTAGCTGGATAATCAGGTAAGTCTAATTAATTAAAACTATTAGTTATAGATTTAATAAAAATACCAAGTGTGTGATGTAGGTAATTCAAAATTGACATAAGGTTTCTTATGTATCTATATTTTTTGCGGACCATGCATTCCTTTTAATTCTTTAAATCCTCCCAAAGGTACTTTAGAAGTTCCTAAAATTATCATTAATAAATTAGAATACCTGTAATAAACTATAAGTATGCAGCTCTTTTACTCTTATCAAAGCTTTCCAATAATTCCCATAACCATTAAATAACTTTATCTCCTTTATCATATCCATGATATTCTATATTCTCTTTCATATCCTCAACTAATAATATAAATATAATAATCTTACGATCAATATCAGGAAGACCACACAACATTAATTCCATTTCTTTCCATTCAAAAATACTTACTAAAGATTGTGGAATTAATTCATGGAATCCATTTAAAAATGCTTCAATCTAATCTTTAATTTCTTTTGCCATTTTTTAATAACAGTAAGTTTAAACATATTCTATTTTATTTTCTTCAGTAACTAATTTAGTTTTTCCTCCTTCAATTAATTCTCTTTCTTCTAATTTACCAAAATGATCTACATTATATGTCCAATATATTCCCCAATCTGTTACATTTTCTTCTAATATCTTTTTCATACTTTTATATTCATTCAAATCTATATCTTCCATATCATGAATTGTTAATTTCTAACCCAAAATATGCTTATAAAATGAACGAGTAAAATATGTATCCAATAATTATCCATCATATAATGCTTTACCTACTATTCTTCCAATAAATTTAAAATATTTAACATGATCTGGATTCACATGAGATTTATTACTTGGCTAAAACATTTGACCATTTAATGATGGAGTAAAGAGAGCATAATTAGGATTGAAAATCTCTTTAGAAAGCATCAAAAACCATTCTCTTGTTACACCTCCTGCATCTATTCCTTCTTCTCCATCAAATTCTACATGTAATTTACCTTTCAATTCTTCTGGCTTTAATTTACTTATACGATGATATGAATCCATAAAAATATCCTTTCTTCTGCATCTTAAATTTATATTTCCATAATGATGTCTATTATTTTGCAGTTTTAACTATTTCAATTCCATCTTAAAATACTTCTATTTATTATCGAAATCTACTATTCTAGGATTCTTAAATATTATCACTCCCAAAGAATCATTAACTAATTTCCCTTTCTCTCTTAATTCTTATAATCTCTCTCTAATCATCATATTCAACAGAACTTTACCACTCTCACATATCTATTAGAACAATTCATCATGTAACTATTATTCTTATACTTCCTATTATTGTCCCTCCATACTAGCAATCTTTGTTGGCTCTCTTTAAACATTCTTATTCTTTCTTATTGGATTAACTAATTAATAAATTATAAAAAAGCATTCCAAATATGGAGATATCTTTGTACTTAATTTTGCTAACTTCTCTTATGGTATATCTTGCAATAATTTTATTAAGTTTTTCCATAACTAAATTAATCCTTAATCTTCTAACAATTCCTTGAAATTACTTCTTGTATCTTATTGATCATTATTCTCTCCTATTTTATCATTCATTTCTCTAACAAATTAAAATACATTAATCAATGCTTTATCTGCAGTAAATATCTCATCATATTAACATTGTTTCGCAAAATTATTGTTTATTTCTCTTGTTATTCTTTAAATAAACTCCTTTATATATTTAATTATTAATTGTTAATTTTCCTTATTATTACTTAGATTTAAAATTATATGAGAAAAGTTTTTTACACTTCTATTCATATTTTATAATAATATTGTACAAACACATTCTACTGATTTAGAATCTAAATTTAATTAATCTTATTTAAAGTCTTTCTACTTTGTTGTAATATTAGATATTGCTTAAATCAACAATTCTTAATGATCACCCTTTAACAAAGGCAAAAGTTAAATTAATTATAATAATGGAAGATCTTAAGTACCTTCTGATAATCTGACTATCGATTACAATTGTCCTTGCTTTTTTGTTTCAAAGAAATACTTGATTGATGGACCCTATAATTTTGAAATTAAATAAAGAATTTTCAGTGAAACTATTTCATAGATTTTTCTTTAATCTCTTATTAATCCATTTCTTCTTATTAAAATTTAAGGTGGGAATTCACTTTAATCAGTTCTTTGAATTCGATTCTTTAATATGAAAAATAGAGCATCAATCAACTTGTACTCTACATTTGGATTATTTGTTAAAGCAATAAATAAATTGATTGGGAAATTTACAAAACTATGTGATTCAACATAAAGCAATTTTAATAAAGACTCAGCAAAATCATCATCCACATTTCCTAATTTCTAAACTAAATGTCTTTAAGTTTATAGTAAATTTTTTAAGTTCAAAGATTTTTGATTTTCTTTTCTCTATTATTATTATGGTTATGGATTTGGATTGGGATTACGTTAATTTTATTATTATTACAAGGGATCAATCTAATAATACAATTATCTCTCAGTTTATTCGATGGCCCTTTAATCGGCTCTGTCTCTTATATAAGTAGCTTCCTATCTTAAATCTTATGGTAGATTTCTGACTTATTCCGCACTGATTTGTAAGTACATTTCCTCTCTGTCATCATAAGGAGTTTAATTAATTAAGGCAATTAATTGATCTAAGTCTGATTATTATTAAGGTTAATTTTAAGGAGGCTATACATATTATTAATATATTTCTCGTTAAATTTCTGGTGGTAATGATTATAAGAATTATGGATCTATTCCTTCAATATTATTTATTTCTTTATCAGGTATGTTTGAAATTATATCAATCATCATCTCCTCAGTTAAATCTTCAAATACTGATGGATCAATATTATTATTGGTTAAATCATCAAAAGATCTTCCAACTCTTTAGAGAAAACTAAAAGTATTTGGGTAAAGTAATTCTAAATTTTATTATTATTATTAAATATTTTAATTAGGTTATTCTACTTTTTAAGGTTATTCTTCTGTTTGCATTTATTGTTATTATTATTATTATTATTATTGTTATTATTATTATTATTGTTATTATTATTATTATTATTATTGTTATTGTTATTATTATTATAATGGTTATTACTCTTTTTTTTCTAATTATTCAATTTCTTAATTTTATCCTTCTAATTACATAACTTCTGAATTTACTTAAGGAATTAAAACTTATTATTCTTCCACTTAAATCTATTCTTAAATTTGTTATTACTATTATTACTATTATTACTATTATTATTATTGTTACAATTACTATTACTATTATTAAAAAATTTAATTTGAATTAAGCAAGTTCAAAAACTATTATTATAATTAATCCTATATACTTTATAAATTTGAAGTAGTTTATTATATTTAAGCAAGATTAGATTGCTATTATAATTATTGCTATTCTTATTATTATGGTTGTAGTAGATTTTATGAAATCTAATTCCAATTAAATAATCTAATAAATTATTGCTGATGCTATTATTAGAATATATTAGTTTGTTATTGATTTTATTATTAGAGTTATTGTTCTAATTATTACTCTTCTCTTCTGTTTCTAAACATCAATTATCTATATCTATCTTATCTAATTTATTCATTTCTTTCTAATCTTTCAATCTGATCAAATCTTGCTGCTTAGAATCTATTAAATATTCTATCATTTTAATCAATTCTAAATATTTCAGTAGTGAATCTATTATCTCTAAAAAGTGGTTGCATTCTTAATTCTTATGCATATGCTCTTTCATCTAACTAGAATGATTTAGAGATATATTGAGTGAGTTCAGTCCACCAATTAATAGGTTATGAATCTTCAGGAGAGTTCATTTTAGGTAAAGAGTGAACTAATTTATCTAAGACTTTGATAAATTATTAGGGGAATTGAATGCCGATCAATTAAATAATAGACTTAGTCATTTTGGCAAATGCTTAATCTTCTCTACTAGTAAGATGATGAATTTATTTAGTGACTTCAATATTTTCTTCAGAAATTTCATTATTTTATTGATCTTATTCTTCATTTTCTTCATCCATAGCTCCTTCTTCTTAATCTTCTTCATGATCTTCTTCATCTTCTTGATCAATATCTTCTTCATTATCACTTTATAATTCACTATTTGCATTTTCTTCTTCTTATTCATCTTATTCACTTCCTTCCTCTTCTTCTTCTTCTTCTTCCTACTAATCATTATCTTCATCTTCATCTTCTTCATCAGTCCAACTTGATGAAGAATTCTATGCTTCTTCAGCTTCTATCTGATTATTTCCACTTTAACTAGATCCCCAACTATTTTCTTCTTCAAGATCTGGAGCTGATTCATGAGAATTATGAGATCCTCCACTATGTTCACTAAGTACATCATTATCATTATATTCTAATTCTAACATACCATCATCCTCTTCAATATTTGCAATCAATTCAACATTTACAAGTCTATTTCTTCTTCTAAATGGAGATAAAAATTATTAAAATTCTAATTCTTCATGTTATTGATTTTAATTTAATTCTTCTAAGAATGAAATTGGTAACAGCGGCCATTTCTAAAAATATTTTATTGAATCTTAATATAAAATACTTTTATTTGGAACCAATTATTAATTGATTTCCTCTGATAACAATTATCCTATCATACCTTGTAATTGAAAATGATCACCATAATGTTCCTATTGTTATTTTGAAATTATAACTGGAGCAGGCTTATAAAATAATAGATAAATTGCCATATTGAATAAAACAGCCAAAGTTTCTGTTATGAATTATAATTCTTTTTCATAAATATAATACGATTTCAACTCAAAGTTCTTCATTCCATCCATATATAATTTGATAAAGTTAAAAGAATTTGCGGTGTCATGAATATTTCGATAGCAAATCTTTGCCACTGACTTTATTTATAAAAGTCTTATCAAAGTATAGGAATATTGACAAACTATCGAATCAAATGTCTTAATTCTTTTATCAATTCCATCATATAGTTCACTTATAATTTTTCTCCTTGTTTCATTTGAAAATGGAACAATATTGTTATTAGCCATTTAATACAATAAAATATTATCTAAACATAGTTCAAAAAGTAAGTTCTTTGCAGGAGTCATTATTCTTGTAATTAAAGTAAGAAAAGAGATTTTTCTAGGTAGTTCTAAATCTTGGTAATCACTACTTAATTACTTTTAATAAGGCTTTAAAAATTTACTACAATTTACTCTTACTATTTTAGGTATTAAAACTGGATAACGTCTAATTAATATTTACAAAACTTAAGTGATAGTATACCAATGATATTGATATTATTCATTTTCAAAAAATGAGCTTATCATTTATTATATCAGTAATTTGATCAAAATTTGTGCTTCTTATGTATGCTAGAAATTGGATTATAATTGTAATTTATCTTCACTCTTTTTCTTTTTTGAAACTTATTTGCTTTTTTTAGCAGTTTCTGGCTCTTTATGCTTTTAAAAACTAGTAGGTTAAACACAATCAAGAGTGTATAATTAACAACCTTTTCTCAAATTTAAATATTTGACTCCATCAATTGTTTCTCCATCTTCAAATAATTAAGACATAACTTCTTTAACTTCATCAGTATAAATTACTTGATTTTAAATAGTCACTAATGCTGGATGATTAGAAGCAATTTTAATTTCATTTGTAATAGGAATATTATAATAAATAGGTTAAAAACAAATAGGATAATGAGGTTAATGTTGTTATTGAACTTATGATGAAGGTTATTGTTATTATTTATTGATGTTTTCAATTTCTTTATTGTATTCTAAATTATAAAGAATCTTTTTAATTTTAGCTTCAATTTAAGCGATCACTAAACTTTTATCATGAACAATAGAAAGTACTAATTTAGTCAATGGAAACATATGATTTTATTAATCTCCTTTAATTTTAATAAGATATTCTAATCCTCTCATTTAGGAAACAAACCTTGATACATTTTCCTTATTAACTTGAAATGCTCTCACAAGTATTTCAATACAGATTTTTGAAGTAATATGATTTTGTACTTTACCTTTTAAGATATTAATAACGCCTAAAAGAATGTCATTTACAGTATCATGATGATTCTTTTTCTTTTTTTGATCATCTGTAATAAATAGAGTTAAAATTGCCAAAATATGATTAACTGCTTTAAGACTTAGATCATCCTAATATTTCATTAATTCTTATGCCAATTTCATTAATTCAGTTACAATACTTTCATATTCTTCAACAAGATTTTTTTATTTGTAAATATAATGTAAAATAGTAATGATGACTTTCATATTATCAGTAGAAGGAGGTTTGATTTCAGGCTCACAGTCTTTAAATTTGAGTTACAATTTAAATTATTCAAAAACAACTTGTTTCAAACATTTTAATAGTGATGGCATTATTTAACCTTCTAATAATTAGAATATGCTTTCCTCAAATCTATTAAAATATAGCATATTAGTTTAGATATATTATTTAAGATTTTTTTATTTATTTTAAATTTATTATGTAATGACTTCTTAAGATGGCTCATTTTTTTGAATTTCTATCATTTTCAATCTTTATTCTTCAATCATTTCTTAATTTTCACAAATCCAATCAGTAAGTCTTGTCACATCAAAAATATCATTGTTTTGAAGTGCTATAGTTATTACATCTTCTTAATAACCCATATCTTTTAATTTTATCCTCACTTCATTTGAATCTTATTAGAGTATATCTATATCACCACCATTTTCATCTCTAAAAACTTAATAAGTTTTTTAGAAAAAGTTTTCTCTATCTTTCTGTAATATATCTTATAAAAATGAAGGACGGAATATAAATACTGTTTTATTAAATAACTACTCTTATATTGCATAAATTGGATCATCTGATAAACATTAAGTAATTGTTAAAAGATTTTATATTTCTTCAATTTATTTTGGAATCAACATATATCCTGAAATCTTTTTACTTTGATCTACTTTATTTAGATAAATTAATTTTATAATGTTTGCATATTACTAACCTAATTAATCTAAAGATTCAATATTATTTTTTTAACCTACTAATTAAATAAATGAGCTAATTCCTGATTTGAAATTCTCTAAGAAATCAGAATTTACTAAGAGACTTAAAAAATCTGGATGTAAATTTTAAAATTCTGCATATTTTCTACCCTCAACAAGATTGTTTAATAAATCATTAATTATATAAGAATGTAACTAAACTACTTAGATATTTTCATTTCTTAAATTCTAACTTAATTAACAAAATAAATTGCTAAGTGGTTACAATTCATTATTAATTCTTCTCATTACTCTATATGAATTAATTATTATAACTTTTAACAATTATATATATTAGTAAAAGACAGATTTTTTAAAAGCTAAATCCATCTTCATATCTTCTCCTTATTTAATCGATCGTATCAATATTAAAATCAAAGAACAACTCTTATTTAATAGTTTACTTATTTCTTATTACTCATATCTAATTTAACCATTTATTAGATAATGTTTTAATACTTCCATAAGTGATTCAATCTAAGAATAGTATGAAACAAATTCTAATTTCTAAAATAATTAATCCAAAGGACAAGATAAAAAGAATTTTTCAGAATTATAATATGATTCATCAATTACAATATTTGAACTTTCTAATGTACAGCCTAATTTATTTTCTAATTTAGAAATAGAGATAAGCACTTTAGATAATGCTTTAAATGGATTATCAAGTTCATCTAATTAGGCAAATAATCTAAATACTTTAGTTAAGTCATTTTTAAAATCAAAGGCAGGAAATTCAAAAAACATCAATAATTTTTCAAAAAATCCTTTTGCATTCATTTCAGCTTATTGAGATGGATGCAAATTGTGAATCATTTTGAATGCCAAAATTGATAAATTTGATATTTTAGTAATAATCTCATTATATGATTAATAAGTATCTTCTTTCAAATTATTTCTTTTATCAATTAAATAATTATAAAGTCCTTCCAATCCAATATTGAGTATGTTAATAACTTATGGAGCAACTTTATCAATTTTTTATAGATATTTAGCAATATTTTATCCAACAGATGTTAATAGTTCTTTAGGAACATTATTTTAAAGTAAACAATAGTCCAGAATTCGTTACATAAATTATAAACCAAAAGTGTTGAACTGATCATATCCTTCTTCTTTCAATGAAATATTAAAATAGAATTAAAAGATAGCATTAACCATTTTATTATTAATTTAAGAATAATTTAGATTCTAGATGATTTAATTTAATTATTATGGTAATTAAGAGTCAATTAATCTACCAATAAGAGTAGGAACTTCATTAGCAAGATGTGAAATTAAAATGAGAGTTTACTATATAATAAGAGTATATCTGTTGTCTTAAAGTAAATTTTATAATTTTTTAATAATTTGAGTTTCTGATACCTTTCTGGCAATTGTTGGTGCATTAGCTCTATTATATCTTCTACCAAGATCATCTTTAAAATGTTCATTGATACTCTAAATAGCAAATGAAATGATGGAATCAGTCTCATCAAAAGTCACATGTTAAAATCCTTAATCTGTAGGTTTGATTAGATTAGGTCCAATAGAAATTAAGTTTTCAACTATTTTAATTAGATCATTAAATATTTTAAGATCTCTTTATAAATCTTCTTTTCTGGATAGTCTTCCTAACATTCCGATAGCTGCTTTAAGGATTACAGGTGGTAGAAATGATTTATTATCTTAAATAAGTAATGTTCTAATTAAAGCTTATGAAGATCCAAGTGCTATATTACTTCTACTTAATAATAGTACTCCAGATTCTGAAGAAAATAATGTAAAAATTCCACAAGCAACTTCCTCATCTCTAGCACATTGTTCATTTAAAAGTTATCCATTGTATTTTAGTGGATAACTTGATTCTATTTCAATTTGATGTGGTTGCATTGATAAAACATCATAAATTAATTATAAAAATGTTTCATCATAATTTTTAGCTGTGTTTAATGCAATTTCATTATCCTATTGTCTTTCTGTTACTAATATTTCATCTAATGTTGATAATATTGTAACTAATAATTTTGGTTATACAGTTTTCAATTAAAATAATTTAGCATAGATACTAAAATATTATTCATATTCAATTTTCTCAACAAATACTTAATCTAATAAAAAAGCACAATCATGAGTTGAACAGAATGCATCTAATAACATATTCATCTCAAGTGATAATATATGCATTCCTAAAACTAATGTTTTAGTTTCTGTTTTATTTGATGCTAAACCTCTGTAAATTAGAATTCTATATTTTACAGCTTCCACTAAAGGAGTAAGAGGCATATCTTGCTATCCTAATATTGATTTTGCTAAAAGAAGGGCAGACATTGAATTATCATCTTTTATGCTAAAGTTCTAAAAATAATCAATTAAAATATAGTACTTTAATTGATGTTTAATGTTGCAATTCCTTTTTATGAATACCATTTTTACATAAATCTGCATAAGGTTCATCTAAAATGATTGGCTCTACATATTCAAATTGCAATTATGGAAATTAAATTGGATTATCTGTAATAGATAAATAATTTGGATCATCATTATAATAATCAATCAATTCAAGTTTAGTTGATGAAAGTGTATTATTATGATCAAAGAGAAATCGATTCAAATAAATCAATCTAGGTATATTATCTCTTAATTATTGATTGCAAATTTCTTTTTATTAAGGGTTATTGAGATTTATTGCTTAATCAAAAATTTTGATTAGAATGTTCATAATAGTCTCATAATTTTACAAACTATCTGTATGCTCAACTATGCTTAATAGATGTTCTAATGAATTAAATAATTTTCTATGAATATTTTTTAAATTATTACCTATAACATTCATACTCCATTAAACTATTTATAAGGTTTAACAATTATGAACAATCATGCCTTGAGTTTTATTATACAAGCTAAGCCATATTTTAAATATAATCATCTAATTTATCCATAAGTAAAGTTAATGATCCCAAAGATAATTTGTGGATAACATTACTCTTATCATTGACTAGTTAGAGCAACTCTTCCAAGAAGTTAGGACTTACTAAGATGGATGCCAAGAGCTAAAATTAAGCTTGAAGAAATTACACGACGGTCTATTTCTTTAGGTTGTTCAAGAGTATTAAGAGGTATTTTCATATTTAAATTAATATAAAGTCAAAGATTTTTTACTATGACTTCAACTATCTATTTTAAATTTTCAAGAGTATCTGCCAATTATATTTTCTCTATTTGTATATATTTTAGTAGACATTCTAAACATTCTTGCCACTCTCCCGCCATTTCATTCGAATTAAAGAACAAACCCACTACTCCAAATATCACTAAATTCAACCATTTTGTCTATTTGTCATTATCATCACTTAAAATCTTTGGCATATGATCATTTAATATTTTAAAATTTATAACCATAATCTCCAAATTGATTTTATTACATTCCCAATGTCCATCTTATTATTAATTTTGTTATAATTTTTATACCATTTCTTATGCCTTTTTCTCATTTCTACTCTTTGTATAATTTGTCATTCCCTTATTCCCTAAATATCCTCCTATAATTCCTCCTACTATTCCTCCTACTAATGGTATTGGTATTAACGCTTATCCAATTATTGCTCCTGATACTAAAGATGTTGATATTGCTAATGTTGAAGTAAATGTCCTTTAAGGAGTATATATTTCTTAACTTGTCAGTAATGCTTAAGCTCCAAATCCTCCTAAATTCAAAAAATCTTTTAATAAAGGCATGTAAACTACCAATTATTACATACATCCATTATTCACTGCATTTTCACCAAAATTATATAAAAATTCTCTATTAATAAAATTTTCTAATACTTATTTTTACTAACATTTGCTAAAAATGATCCAAACATTGTATCCATTTCTCCTTCAACCTTTCTTCTTAATTAGTACACATCCTCTTAGTATTTATTTAATATCATTAAACCCAATTATTCATTAACCCAATTAGACTCAATCATTTCTTTCATTGATTTAAATTTTACTGGGTATACTCCCCAACCTGATTTTCTTTTAGAATCTTTTCTAAAGAATCCATCCTTATCTTATTAATCTATCACAAATGTCTTAATATTATTAATCAATCAACTTACTTTCTAAAATGCCCATCTTTTACTAACTAAAGGAGCATAAATCACTTTAAATTTATCATTCACTACATAAATTATAAATTTTGATTAAGGATCCTCACTCTCTAAGTATAATCCATTCAAATATTATCTTGTTTCCTATTAAATTTTAAAAGATTTAATATCTGTCGATAAAGTACATTAATCTTCATCATCTTCACTTTGTTACTTTTACAGTTTTTATCTACATTATATTTTATACACAGCAATTGACTTACTTTTATTTGTGATACATTATTAAAGAGAATCTAACACCTATTCAACTGTTTCTTTATTAATATTTTCATTCTATAAAGTTTAATTAGATAAAATTTTGTTTTTCAGTATTAATGTGTCATAATTTTCTATAGCATATTTCATAAATTTTTCAACTACATCAGGTTCAGCATAATGAAAAAGTGTAAATTCTAAGAGATCTTAGATTGTCTAATAGCAACTTTAACTTAATTCTTAAAATAATGCTAATATAGTGTATTTATTTAATAATATTTATGGGATATTCTATATTATTAAAAAATATTACTCTTTCTCGAAATTTAGCAATAAATGGCTCTATATAACCTCGACATTCCTCTAAAATTAAGCAAATTTGATCACTAACTTCATATGATAAGTTGCATAATAATTAATGGGATAGTTCAAGTAATTGAGAATACAAATTACCAGAAACAACATTCATACTTGAAGCTATATATTTCTTGATGAGTTCTACAATTTTAGGTTAAAATAGTTAGAGATTAACTTCCCAAATAGTAATTTACAATTCTTCAGCATAATCAATGAAATGATTTTCTAAGAAATCAACAATTGGTTTAGAAATGTGACATAATGCAAAAACTAATAAATTAAGATCTTCAATTATTTTCAATTAAATTCTTTTTTCTACTTGTTGATTTTGCAGTTGTTAGCATTCATTTTCTACATATTGATTAATTTTTTTGAGAAGATTTTTTTAAATAGGTACTCTTTCTTTTTTAATGCTTTATGTAAATTCTGTAATAGTGAATTAAAAAGCTCCATTAGTAATATCAAATATGTATTTTTAGAGTGGTTTAGGAGGAGCTAAAGATTTTCTCTTGGTTGGTGAGTCTATATAGAGATTTTAGTCTTCAAATTTGAATAAGTCAGATAACCTAAAAGAAGGCTTCATGATCTCATCTTATAACATTATAAATCACTTATTTAATTATTTCACAATCCATGATTCCCATTCATTTTCATCAATTCCCTCTTCTTCTGCATCTTCAAAAAGGATGGAAACTAAGATCTATCTACTTGGATGATAAAGAGGTAGTCCTTCCTTAACTTTCAATGCTAAATCAAAAAAACGTCTTCTAATTTAACTTCTTAATTTTTATGAATTTGATAATGCTATCTTTGCCTGTTAAGCTTCAATAGTATTTTCTGAATTATTGCTATCTGTCAAATCAGGTAAAGATTCTTAAAAATCATACATTGATTATCTGCCATCTTAATCAATAGAAAATATTCCTAATCCATTTCGATTCATTTTCTCTTATTATAAAATTGAAAAATAGTTCAATGTAGCTTTATGATGAGAGAAACGTTCTAAAAATTCTTCTACTAAATTAAAAAAGGTATTTAATTCCTTTTATATTTTAAATATTGATTACTTTTTCTTTTTCTACAGTGGGAATATTATTTTCAATTTCAAGTTTACTATGATCTATTTAGTATTATGATATAATATCTTCATATTCAATTTATATTTCTTGAACATCTGACTTAATTTTACTTTTCACTTATTTTGCATTCTCATTTTACAACATTACTTAGTATTTTTTAAGTAAACCTAATACTTTATTTTTCAATTGCAACATTTCTTCTAATAAATCAAATTTCGATTCTTCTTCTTACGCTATAATTTATGTAGGATTAAGTTATTATAACATTTCATTAAGGTCTTGTTCTTATCCTTAAGGATTTCCTATAATTTTGCTGCCTCCAACTCTTGAAGATTAAAGTGAAGAAGGTTTAGATGAACTACCTTTTGAATGAAAATGAGGATTATTGAAAACTTTCATTCTCTATAAAAAAAAACGAAAATAATATAATTGAGTTTTGAAATTTATTTTATAAATTATTTTTTATTAATAAAATAGTGATAATGGGAGAATGTGCATCTAAAGTTTAAATAGATAACACTTAATAAGGTCTGGATTTTAATCGTTATTCAACTTATTAGAAATTAGAAAACATAGCAAATAATATTGCTTAGAGTAAGGGTTGAAATAATTGTAGCTGAATAAATTGATACTACTTATTCTTCATTAATTCAAAGAATTATTGCAGCCAAATAAGATCATGTCTTGAAATTGCTTAGTGTAATGAAATCCTAAGAAAAGAAAGAATTTATGACTAAAATGGAGAGCATAGATTTTGAGACAGTGGATTCAGTATTTATATTAGTTCTATTGTTTAGTTATTTTATCATTGTTGTAAATAATCTCATATGGATATATTTAAAGGATAAGTTTAATTTTATAGTAATTTCATAGAAAAAGATTTAGATCTAATTAAGGTATATATATTTATAAGATAGTAAGTAACGCAAAGTTGGTTTGGTTTTATTATGTGGTGGCAATAGTTCTAGATTACCTAATAAAATCCTTAACGATATAGGATTGCCATCCAGAAAATGTATTTTTTAAATCATGATGGAACGAATAAAAAAGATTATCTTAATGGGTACTCTATCAAATTTAAAAATAATAAGCCTAAGATACTATGGATTTTAATGGGTTTCCAATAGGAATATTGGTTTCTGATTAAAATGCAGTTACTTTTCAATAATATCTAAAAAATAAAAAAGATTTTGGATTTCCTTACATTCATATTATGTAATAAAAGTCACTTCCAATTATCAATAAACATGGACATATAATGTTTGAAGCTAATTAACCTGTTTTAGCTCCAAATGGTGCAGGAAGTATATTCTTATAATTATAAACATTTTAAAAGTAATAGTATTATTTTAAATTAGGAAATTTCCCAATATGTAATATATTTAATTATTGGGTTTTGATAATTTAGTAGGATTACCTTTAGATCCTATAATGCTTAATTTAATAAAGTAAAATTAGACAGATGTAATTTGTAAAGTAATCGAAACTAATTCAACATAAGATGATAGAATATTTTATTAAAATGGATATTTTAAAACTATGGAAACTCAAGATTCAAGTATGACAGAAAATCCAGAAAATTTAGCAAGTATGTGTTTAAATGACATGTATATATCTGTTGCTTTTCTAAATAATTTAAAATTAAATCATGAAAAATCTATGAAATTTTCCTCAAGATATCATGTTATAAGAAGAGGGCCAACAATTTAATTTGAAAAACATATTTAAGACATTATAGAAATAGCTAACTCAACTATATTATATTAGATAGATGATTATGCTATTTTGGTTAATGATTCAAAAAAGGCTGTGATTTAGCTTTCAAATGTTCATAAAAAATATTTAAAACTAGAAGGAACCTAAGATGAAGAATTAGTTGAAATTACACCATATATGAGTTATTGTGGAGAAGACTTAGGGAAACAAGAAAATATCAAATTCCCACTGATTATATGAAATAAAATCATATTGTTAAATATAGACATCTTCCAATTTTGACTTTATCTTTTATGACATCTTCTAACTCTTTTTTTATATACTATTTAATAGTCTATGGTTCATCTTCATTTAAGATATATTCTTAGTGTTCAAATACATTATCTGAATAATAATTTTAAAGTTTGCCCTTTAAAATAAAATTTTATTATTGAGCAGTTTTAGATACAAATTCTTTCTAAACTTCTTTTCTAATTTAATCAACTACATCTGAAGCTACCTCATTTTCATATAAGAATCTAGGTTTCAAACCTAAATAAGTAACAGCTAAATTATTGGCTCCTTCTCTTAAAATTTAAGACTTCACATCATTTAATCCTTATTCAGTTATTAATTCAACAACGCTACCTCCTAATCCACAGATTGTATTTTTTAAACAATTATGTTAATACACTCCAAAAACACCTTAATATATTATTCAGATATATTACTATTATTTGTTGCTACAAATGCATTCAAATTACCAATCACAATATTTTCTTATAATTTTCCTACTAATTATTTACGTTTGTCATCTATGCTTGTTTCAAAGTAAGCTTAATTCTAGCTTTACTTAAGAACAGAATCAATATTTGAACTATTAAAATCTTTTTCTTGATTAACAATTGTTTTTATAAAATTTGTCGAAAATTCTAAAAATTCATTAGTTCTGGCTACAAAGTCTGTTTCACAATTAATCTATATTCATATTAAATTCATAAATACTTCAGCTAGAGCAGCTACTTTATTATTAGTAAAGGCTACAATCACTCCCTATTTGGTCTAATTACCCAATTTCTTTTCTGCTTATGCCAATCCTCTTTCTTTTAAATATTGTATAGCCTTCTCAAAATTACCTTCTGTTGATTCTAATGCTTTTTTACAATCATTGATAGGTGAACCTAATATTCAAACATTTAAATTTACCTGATACTTCTCTTAATTGCTTTATGAGTTATATAGATATATTTGTGTATATTTTTCTGAACATAAATAATAATATGAATTTTAATCTAAAACACTCTTAATAAGCAGTTCAATAATATTCTACAGAAATCAGAAATTAGGATAGGTTTTTTATTTAAATAATATTTTAGAGAATCTAAGATCAACTCTCTTAGAGATAAGCAAAGATAAAGAAATTTGTAAGCATAAAAAAAAGTCACTTATGATTTTAAATAATTTAATTCTCTAATCAAATAGTTCCAAGATTAAACAATATCAGATGAGTTAAGATTTGAAATTCTATAACCTGCTATTCATTTTACTGATGATGGTATTTATTAAAATATAATTTTAGATGATAATTCACATTATGCTATTAAAATGTTATTGGAAGCAGATGATGTTGTTTATTAATTAAAAGAGACAGTTTATAATGAAAACATCAAACTTGAATATAGATGTGATTCATTACTATTATTGGCGTAAATGATGTATAGCAATTATGAACTATGTTCTGAGTTATTAAAATAAGGAATTTTGTAATTACTTATTGATTTAGTTAAAATTTCATTTTATCATGGTAATCTTATATTCCTTAGTCATTCTTTGTTGGGTTTGGCTAACAGTATTACTCATGAATAAAAGATTAGAACTATATATATTGAAAATTAATTAGATTAATTGATTCTACAAATTTTGTAGAAGTATTTTGATGAAAATATCAAAAAGTATGTTGCCAGAATTATGAATGATTGGTTTAGAAGCAAACTAGAAAATATTAATATCGATCTATATTTATAGATTTTGAATCATATACTTATTATTCCTTCAGAAGATAATTGTGAATATAAAGAAAATGTTATATGGTTTATTTATGGCTTTGTCAGCCAAGTTTTAGATTAAAACAAAGATATAAGTGATAAATTTATTTAATAAATTATGATACTACCAAATTTAACTAGTTTTTTGAAATAAAAATTATGTGATAAAGATTAACTTGGTATTGTTGCTGGAATTCGAACAATAACTAAAATATTTAGAAAAGTTAGTGATTAAAGTGGATTATATGATATTTTCTATGATGATCTTCGAATATTATTTAGAAATGGATAATAATATGAAGTTAATTTAGCTAAAATAGAAATTTTAAAACTTATGTAAGTTATGCATTTACATCCTAAATGTTCAATATTTTCAGATGAATTTTGTTCTACTTAACATTACTATTTCTATAATCTCAAGTGTCAAGAGTTTACATTGTTGGGTTTAGAAATTTGTAATATTGAAATTTTCGATCAATAATAATTAACTATTTTACTAAATCTTTGTAAAAATATATTAATGACTGATCTTATTGAATCTAATAAATTATAGGCTGCACTTGTAATTATATAAAAAATACTCAATTATGATAATAGCTTTTATCATTAAATTGCTGATTGTATGCGTTTAATTGAACAATTGTTAAAAAATTAAAATACCTAAATATTTTAATCTGCTTCCAATTTGATTGACAATTATAAATAGTTTATGGGGCAATGATGTTATTATCTAAAATATATTAATATTTTTATGAAAATTAATCAGTTTGCAAAGTTTTTTCTTGATCAAAATCTAAAGTCCAATCACAAAAGAATTGAATTTAAGTTGTCTAATTCTGAAGAAGCTATGTAATTTAATATCTTAAAATATAGATCTCAAATATAATTTAATTATGATGATAAAAATTAGAGCGCTCAAAAATTAGAAAACATTAAAATAAAGTGCGAATATTAAAATTGTTCTATAAACTCATGTTCTTAATTAGCTATTTTTAATGATTAAATTTTAGTAGCTAAAAAAGATTCAATTTTATTCTTTGATCGTGATTTTGATTACTTTTCTCAAGAAAATCATTTCTCTAATTCTCCTAATAAAGAATATAAATTAAATTTTGGAGATATTATCTCTTTATATGCAATATAGAAATAATTAATAGTAAGGACAGAAAAAAATATTTTAATTTTCTAAACTTATTAGTAAAATGTATATCAAAAATTCAATTTTAGTTTATATTATCAAAAGCTTTTAGTTATCCAAATATTTTATAATTAAATTTTGAGATCAATTAATTATTTCTATGTTTAGATGATTAATTAGTCATAATTGATTTGATCTCATATCAGCATTCCGTTATTCTTAGAGATAAACAAATCTAAGCTGGATTTTATACTGAAAAAGAATATTATTATATCATAAAGAATTCGAATATTTTAAAAAATTCATAAAAAGAATATTAATTAGACTTAAGTGCTTAAATAAAAATTAAATCCTTTTTCATTATTAAAAATTTATTATGTATTTGTGGATATCATGCTATAAATAAACTTAATATAGAAGAATCAAGCTATTGTGCTGAAATATTTTGGTTTGATTTGAAAAAACAAAATTTCATCTAAAAAATTTAAAGTTTAAAAATTGACTTAATAAATGATGTTAATAGCTAAGGAGATTTCGGAATATAAATAATTGATGAACTTTGTATTACTTATGGAAGTAATCTAAGTTCAATTATATTTTGGAATTTAGAATTCTTAAGTTTATTAAATGATAATTATGATAAAATTAGATTCGAGATATGCAAAACTCAAAATATAAAAGGATTATCTTTAGTAAATAGAAATTAATATCAAAGAATAAAAAAAAGTTAAGAATCATTTAGCAGTACAGATGAATATCCAATTATAATAATAATAGATAATTAAGGATTTTTAAATGCATATGAAATAATTAATGAATAAGATTTTTCAAGTGATCTTTTACACTAATCAAATTATTATAGTAATTATGAGGATATTTAATTTACAGTAGTTTAAAATGATCCTCGAGAAATAATAAATTTAGCAAATCCTCCTTTTAATTTATAATTAATTACTAAAGTTGATGATTCATAAATAGTTTTTGGAAGTGGTAAAATTGATCATATATTTCATTTACATTAAAATTGGATTTCTTCTGCAAATTTAGCTATAAATTATAAGCATTTCTAAATTATTGGACATGAAAGAGAAATTCTTATTTTAAAACCATTAATAATTTAATAGATTCTACTTGATTTACCACATCAATGTTAAAGTTACTAAATAACAACGTATCCTTGTGAACTTATATATGGTTTATATTAATTTTAAGATTAAATTCTTATTTAAACTAATTCATCACTCTACTTATGTAATTATTTTCATGATTAATGGATTTCAAAAAAAATTTTAAATAAAAATTCAATAAAAAGAGTTTCAATTTTAGAAGATTACATTTTAGTTAAAATTAAGACATATACAGATCAATTTTTATTATATCAATACAAAAATGATGATCTTTAGTAAATCACTACTCATAGTTGTGATGCAAGTTGTTTATTTAAATTGAATAATAAAATCACTTTATTATAAATATTAGATAACTAATTGTTTATTTTAAAAGATTTTGAGAACAAAGAATGTATATAAACAGATATTGAAATTGTATATTCCAAAGAATATTATATCAAACAATTGCATGAAAATCATTTATATGTATCTTTTGCAACATTAGATTAAGATTCATTTGAACATTATATTTTATTTTATGAGCCTAATAGAAAATAAGCCAAATAAGAAAAGCATCTAAATGATTTGTTATAGAATGTGAGATGTAATCATCTATTAACAAAAATCACAGAATCAGATTGGAATATTTCAACAATAATAACTCCAGAAGCTAAATTTATAGTGATATTTCCAAATGGAATTCAGGATGGATTAATATTATAAGTTTGTAATTAAGATTTGAGAACAATAGATGATCAAGAAGGACATCCTATTTAACTTCCTTCATTTTCTCATATTATAAAAGGAGTATCTGTATTGAATTATGTTTTACCTCTTGAAGAAAATCTAGGATCAAAACCTGGATTTTATAAGATGAAAAAAGATGAGAAAGAATTTCAATATTAATGTTAACCCTCAATTTTAATTTATGAATTTGATGAAAAAGGTTAATTAACAATTCATAGATTTTTGATAATTAAATTGTACGATATACGAGCTTAGTAGCCTATTTTAAATATATAATTTGATAATCAATAATCAGAATAATATTAAAATACTTTTAAAATATCTCGTACAGAATCTCTTGTATCATTATAACCACCTCCATCTCCTTCACTTAAATATCAAATTAATTTATCATAAGCTGCTTTGATTACATAGTAATTAGTAGATTTATGCTAGTAATCTTTACTCTAATTTCATTAAAAATATGAACATAATCAATTTATTCCAGTTTTCCCTATTTTTACTTCATAGTATTTACTTGATGATTTATTTTCTTAATATTATCAAATTTAGAATGAGAAATTTACTATCAGAAAATAAATTAAAGACTAATCTATTCTTAAATAGTATTATAGTTTGAAACATTAATTCAAAATTCCTAAAATTTAATTGAAATATTCTATAATCTAAGACAAGTTCTATTAATTATTAGAATTAAAATAACATTTTTTAATGATTTGTAATTTTGTCAAAGAAAGTCTATATTTTAGTAAATAATAAGTTAAATTTAATAAGAATATAATTAATGAATTTCAATATTATGATTATAAAAATACTAATAAAAATAAAAGGTAAGGTCGAAAGATCTTGTTTAATGAAGAATTTTAACATATTGAAATACTAAATTCAAAAGATTAATTCATTTAATAATTATGTTCTAATCCTAAATCTAGAGTGAAATATTTAGTTTTAGAATATTTTTAATAACAGAGATATGATCTTGTTTAAATTTAAAATGAACCCTAAATTCTATAAGAATAAAAAAATTAAAGAATAAGTTATGTTACATCTTCTGAGTAAGAAATTTCAATTTTAGAATAAAGTAAAACTGAGAGTATGAATTTTGGATTTGCAACTTAAAGTTTAAGAAATTCAAATAATCTAGAAAATGAAAACATAATTTCTTAAGATTAATAATTATTTTAACCTTTTGGATCACCAAGCAAAAATCCTTTTGATTCAGAAACTTTGAGTAATTTTCACAATAATCAACTAATAGAATCTATCATTTTTGATAATAAAGAAGCAAAGTCTCAACAAGATTTACTCAATAACTTAGATTCTCATCTTAAAAAACCTCATTCTTAATGTTAAAGTTAACAAAAAATTGAAAATTTGTAAAGTAATGAATTTGAAATTTCAGACATGTAATTCCAAAAAAATTAATTCATATTTACTAATTAAAATATCTAGAATCCAGTAGATGATTTTATTACATCATAATCATTAAAAACTCCAAATTTTTATGTTAATAATATTAATCCTTAAATTTTTTAAGAATAATAAATTTAGAATAGCAAAATATTTTTAAATTATAAAAAACAATAGAAATAAATTGATATCTTTAATTTTGATAAAGACACATTCAAAAATTGATTGAGAATTAATTCGAATATAAATTAAAGTCTTATATGATAAAATAATTGCATTCATATTGTTTTATTTAATTATTAATCATGAAATTCTAGTTTTTTGAAGTAATTATCTTTTTTTTATTATAATAAAATTACCACAGTATCTTAAAATTAAGATTATGAGTATAATATGAATATAAAAAAATTAGATTTATTAATTGCAATAAAATTAATTAATGGGAAATAAAGTAACCAAACCTTAATTGATAATTGGGGGTGTTGTTGTTGTAACAATAGGAGGGTATTATTTCTTTATATCTTAGATTCATATATTAGAAAAAATAAAACGAAAAAAGATCGAACGAACTTAAATCTAGTTAGTAAATTGAAGCAATAGAAAATGAAGGAAAAACTATTATTCAAAATCCTTCATAAGTTGTTGTTTAAAGTTAATAAGATGTTATTCCAACTCCTCCATAAATCACTAATAATATCTAAATAAAAGAAGAAGAAGATCCCTCTAGTATATATGGTGTAAATTTCATAAACAAAGTGAATAAAGAATTGAAAGCATATTAAGAATAACGTATACCACTATCTTTTGAAGTTTTAATAAAGATTACAGAAGCAGGATTTAAATAAGCTACCAAACCTTATAGTTAGAATTAATAGAGAAATAGAATTGGTAATAATTTTTTGATAATTTTAGAAAGAAGAAAAGTAATCAATAGTCCATAATAATATGTGAATTGTGTTTTAGAATTTAATAATTAATTGGAAGCACTCATTAATGAAAAATAATTGGATATTTGCTCTAAATTGAGAATCTCTTCTGAGATATATGAAAATAGTTTTATGATGTAATTTGAAAATGAAGCTGCAATATAGCAATTAATTTTTTTTTAACTTTCTTAAAGATAGTAATTAATGTAATAATAGAATTTATTAATTCATTAGAGCATCTATACCAAGCTAAAAAGATATAAGTGAATCTGATTTAGCTTAAGTCATAAATTTACAATTGAAAAAATTGGATGATGTTACTTTTTTCTAAAAATATCTATAAACATTATAAGTAATATATAATTAGAATTTAGGGTGAAGATTAATAATTAGGATCTATTGTTATTACTATTTTGTTATCAGATATTGTATATAATTAGTTTGGCTTTGAAGAAGAAGATATTTTAAAAGCAATTCTTGCTTATCCCATGTTAAAGAATTAACTTGCTTAAATCTAATAAAAGGTACAAATTGTTTTTGAAAATTGTTTGTAATGATATTTAGGATATTAAAAATATTAAAATATATTAAAATGGTTTAGCAATTAATTATGAATTCAAGTTTCTCAAAATATATTTTGTATATTGATTGTTATTTTCTAAAATTACAAATTTTGAAAGGATTTTTTTTATTAGATTTAAAATTTTCTATATATAATCATATTACTTATTGTTTTTATAGATGAGTATGATATAAGAAAATCTTTTATTCATAAGCAGAATTTATGAAGAATTGATTTGTATAAATAATTTATTAAATTAATATAAGAATGGATTTCACAGGATAATTTAGATTAGATGAGGATTCTATGGCAATAAATATCTTCCAAACACCAGTAAAGGGCTAATTCTAAGGTATGTTTAAATTTTTCATCGCTTTTCATATATTATATATTACATGTTCTGGCGGAATATTTTCGCGCTTATACAACAATTTTGTGACAAAAAATTATATTTTTAGATTCCGAAGCTAATTGTAATTCACAAGCAAACACAAATAAGAAATTATTTGTTTAGACTGAGCCTTTTGATAAACCAAAGATTTAATTAGATCCTATAAAATCTCAAAAGAAATGGAGCTTAAAATAAATTAGTAATCGAGTTATGAAAGAATTATAACATGAAGCAATGGCTTATAGTGATATTTGTTAATAATTGACAGATGAGATGATTAAAGAGTTTGATGGATAATAAAATGATATACAAAAAGAAATAAAAAATCTTAGAAGAAGAGTTTATGATGCTTTGAATGTCATGATTTCTATAGGAATAGTTGTCAAAGAGTAGAAATTACTGAGAAAAAATGCTGAAACCTAAGTTAATCTAACCAAGTAGAATTTAATAATTAGAAAAGTAAAAATTAAAATTAATTTAACAGCAAAAATTAAAAGAATTATTATAAATAAAAAAAGCATCAGCAACTAATAAAATTAAACAATAAGAAAGCCTTAAAAAATTAGTAGAATTGAATAAAATCAGAGATGTAGATGAAAATGAGAAGATTAGATTTCCATTTATTTTTGTCAAAACTTAACTAAATAATTCTGATGAAGTATTCAATTATTATTTAAATAAATAGGATGAATTAGTTCTTGAATAAAATAAAACCATGGATTATTTAAAGGTCTTTAGTAAAAACTAACTTGATCTGCAATTAGATCTTTGTGTAGTTTAAAAACTATTTCAAAGTGAACATATGATATTATGAATATCATAATAATTTTGTTTTAATAAAATTATTTCAAATAATCTCTTTTCATTTAATATTTATAGAAATAAAAAATATCAATTTATAATTTGATAAATGATCTTTTATAAATATAAATTTTGCATTGAATTATCTAATTAAAAATCAAAATACAAATCTTTTAGAGATAGTAATTTATATCTTAAAACAGATGAAATATTATAAGAGCTTTTGATGGAGATTATAAATGAATAAAATCATTTACATTTAAGAATATATTGAACAATTTTTATTTAAATAAAAACTGATAATCCTTAATTTAGTCATTTCTTTTTTGCAAAATTTATAAGACTTAAATCACACTAGAAGATTACAAACATTATTTTATTTTTATATTTAAGTAAATATCAAAAGACAAAAATAATTAAATGAAAATTTTCAACTTTTTTTATTTTGGTTAGAAATGAAAGTTTTACATAATTAAAGGATTTATTCAGGAGGTTTATCATCTTAAAGATTTTCAATGAGATATAACTATAATAAATAAAATTAATATTTTGATGATATATTTTTATATATTAATTAATATCGAATCAAAGAATGATTATATATTTTTAAATATTTAGATAAGTTTATAGTTTAAATATCCTTCAAAAACAAGCTATAAGTTTTTTTTATATAATTGAGCATAATCTATAAGTATAGAGTACTTAGGAGTCTTAAAAAATACTATAAAAAGAACAAAATTCAACATTTTTTTTCAATTATTTTTTAAATTGATATACTCAAATTGTATGACTTCTATTTAATAACATTCTAAAGTAGAAAGAATATAGGAATAATAAAAGAATAATAGTTCGACATCATCAAGAGACTCAGACTCTTCAGACTCCTCTTACGATTTTATAAGGGATTTGAACTAAAAGTCCTCTTTAAAGAGAAGTCCTGAGGAAGTATAGGAACTTCTGTGTAGATATTAAGGTATAGTTTATAAATAATTTAAAAAAGGTAAACATGGATTAAAGTACTAGAAAATATCGAATGAACAGCGATAAAAACTAATTAAACAAGTAANGAATAAAATAAAACCATGGATTATTTAAAGGTCTTTAGTAAAAACTAACTTGATCTGCAATTAGATCTTTGTGTAGTTTAAAAACTATTTCAAAGTGAACATATGATATTATGAATATCATAATAATTTTGTTTTAATAAAATTATTTCAAATAATCTCTTTTCATTTAATATTTATAGAAATAAAAAATATCAATTTATAATTTGATAAATGATCTTTTATAAATATAAATTTTGCATTGAATTATCTAATTAAAAATCAAAATACAAATCTTTTAGAGATAGTAATTTATATCTTAAAACAGATGAAATATTATAAGAGCTTTTGATGGAGATTATAAATGAATAAAATCATTTACATTTAAGAATATATTGAACAATTTTTATTTAAATAAAAACTGATAATCCTTAATTTAGTCATTTCTTTTTTGCAAAATTTATAAGACTTAAATCACACTAGAAGATTACAAACATTATTTTATTTTTATATTTAAGTAAATATCAAAAGACAAAAATAATTAAATGAAAATTTTCAACTTTTTTTATTTTGGTTAGAAATGAAAGTTTTACATAATTAAAGGATTTATTCAGGAGGTTTATCATCTTAAAGATTTTCAATGAGATATAACTATAATAAATAAAATTAATATTTTGATGATATATTTTTATATATTAATTAATATCGAATCAAAGAATGATTATATATTTTTAAATATTTAGATAAGTTTATAGTTTAAATATCCTTCAAAAACAAGCTATAAGTTTTTTTTATATAATTGAGCATAATCTATAAGTATAGAGTACTTAGGAGTCTTAAAAAATACTATAAAAAGAACAAAATTCAACATTTTTTTTCAATTATTTTTTAAATTGATATACTCAAATTGTATGACTTCTATTTAATAACATTCTAAAGTAGAAAGAATATAGGAATAATAAAAGAATAATAGTTCGACATCATCAAGAGACTCAGACTCTTCAGACTCCTCTTACGATTTTATAAGGGATTTGAACTAAAAGTCCTCTTTAAAGAGAAGTCCTGAGGAAGTATAGGAACTTCTGTGTAGATATTAAGGTATAGTTTATAAATAATTTAAAAAAGGTAAACATGGATTAAAGTACTAGAAAATATCGAATGAACAGCGATAAAAACTAATTAAACAAGTAACAACTACAGGTTGTACAATAAAAAGTGCTTCAAGAGATTTGAATATTAATTTTTCAACAGCTAAGGCTATAATATAGATTTTTAGAAAAGAAGGGAGAATGTCTAAAAAAGTCAAAAGGGAGAAAATTTAAGACGAGTTTAAAAATCCTGAGATAGTAAATAAAGGTATTTAGAAAAGTTTAAAAAATTTAGTAGGATTAGCAAATGAGTAATAATGCTAATAGAGACAAAATAATGTAAAGGATAATTTAGATACAATTCTTTTTTAATAGGTGGAGGAGAAAAATAGAAATTAAGCTATTATAATATAATAGTTAAATACATAGGTAAAAACTTAGAATAAATATTAGAATATATATTTATAAGGGAAGATCAATTAATTATAATAGGAGAAATCTTAATTAAGTTAAAATTATTGCTTTTTGGCTAATCAGTATAATTAACTATAACAAATGGTATAAAAATAATTGTAATATATTAAGGTGAGTTAGACAATGCCATAATATTATCAACCATATTAAATGTGATTATGATTCAATATTGTATTAAGAATCTTATTAAATTTAGTATACAACATATTTTAGGACAAAAATAACTTGTTTTATTTAAACTTATTATAGATTATCATTCCAAATAATTATAATGATATTAATTAATAAAATAATTTCTGTAGTATTTCTGTTCATTAAATAAATAAATAAAATGGATTTTGAAGAGGAACATGTAGGAGGAGATGATATTGAAGAAATTCAAGATGGAGAAGATATATTTGGAGAGGATGCTGATATTTCAGTGCATGATTCAGGAAGCAAAAAAGATGCAGTCATATTCTTAGTGGATTGCAAGAAATCTTTATTTGATATGGATTTAGATGGATAAGGAACAGTTTTTTCAAAAATATTATCTGCTTTTTCTAGTTTTATGAAAGCAAAAATAATATCAAGTCCAGATGATAGAATAGGGATGATATTTTATAACACTGTAATTTATATTTATATATATAGAAATCAACAAATAATCAATTAAAATTTAATAACATCACAGAAATATATAAATTAGATGGACCATCTGCTGATATAATAAAGAATTGTTTAAAAATAGAACAAAATTTTGAAAAAGATTATTAATTAGGAAATAATGCTCATTTTCATGAATGTTTATGGTTATGTAATCATGAATTCAAAGAATTGTAAATTAATTAAAAATATTTAATAGAGATAAAAATAAATTCAATATGCGTATATTTTTATTCACTCCAGATGATTTACCTTATTTTAAAGATTAAAATTCAAGAGCATCAGCATTAAAATATGCAAAATAATTAAAAGATGCAGATGTTTAGATTGAATTATTTCCATTACCTAGTTAGAATGAATTTAAGATAGCAAGATTTTATGGAGAAATAATAACAGTTGATTTGGATGAAGTTAATAATGCAGTACTTGATACATCAACTAAAATAATGGATTTACATTAAAGAATTAAATAAAAAGAATTTAAAAAGAGAGCTTTAAATAGATTAATTATGGATATAGATGATATAAAAATTGGACTTAAAATATATTGTTTGGTAAATAAAGCTAAAAAACCATATGGTAAACCATTAGATAGGAGATACAATTAATAACTAAAAAAGAAAGCTTAATTTATTGATGAAGAAACTGGTTAAGCACTGTTTCCTTAATAAATATCAACTCATTTGATATTAGGAAATGAGAAAATAGCAATCCCAAAAGAATATATGGCTAAAATAAAAGGATTTGAAAAACCTGGAATGACATTAATTGGTTTTAAATCTTCAAGTGCATTAAAAGATTATCATAATTATAGAGCTTCATATTTTTTATATCCAGATGATGAACATGTAAATGGATCTTCATAATTTTTTGATGCTTTAATATAATAAATGATATTAAAAGAGAAAATTGGAATAGTAAGATTAGTTCCAAAATAAGGATCATAAGTCAGATTTTGTGCATTGTTACCATAAGCTGAATAATATGATGAAAATCATTTTTAGACTCCTCCAGGATTGCATTTAATATTTTTACCATATGCTGATGATATAAGAGGATTATCTTCAGTAAAATAAGAAGGAGCAGAAATTACAAGGTAAACTTTAAATGCAGCTAAGATTTTAGTAAATGCATTAACAATATAAGATTTTGATTGTTCAAATTTTGAAGATCCTTCAATATAAAAGTAAAAATATATATATAATTTAATTAGATTTTATACATATTTATAAGGATTAGCATTATAAGAATAGAATATTGAAGAACCAGAAGATTTACTGTAACCAGATTTTAAAGGAATGGAAAAATATAGAGATATTGTTAATTTATTTATGAGTAATGTAACTTTGGAATGTTCTAATATGGCTTCAAGATCTAAAGGATAAGCAGGTGGAAGAGGTAGAGGTAGAGGAAGAGGAAAAGCTAAATAAGAAGAAAGTGATAATAGTGATGATTGTTCTAAAGTTAAAGGAAAAAATAAAGGATCTTCTTAAAAATAAAAAATTGAAGAAGAAGACAGTTTGGAAGGAGAAGAAATCTATTAACCTATAAAAAAGAGAGGAAGAGGACGTTGATTTTGAATTTTATGACTCATATTAGAATTATTTTATTATCAAAAATTAAATTAATAAATTTTATTCATAATTAATTTAATCACAATATTAATATAAGAAAGTTTTGTTTTTTCTTTACTTTATTTTATATACTGAAGAAATGTACATCATTTGATTCTATCAAACTATTTTAAGTATGCAAAAAAATTAATCAATAAATTTTATTTATTAAATAATATTAGTATTACTTTTCTATAAAATTTTGAATTTATGGGTAATTGTAATGTGATGGACAAAAAAGAAGAATTTTAAGAAGCTAGTATTTGTATCTTTAAATTTAGTGTAATCAATAAGAAATTACGAAATCTTAGATATCCTTGGAAAAGGAGGATTTGGCAAGGTTTTTAAAGTAAAAAGAAAAAAAAATAATTAGCTTTATGCTATGAAAATAATGTCAAAAGCTAAGTAAATTGTTTTAGATATTTAGAATTATATAAAAAAAGAGCATTACAGCAGTTATTAATGAAAAGAACTTACTATCACAATTGCATCATCCTTTTATCGTGAATATGCATTCAGCATTTTAAGATAGAGAGAATTTATATTTAGTGCTTGATCTTTTAAGTGGAGGTGATTTAAGATATCATATTTATAAAAACAAAAGGTTTTCAGAGGAGGAAGCATGTAAAATATTTGGTAATACTTAAAGAATTTTTTGCTGCATGTATAATTATAAGCTTGGAATATTTACATTAATAAGGAATAATACATAGGGATCTTAAACCAGAAAACTTAGTTTTAGATGAATAGGGATTTCTTAGATTAACAGATATGGGAATAGCAAGAGTTTGGAGACCAGAAAATGCTTCTGATACTAGTGGAACACCAGGTTATATGGCACCTGAAGTTATGTGTAAATAAAATCATGGTATTGCTGCTGACTTTTTTGCTTTGGGAGTTATAATATATGAATGTATGCTTGGAAGACGACCTTATGTTGGAAAAACAAGATAAGAAATTAGAGAGTAAATCCTATCAAAATAAGTTCAAATTAAAAGATCATAATTACCTGTTGCTTGGACAATAGAAGCAGGAGATTTTGTTAATAAAGTATATTTTTAATATTATTTTTTAGCTTATTTAAAGAAAACCAGAAAAAAGATTAGGAACTATTAATCCTTCTGATGTTAAGAATCATCCTTGGTTTAATTCTTTTGACTGGGATAAATTAAATTAAAAAAAATATGATCCACCCTATTATCCTAAAAAATTTAATGGAGTTGAAGGAACACAAGATGATACAATTGAAGATAAAAATGAAAACAATTTCATATTACTCAGAAATAACACTCTTTGTGGTATTATAGATTAATTATACTTAAGAATAATTTAACGAGTATTGTTATAATCAGGAAGCCTGTATTAAAAAATGATAATAAATTTATTTCTCTTTTTTCTTAATTATATTAAATAAATTAAATTAAAATGTCATCTGCATACATAACTATTTTATCATCAAATGGAATAGAGTTTATAGTGGCTAAAGAAATAGCTGGATTAAGTGAAATATTTAAAAAACAAATTTCTAATGCAGATATTAGAGGAGAAACACAAATTCTTTCAGATTTTACAGCTGATATACTTGAAATAATCCTCTAATACCTTCACTTTAAAAATAGATGGCAATTGGAATCTCCAGTTAATTTGCCTAAATTTTAAATAGCAAAGGATAAGGCATTATCAGTTTTACAAGCTGCAATTGCATTATAAATATGAATTATTTTATATAATTTTATATATTAATGTAGTTAAATTTTTTCAATTTATCTCAAAAGAATTCTCATTCTCATCTATTTGAATTTAATTCTCTTTTTCATGTGTTGAATTCTCTAAATTGATTATTTATTCTTTCTTTTATTTATTTTCCTACTACTTTTATTTTTTACACTTAATTTCTTACTTCATTTAATTATCTAAAAAATTTTCCAATTATTAAATGTTCATATAATCTATTTTTTCTAAATTAAATTTCTTATTTTCTATTTAACTGAGTTTTTTCTAGTATTAATTTAATAATTCATTATATTATTTCAACTATCTTTAAATTTTCTGTTTTGTTTTATTAATCTTTTATTAAATTTTTTATTCTGTTTTAACATAATCTTTATTTTCAACTATAAATGCACTCTATTACTTTAATCTATCTGAAAATATTTTCTAAACTTATTTTAATAAAATATTATAATTTCTTTTTAATTCTTCTCTTTCTATTTTATTAAGATTTATCAAATTATTTTCAGAATTTTCAATTTATTTTATAAGTTCAAGCTCACTTAACTCTTTTGCTAAAGAAACTTAATTAAATTTAGGTTTCTACAATTTTTATAATTTCTCATTCAATTGTTTTTCAGCCTCAGCATTTTCTATTTTTTGTATTTATGAACGTAAATGATCAATTGTAGAATTTATTTCTTTTATTACTTTTTGTCTTTATTCTTCTAAATCTTATTAATTATTTGGATCCTTAGCTTTTGGTTTTTCTATCTCCATTTCTTATTTTTCTTTATTAAGTATAATATTTGGACTATTAGATTCGTTAATTACTTGGCCATTACTCAACTTTCTAAAATAATTAACAGTTTCTTTAACACTTTTATCAAGTTTTTAAAAGGAATCATCAGACAACTCAGAAGAGTTATCAATTTCTGATACGAAAATTTCTAGTTTTTCTGTACCCTAATTATAATTATTAATTAATACTTAAATAACATCTAAGTCTTCTTAATTTGATATTGTAATCTTATCATTATCTTCATCAAAATAATATATTGTAAAGTTGTGCTTCAATATAAATTTAAAACTCTATTTTATTGATTTCCTTAAATCCTTATATGTTACAATGTTTTCTAAAGTTTTTTCATACACATTATATTTAGCCAAAATATTCATTAATTGTTTATTTAATTTAATTATTGTATAACATAGAAAATTAAACAATTCATAAATTTTAATATCTACTTTATGGAATGGGATAGGTTATAAATTTAATTAGATTGTTCTTTATTTCTTTAAAATCAACTTAATTATTATTAAAGTCGAAATCTCTTTTTTCTCTTTTAAATTCTTCTTCAGAGTGAATTTATTTTGATGTTTTAAACTTTCAATAATATAATGTATTTTACTTTAGCAGCATTATTACAATTATCAGATGCCATAGGTAATAATGAAATTGAGATCATTAACATTATTAACGAAACAAAAAGAGTAAAATAAGGATTCTCATAATAATTATACTGTTTAAATTCATTATGATTCTAAAATATTGAAAATGTAGATAGCAAAGGTCCAAATATTAGTATTATTAATGCTAAAATATTTAGAATTGTTGCATTTCGCCAAAAACCACAAATAAAATAAAATATGTAAAATACGAGAACAGATATTCCAAGTGTATCAAACATTTCAAACCATAATTTAGTTGCTAAAGAAAATTAATTAATAACTATAAATTTTAAATGATAAATACAAAGAACAATTCCTACAAAAAATGCCAAAAGAGGAGCACTAAAAGCTGCTATTAAGAAATAAACAAAATATCTCCAATTTCTAATTCCTATACATGTTCCAACCCAATAACAATGATGATCAAATCCATCAACACAATGATTACATTCTCGACCTTTTTATTAATTTTATATCTACAATGAGAAGCTTTTGGTGGTCTTTTTATGTTACAAGTTGAACAAAATCTGGTTCTGTAAATTTTAGGCAAATCTTCTTATTTATTCATATTTTCAATTGAAATTGCTTCGTCACTACTTTCTGTTAATCTACTTTCAGGCTCTTAATTATCATTTATTTATTTTTTTAATATCACTCCAGGCTCTAAAAATAAATTTTTTAAAACTACCTGTAATTGCTGTCAATATTAAAAAAGTAATTGGTGTAAAACCATAAACTATACATATCGTATTTAAAATAATATATCCTTTTAAAATAGCAAGTGGAAATACAAATACTATTTAGAGCAACGTAACGAATAAAATCAATAGAATTGTTGCAATTAGATTTAATTTATTTTTCTTAACTAAATCTAAGTTTTACCTTGACACCAAAAAAAATTCCAAAAACTCTATTAAATGCCATGAATGACTCTTGCATATTAATAAATTATTCTTCCGATAATTTTATGTTATCCATTTTGCTTATAGCTTATATTTTTATATTATATTTTTATTAATTTTAAAAATTAATAGGACTGAAATTTAAGGAATTACAAAGATCCATTCTTAAACATCTATTGATCATTTTAATGTTTATAAAATAGTTGTATATAAGATAATTAAATTTATTTGTTTTTTTTGTTTTTCAGTTTAATATTATATCAATTAAATCCCATTTCATAAGTGAGTAGTTTATTTATAAAGGATCTAAATCTATACAATTTTATTGATTAATTTATGAATTAAAGTTTAATCTCAGACTTGATTGAATAGATTGAAGATGATTGCATATTCATCTCAAAGTATTATTTTCATCATANTTGCTAAAGAAAATTAATTAATAACTATAAATTTTAAATGATAAATACAAAGAACAATTCCTACAAAAAATGCCAAAAGAGGAGCACTAAAAGCTGCTATTAAGAAATAAACAAAATATCTCCAATTTCTAATTCCTATACATGTTCCAACCCAATAACAATGATGATCAAATCCATCAACACAATGATTACATTCTCGACCTTTTTATTAATTTTATATCTACAATGAGAAGCTTTTGGTGGTCTTTTTATGTTACAAGTTGAACAAAATCTGGTTCTGTAAATTTTAGGCAAATCTTCTTATTTATTCATATTTTCAATTGAAATTGCTTCGTCACTACTTTCTGTTAATCTACTTTCAGGCTCTTAATTATCATTTATTTATTTTTTTAATATCACTCCAGGCTCTAAAAATAAATTTTTTAAAACTACCTGTAATTGCTGTCAATATTAAAAAAGTAATTGGTGTAAAACCATAAACTATACATATCGTATTTAAAATAATATATCCTTTTAAAATAGCAAGTGGAAATACAAATACTATTTAGAGCAACGTAACGAATAAAATCAATAGAATTGTTGCAATTAGATTTAATTTATTTTTCTTAACTAAATCTAAGTTTTACCTTGACACCAAAAAAAATTCCAAAAACTCTATTAAATGCCATGAATGACTCTTGCATATTAATAAATTATTCTTCCGATAATTTTATGTTATCCATTTTGCTTATAGCTTATATTTTTATATTATATTTTTATTAATTTTAAAAATTAATAGGACTGAAATTTAAGGAATTACAAAGATCCATTCTTAAACATCTATTGATCATTTTAATGTTTATAAAATAGTTGTATATAAGATAATTAAATTTATTTGTTTTTTTTGTTTTTCAGTTTAATATTATATCAATTAAATCCCATTTCATAAGTGAGTAGTTTATTTATAAAGGATCTAAATCTATACAATTTTATTGATTAATTTATGAATTAAAGTTTAATCTCAGACTTGATTGAATAGATTGAAGATGATTGCATATTCATCTCAAAGTATTATTTTCATCATACTTAGTATAACTGAGATAAGTTCAACCTCTAAAGTTGTATAATATTAGATGACTCCAAATCATAACAATCTATTAATTGATCATATCAATATAAGATCTGTGAGATAAATTCCTCTAAAGATTTAACCCAAAGAACCTCCAGAAACTCCGAAAGAAATTAAATTTTTCAAAAGCGAATTCAGTATTAAAATACCAAGTTCATAAATGGATCAGAGGAAAAGATAGTTATTGATACCAAAATGTAGAATCTCTCATAGATATAAATCAGAAATATAAAGAACAAAACCAAAATCGGCATTAAAAAAACAAAGGAACAATTCTTTTTCTAAGTCTTAAAAATCTGTAAGATTTAGAATTGAAAATCATTCACAATGTTGAGATTGTCAATTTTAAATTTCAAATTGTAAATATAAAGATCAATTTCATCTCTTTTATGATAATTGATTAAGAAATATTTTATTTTTATGTATATAAAATAATTTTATGAAAAATCACAATAAATGTATATATTATATTCATACTTAAGCTAAACTTTTTAAATTAACTTTACAAGAGAAAAATATTAATCACAAAACTCAATTTAAATTTTTATCATAATATTTTATAAAGTTGTTTCATTTTTCATTTTGATAGGTTTCTTAAATTATTCCACTAATTTATCATTATTAGAATATATTTTTTTTTTTTATTAATAATTTTTGAGCAATTTTTGAATATGACTGATCATCAAACTCTAGATACTATAAATCATGTTATTGAAAATTTAAGATAAAGATAGAAAACTTATTAAGTAGATTTAGAATAAAGGAGAATCAATCTATTTCAACAATAATAACAATAAAATGAATTCATAATAAAAAAGCTAGAAATAGATTCATTATTAGCTTAATCAAAAAGTAAATAAAGATTAATCACATAACTTAAGTTAATTAGTGGCAATTTGAAATAAAAATATGATGAGGATTAATCTAAAAGGAAAAGCATACTGAAAAATTTATGTTTAGGATATATCAATATTATTGTTCTGATTAGTTTTGTAATTTGTTGGACATATTCAAAAGAATATCCAAACGAAGATAGATATGATTAATTTATTGATAATCAAAATTAAGGAGTAATTGAAGATATAATAGTTTAAAACAATACTAGTGAATGTCCCGATGGAGTATATTATATTTATGATTTAAGTTTGAATACTTATTTTAATACAATTGGCCAGGTACTATTGAAGGTTGTGATTGCAGTAATAATTAATTATTACCTAATAATTCATTATTATTTAATTTTTCTGCTGGTGGTTAATGTACATTAGCTTAATTAAGTTAAGGATGTTAATACATATCTGAGGTTTCAAATAAAACTTTAAGATTAATAAATGATAACAATTTTTCTAAACGTAATTTTATGTTTAATTTATTAGCATTTGTTTTATGTGCCAAAAGAATTTAAGGTGTATCATTAAGATATAATTTTTCATATTGTCAAGAATAAGATAAAACAATATGCGGTTCAGGCTAATTTTATTATTGTTTACCAAAAGATGTAAAATGCCCAATCTCTTAAATAGGTTTTACTACTGAATAGTCTTATTTTAAGAATTTAAACAAATCAAATAATTCTATTTAAGGAAACATCATTAATTTATCAAATGGACATTATTTTTATTACATTAAGAATTAATCACAATTGCCTATATCTCAAATTAAAATGACAGAAACTACAGAAGTCTGTAAATTAAATTCATTAAATAATATATCTCCTTATCGAGAAGATTACGTTTTAATGAAGATTAAAAGAGAACATTGTTAAGAAAATGATTCTTAATTCAAAACTGTTTATAGTATAAATGAAGATCAATTCTATTTATCGAATAATTTATATTCTTTAAATTATACATTGCCATATTTTGAAATAAACAGCTCAGTTATTTGGACTTTATAAACTAAACCTTATAATTAAATACTGGATGAATGTTAGTTTGGATCCGATTATGAAAATTTTTTAGAAAAGAAAGATATTAAAAATATTAAAGACTTAAATGTTTACATATATTGTTTATTTATTTCAATAGGATTACTACTAATAAAATAATTTTTTAATCACTTGACTAAGCTGAAACAAAAATAAAATAGGGATAAAATTTGTTGTCATTAGTTTAGGTTTAATATTCACCATATTAAATTTTTCTAAATCATAAAAATATTAGGTCATTTATGTTCAATAATTTTACTAGTTATTTATTGGGTTAAATAAGATAATTATAAAAATAATTTAATTATTTTTTTCAATTCCTAATGTGTAATAACAGAATTAGCACCCTATTTTTATGATGCTGATCAATTAGATGATTCAAAATCGTTAAAAATTTTTAGGTTTATTATTTTTGCTTAATAATTTGTTCTGTTTTTATAGGCAATTTATAAATTAGTTAAAAAGATAAAAGAAGACAAATGAATATTTGATGTTTTATAATAAGCGAAATTATGAAAAATAATTATGAATTATTAAAATTAATAAACTTAGTTCATTATTATTAAAATATTTCATTTTATCTTATGAGATAAGTTTAAATTTATAAAGGATATAGAACATCATCTAAATCTTCATCAAATGAGTTTGATTATCTTTGATAATTCCATTCTACTTTAAAATAAAATAATATTACTTAATGAATTGATTTTCCAATTATTCCATATCTGATTGCCTGTTAAAGTAGTTCTGATTGCCTAACCTTAAAATTCAATTTTATCAATTTTCATTGAAAATTTCTCTTACAAGTTCTAAATTCTGAGTAGAAGTTCATCTTATTTCCATAAAATGTAATTAAATTTTAATAAATTTTCTCCATAAATTAATAAAGGTTCAATTTTAAACCCTTAGAATGGTAAGAACCAATTTAAATTAAAAGGAATAAGTGGTAATTATGATTCAAAATTAAAATATACTAAAGGTTAGAGATCTTAATAATATTATAATTTTCTAATTTAATTTGGTTAATTTATAATGTTAAAAAAGGTAAGTTTATGTTAGATTTATTGAACTAAACCATTTCCTTTGTTATCAGTTTCTTTTAAAGCCTCTCCTACTCCTCTACTATCATCATATAATAATCTTCTTTATATCATAATCTCTATTTATCCATTTTCTAGACTGCTCCCTCCTTATGCTCTATCATTTAATAGACCAATACAATCTTATCCATCTTATATATAAATAGCACTTGTAATTGGGTAATAATTACCTGATACATTTTCATGCAATGAATAGTTATATTATGGTCTATAATCTATAATTCTTTTTTAAAATTATAATCCATTACTATCAGTATAGAATGTTTTATTTGAATTAAAGTTAGGTACCTCAATAACCATAATAATATTTTTTCCTATCGAATCATTAATAGGAATTTAATCAATAAATGTTTAAATATCAAAAGTATCTTTTTAATCATAAAATTATTTCACAACAGTCTTAGTATAAGTTCTAACTATTCTAAATAGAGACATAATTCTCCCATATCCAATAGCTATATATGATATATTACCATATACAATCTTTGTGTTATTTAAAGGTCTAAAAATATATGCACCATCTGCTTAATCTTTTTATTGATAAGATTGATAATAAGCATATTTTAATTTAAATGATTTTGTTGAATTAAGAGTGATTAAAGTATCCTCATTATAAGGAAATGGATTGACATTTAATTAAATTTCTGATGCTGATTCATTATACAAAACTGGTTATATGGTAAAATATTAAATTACATTGTTTTAATAAATTTAATATTTAAAATATAAATCGCAATCTTGAAATCCATTAGTGCAATCAATATCTCCATATAAAACTTAATTATTTTAATCTTTAATTAATAATTTTAGGTTTGGAACTTTAATACAGATGATATCAGTATTGTTTTCTTATTTTACTTTCCCATCAATAATAGTAACAATAACAGTTTTATTTGCTTTTAAAGCACTATATGTTTTGCCACATTATAAGGCAGTTGTATTATATTCACATTGTTCATACTCTACATTTGTTCTATTATAGAGTAATTGTGATAAATATTTGGTTGTCAATTTTGTAATGTGATATTCTCCATTTGATAATATATTGATATAATCATCATTAACATGTTGTTTTTCTGTTCCAGTTACCGCATCATGGTGTTAACAAATCGCTAATGCATTATCTAATTCATAAATAGTATTAGAGATATTTTAATAATCATCTTAAATTAATTTTTATTAAAAAAGTAAAGCGATGAATTTTTTATATATTTATGCTTATCTACCTAATCGTTTCACATAACCTTTAATAGCAACTCTACTTGTAAAATATCCAGTCCAAAAAGCATGCGGTTAGTCAGAATAAGGAAAGAAATCATCTTATTTTGTTTCATAAGTAATATTTTATTTGTTAATTTCATCAATATATTCTTCTGGAGTGGAATATTATAGTTTCATTTTATATTCAGGATTATTATTAATAAATCTAATTAATTTGTCGAGATTATGATAAAAGACTTTCGAATCAGACCATTAGAAGTCAGAACCAAAAGTATGAATTAAATGATCACTTTTATAATGAAGTGACTAAGATTTAAAATATTAAACAAGTTGATCTGATTTATCTTTAAGATTAAAACTTTGTGATCTAAAATTATCAACAATAGCATCAGTTGATCTGAGAATATCAAAATTGAATGAAGGAGGTGCTTCATAATGATAGTATTAAATATGAGTAAACATTGGATATTGTACACCTTCAGCAGGTGGCAACATAATAATTTCCATGTTTTTATTATCAAGTCTATTTTCTTTATCTTCAAAATCAATTCTTGCAAAAAACCAAGCATTAAATCCCATTTAATAAGATAATGCAGCTTAAGAATTCTAATGACCAAATGGATCAATTTGCCATCCTATGCTTGGAACATAATTAAATGTTTCCAATAAGAATTTGTGACCCAAAGTCATTTAATCAATAATATCTTCATAATATGTAGTAGCTTCATCATTCATACACCATCCTCCAGAAATAAACTATAATTATCTGTTTGAAACTAATGATTTGGTTATATCTCTAATGGTTTCATTTTATTGATCCCACCACCTTATAATTATTATGAATATAAAATTACATTTTGAAAAACTTAGTTTCCACTTGAATGAACTTTCTATCTTAATCTTTTTGTAATTCTTCGATATATGAATCTATCACGTATTCTACATTGGCCCATTGATAATCATTTCTTAATCCATAAAAATATTATTCAACTGTTTTCAACCATCCAACATCATCATGAGAGTGAGGAATCACATGAATAGTCAAAAATTCATCAACATCTTAAATATGAGAATGATGTCTCTCTAATTGTTCTTTATCCTTAAACCTTAAGTTACATAATGCTGTAATAACACACAAAGATACAAGTATGATTTATTTCATTATAAATTTTATATATATATATTATCTATTATGAAATGTATTATAAACTCAAAAGGACATAATAATTTATTTAATATTAATTGATTTTATTTCTTTTAATAATTTCTCTGATTAAGCTCCATTTGTTGACTTAAATGCAATTAATATTTATAATTATATATTCTCTAAACTAGATTATATTATTATATCTAAAAATATTATAATAAAATATTAACCTTGTTCTTAGTCTATCATCTTAGTCAATATGTTATTTATATCTCTAACATTCTCATAGGTACAATCCTGAACTTAATCTAGCTTTATCTACTTTCTGAACACATCATTAATTGCTATTAAAACATTATAAATTTTAAATGACTTTATATTGATATAAAAATACATCTGATTTTTATCTAATGATATCCCCCAACCAATTAATTATTTATAAATTACTAAATACTTCCAAATTCAAAAATTCTTTTAAATAAACTTTCAAATGAAATATTGAATGATTCCACATTCTAAATATTGTATTTAACATGATTTCTCCTAATTTTTCAGGTTTTACTATGTTTGGTTGTAAAAGAAAGGATAGATATCTTTTACTTAAAACATTTAAATGAGTAATGGATTTAGAAATAATTTATAATAAACATTCTAAAAATGTTTATATAATAATTTCTGGAGTGGAATTATTAAATAATTTTAATTATTCTAACATTTCCATTCCATTAAGTTTTTATTAAAGATATGAATTAATCTTTTCTGCTAAATTATTCTATTCAAAATCCAAAGGTTTAGTAATATCCTATAATGAATTATACCAATCAATAATATTTTTGGGAACTAAATCTGTAATTTTTTCAATGTTGACTAATAAGAATAGTTTTCTAAAGATCATAATGACTAGATAATTATTAAAACTATCTGTTTCATCTGAATTAAATTTTCCAAAATATTTATCCCAATTTAATTTAAAATTTGAATTACAGAAATAATGTGATAAGCAATCACTTAATTATTCAACAATCAAGATATTATTCTATGGTATTTAATCAACAAATTATTCAATAGTTTCATTCCATTCTTTTATATTGTCTGAATTTCTTTAACTTAAATGAGTAAGAAGTCCGCTATAAAAAGCAGAGGATAATTAATCTTTTCTTGGTATAACTTCAATGGCCATATTTAATAGAGTAAATATTAATGTTTATTTAAATTAGGCTCTATTTATAATAATATAAAATACTCTTGAGAAGGAGACATTTTGATGCAATTTTAGTACAATTAAAATTGAAATATGATTTATTATCTATTAGTCTTAAATAATTCGATTGTTTCATAGATCCATTATCTAGTAATTTCAATTTAAACATCAGTTTTATTATTATTTTGAGATCTTAATTCATCATTCAAAACTAATATTTATTATGGTCTCCAAATTTATGTTCTTTTAACAATAGGAATCTTAAAACCTTTTCTTTATTATCTGACCTATGTCATTTCATCTGGAAATAATAGATATGGTCTTGGATATGAAGATTTTAAAAATTATTAAAATATTTATGTATGAGCATCCTTTTCTTAATTATTTAAGAAGTTTCTAATAGATTACCAAAGATGATATAATCTATCTTCAGTTTTTCTTTTAGTCATTAAAACTTCAACATTCTAAATAATATTTTTAAATTCAATTTAATTTTTTTCCATAGCTTTAATCATAGCATGAGGAAGTGTAGTTAATAATATTTATAGATAGAATGGCGATTATTCATTTTCAGCACCTCCTTCTAAATCATATAAACATTCTACAAAACTCACAGTACTAATTAAACCAACATTCATTAATTCACTGAGAAACTTAAGAATAGTTTATCCTAATATAGGTGTTTCTTCTTAGGCTATTTAAGGAAGATGTTCAAGCAAACCTATTATTATTGAGTCAGTCAAGGATTACGTAGTCTAATTAAAATATTGACTTCATTGATAATTACTTATTTAGTAGATAAAAGTGCAAGTATGGTAGCATATATCCCAGATTTAAGTGGTAACAATTTTGCACATTAAATAAATGATTATATCATTGCATCTTTGACTTCCTATTTATTTTATTAATAATATTCCCCTAAAACATCTACTATTTTTTATAAATCCTTCTTAAATGTATCTGCTCCATCATCACCTGCTCTACATATCTAATATTTATTTTATCTTATTACCAATTATCTTATTCTATTTATTTCTGGTGGTATTTAGTGCTATATTTGAAGCATTTTATATATAAATTAATATTTAATTAAAAATCAAATTCTTCATAAATTTCATAATTAAATAAAACCATTCCAAATTTCTCTATCATTTACTCTCTTCATCAAGTCTTTCTCACTCAATTAATCATTAAATCCTACGAATATTTATCCCATATATAATTCACTATTATTCTTTATCTTCCAAATCTTTAAAATTAAAGGATCATTCTAATATCCTTCATATTATTATTCATTCATTGGCACTCTGAAACTTAATTGTTAAAATTACTCAAATGCCACAGAATCTAAATTATTCTTATTTCCTTTTACCTGTTCTTTGCAATAATTATTCTTTCAAATAAACCTCAACACAATATAAACATTCTGTTTTTTAATCCTTATTTTATAACTATTCATTAATCTCTATTATTTATTTACTTCTTTATTAAATACGACTAATTTGAACGTTATTGGTATTTCTGTAAATACTGGACCACAATCTTTTATTAATTTATTTGATGAAGTCTTTGATTTATTTTAATTTCTCATTCTACTAGCATACATCATATTTTATTCATGTTTTGCATAAGATTTATCAAATTCCTTTTTCTTTATTACAGATGGTAAATGTAATATTCTTTTACCCAATCTTATATTTTCTAAACCTATTTCATATGATTATTATTTTTAAGCTGTTGCAATTAATGATTTTACACTCTTTGCTTCTTAAACTTTTATTGTTTTACTATCTGCTGAAATCATTTTTTTTGCTAATACATTGTCTGATTACTTTCTAACTATTTATGTTTGCTGTTCCATAAATTTACGAGTCCTCTCCTTTTATTATCTATAATATTTTATCTAAAAAGTTATATTTTAATAAAATACTCATACTTTGTTCATTTACTCTTATTCACTTTAACTCACCTCAACATTCTTTGCTGTAATATTTTATATCTTCGAAACATGTTTTATATATTATTATTCAACTAAATGCTCTTAATAAGCATTCTTTAATATATAAGTAGGAGATTTCATAATCTTATTTTTATATAGATATTCATTATAACAGATTTATATATATATATATATTTTTTGTATACGTTAAAGATGCTAACATCATCCAAGTTATTTAGTAGTCAATCATAATTAGAATGTATCAAATTTAGATTTAATTTAGAATGTTTAATGAATATTTCTACCAAAATTTTACATGACTCTACTATTGAATCAAATAGAGATTCAAAAAATATCATCTTTAGCAGAATAAAAGAAATCACTCTTGAAGCATTTTCTAAATAATTTACTGATGAGATTCATCATTTATAAGCAGAATTAAGAAACGAATAAGCATTAAATGATTAAATTAGAAGAGAATTTTAAGAAAGAGAATAAAGAATTTTACAAGATTTTGATTCTAAACAAAGAGAATTTTAATTATAATAAATTAGAGAAATTCAGAATCTTCAAGATTTACTTGAAGTTTAAGAATCATAATTTTAAGTATTCTTTTTAAACAATTATATTAGAAATATCAATCATAAATTGAAAAACTCAATAAATAAATTAAAGACATGTAAAATAAAGAATTATTTTTACAAAATGAAAACATCAGAATTAAAGAAAATTTTTAACATAGTGATCAAAGAAATAAAACCTTATGTTCAGATTTAAATGAATAAAGATAGAAAAATGAATCCTTAAATTTATTAAATCAATAATTAGATAGATAAAATAGAGATTTTAAAATAGATTTCGAAAAAATTCTTAAAGAACTTTCAGAATTGAAAAAAAAATCCTCATAATAAATTGATGTAAATGTTGAATTAGATAAAGAACTAGAAATGCTAAAAAATGATAATGAAAGACTTAAGTGTAAAAAATTGCAAGATTAATAAAAATCAAAGGAGCTATTAGATCAATTAAAAGAAAAGAGCAATAATAAAATTAATGATTTAAAAAATAAATTAAATTAAGCTAAAAATATACAACTATATTAATAATAATAATTGGAAGAATTTTAAGAATTAATGAAGGAATCAGAAAATTAATTAAATTAATTATAATTAAATCATAAATAATCAATCAAATAGTTAGAATAATAATATAAAACATAATTTTAAGAAATGGATATATAATTTATGAAAGAAAAGTAAAACATAGAAGAAAATCTATAAACTCAATTTGAATTTAAACTTTTAAATAAAGAGAAAATCATATAAGATTTGAATAAAGAACTAAAATAATTTAAAGATAAGCTCTATTAATATAGTTTAGAATTTGATAGTTTGTAAAGATAATGTCAATACTTTTAGTAATAAGTTTAATAATAGTCTGAAGAGATTTAATAATTAAATTTACATTCTGAAGAACTTGAAAAATGTAATAGAGAATTAGACCTAGAGTTATCTAAAAAAGATTCAAAATTAAAAAATTTAATATTAGAAATTGATGATATTAAGAATTTTTCTGAATAAACTATAAATACTCTAAAACTTAATTAAAACTTATTAAATGAAATCGAAAAGGAAAAATAATAATATTAAAAATTAATTTAATAAATTTCTGAGGCATTAGAAATAGAAACTTAAGGAAGTTTTTCATATTAAAAATTAGGCTAGAAACTTGATATAAAATTGAAATAATTAAAAGATGATTTAAATAAAACCTAAGAAGAATTAATAAAAATTAATTAGTAATATAACTTAGAAGTTTAGGAAAAATAAGAAAAATTGCTATTATAATAAGATAATTTCAATTAGGAAAATAACAAAATTTAGAAAATACTTTAAGAATAATAATTAGAAAACAGAAAATAGAAAAATGAATTTAAATAAAAGCTGGATGAGTAAAATAGAATTATAATTGAATTGTAAAAAGATTAAATTGAATGTAACAATTAATTAGAGTTTTTATAAATTTAAAATTAATAATTAGCTCAAGATTTAGAGAAAATTAATGATCAATTTATTACAGCAAAACAAGAGTACAATGAATTATTAAATCAAGAAAAAAATAATTCTGAAGATTAACAATAATTAATAAATTAAATCATAAATGAAAAAAGTCAATTGTAATTATAATTAGAAGAGGCACTTTTTAAATAAAAAACATGCAAATAAAGAATTTATCGTGTTTTAAATAGATAAAGAGAATTAATGAATATACAAAATTTTGAAATAAAAAATATGCTTTTAAAAAAATTAAAATAACTCGAAAGTGAATGTAAAATAATATTACAAAGTTTATATAAAGAGCAATTGATTATGACAGAGAATAAGATTGAAATGATTGAAGCAGAGAAATAGTATGAAATAGAATAAATGAATTACGAAGTCTAATAAAAAATAGAAAATATGAAAAATCAATTTAAATAATCTGAATTTTTAATTTAAGAGGAATGTCAATTAAGGTTAAAATAGAAATAATAATAATTTGAGTAACTTGTTATGTCAAAAACTAATGATGTAGAATTACAAAACTAAATTTAATTGTTGAATTAAGAAAATGAAGAATTATAGAGACAATTGATAAGATAAGAATAATTATTGATGGAACAAAAATAAAATTATGAATTAGAGTTATTTAATCTCAATAAATTAATTAAAGAATAATAAGAGGAATTGTACAAATTTATAATTAATTTAGAGTATCATAATAATAGTTTTCAGAATACACTATGAATAGAGAAAGGTAATATTTTGAATAAAGATATCAGGATCTTAAATAGAGACAAGATAAGAAAATGGAATAAATTTAATAAGATTATCAATTTTAAATTAATCAATTAGAGAACATTGTTTAATTACCATAGCCATAAAAATCTCCATTAAAAGTAACTCACAAATCTCCATTTCAAAAATAATCAACTTTAACAAGTATTATATAGATATCATTTAGCTAATAAACAATTAAATTATAGTTAACCTATTATAAGCACTGGAATCCATACTCCAAATAAGCGAATCTCATAAATAGATAATACAGATAAAACAATCGAGGATTTAAGATTAGAAATTTAATAGCAAAAAGATAAATTAAATAAAATGAAATTATAATTTACTGAGAGTTAAAAAAAACCTTATAGAAGAGCTTGATTAATTACTAATACCTTTATTTATTTAGTATTAATTTTTTATTAATAAATTTTAGTATTGAATATTTTAAAACTCATTTTATTAAAACAATAATGAAAATTCTATTTAAAGAATTGAATTGCTAAATAAATAACTTGTAAGATCTTCTCATATTATAATTATCAGTTTGATATATAATATATTTTTATACCATTATTTATTTTTTATTAAATGAATTTTTTACTGTTTATATTATATAATTTAGGATTAAATATATATAAATCTTATATTATATTTTAATAGTCAAAAATAAATATGTTAAGAAATTATGTATTGAAAATGCTTAACCGCATATTTAATTAAAATTAACATGTTTATAAATTATATAATAAAACATTAAAAATTTTCACAATTCCTTATTTTTAATATGGAAATCAATTTATGTATTTTAGAGTAAGAAATTTAGAATATACTGAATTCTTTTACCTTTAAAAATGTGAAAATTTACTATTTTTATATAAAATAATATTTAAAAAGCAAGTTATTATATTTAATAATAAATAGGAATTAGAACAAAAATACTTGAAGATAAATTTTACATTATTTTACGATTTAAAAGGTAACATATATTCTAGATTTCTTTAAAAATTCTGGTTAATATAAACTTTAATTTTTTTTAAATATAAAAATATTTTAAAATTATCCCTAGTGGTATATTATTGCATAATTATGAAATTTATCAAGATGATTATATAGTAAATTGATTAATAAAGAAAATTCTTCTTGAATAAGACAAAAATGAATCTAAAAAACAAAAAAGTTTATAAAATTTTTATCCATCTTTTATGTCTTGACACATTCAAAATTAATTTAATGCAGATAAAATTCATATAATTTTTTATTTATTGAGTTATTTAATTTGGAAAAGGTCCTTAAATTCAATGAACTGAAGTAATTCAATTTCTATTAATAAAAAATTTTTATTTAATGTCTTTAGGAATTGATTTCGAGCGATATTAATTTGATCGTCGATTAAAAGACTTATAAGATAAAATTTTGAGTTTAAATTATAGGGCTCCTTAAGAATAAGTACCTCAGATGGTACCAGTAAACGAACCTTAATATTTAAACAATCAATATTACCCAAAACCAATATATTACTCTCCTTAACTTTTGTATGAATTTTCAAAAAAATCAAATGCTTATATACCTTACTTTTAATATTAAATTGATAATAAATCCTTAAAAAAGGAAAAAGAAGAAAAAAAAAGAGTAAAAGAGCTAGAAAGAAAATATGAACTTTAGAAAGTCGAAGAAAAATTGGCTTAAAAATAAGAATTATTGATGGCAAATTTAAAGAAAGACATATTAGATTATATAGATCCTTATATATATGGTAATTATAGAAGCTATCAAAATTATGTTCCATAATAGCAATATTAATAAACTACCCAAAATCTTTAGACTCAAAGCCAAGTTCCACTTTATTTATAATATACTAATCCTAATAATTTATTTCAAGATGGTAATTTGAGCAATTCTCAATCATATAGAACAAGTTTTACATAAGCTGGCTATAACTCATTGAATTGATTTGATCATAATTCCACAATATTTTGAAATATTTGTTTACTAAAATATTAAATGAAGTATAATCATCATAAAAATAAAGTACTATCATTAGGAATTAGTCTCTTGAATTTATTCTTTATTTTAATCTTTGTTTATTATGATGAACTATCAGCATGATTAATATATTTTGGCAAAACTAAAATAGTATCAAAGTTCTTTTTCTTTTTAATTTATTTAGTGATATTAATTTTTTTCTTTTTACAAATTTTTGATGAAAATATTTCTTCAGTCTCTGAATTTATTTTAAAATTATTAATAAAGTCTAAAGAGATATTTTGAATCAACCTTCTCTTATTACTAACTAATCTTTCAAAAAGAGAAGAATCATAAAGGAAATCTAAATTCCCATTAATTTCTAATAAATTTCTTTTCAATTTATATATTACATCATTGCGTTAACATCGAATACATAGACATAAACCCTAATTTAAGATATAGTAATACTTTGCATAATGGGCAAATCCAATCTTTCTCTGAAATTTCATATTCGTCAAATTCATATTTTAAGCAATTATAACAAAAATATTTTTAGCATTCAATTTATTCATCTACCATTCATTAAATTTATTTACTTTCAATAATGTAATTTGCAGAATATAAATCTTGATAAAATTTTTACATATTCTTTTATGATATGCAATATCTTTGTTAGTTCAGTAAATCATCATTATATTAATGTAAATTCATATAGATATGATTATATGTACATTATTTTTATTTACTTTTATCTATAAGATTTCTACAATAGTGACACATCTATAAATCTTAATTAAATAAGTATTAATTATGTATTTAATCCAAATCTGATTTTTTGATACTTGTTTCTCTTAATCTATCAAGAGATTCAAATTATGATAAACTTATAACTAAAGGATTTTCACTTAAATACTTATCCAAAATAACAGTAACTGACTAATCTAAACATTATGTGATAATTTTATACCTTCTTAATTAACATTTACTTTTCCAATACTTTCAGCAACTTAATAGTCTTCATATAATATGATTAACTTATAAAGATTGTCTAATTCCTCTTGATGATGTTGAATCTAATTTCTATAAATTTTTAAGGCAAACTCACCTATTTTCTAAATACTATATTGATATCTTAATGATTTATTAATTTCCTCAATATGTGTTTACAAACTTAATTCTATAAATATAAATATACCTTTGGATTTTCTAAATGTTTTTTTATTGCACCGAAATTAAATCATTTTCAAGTTCCATAATTACCTAACTTATTTAATCTGGCCAATCTATTTAAGAATGCAAACTTTTTAATTATTATTCTTCTTAATAATAAATATCAATTTATTTTTCTTCTGGCAGTGAATGAATTTATCTTAATAATTTATTACAATTATCTAGTTCTGTAACAAGTTTAGATTCACAAATTCTATCAGTCATTTCATCAATCAATTATTAGATTGGCTCGGATGATTTATCTCTTTACATCAAAATTAATTGTAAACGATGGATTAGATTAGAATCATTTTATTTTTCTATATTACTTTTGCTCTTTTTCTAAGATTTTAAGACTTTATAGATTAAATCATTTGCTTATTAGTTGACATTATTCGAAACTAAAATTAGTTATTAACTATTACTTTTTTTACATTATTTTATCATCTTATTCAATGACACAGGTGTATCTATCATAAAATATTCTTCATGAATCTATCGCCAAAAAGTTGAAGTGAATTAAGAATCAGCATTTTTATCCATTTTTAATATTAATTTTCTTATTAATAATCACAACCACATAAAATCTACATAAAATAAAATTACCAATATGAATTAAAATCAGATAATCGAACAAATCACAGTCTTATTGGAAAATTAATTTAAGAATATAGAACAAGAGGAAACCGATGAGGTGAACCACAATAATAAATTGGTTCAAGCTTTAAGGAATTCAAATAAAATTGAAATAAGGAACTTGAAAGCAAGGTACAAAATTTAAGGTATAACATTTAGACTTTAATAAATATATAATAATACTATTAAAGGAATTGTCTCTTTATTTTAAAATGAGGCATAAAATTTTTTGGTAGATGTCAATCTAAAAAATATTGAAAATTTTCTGTTGATTGAAAAATAAAAAAAAAAGTTAAATGAATATTTTTAAATAATATAGGACTTGGATTATGAAAATACCTAATTAAGAACATAAATATAATTTAAAAGCTCTGCCTAAATTAATGAAAATTTGATTTTAGATTACTCAAAAATATTAAATGATTTATAATCAGAAATAGATGAAAAAAATAAATAGCTATAGGATAATTCTGTTTAACTTGTTTAATAAGAATAATTGATCGATTCTTTAAGAATCAAAATTCAAAACTTAGAATAATAAATAAAACAAGAGAATAACTAATCTTAAAAAATATAAAAAAATAATAATACTAATAATAATTCTAATAATAATAATGTAATTAATAATAATATAAAATAATATAAGGAATAAGCAACATAAATAGATATGATAGAAAAAATAAAAGTAAATGAATTTGATTTACTAAATTAAATTTAAAGTAAAATAAAATAACAGAGTGTAAAAGATCAATATTATAATATATCAAAAACTGTAAGTTTATCAGTTTCACGATAACTTAAATAAAAATCTTAAGATTTAGATTTTGAATATTCATAATTTTTAGAAGGCGAAACTAAAAATCTTTAAAAATAAAAAAACTCTTTTCTCTCAACCAATTTAAATCAATAAAAAATAAAGATGAGAAAAAGATAAAATCTAAATGATTTATATTTGTATTCAAAAAGTTAAAGAAACACAAATATTAGTGTTGATCATTACTATGAACCTTCCATACTTTATAGGTATAATGTTTTAGAAAGTATTAAAAAATGAATAAACTTAGTTATCAAAGCTTAAATTAAATTTTATAATTATAATGAAGAGCACTTAATTTTATTTTTTATTTATAATTTTGATTTTCTTTTAAAATTAACTATAAATCATTAAATCAATTAAAGCGTCATTTAAAATGATTTCTACAAAATTAACTATAGAATTCAATTGTTATTTTATGTTAAAATCGAAGATACCATTAAATTTATAATAGAAAGTTAAAGAATTTATAAATTTAGTTTTGAATTTAATATGTCCAAAAAAAATCTCAGATTTAAAGTTCATATTATAGCAATTAAACCAGTTGCAGTTCAATATGCATAATCTATACTAATTTCGACCTCATATAATTTGTAATTGACGCATAAAACTTGTATGACATTAAAAGAAAATAGTGAGTAATATAAATTGTTTAGTTTTCATACCTTGTATTCTAAAGATAATAATTTAGAAGGAAGATTTTCAAATTCTTTGAGAAAATTCGACTATTAATATATCTATAATTACAAAACCAAGTCAATAGACAGTAATCTTGATGAATAAGGGTTACATAAGAGAAAAAAAAATTTTATTGCTGTATTTTTGTTTTAAGTATGAAATTAAAAAAAAAAGGAATCAAAAATCTCTTTTTTTAATATTAGATACCATTCCTCTTATATTAGGAAAAAATCTAATCATTAATTATTATTTACATATTGAACATAATCTTCCAAAAACAAAAATAATAATACCTCTTTAATTATTAATTATAATAATTACTATAAATTGATTAATTATACTAATTTATATCATAAATCATTTTCCAAATAACTCCTACATTATTTTCTAAATATTTCCAGGTATCATGAATCTTTCATCAATAATATCGTTGAAAGGTTTCTAAGAAAGTTCTTGAGGTAGAACACTAAAAATATCATTCAATTTTTGCTCTAATGAAATTGTTGATAAGAAAAACTCTGTTTCTATATAATCCACATAAAATTCCAAAAAATTTTTTGATTACTACCTTTAAATATTACCAAATGCAACATCAGTTTATTATATATTAAAATTATGAAAAGAAGCAAATTCTGCAACCCCATTGTATAATTAGGGTTAAGTATAGAATGTTGTATCATAATTTACAAAAATGTAACATTTATATTTTTTGTTTTCATCAAAATCTGGTGATTCTTTTTTGTCAATCCATTACTTTTTAAACTTATAACCATTCTTACTTAAATGTACAAAAAATAATTGAAGATATTGTTGCTCATCATACTTTAATTAAAAAAACGGAACTATTATGTTTTCTAATTAAAAATTATCATAGTATTTCTGAAAAAAGTTTATTTTCAATATTGGCAAATATTCTTGACATTTAATCTGCGAAGAAGCCTATTCTTAAAATGATTATAGATTAAATTAAAGGCAATCTTCTAAATCATAAGTATATAAGAATTAATAAGGAAATTTTTTCCTCTCTTAATCATTCTTATAATATTTTAATGTTCTAAAGGTGAATAATCTTTCTCTCACTAACATATTATAAAATCTAACTCTATAAATAATTCTTACTGTAATCCCACGATTTATTCTTGTACTTATTAGCTACTCTTTGTTTAAAGCTGACCAATTTAAAATATTTTCCCCCATCTTACAAAACTTTAGTCTCTTCTAAATTATGAAATCTCATCAATAGAAAACTAGTTTTTTCCCTATTATAAATACAATTAAATCTTTACTTTCAGATTAAATAATTCTATACGACCGAAATCTATATCAACTAATTTTTGCCCATAAATTCTGTAAAACTCTTTAAATTCTTTAATATTATATGGCCTTTTTAAAAGACTCTTCAGAGATTAAATATCAGTTTTTAGGCATCTATATTTTTCTTTCAATAGTGGTAATTTTAAATCTTTTTTCTCTTATTCACGAATATTAGTAGCAATTTTTTCTTAATTCTATGGCTTTGGTTTGAGTGTAACCGCCACTAATCCATCATTTCTATTAAAGTCATAAGCAATAATATCAAATTTATTCATTTTCTTTAAATTAAAAATTATAATTGAAATAATAATTTTTATTAAGCAATTTTTCTATTATTATTTATTAAAAAATCATTGAAATAGAAAAATCATTAAGGTGTGGAAATATATATTTTTTAAATGATTTAACATTTAAATAGATTTCTTTCAATTTCATTAATAAATGCTTAAAAATTAAGTACTTATCATTATTCTATAAGTTAAGATTTGAAAAAAATTATTTAATTAAATAATTTAATAACCTTTTTTGGATAGATAATTATTGAAATAAAATACAATTTATATTTAGAAAATAAGTTTATAACACTTTTAATACTATTTCAATTCTAAACTACATTCTTTTTTGATCAAAAATTATGAATAAAACTTAAATGAAATAATATTAATAAAATTATTTAATTATGGGAGATATTGATATTAAAGAAAATGACAAGGCATTGTTATTATAAAATTAGAATTTATTGTAGATTACAGTAAATAAAACATCAGCAACTAGGTCATTATAAATTACTAATTTTAATGCATAGAAAAATTCAATTAAATAAATGATTGGAATTTCTATTTTTCATAATCTAAAGGTTTTAAATTTATCACATAACTAAATTTAAAAGATTGAAGGTCTAGTTAATTTAACAAAATTATGTGCTTTAATTTTAAATAATAATCAAATTAAAATAATCTAAGGATTAGAAAAATGCTTAGAATTAAATACTTTAGTCTTGTCAAACAACTAAATAATTATTGTTTAAGGGATCTCACATTTAAACAAATTAGAAAAATTATAGCTTTCTCATAATTAGATAGAAGTAAGTCAAATTATTAATATTATATAGGATTTAGAAAACTGTAAATGTATGAATATCGAATAATTAAGTTTGAATAATAATAAGATTTAAGAAATTCCTAAGTTTTTTTCTTAATTGTCCAAATTAAAGAGACTTGATATTGGAAAAAATGATATCAAAGACCCTTAATAAATAATTATTTTAAAAGATCTAAAACTTATTCATTTAAATGTAGCTGGTAATCCTTGTTCAGAGAAGGCTATTTCAATAGCAATTAAATTTCCACGAATTAGATTTATAAATAATCTAGCAGCTGAGAAAGTTTTAGAATTACATAAATCAAAAGTTCCTGAAAAAATAATAGAAAAAACTGAGAAGGCAAAGAAAAAAATATCTTAGCCAGTTGTTTTATATGATCTAGAATAAGAGCAAGAAGCTCCAATTATAAAGAAGCCTAAAAAAAGCTCAATATTAAAAGTAGAAAAGAATAAGTAGATTGATAACAAGAAGATCTAAAGAATAAAGACAATAAATTTTGATTAAGTTCCTAAAATAGAAAAATGGTGATATGATATTGTAATTATTATTTAACATAAAATTTTCAACGATTAGCAAGCAAACAATTTTAAATGCCAAAATCTAGTAGATTTTTTATTTCTTCTACTTTTATTTATAACCTAATTTATTCATGATTTTCATTTTTGATCTATAATTTCTATCTATAGATATGTTTCAATTATTAATACTTTTACTGATATCATAGTTGAATTCTTATTGATTTGATTTCTTAGCCCTTATATTTTACATAATTGATTCATGCAAATATTTCTTCATCAATGTCTTGGTTAGTGTTGAATTTTTAATTTAAATATGAATTTTAACCTTAAATTTGAAGTCAACTTTGTCATTATATATAAGTTAAAATAGAGTTTTTTCTTTTAAGCTTATTAGAGTCTTTTTTAAAAATTACTTTTTTTCCTTTTGCAAAAGTTGCTGTTCCCCTAATAAATAGAGTTAATTTTTCATAATCTAAATTGGATATTTAAATAGTAAGAAGCAAAAATAATTATGATGTAACAGTATCAACTTATTACTAAAAATAATAAATATTCACTAATTTATGGCAAATAATTTCGTAAAAATTAAAAAATCTAAAATTAAATAATTTAAGGCAAACAAAAAGTTTCGAACAACACTTACAGAAATATTTAGAATACTATTTATTTTTATGTGAATTTATAATTAAAAAATAAACTAAGAGTAATATTGAAATAGTATTAAATTATATTAGATCAGCTAAAAAAAAAAAATATAGAGATTTTTGTAATACTACATTATTTCCTAATGAATAAATAATAAAAAGAAATTATAATAAAATTATTAATAACTCGAAAAAAAATATTTGTAAAATGAAATAAAAACCATTAACACATTGGATTAGATAATAGATTGAATCTTTAATTAACAATTGTATGATTTTTTTAAGTGAAAATTTTTGATTTTAATTTTAATATAAAACATATTTGAACTAATTATGTTAGTAATTTTATTATCTAAATTTAGTTCGAATTTTATGAATAAAAGTTCATTAAATTATAAAGAATGAATCAAAATGAACTTAACTTAATATTGAAGTTGATTAGATAAAAATTAGATAACATATTGGATAATATTGATAATACTATAAATCTATCTTTTATAATTTATATAGATCATATTGAAATATAAGTGATTGCACATATATATTAATAATATTCAAGTTTAGAAATAAGGGTGATATAAAGCTTCTTTAGCAGTGATTCTTTTTTTTGGATTAATTTGAAGCATTTTTAATAATAGATCAATTGCAAGTTCATTATTTGGTATATGGGAAAACTTGTTTAACCAAAATTTCATATCTTTCTATTCATATCCTTTGAATCTCTTTTGTATTTCTTAATTATAGGACTAATACTAAAATAAATATATCATTTCAATGTCTTTAAGACTTCCTAAAGTTTAAAAGATACAATATAATTAATCTCCTTCATTTTTCCCTTCAAACAAAACTTTTAAATCCATCATCTCTGAAAAAATGCATCCCACAGCTAAAATTAATTATAAATTTAATTACCCCAGATATCAATTTCAGCTCCATAATTTGTATGAGATAAGATAAGTTCAGGAGCTCTATAATATTGAGATACTACATAGGATGTATTCATTCCTCGTTAATCAATTACTTTAGCACTTCCAAAATCACATAATACTAAATTTCCATCTTTATCAACTAGAATATTTTCACTAAATTTATAATTAAAAATACGGTTTTAAATCTCTATGAACTACATCTTTAATTGACAAACTACATAATCCTACTATGATTTGTCTCATTAAACTTTTAATCTAATTCGGCTATAAGAACTATCTGTTTCTTATTGCTTAAGCTAATATGTTTTCTAAGGAGAAATCCTTGTATTCAAAAATTATATTTTGAACATTTATTCCTTCATCTGTTTAAGATAAATATATATCCTATATTATTTTCAATATTATACTTCTATTTAGATTATGTTTGGTGAACCTTTTAGTAAAAGTAATATTTCATATTCTCTACTTAATTATTTAGATATTTTTTGAATTCTTTTTATAGCCACTTTCTTTTCATTAGTTCTATCATAAGCTTCAAACACATATCCAAAAGTTCCATGTCCTATTATTCTTTAGAACTGATAGTTTGGTAAGAAAGAATATTAAATGTTCATTAATTATAATACTTCAAAATTTTAAACCTGACTTCATTTTAAATATTAATGAATAGTCATACTAGAGTTTAACTTCTTTTTAGCTAAATCATTTTGAATATCCTTAAATTTTTTAAGCAGTGTTAAAAAATCATTGTCAAAAGATTCTAAATTTGTTTTAAATGCAATTAACTCATACTATTATTGACTAACTTATTTTTGCAATTCTTATACACTTTCTTAAAGTTACAATAAAGGAAGTTTATTATCCTCTTATATTCTACTTAATTCTTATTATAGATAACTAATAATTTATAAAAATATAAAAAATACTCCATCTCTTATCTTAATTATGATATTCGACTAAGATATCCTCTTTAATTTTCTGTTATTTCTTAATTTGTTTACTAATATTATTTAAAAACTTTATCATTTTGTATCAATCTATCTTAACTATCCTTTAATTAAGATTACACTTGTTATTCAATTCTTCTTTAAAATTAATCATCTTTTTAAGAAAGTTTATTAACTTATTCAATAACTTATTTTAATTTTTTATCAAATAATTCTAATTTTGTAATAATTCCTTCTTCATTTACTTTTACTTTTGAATCTAATTATGTAATTTCAGTATGTGCTCTTCCTAATTATGATCTTGATCTTTAAGATTTGTTAAACTATTATTCTTATGCTTAATTTGCTTTAGGAGAGGCAATTTCAATATCAGATTATTAACTGAATTTTCCTTAGAAAATAAATTTTATTTACTTTATTTCACATTTTCAGATTAACTATCATCCATATGCTTAGATTGATAATTAGGGTCATGAGGTTTAAGTAAATTTAATTGTTGATTGATATTTTTAATTTGATCCCTATTATCTAAGCGTTCTTCAAGCTCTAATAATTTATCTTCAATCATTTTTAATATTTAGCTGAATAATAATTTGTCAATGTTTTCTCTATTGCAATTTGCCTCAAGAAAAAGACAGAAACCTAGAGGATTGTATGGAATAAATTTAGCTGTTTCTTTAATACTGCATTTATTAGGAATCTAATTCTAGACTTATTATTCTTAGAATACTAAATCAAGTAATGTAAAATTTTGTTATTGCATAAAAATTAATATGGGAAATATTCTAAAAAATTAAAAAGAAATATCAAGAAACTTAGATTAAAGTAATTCATAATTTTTATGAACTTAAGTCATTTAAAGTTAAGTGTAAGATACACCAAATATTTTGATTAAGTAATCCAAATCAGGAAATGTGGATATCATAAGGTTGAATTTGCAATTAATAAATGCAGAAATAATTTATGATTCTATTGATAAAATATAGCTGGACTTAATTTTCAGTAGCTATGTCACTTTCTAAATCATAATTTATACATTTGTTACTGAAACTAAAGGAGCAAAATAATAAAGGTTTATAATTTTACACTATAATAGATATGAAAAAAGCATGCCATAGAGCACAACCTAATAATTTAAATGTCCAATAGGATTGAACTACTAATTCCCCTCTAAATACATAGAGTTCATGATTGTAGACCTTCTTAGATTTTAAAAAATGAGAGTCAATCCAGATGCATAATATCATACTCTAATAATAGAAATGGTAAGTTTATATTTATGAATATACAGAGAGGCCTAAATTCAAAAAGCTTCCAGATAATTTACTTTTATAGAATTGATTGTAATGAATAAACATATCAATGTGAATTGATTAATACTAAATAAATAGTAATACATAAAAATCGATTTTTTGAAATGCATGAACTTTATGGTGTTAAGAATACTCCATTTAACCCTGAATGGAACCCAAATACCATAGAAGACAAAGAATGTGTAATTTGTTTTTTTAATTTGATTAATACTGTACTCTTACCATGTAGACATATGTGTACTTGTTCTATTTGTGCTGATCATATTTTAATGAGTCAAAAAGTTAAGTAATGTCCTTTATGTAGAATTGAGATAGATAATTACTTAACTTTAGAAATCAAAGATAAATAAAAATAAGATATGTAAATACGTTAATTTTAAGAAGAACAGTAAAAATATTTAGAATCTATTAAAGAATAGAAAGAATAATAAGCAATTAAGTAAAGTTCCATTATGGAATAAATTAAGTCTAAAATTTAAGAAGAATAACAAAAAAAATAATAAACAAAGTTCATGAATATCAAATACTTTGATGATCTTGATGATTTTAATAAAGATAATTAATAAGATCAGAATATTTATGGTGATTAAAGTTATTGTTCATAAAATGAAGATTAAAATTACCCTTATGAGAATTAATTCAATATTTCTGTCAAGAGTAAAATATAGTAGCAATAAGAAGATGAAAATAATTATAAATTATCAAACCATTTCGATGAAAACAGAATTAAAAGTTCTGCTTATCAAAGAAGTCCTTATGAAAGAGAATTCTTAGGTAGCTATTAATAATATTAGGAAAATCAAGATTCAAAATTGAATCCTAATAGATAAAGTATTTTAGTTGAGGATGAATTATTATAAGATTAAAATCATCCTAAACAATACTATTAGATTCCATCTGAATTTTTTAATAAGGATGATTAATCAAATTTAAATTCTTATTAAAATTCTAAAAATTAGGATGAATCTTCTAAATAGTAATTCATATAGAATTTTTAATAAAATGAGATTTAATTGCAAATAATAATGGATAATAAAAAAGAGAGCTTAAATAACACATTAGATTTTTAATAGAATTAAAATTTAGAAGATTAAAATAAATAGAGTTCAAATTCTTAACTAATTAATTTTTTAGAAGATGTTTTTTTTTTTAAAGATGAATTAAAGCAAGAAAACAAAATAAAATCTTATTCTGAATAAATCTTATAATAATAACCTTAATAATGTTAATAATAAAAACAACAATAATGGTCTACGAAATCTAAATAACAAACTAATTTTTATGACTTTGGTTTTGTAGAACAAGATTTCTAAGATGATTCGAATTAATTTAAAATAGAAGCTCGAAATTTATCTCATCAGTAATATGATTTTTTATTTAAAACAAATGAATCTCAGCATTCCAATGAATCTCAGAAAAAATCACAAAATAATTATTGTAAATCAGTTAGAAAGGTTATTGATGGTTAAAATAATGATCAAATATCGCATTGTATTGATGCTTTGGAATTTTCTCAAAGCCTTGATCGATAAAATGTTGCGAAGAAATCAGCGACTTTGATTGATTTGTAAGATGAAGATGATGAAAATAAAGGTCCTTCTCATTTAAAGGAAATCAAGAGTGATTAAATTTCATTGATAAATTTTGATTGATATGATAATGTTATGTTTTTAATGACAAACTCATATTTCAACAGGATCTTATTGTTATGGTTGTTCATCATCATCATAAATTTCAAGAAAACCTTCTTATCTTTAAGGAACAGTCTTCTTTCCTTATTATGGGAAGCAGAAACATTAAGTAGTTGGCAAAACAAATTATTTGTCTTACATCAATTACTTTCTTTTTTCTAATTCTTCAACAACATTATCAATATTAGTTAAAGAAACATTTTCATATTAATCACCAGCTAAACAGATAGGACTAATAAATAAAGAAGATTTAATACTCTTTCATGGGAGTGCAATCTTCAACTGGTTTAGGAGTAGGTTAATAAGTAATGTCACAAGCGAAAAGATTTAATCCTTGGATAAATCCTTAGAAAGCATCGGTTAATTAATCTTTTCCATAGTAAAGAATGAGAGAAGGTGCAACATAATGATTGACATTCTTGAAAGATAAAGCTCCTTTTCCTTATGAATGTTCAACAATGACATCTGCTTATCTACTCTTTCTAGAATAAGCAAAATAAATATGGAACCAATCTTTGACAAAAGTCTTTCCTTCTACAATTTATCTAACTTCTGGATTACCAGATCTATAATTAAATATTATTAAAATACCCTAATTAATCAGTATATGTATAAGTATAGAAATTAAGAGTTTAATCTCTGGTATCAAAGTAACAACTAAGAGTATCATAATTGAGTGTATCTTCACCAACTAGAGTAGATGTTAATCTGAATAATAGTTAATCTTTTTCTGATGTCTTACCATTCCATTTAAACCATCCTTGAACAGAATATTATTCAGTAGTTCCAAATCTATCACCTGAATTAACTGGATTACCATTAAATTATGAAGCTTTGGCTGATACTGCTCTAATCAAACCTTTGCTTGAACAATCCTTTTAAGGTTGAGGATTACAACTTAAACAGAAAGGATTGTATTCTTCTAATGTATCAAAGAATGATCCAGATCCTAATCTTAAAACAGGTCTATGGAATTAACCATTAAATGAATAATATCTATTTTATGGATCTTTACCACCAACTTAGAATAATAATTATTCCATTCTTGGATGTGTGACTTTAGCTTCTAAAGTAATTGGTGCTTAATTCTCAATCTAATAGAATGCAATAGCTTTATATCTAGTATAACTGAAATAAGTATAAATCCAAACGCCTTCAATATCTCCAAATGGCTAAGCTAATTCGACTAATTTTTTAGCTTTATTATTAGCTGTAATATAAAAGAAACCAACTTTTCCTTAGAAAATAGTTAATAATCCATCTCTGATATCTTTAGGTGTTTCTTTTTTATTTGTAAGTCTAGCAATTAATGACCAATCTGGTCTTCCTTTTTCATATTATCCACCTGCTAAACCAGTATATCTAAACCAAAATCCATAACCATATTAAGTTGTATCTTTCAAATCATCTTTATGTAATTCAACATGAACAACAGGACCCTTATCATATTTTGCATTAATAATTCTATTTGGTCCTTCAACACATCTCTTTTTTGGAGGTGGTGGTGTTGGAATTGGTCTTAATGCTGGTTTAACATTTGTTAAGTAAGATCCTTTACAGAAAAATACTTCAAGATAAGCCATAAATCCACTATAAACTGGGAATTGTCTTTCTCTTCCAAAATAGAAATAATGTTTTGGTGATACAAAATGATTAACATTAACAAAACTCAAAGATTTAGCATGAACATGTTT